TCATATCGCAGTAAATGGGGTACATACGATTTATGATGCTGTTAAATTTGTTGGACCTTTATATTTTGAATAATCTAGTTCTAATTTATTAATTATTTCTTTAGTGAGGATTGTGATTTGTGATCCTGTGTCAACGAGGCACTCAACAGTTTTACCTTTTATTTTCATGTTTGCAAAAGTTAGATCTCTCTTGCGTTTATGGATTTTACTTATGATGGACAAAACTTGTCTTCTGACATCACCGTCATCATCATCTTCTTCATCTGAATATCCTCTGTAAACTGCTTTTACTACCTTTGTTTTCCTTTCATTGGTAGGAGATTTAGATCTTGATTTAGATCTACGTCTAGCTCTAGGGCTAGGCGATCGGTATCGTCTACGTGCTGTAGAAGTTGAAGGCGATTCTTCTCTTGGAGGTCGCATCGATCTTGGAGGAGATTTACTCAAATTTTTATCAGGGGTGTAACCCCTTCTTCGATAATTAGAAGAAGTCTGAGGTTGTTCTTCATAAGCCTGTCTTCGAGAATAATGTGGAGAACGCCAAGATTCTCCAACATTGGTTTCCCTTGACCAACCAGCACTTCTAGGTGCTATTGGTCTACTTGGGCAATCAGTTTTCTTATGCCCTACACCATTACACTGGTAACAGTGTAAGCTTTGATTGAGGTTAATTGAGTTTTCGTCTGGAGTAAAATTTACTCTTTTGGGTTCAGTTTGTGTATATGGAGGTTGGTATCGAGGTTGATACCTGTTCTGATAAGGTTGGTTTGGATAAGATTGGTTTGCATACGAGTGGTTTGGATAACGTGGTTGATAGGTTGGTCGAGGCTGTGGGGCCTGATATTGATAGGTTGTTTGTCGATATCGATTATCGTTTCGACTGTAATCTCTTTCTCTTCTTCTAGCTTCTAAATTCATTTGAATACATTCAAATTGTTCAGTTAGATTGGTTAGTTGTTCAGTTAATGAACTGATTTGTTTATGTAGAGGGTGATCTTCACCACTATCCTCTAAGAATTTTATTTCTCCCACCGATCTCTCGGCATGGGACAATCTAGTGTCAAAATCTAAATCATTATTAGTTGATAATAAATCCATTCGAGTCTTGACTGCTGGATTTAATCCTCTATGGATAAAACTATGAACTAAATTTTCATCCATTTTTGGATTTATTTTCCGACATAAGTCTCTAATATCGTAAGCATAAGCAAAAGCTGACTGACCAGGCTGTTGCCTTTTCTCATTTAGTTCCCTCATCAAACTATTTCTGTAATTGGAAGGGGCTAACCCTTTAACCATTTTTGCTTGCAATTTAGCAAACGTGTCAGGTTTCTCTTTTTCCTCAAGAGTTTTAATGCAACATCTATACCACTTTGCGGCGGTTCCAGTTAAATAAGCTGGAAGAGCTTTTAATTTTGTTTCATCATCCCATTCTAAGGCAGCAGCAGAAGCTTCGAATGACTCTAACCATTCAAGTAGATCTTCTCCTTCATCATCTCCAGAGAAGTTACTTATGTGAATAAATTGATTAACTGGTTGACGTTCTTTTGACTTTTTTGTCATAGTGCTTACTTTCGTTTCTTCGTTTGCTGACATCTTAGTTTAATTTTTACTTAAGCTGGCTGATGATAAACTGTGTACATATAGTAAATGTCAGCAAAAAACTTGTAAATGAGTATTAAAATTGGTGAAGTTATAAGAATTAAAACTATTACGTTAATGCTTGATTCATTAATAGTAAAAGTTAAATGATTTTCTTCAGGTTCTGAATCTTCATATGAGTTATAAGAATTCAATTGAATTTCATATATTTTGTCCTCCATACTAAAATTCCTACAAAAATCCAAAATACTAAAATGATGAAACAACAAAAAGTTTTACACATTTTACTTTTGTTCACTCATCACCGAGTGATAAATAATGCACCCAATCACCGGGTTTTCTAGTTTGATTCTAATGCAATAATGTTCATTAAGTAGTACAAAACTATGAATAATATACTTAAAGGTATAAATACTTGAATAACTATTTCGTTGTCAATGAAGAATATTATTGTAGTTGGGCTTATCATTAGTCTAGTTAACTAAATTCAATTTAATCTAAATTAATTATCAGTTAATTCAGTTTAATCATGAGTTAATCCAATTCAGTTTAATTATCAATTAATTCAATTTAATTATCAGTTGATTCAGTTTAATTATCAGTTAACTCAGTTTAATTATCAATTAATTCAATTCAATTATCAGTTTATTCAGTTAAATCATCGGTTAATTTAATTTAATTATCAGTTAATCAATTGATTCAGTTTATTATTACTTCAATTCAATTATCATTTAATTCAATTCAATTATCAGTTTATCATCGGTTAATTCAATTTAATTATCAGTTACTCAATTGATTCAGTTTATTATTAATTCAATTCAGTTTTAATCAGTTTAATTAGATAATTTAATCAAATTGATTCAGTTCAATAATTAGTTGATTCAATTCAATACTTAATTGATTCAGTTCAATTGAGTCATTAACTCAGCTTAATTCTTCCCTCTAGTTTAAATGGCCTAATCAATTGGCCAATCCAATTAATAATCAATTTGATTTATTTCATTTAATCGATTACAGTTAATCAATATTATTCAATGTAGTTAATCTATTGTAGTTAACTAATTATTAAATTCAACTCAACAAATAAATTCGATTTGATTTTTAGTGGTTGTTCCGTTTACTGTATTCCATTAATTCTGTTTCAGTAATCCAATTGTTCAGTTCACAAGATTCAATTCCTTTTAATCTACTTAATGGGCTGAGTTATTTGATTCATTGTAATGAATTAGTTCAGTTTAATTTATTAATTTACTTCAAAACAATAATAGCTTCAATTAGGTTTAGGTTAATCGTGGACTCATTTCAGATTAATCATGTGGGCAGTTTATTTAGTTGAGTATCTCAAGTTTGATTCAACTTCTAATATATTTAATTTGGTTTCAGGTCAAAGCATTAATTCAGCTCAGTATGAATATCCTGTTTATTTTAATTCAGGTGATTCAATGTAGTTACTTTTAAGTTAAGTTGAATTTACTTAATGTGATTAAGGATTGAGTTCATGAAGAACCATTATCTAACTTTAACTTAATTTGACCTCAATTCAACCCATGCACCGGGTTTTAGTTATCTGGTTCATGACAACAGGTTAATTTAGGTTAATGATTATCTTCAATATGTTCTAGGAATCAATAGATGGTTATTAGGTTTGGTAGTATTTTCCTTTATCAACCTCGATAGTGGTTACCAATTGCTATTTAATTATTTTAATTTCATAATTTTTGAACTAAACTAAAATGTTACCAATATTATGAGTAGTGATAATTGCTTACTATTTACTACCCACTATTTGGTTTCAAACAAGTGAAATTTTGTTTTAAAATGATACTTAACTTTAGGACATGTAAGGTACAATTTCGATTTGTCCAATAAGGTTGGTTTACCAAGAGTTAGTGACCAAAGTCCATCCAGGAGAACTTACGAATTGAAGAATCCCCGCACGGGTGCCATTCTGCCGCAACTGGGACTATAGAGAATTGGTTTTGTTGTGGAAATTTTATTCATTTATTTATTACAATCAAAATAAAAATTAACTATCTCATAATAGATATAACACCATTCACCACCGGATGAAAATCGGGATCACTATAGTTTTCTTTAGGCTAAGATGGTCAGGATGAACACTGTTCACCAAGTTGTTCACTGGATAGTCAAGTTGCTGATCCTTAAGGTCACAGATTATGATTTAGTGATGAACTGAGAATAGATGGGTCCTAGATGGAGAGTTAGTAGATGGATGATCTGTGTCCTTATAGTTACACGACCACAATTTTGATACAGTTGTATATTGATGTAGCGTTGTGAATACGGTTAAACTAGTCACTTGTAAATATGTAAATACAATAGTTGTTTTACCCACCGTTAATAATTTCACTAGTCACAAAACACCTTTGAATAACTTCATTTTAGAGTACATATAGTCAATTAGAATTTACTAATATGGTGAAAATGTAAGAGGTGAAATTCACAACATCAAATAGTATTTTACTTATATCGATTACTGGTTGACCAGGGCTTCCGCGGGTGGCTAGATACGCGCTCAAACAAAGAAATGGTCGGCCATTTTATGCTGGATGAGGGAGAAAATCTTCTCCCGTTTAAAATGGCCGACCTCCAAATTTCAACCAATTATGGCCTTTCCCTACCTACTTGAGGTAGGGAAAGGTAGCACCAAACCAACCTGGTTAAAACCAGTTTTTTGTTACACTATTAATTAAATTATAGTCGAGTTTAAAGACTAATATCGATAACACAGGTAACATCGAGACTTACTCTTTTTCCCTCATTGCTTGAGTGAATGTAGCTACATAACCAATGGCAAAACCTGTGCCAAAAAACATTTGGCAAATAACAACCAAAGTAACAGAGCTGATTGTTTGAATCAAGTGGAAAAAAGTTAATTTCGTGAAAAAAAATGATTTCATTTCAATTAAAGTCAAAGTATTCAAAGTCAATGAAATTGAAAATACTTACGGTTTGATTGGAATCGGGTACATTGGTCCAATGAAAAGGTAAGCAATGATAACAAAGACGAGTCCAATAATATTTATAATAGTTGCATCTTTAATTTTGGGCAAAATTAAACCAACAAGCCAAGTTGAAACTCCGTAGAAAAGGCCATATATCAGGAAAATAGCACCAACAGTTGATGATCGCAAATCAGCAAACTATAAAATTAAATTAGCAACCATTTTCAATGAAATCATATCTTGACTTATATACTTAAATAGTTATAATAGCTCAATATCAGATGTTAATCTAAATGAAAGTAACTTACACTTCTTATGTGTGGCTCTAGAGATACTTGCATGAATCCAGCCACCAAACAGAAGATGAATGAGCCAATTAAATTGACGGTGATCCTGAAATCGGACAGAATGCGAAGAATGCCAGCTTTGTTCTCAGTTTTGATGGAACCTAAAATTGATTAAAGATCACTTGATAGAGCATTTGCTAAATTCAAGATCAAATGGATATTGTTGATAACCTTTCATTTCAGGGCAAATGAATAATATCAATGGGAAAGACAAGGCCAATAATCCTCCGATAACATAAAAAGGAGGTCCAAAACCTCCAAACTATAAGTTGACCAAAGAAGCAAAAGAAACAAATCATTTACTAAACTCGTTATTTCAATTAACTGTTAATGTTACACCACTAATCACCCACCTCATACAAGAAGCCACCAGCAAGAGGTCCAACAATCATTCCAACTGAAAAACACATCTCCAAAAGTCCCTGAGCAGCACGAATAAAAAATTATGAAAACTTTTATCTATGTCTATGTTTAGACCCTACAATAATGCCTAACATTTAAAATCTTAATGTTGTTAAAAAAATTAGTTTCCAATTAGACACTCACAAATGCTTGAGATATGTGATCAGGAAAAAAGATTGGTACAGCGGCAAAGATACAGACATACAAATTAGCCATCCCAATGGACCCAAAAAGTCGAACCAAGCCACACGAAACGGCAAACGGTGTTCCATAAGGAGCCCAGACTAACGCTCTAGATATTAAAGTGGTCATTGATACTCAACTCATGTGGTAAATGGACCAAGTTTCTAGTTACCCAAAGCAAGTGACTCCAATGGTACCCATAACTGATCCAACCAACATGATTAACCTTATTCCTAGTTTTGGAAGCTATTAAAGTGTAAATAAATATTCAATTGTTGTATTTCCATTACTTACCAAAATTCCAATAATCGGTGCTAAAACAAAAGTCACAATTTCTTGAATTGATATTAAAAATCCATAAACGGATGGCGTTAGTCCTTTTGATTCAGCCTGTAAAAAACTCAGGCATTTTAAGCAAATCAATCTCTGTTGTACTACAGGTTGTATAAAAGGTGGTTTTAGGACAAAGATTACCTCTTTAGGGAAGAAAGGAGCTAAAGATGAAAACGCAGTTCCAATAATCATATTCACATAGGCAAATGTGGCCATAATCGCATAATCTTTTTTGTCTAATTTGGCACTTTTTTCAGTAATTAGTTGACTGTCAATAAAACTGTTGTAAACTGTTTTTTGAAGTATATCATGTTCAAGTATCTCTAGATTCTCAGCACTGGTCATGTTGATTGAATGAACAGTAAAAAATAAAAAACAAAGACATTAAAAAAGCTCTTTTATATTACAATGAAGGGAAACATTCGTGAAGGCGATTGAATGAAGGAAACAATGTCTGATCAAGTAATCAAATGTAAATGGTCTTTTGAAGTTCAAACGTTCTTGTTTGTATAGCAGATTTTCAAACAATTGTGGGGAATGATTTGAAATTTATTCTGATTTTTTCAAATTAATCATCTCATAATGATAACTTTAAGTGGTTCAATTATGAAAGTTCTGTGATCAGTCGATATCAGCAACTTCCAGTGCTTCAAGTGGTTTGACTATGAATAATTGCCACCGTGAAGTTTATCCATTCCTTTTGGTCATTTCATTAGCTTTGATTGGACTTAAAATTGGAATAAAATTTGCAAGTCCTTTTAACCAGGTATATTTAACTTCCTAGTTAAATTTAGGACGTGCAAATTTTATTCAAATTTATTTGAAACTTATTGAAAAGCTCGTGTATGATTATTTGATCAGACATTGTTTCTTGTTATCAACTTAAATTTTATTGGAAATCCATTAAATTTTTCTAAATAATATTGAAAGAACAATAATAATTTAATCTACAATGGAATTGGAATGAATATCATTATTCTATCTGATTACATCGAAAATGATTTTTAATTTAGCTTTAAATTTTACAAATTTACTGTTAAATTTGCGTGTTTTTAGATCACTGATGGTCAACTGTTGGTGCTATTCTCTTAGTATATGGAGTTTCAACTTGGCTTGTTGGTGTAATATTGCCCAAGATCAAAGGTGCAACTGTTGTAAGTAGTGGTTGCAATAATACTACTAATATTTTGTAATATAAGGGTCTATCGTTCGAATTAGCAAATCGCCTTCCAAATATTCGCCTACCTGATTGATACCCAGCTCAGTTGGATAAAGCCTAGCAAATTGGAAGGTAGACGGAGCCTTAAAAGCTGTCGCGGCTGGCCGGTCAACATGAGCATATGAATTAACCAAGGATTTACTGCAAGTTGATAAAAAGATAATGCACTTCTAATAATTCATTTTTGATAGGTAAAAAAGCGTCTTTAATATCTCTTATGGTCAATTTACAACTCAGGTCAGATCAAGTTAAGTATTAATTGGAAGGATTCTTTGTTTTCAATCCGAATTTTCGAGGTAAGGTTGGACAGTGGTTAATGTATATTTATTTGTCTTCACATTCATTTGTATTTGTTATTGCAGAAGCCGTTTGTGAGTGGTTGGACGTTGACGGGAACCATAACCATGGATATTAAGGTTGACAGTTTCCAAATTGGGTTACCTTCATTTTAACTTCTCTCCAAGGTGTATTGTCAACTATCACCTCTTTGCATATCGTAGTTGGCTATTGAAAGAAAGAGATGTGATGGTTAATTGTGGTTTCATTCCCGATGAGAAATGGTTTATTACATACCTTTTTAGCATCAAGTGTACATTTATCAAGTGGTGTTGATGAACCTTTAAGACAAACTGTGGTTCCAACTTCAAATGTTAGATTGATATATTCATTCAATAGAATGGCAGATTTCTTGATTTTCAAAGGTTTAACCAGATATTTGGTAGCCGAGAGTCGATTGATTTCCGACACAACAAAGTTGACATCTTTCACGACCATTGGATCAGTAGTCGGTATTGGTTTGTAGGCATCTTTCGCTTTCAAAGGATGGATTACAAATGAATCACTTGTTGCGATGAAAAGACCAATTGTGATCAAAACGATACAATTCAAATAGATAGTTGTCATATTGTGATGTTTTTATAATGAGACTACTAAATTAATTAGTTTGAGTGAACAATTATTCAAAGAAGATGAACTGAAAATGAATTGACAGTAGAATTAATTGTTCCGGCGTTTTATATAGTAATTATCTCATTTTTATCACAACAAGAGTTAGATAATTCATGACATTATATTGTAATAATGTGTACCTGAAGGCTTTCTCAACATATCAATCATTTGTATCAGGTGATTGTTTCAATTCAATCATTTGATTTTCTTTTTTCAAAAGTCAATGTCAGAGCACGTTTATCAATCGCAATCAAGCAATATTTTTGACTTAACTCCCACAATGTTATAAAACTTTGATATCAGCCTTTGTTAATGCCAATTGTAATCTGTTTCAGTTATTGAAGTAATTCAGAATCGATAAAGGGAAATCTGAAATCCAATTTAAATAAAGATAACATTTAATATACATTTTCAATTGGAAAAAATACGTGCGAAAAAGCTGTACTACAGTTAATAACAAATAATTACGTATCATTATACAATTTTATCATTCTTTATTCATATCTTGATTTTTGATATTTAATAATCAAAATGCAATTTCCAAGAATTGTTGGGTGAAATTATTTCTGTTGATGATTGAAAACTTTCGAAGTGTTTAGAGATTAACTTTGCAACAATCGGAACTCACACGAGGAATCATTTTTCAGCATAACTTGAATCACTCGATTCTTAAGACAATGAGAGTGATTAAAACAAACTAGAAACTTTAGATAGATTTTTTACGATCTCGAGTATCATGACGACCAGAGTTGGAGACTGAATTTTGTGTGAACAGACTTTGTTAGCTGGTTTTGAATGCGGTTAAAATGATGACTACAGGGACTGTAGGGAAAAGGGATTGAATACAGGAAATAATGTCCGATCAAATGATCTCATAAAACAAAATATTTTGAATACTTAATGGTCTAATCCTTGCATAATAGCTTAGAGCTGAACAATTTGAATTTGCTCTAATACTCCTCAATTAATTAACACTTGACATGTTTTTCATTCCGAAATTCATTTACTTCTTTGTTTAATCTACTTGTAGTTTGGGCTAGAACTGACAAGATGTAAAATCTTTAGCTTTAAAGTTATCATCTATTAGAGACTCTTAATCGATCGAGTCTAAAGTGGATTAGTCTGCATTTGGATTTCGATGATTAATAACTTGACAATCTAACAAAAATAGTCTTCGGTTTGAACACGGTTTTGTGTGAAATGTTTAAGGCATCAAATGATGAATTATGATTTTATCGTCTTTTGTGAAAAATAATTTTCCCAAGGGTTAAGAGAAGCTGTGAAATAAATACAGAAGATATTAGACTGAATTATTATATGAATATATATGAATTATTAGACTGAAGATATTGTCTTATTGATTAAACTCATTTGGAAGGACAGCTTACGTTTGAGTTGATATTCCTACGAGGAAATGGCTCAAGAGATACATGCATGAATCCAGACACCAAACAGAAGATAAATGAACCAATTAAATTGACGTTGATCCTGAAATCGAATAGAATGAGAAGAATGCCAGCTTTGTTCTCAGTTTCGTTGGAACCTGAAATTGGCCAAAGATAACTTAATGAAACATTAAAAAGTGCTAGATGAAAATAGATATTGCTGCTAATTACCTTTCATTTCAGGGCAAATTAATAATATAAATGGGAAAGACAAGACCAATAATCCTCAATAACATATTAAGGATAACATAATAAAAAGGAGGTCCAAAGCCTCCAAACTAAAAATTTGACCAAAAGTACAAAAAACTCATTTACTAAACACAGTTAATTGTTAATGTTTATTCCAACAACATGAATAACCTTATTCATAGTTTTGGAAGCTTTAAAGGTACAATTAAATATTATATTTCACATTTCGATTGTTGAATTTCTATTACTTGCCAAAAATCCATAGTTCATGGTTTGTTAACTAATTGACCTGACTGACCTGTCTGCCTTTGGACAAAGCTATTTATCTCTCAAGCATCTGTTATACTAAATTTATTCAATTTCTTAGTTGTTTTCAGGAAAAGATTACCTCTTTTAGGAAAGAAAGGAGCCAAACATGAATTTGCACGTCTGAGAATGAAATTTATGTACGCAAAAGTGGCTATAATAGCACAATCGTTTTTGTCCAATTTGGCACTTTTTTCAGTTATTATTAGTAGTGAATTAGAAGGGAAGAGTCAAAGGGGCGGGAAAAGAAAAAAGCAATGAAACAAAGTTTATCAAAAGTTTCTTGAAGTTTTTATTTTCGAATTAAATGAAACTTCTACATTTTTTGCTTTCCAGCCCAATGGTTGGGGTTGATCGAATAGTCTTCGAACTCCCTCTTTCCCTGTTTGTCTCTTTTTAGGAAAGAACAAATTGACAATATTTTCGCAAAAGCAGAGGAAGCGAGAGGAAGTTCGAGAGGAACATGGAATTAAATCCTCGTATAACGGTGTAGGTGAATATGATGGTGACGATGGTGTAGGAAGTTGAGGTGGAGGGCAAATGGTGATATTATTTCCATTGATGGTTAGTTGAATTTTGCAGTTACGCAACACATGTCGCTGCAATTACTGTCGTGAACAAAACCTCGTTATCACTCATGATAAATCAAATAAATTATATATTATATATTATACAGATTATATTATGAAATGATAGGGAAAAACAGAATGAAAAATCAGGCATAAAATTTAGGAAAATGTCACAAAAGATATACTCCCCACTCATACGATCGATCATCGCGATGATACAATGAATTGCCAGCGATACAGTCAGCAACTGGCATTTTAGGACCTGATGATGATGATGCTGCTGAAGTCACTTCACTTTTCTGAACATATCACTATTTGTAAAGGAGTTTTGTAAAGCCATCCACAAAAAGCATATACAACAATTCGACCCCACGTGGTATAGAAAAATTCATGGGCTGCAAGTTCATAGATCTTTTCAAAAGCAATTGGCTACTGATCCATTTCACAATAGAAGGTTTGAATACGATAGAATTCGCATTTCCTTCTATCTTCTTTACTCAAATGACTGTCAAAGTCAGCATGAGCACACAATTCTGGTAGGTCACTCATAGTCAAAGATAAAAAAAAGTTAACTTTGAAAAATTGATATATGAAAAAGATAGAAGTTAGTTTAACTTTCTTCTTTGAAGATTGGAGATATTATGATTTACTTATGTTGGATACTTCAAGTTTTATACAAAACTTAGACGTGGGGGACGCAGTAGTAGTTGTCAGAATTGAGAGGTGTGTAACTAAGAATGTTTATGGTCTAATCTAAGGCCACCACCCAATCTGCCACATCCGCCAGATCAACCAAATCAAACATCACTTTTTGTCCACCAAATTGTCTTAATAGACCTCGCCTTTTGACACAATAGTCAACCTTTACTACTTACGATGAAAAGCCAGGATCGTCGACATGTCAAGTGGGCAACCAATTGAAAATCAATAATAGGGCCGAGAGCACTATGACCTCTGCCTGTCCACCCTTTTTATTGCAATTCTGGGAATCAATTGCGATTAGTTCAAAATTCAGTGTGTTTTCTCTTGTAGCTCGCTTAGATGGTATCAGTCAAAATATTGAATTATGATTGTGTACCATTTATTCATCTGATATTAAAGTTTTTTTTCTTTATGACCAAGGGTTTCACTTTAATTTCGATCTTATTTCTACATTTGGTTGTTTTTCTTACAAGTTTTTTAGTTTAAATTTTGTTTTTTTTGCCGATATGACGAAATCAAACAAACACTGCGCCAAGGCACCAAGCACTTTATTCTGCCCGGTGGTCTGTCTATTGCCACACGAATCGAATCGTTTTTTCCTTCACCACCTCCGTCAACTCCATATAGTAGCCCAAACAAGAATCTTGAGTCCCTGAGGAACTGCTAGGATCCTCATCAGTGGTTGCTCCAAATGGTAGATAAGTTGCTGTGATGTACTTGGGACTGGGCAAGGGATGTCGTCCAGGACTATCGCTATAAGGTGCGATATGGTCTGTAATAACTATGAAATGATCGAGAAAACAACAATGAATTAGTGTAAAAAAAGATGTTTCATTGGAACAAATATTAACAATTATCTCATATTAGCGAGCTTTGTAATCAGCCTTTTTACCTGGAAATGATAATCTGTTTCAGTTATAAAAGCAATATCTGTAATTCAAAATTGATTCAAGGTCAATAAAAAAAGTCAAATCAATAAGCTAACAAATATTGAGTAACCAGGTTAGGTTCAAATGGATTGGATATTCAAATTATTTCTGCTGAAAATATTCACTCACCAGTAAAAATTTAGCAACAAACCTTTAAATTCGAGTTTTATGTCTTCACGATTCACCAATCAATTCATACTGCATTCCTAAAATTAGGAATAGCCATTACATACGTAAATACAATTGTAGCGAAAGTTGGTATAATATCTGGAGTCAACAGGTACAATCCCATGAATTTTATGCCACACGATTTCAAGTTTATCATGTCAATAAAATGTAAAGCCTATCGAAATAGTCAAACTTCATTGAATCAGAAAAGGAAAATTGAAATACTTTTTGGTGAAAAAATTGTTTAAAGCAAGTGATATAACGAGTTACCAGAACCAAATCAAGAGTCAGGCTTATTAATGAAGCTTTTTTGCCTCTGAAATCTTCACTCCTCTGTTTTTATTCGGTCACTTATGATACTAACCTCTGACTTGAAAAGATTGCTTCTTCCTACCAAAGTTGAAAAATAAATATAATCACGAGCTTGAGAGGGAAATGAATAAAAGCCAACCAAACACGGAACAAAGAATGCTATGAAAGTACCAAAATCAAGTAAAGCAAGAAAATAATTGACTCTAGTGATAACGTCTATATCCATGTAAAGATTATTGTAGATGATTAAAACTGCCATGGGAACTTGGACAGAACAGACTGTTGTTACAAATCGTCTGAAAGCAGCATCACATAAATGACCACATTGGACTAGATCGTGATGTTCATGGCGAAGTCGACAAAAACTTAAATCAGGAGCAGTGGCATCTCCAGCTATAGCAACAATTTCATTGTAAATATATTGATGACCAATCTTGATATAACCTCCTGAAATGAGGAAACCTCGAAGTATATTGGCAATAATTAGATTGGCATAAAGTTCAACTGATTTGTTGCCTAAAAAGTAGATTATGGATGCATTTAGAGTGGATAAATATTCAATTGTAGAGGAAGCAATAAGTATTGTGATAGAATTGATGAGAATACAAAATGAAACAATATTAGAGAATCTATTTGATTTTTTGATTGCAGTTACAATTTCAGGTTCACTTGAGAGTGGCAATTCGCTCCAAATCTCGTCAAATGATTTGATGAATTTAACAGAAGGAAATGCAAAATTTTCCAAAACTGCGTACAAAACCCAGACCTGAGAGATGGCATATAAGATGAAGGAAGAAATGGAGAGATTTGGTGAATTTGGATTTGAAATAATTTCCAGGATAAATGCTATTGTTCTAGCTGTGAATGCACCGATTCCCAAAAGTGAGAGAAACAAATGGAACCGACGATGTTTCCATATAAATCGATTGATGAAAAAACTGTCCACAATTGCACTGTATATTGATGTTGGCCTCTTCACTTGAGAGTCAGCATCTAATTCCCAACTTTGAACATCCACAGTTTTATTCATAATTTAATAATCATTCCTTCAAAACTAGTAATTGATTAGAAAAGCCAAGAACACGAATAAGCAGTAAGTCAAGGTTTAATCATGGATTCATTTATGGTCAATCAATTTATGCTTAACAGATACCAATCGATTAAGTAAATTCACAACTGTCCAATCAATAAACTTAATGAAAGTGTATTGACTTCGAATGGCTGTTACATCACAGTTACATCAGTGTAACGATCTAACTAATCAATCATTTAAACAAATTTTTGATATTACTTTTTTACAACAACGACACAATATTAGTCAGTAAGAGTGTTGATAGAAATATATATTTGTCTGTAAGAAAATAGAATTTAGTCAGGATAATTTTCATGGTTAATAATTATACATACATTGAATTGAATAAAAACTTTGCATTGTATCAAAAGATAAATTTATGACGTTTGCAAAGATTGTTTAATTATTTTTTAGCAAATGGCAAGGTTTACTCTTCTGAACGTTTTAAGACATCGCCTTGTGGTTTAGTCGGATAGGCAGATTCAACTAATTTTTTCAATTCAGGGTCTTCAAACTTTTTACGCACAGGCTCAAGAAGGCGATTAACATAGACAGCGACCATTGATTTAAGATCATCAGGTGATAATTTCTGGTAAGAAAGACAATTCAAATGATAATTAGTTTTTTTCAACAACAAAATGGAAAATAGTTGGCTTAGATAATTACCAAATCTTTGAAATCAGCTTCCAGTTTTGGGTAATTTTCATAGTTAAAGGTTTTATTCTTGGTTTCTTCAACAGTTAATTTAATTTCGTGAAATATTGGGAAGATTGCATGTTTGACGAATGCTAACAGGCCGTTGTCTTCAATTTTTCCAGCCTCGCAAGTAGCATTTTCAAGTTTACTCTTGACCACTTCAGGTGGATCTAATAAATCTAATTTTGAATCAGCCTCGGAAGAGCTCATTTTACCACCAGCCAAGCCAGGAACTTTAAAAAAGATGTAATTTTTATGTATTAATAACAAGAAATTTTTAATCTAATCGAGACAATTTAGCTAAACTTACTCATAGGATTCATGAGATGAACTCTTTTAACGTATCCTAAAGAAGGTAAATATTTCTCAGCTAATGTGAATATTTTCCTTTGGTCTACTCCACCAAATTGAGCATCAACATTTAAAAACTCTTCATCAAGTGCCTAGTACAGAAAAAAAACAAAAATTAAAAAATGATCAGATAAAAAGAGCGACAATTTCGCAATTACCTGAAGTCCAGGGTAAAGTAAACTACTTAATAGTGGATGTTCAACTTGTTTAACTACTTCAGCTCCAGCTTTTTTAGCATCATGAATAGTTTCGACAGCAGCTAACCTCAGAATATCTTGAGTAAATTTTTTGTCAAACTGATAATCACTTCCTTTACGAAAAACTAGTTTGTCAATGGGAACACCCAGAGATTCAAGAGCAGCTTTTAAAACTTTCTCATAATATTGGGTTCGCAATTCTAATAGCTCGAAAGGAGCCTTCATATTGTCGAGGTATGCATGTAAATCAGCAAATAGTATGGTTACATGACAACCTGCTTTCAAGAAATCAGCAATCTTGGCCATTGGAACGTAATAAGCTACATGAGGTTTACCAGTTGTTGCTGTTCCCCAGTAAAGATTTAAATCTCTTTGGCTAAGTACCTCTTTGAGTCTTTCATCTCCAAGAATTTCCTCCAGATTTCTAGTGATCAAGTTGTATTTCTCTTCCTGTTTTTTCAGCTCGTCAGCATTTGGTTTTACCTCTTCAGAGGCTTCTGGCTTATTCTTTGATTTTTCCTCTATAAGTAAAATTAATAGAAAAATTATTTCTATGAAAACCAAGCACAAATTGTCAACTTACTTTTAACTTTCTTGAATTTGACAGGAGCAGGATAGGACAAGTCAATCAATTTTTTCCCTTCATCATCTTCAAATTTACTTCTTATGGGATCAAGAAGTTTATTTATGTAAACTTCAACTGACTTTTTAAGATCATCAGGATGTAATTGCTATAAGAGTAATAAAAAAGGCAATAAAATATGATTATTCATAAGACTAATTACAGTGGCAAATTATTGCTATTGAGTTATCCTGTTTGATACAGTTTGTTGTAAGTTTAATCAAAGCTTTTGTTGATTTTACCTCACTCTTGAAATCTTCTTCGATTTTAGTAAAATCGGTATAATCAATTGGTCCACCGTGAGCTTCTTTTCTCATAAGGCGAAATTCATTGAAAAATGGAAGAATGATATGTTTAACAAACGATAAAACGCCATTATCTTCAACATTTCCAGGCTGACAAAAGGTTTTCTTTAACTTTCGTTTCACATTTTCGGGTGGATCTAGAAGAGTAATCCTGACATCATCCTCAACTGGATTAGGAGTTAAATTAGACAGCCATTTAACTGAAATTAGAAAGAAATAGAACAAAGTTGTTAAAAAATTTAAATCAACAGTTATGGATTAAAGTGCAAAATGATTACTTTGAGGTTGAATTAGATGTATTCGCTTAGAATATCCGATCTGTGGTAAATATTTTTCGGCAAGATTAAAAATTTCTCTTTGGTTCACATCTCCGAATTGAGCATCTATCTTTTGGTGTTCTTCATCAAGAATCTGTAGACGTGGAATGATAAGAGTTAACATTAGAAATGGAATAAAAAGAAAAGTAGTTCATCATCATCATTAAATGTAGACAAATTGATAAAAGGAACAATAAAGGGAAAAGTATTGAAGAAGAAATTTAGAACGAACCTGCAATACAGGGTATAATAAGCCGCTGAGTAGCGGATGGTCAACTCGTTTGACAACTTCCAATCCGGCTTTACATGCGTCTGTTTCGGTAACAATCGATGCTAATCGAAAAATATCGCGAGAATAATCCTTATCGTATTGAAAATCACTACCTTTGGAAAAGGTTACATTATCCAATGGAATACCAAGAGATTCAAAGGCTCCAATGAATACATTTTTATATAGTGAGCTTCTTGATTCAAGTAAATCTAGAGGGGATTTAACATTATCCAGATAACCCAAAAGATCAGCAAATAAAATATTCACATGACAGCCGGCTTTAATGAAATCGGAAACTTTAAGGATCGAGTATATGTAGGACAAATCAGGTTTACCAGTTATCGGTATTTCCCAGCAAATTTTCAGATTTCTTTGGTCTAAAATAGATTTCAAGTTATCAGCATCGCTAATTAACTAGAATGTGAAAAGAAAGAAACCAGATGAAGCAAAATGAGACACAGAATGAAGCAACATGTAAACAAACACTGGAATCAAACCGAATAAAAGCACAGATTGTTAGACATTGTTTACAAACTCAACAGATATCTAGAGAAAACTAGAACGTATACAGAACTAGAGTCTAATAAAGATAAAGGTTGCTTGGACTGATTAATTAATAGAAAAAAGCAGCAATGATAAATGTAACTGTTCACTTGAAATAGACCAAATCATCTCGTTCTTGTCAGTCTGATAAATTGGTCGATAACTACCTACATTTTAGTGGTTTAAAATCAAAAATTGAAATAAAAATATACATTACCTCAAGATTTTTTGAAATGAGAGATAATTTATCCTCTAAATTGTTGACACAAGAATCAGTCATTGTTTTGAGAAAAAAAGAAGAATCAGTTACAACAGCAAAACGAAAACAAGTTTGAACAGATTTATTTTAAATAAATAACTAGCAAGTAAAAACGTAGCACAACAATTAAAACAATTTCGAGATCAATTAATGAAATTTAAATGACTCTTACGAGAAGCAATAAACGGTAAATCCAGGTTTTCAAATTACTCTCAAGTAAACAATATTTAAAGTAAAAAAATGATCCACGTTTTCAGCCGAATGTTCAGAGTTCATTACCTAACGTTAGATGGAGTTGCAGTTAAAGCTGAAATACAGTAATCTTACTTACCGTTAGATGGCAGGTTCCGATGGTCTTCATTTTTGAAGTAAAAAAAGTTGTGATTAGTTCATGACTTGTCTGTCTGTTAGTTAACAAAGTTAATTGTTGATTCTGTGCTTTTTTAAAACGAATAAAAAAGTTGATGTGAATTGACAAATTACTATTTTTCCGAGTATTATTTTAATGTTGATTTAAGTTCCACTTGAAAGGATTCATTGATTAAAGAAACGGAAAAGACTGAAATTAGAAAATATTTCTTTACCTTCATCTCATCCCGTGTTATCCATCATTTTTTGCCTTCTCAGGACTCAACATCATTGGTAACATCATCAATTTGCAACTTTAAATCATGGTTATCTCTTGTGTTAAATACATTGTATTAATTTACAATTTCATATTTTGGGTAAGTTTTGCTTTTATTTATAACTTGCTTTTTGGGATAATTTTTAGGTACAAGATTCAGTTTCTTATTTACAATTTTTGTCTATGTTGATGGTCATGATATTGTTGATGTTTGATTATAACCAGAGTGTTGAGTGGTTGTTGGTCAAGTCGTTTTCATCTTTTCTATTCTTGAATACTGTTGATGGAACATGATGTTTTGAGTGTGTTTTTAGCTTTTTTATGAGTCACAGTTTACAGGATTTTATGTTAAAGGAGTGGACTTTGAAATGACCTAATATGGACCTGAAAGGTCATTTAGATTCCAAAGAGTAATTTACATTTTTTTACAAATAGTGATTAAAACTATATCGTTTATAAATAAAGAAATTTTAATCTTGATAAATTTTTGTAAGTAATCTAACCTTTAAACCACTTACAATTTTTTTTCGCATTTTTCCATTGGTAATGTTGATGCAAGTTTTTTTCAAATCTGCTCTCATTTTGTTTCTTATTAGTCGCTTTTTGATTAATCTGTAACGCTCCAAATTGATAAACCCAAATTTTCTTGTACTTTATTGATGACATCTTTAAATTATCATTTTTAATCATTTGGCTAGCTGAAAGTGTATCAATTTTCTGATAATTTGCTAGCTTTTTCTTTGAAATCATTTTCTAACCTGTCCATAGCAATGGTCGTCGTTGGATTAGTTTTATCAGAAAGCTTCGAATTATAATTGCTATTGTTAATCGCGTCAAGATTATCGCTAATTTCTTTCCAAAGATAAGTACCATTTTCTTGATTAACCCTGAGATCATTTTTTTGATCAACAAATGAATCGTATTTTTCAACTTTATCAGCCAACTGTGATCCATTTTCAACTGATATGGACTCTGAAAAGGAGTTGATTGGAAACGTTGAAAAGCTTGATGTTGATGAGGATGAGGATGATTCAATAGATAATGGATATGAATAGAAGGTTGTTGTTGAATTGGAGAGTGTATCATTTCTTGAATAATTGCTGAAAGGTTTTGATGTTGGTAATGATGATAGTTTAATGGAATCTTTGACTCCATTAGAAGAGGATGGATCAACAGAGTCCGGTCTAAACAGTTTAGACCGGTCATTGACACGAAAGTTGGACCTGGTTGAAAAGGTGGTCTCTGTTGATGGCGCTTCTGATAACATTGATAAAGGTGATGGTGAAAGGCCATTGGCACGAAAGTTATGTCTTCCTGGAGGTAATGATGAGGTTTCCATCAAAGAGATCGCTTTTGGTTGAGATGCTGATGGTGTCGGTGTCGGTTCTCGAATCACCTTATTCGAAGCTTTGAATGCATCTTTCACATTTTCATTCAACTTTTGTCTGGATTCAGATTGTTGTTGAACATAAATTGGTTTATCCATCATCATTGGCAAATTTGAATCTTGATAATCCATTCTTGATTCCACTCTAGCTGCATTAATTGACTCTGATGGTGTTGACGGGGTTGTCGGAGGCTGCGGTGACGATGTTAATGGTTGACTTGGCCTATCATTTCCACCAGTAAACAGTTTATACTCCATTGGTGCTTTATGCACCGGCGGTGGTTTACCCAAAACTGGTTTCTCAATAATCACATCTTCGGTCATTTCATTATTAGTTGACATTGTTTCACCTTGACTTGAGCCTTTTGGATAATTTGGTGATTCAGTCAAGTAATCAAGATCTCTTTGGGACTCAGAATTTCTGAATATTTCATATTTAGACTTATCTATTTGATCAGTTGATGAACCATGTTGTATCTTACTCTGCGATTGGCCCATTTTCTGACCAAACTGGTTAATGTAACCATAACTTGAGTCGGTTGACTCGACTGGTCTAACAGGGACAAATCGCACAACAGCCGGGCCTTGATTATTTTGAGATGGTAATAAATGTCCAGGGATTGACTGTTGACCATAGTTACCTGATAAACCTTGAGTGTAAGCAAGTGTTCGGTCGGTGTAACCAGGTTGTACAATGGGAACAACTGGACTTGGATGGGGTGCAAGTACAATTGGATGTCCTGCAATGGGCAATGAAGGTAAAGGAGCGCCTGAAGATTGATACCGTTGAATGGCTGATAAGTGTTGACCTTGTTTAACTGGTACAGCATATCGTACACCATTGTAAGGCTCATGAGGTAGTATCATTGAAGATCCAAGTGTATGGCCACGAAGTCGACGAGGTCGAGCTTGATCTTTACGTTTCCTAGCCAAGTATTGCTTCTGCCTTCCATATCGAGTAAATTGTTGACCCAAAGGATCTGGTAATCCATCACCATCCAAGTCAACCTCGCCTCCACCTAAAACTCCATCCATTGTAGGATCTTCTTGAACAGGTCGACCATTTGGATCATCAGGATCTACGGGTTCCAATGGAGGCTCTTCGCCATCAACAGGTGCTGCATCATCTTCAGGAGGTGCTTCAGGTTCACTTGGGTCACTTGGTGCAGCTTTAATCTTTGCCTCTTTGGTTCGCTTTTTGACTCCATAACTGGTTGATTGAGTTTGATTGTGTCTTGGTGAAGCATTTGAGTTGTTAATGTTAACTTGAACATTACACTTCGGACAATCCTCACTGATCAAGAAACGGATTAAAAAGTAAAATATATGTTTAAATTAAAGTGTCCAAAGAGTTAAATATTTTTAAATAAGAAAAGAAAGAAAAGGTCTTACTTTGTGAAGGTGTTATTTATACTGTGTTAGGTTTAGTATTACTTTAGTTTAGTAAAACAAGTAAAAATGCCAATTCAATTGAAGTTGGAAACTCAATGAAGCATCTTATCAAACTTACATTTTGCCTCCAGGTGCTGGTGTTGTAGTCACATTTTTCATGTAATATTTCAACATTTCAGCCATTTGGTTCATCATCGCAGTATACTGAGCATTGGTCATGTCACCATAACCAAAATCAGCAGCTACTTTACGTTTAGCATCATCAATCGGATCCCATGGATTAGTCTGTTTGAATTGATCCCAAGGATTTCCACCCTTCTTATTGCCCTGGTCCCAAGGGTTGGCCGCTTTCAACTTGTCCCATGGATTAGCCGCTTTCAATTTATCCCAAAAACTGCCACCACCTTTATCACCACCCTGATCCCAAGGGTTACCAGTACCTTTAGCCGAGTCCCAAGGGTTACTCGGTTTGGCTTCCCATGGGTTGCTTGGCTTCGTGGCCCACGGGTCACTTGGCTTTGCTGCCCATGGATCACTTGGCTTACTATCCCAAGGGTTGGACGGTTTAGTTGCCCACGGATCGGGTGCTGGTGTTGTCGTTGTCCATGGATCACTTGGTGGTGAAGGCCAAGGATCTTTAACCGGTGACGGCCAAGGATCCTTTACTGGTGCTGGTGTTGTTGTTGGCCATGGATCTTTGACTGGTTGTGCTGGCCATGGGTTACCTGTTGGTGGTGGTGGCCAGTTGCTTGATACACCCCATGGATGCGATGGTTTACCTTCCATGTTTTTCATCATTGTCATCATCATCATCATCATTAACATTAGATCTCCTTTGCCACCTTGCTTCTCGTAAACTGGTGGTTGTTGTTGATTCCTCATGCTGTTGATAAAGTTTAACCCATTATTACGCCATAATGATAGATATGTATTTACAAGGGGCCCAAGAAATGCCATTGAAGTTTAAATATACAATTAAAGTAAACCATAACACAATTAGAAACAGATTTAGAAACGTTAAACTGCAATTGCAAATCCAAACAGTCAACTGTTGATCTTTCAACACTCTTCACCATCAAACTTTTCAATTGAGATCATCTTCAGTCTTTCATCTGATCAAACCTTTTGTTTCAATTTCAAACTCAATCTTCTTACTCTTTGCCACCATTCTCATTATTTTAGCCCTAATTCAATGATTAAGTTGACACTTTTTTTTGTTCAAAGCTCTACTTTTAAATCAAATTTTTAATTTATCTTTGATTAGAATCACTTTTTGTCCACCTTTCCACCACTTTGATTACTTTTTTCACCATCCATTTTCAGCTTTCATTGTTTTTACCACAAATTTTATTCTAAAATTATAATTTTAATTGATTTTCCCTTTAAAGTTCTGATCAGATTTTTTCCAAATCAATCCATTCTTCCTATTTAACTCATTAGAAGCCATTAATTTTGTTTTAATCATTAAAACCAGAAACTAATAATTTCAGAAACAATTAAAATCTAAATTGATTCAACTTCTGTTTCATCAAATTTCAGTAAATGAATTAAACATGCATCTAACTTGAAATACTTTGAAACCATGGAATTTTTTAGCAAGTTCAAGTTTCTTAGAATCAACTAAATAATTCAGATTGCAATTTACTTCGATCAATGGCCACAAATAGATTTTCGATTTTTTGAAAATCTTCTCAATTTGCATGAAACTCTGAATAAAATTCTTAGCGATTTTGCAATATTTTCCAATCAATTGAACGATTTCCTAATTGCATTAACTTAGCGATTGGCATTAAGTTTGCTTGGCTCGTAATCAACTTAACCTTTATAATCTGAATGGTTTGACCTTTTGCCAAGTCGATGATAAAAAAATGAAATTTCCTTGTTTCTATTGCATAAAGCCTGACGATTTGTATTAACTAAATTTGATATTTAAAACTCTTTCAATTACTTATTGAATAATGATTATAACAACAAAATGCTGTAAACATAATCCCAAAATAGCATTCATTTGAACCCAATTATACAATCCAATATAACAAACACTGAACCTAATTTTGAATCTTTTGTATTTTACCCTGCTAATTGCCTTTAAATTGGTAGTCTTGATTAGTTTACACCAATAAAAACCATGAAATCTTCCAGATGATGTTATTTTAACACTAATTAATGTTCACAACTTGTAACATAATTCAGGTTAAAATCATCATTTCCTAAAAACTTGAAAAAATTTCGCAAAGTAAAGACTAATTTACCTCATCAATCCAACTATCATTTGCACATTAACTTGATCGACTGTTTAATCAATCAATTGGCATGATTTGAGTTGAAACAATTCTCGACCTTTCAATGTTACTCAACCATCTGTTGAAAGGGAAACTCATAAAGATGTTTCTACAGTTGATCACAAAACAAATTGTCGTAATAATCAACTCTGTTACTTACGGTACTGGAATCGGTAAAAGAAGAGTAAAACTTCGACTTTTACGCAAAGCTAAGGCCAAAGGTAAAAGCATCATAAGTCCCGTCATTGGATTCACTGGAAACTGCCTTGGAAGCAGTAAATCACGCTTTTGTCTTGATTGTTTAGTGCTCGAACCCGCCATTAAATACAATAAGTTAATATAAATTAAAAGCATTTTGAAAACAGTAGACAAATTCATGGTGAACTCAACAGAATTATTAACAGATGAAAAAAAATTAACTATCACTTTTAAAATAAATATTGATATTTTGGCAGCAAACTTGAACTTGAAGCTGAATTATCAACTTAATTTCCATGTCAATAGAATCACAAATATCTCCATTGTAAACATGATGACTTGCCTTGAAACAATCAGCTAAACACTTATCAACTTCCATTAATAATCACTTGTTAATTGATCATCATTCAACTTGTGAATTGATCACACAATGATCAAAGTGATCAATTGTAGGCAACGATGAAAATGATGATTTTAAATGTTTACTTAAAACGATGATATTGGCTGATTAGATGATGATCAAGGTAAATCTTATCTGAATCAAGGAAAGTTTAAATCTGTCACTTTCACAGTTTGGCATCAATTTGGGTTCATCTTTCTAACCCAATGTTTGGTTCCATTGACCGAACACAATAAAGGTCCATATTAGAGGTAAAATGGAGAGAAAGTATCAACTTGATTCATCAATCAATCAAAATCTCTTTTTTTACCTGTAAAACCGTTTAAAAGTTAAATAACCTATTGATAAGATTCCTTAAGAGTAGAGGCCAAATATAAACCCGTTCTCGTTATCCATTGTTTTCAAGTTAACCAACAAATTTAAAAGCTTTTCCTGATCTTTTCATCTATTTTCACTCCTTCAACTCATTATCACTCAACTAGCTCAGTAACATCATCAATTTAATCAACTGAATCAACCAAATGTTCAAAAGGACTCAAAAGTCAATAGTCATTTGACACTTCGATTGAAACTCTTTCGATTCATAATCAATAGTTTTCATTATTGATAGCAATCATCAACATTGGTTTCGATTTTGGCAAAATTGAAATTCGTTTAAAAATAACACTTTTTGATGTTATCTGGTAAATTGTTTGAAAACTGGCCATTAATGGCTAATCAAGATTTTTCTCAATTTGCTAATTACTTAGTTGCTGTTTTACAATTAACTCACACTTGATGCATGTTTTACAATCTGATTGTAACATTTTCCTGTTCTTGTATTGTTTAATGTTGGTGGTTTACTTTGTTGTTATTAAATTGGTTATGGTCAAGTTGATTGCTTTCAAAGCATTTAACAAAAGTTCAGCTGTAAACACGATTCTGTATGATTGATGTTGCCTGCTGTTGAGAGTTATCATGAAGTTATTGATTTAAATGAAGACCTTTTTTCCCTTCCTTTTGGCTAACATCCATCAATAGTTTGCATTTAAAAGAGTGTTTACTCCTTAAACAAATTGTACAAAATTGTTTACAATTGTTATTAATAACAATTGAAAATATTTTATCCTCAACTTGCAAATCATGAGTTTTGAGAAACATTTCAATCACAGTATTGTTTAAGTTTCAATCATTTGTATAATTGTTGACAATTTACTCAACATTTAATTTTTCAACATTCACTCAATTCGTCAGTTATCTAGTCTTACAATTTGAGTCCATTAACAAATGATGTTTGTTATGAATTTTGGTAAATTGTGCTAATGATTGCTGGCTGTTGCATTTGATTTTAATGAAAATAAGTTAATCAATTTTTTACAGAGTTAATTGTTTTCTAAATGATTTGATTAGCTTGGCATCGATCAGTAATTAATCAAATGGAAGTAATTAAAGCAAAGTATATCTAGAACAATCAACTCATCTTTTCTGTTAACATGAAACATTTTAATGGTTTTGATTAAAATGATTAATTAGATTTAATCAGCTTCAATCGGGTCAATCGGGTTTCTATGATGAATCCTGGTTCAACTTTAATTCCTTAACTGCTTAAGATCTAAATCTCTTAATCTAATTACAATTAACGCATTTTGCATTTGCTAGTCAACTTGTTATCTAATTGTTCAACTGTTTTAACTAATTGTTAACTTGATAACAATCACTTTCTCAGATGTTTATTAATATAACGACAGCTTTTCAAAATTGGTAAAAGTTCTGGATCAGTTGACATTGAAAAGAAAACATTTTACTGGATTTACTTGTAAATTGTAATTGATTATCATTTTGTATGGTCTAATTAACACTATGATTATGTTTTCCAATTGAAAGTGAATGTAATCAATTTTGCTCAAGCAAATTTTCTTGATTAAGAAAAGTTTAGTTAATCCAATTCAACTCATTTGCACCTTTAAACTCAATCATACAAATTAAGCAAGTTTGCAAATTGAGTTAACTGTTCAGTTCAATTGTATATTTAAAAATTATAATAACATAAATTTTAATGAAAATACTCACATGTTTAGGATGAAAGTAGTGATGAACAACATGAAACTATCTGATGTTTGCTTCAAACGGAAACTTGAAATTTATCAAAAGTACACCAAAAAATGTCAACTAGTCTTGACAATTGTCTAATCAACAATTGAATAAAAGTTTAAATACTCATCTTAATGTATCATTGGCCATTCAATCGGACCTCCTTTTCAACCCACTTCATTAACATCATAAATTGGCTAAAGATGCTGTTGGTGAAGATACAAAAAATTGTGTGTTTAACCAGAAAAAAGCAAATTTATCAAGATTAATTGACGGATAGTCCAGTTTTTGTATAAATTGTGCACTGCAATTAAATTGTACAGATAACCACAAGTAGAACAATCAGTGAAATGAAATGGCCTGAAAAATCGAAAGTTTGTTGCCAATCAATCGAGTCCATTATGTCCATCATGAAGTCACTTAAAAGTGTCAATTCTTAAGCCTAACCAGAAACTTCATTTTTTAAAGTCATTTTTCATTTCTGGTTTTGAAACAATTTTTCAGATTAAAAATTGATCAAATGTTTTCTTAATAAATTTCAATTCTGTGAAAAGGAGATTGTTCCAACAAATTAGAATACGAATTCATTCAGAAGATGGATTCAGTCAGCTTTCAAAGAATATTAGGTTCTTTAGGTTGTTTTACCAAAAATTGACAATTATTTTGTTTACCAACAAAAACCTTCAAGAATACAATGAAATTTGTTTCATAAATTGTGGCAATTTCGGAAATGACTGAGAAAACTGAGTAAATCAATGAACGCTTGGCTTCACCTTGGCCTTCAGTTTTACATATTTTCACTTAATTGTCATGAGTTAAACCAATTACCTGTCTAAATTTGCTACTAAATATAATTTATTGATGCTTAATGTTTACATGAAAATGTCGAAGCAGATGCAATTGAAGGCCAATGTTAACGATTGTTGGTTTTCAATCATTTTAACGATACAATTGATTATTAAACTTGCACCAACTTGATGTGTCAATATGTCATCAACACCTTGTTCAATCATTGTTCAACTCAAAGTTCAACAGTTGATACCAATTTTTCATTTGTTATTTTTCCATCTCAAGGTGAATGTTATCCATCTGGATCAACAAAATTCTGACTCAGTGACTTTGTAATTGAACCCAGTGTTTTTACCCAAGTTACCCAAATTACCCATTTCCTGAAGCCAATGTTAAGACAAAGTAAAATTCATTGTATCATGTAAATTTGATTACAGTTTATTTAGTCTTCGCCGAAGCAAACATTTTACGCTTTGGCCATTGCATAAGCTTTCCAAGTTATAATTTATATCATTGTTAAGCTGTTAAACATCATCACTTTGTAAACTCAACATTCCTCGAATTTCATCAAAAACTTAAATCTCTCCCAACTCGCCTTTCCCATCACTTATCTTCATCTCTATCCTCATCATCCTTGTTCCTCTTCCTCCTCTCACTGTTCGCGTGGCTCTTGATCTTACATTTTGTCTCTTCGCTCATTGAGAATGAGAAAAAAATGTTTTCTCAAAGAGACAAAAGTTGAACATTTAACCCTCAAAATGACTGGAAACTAAAGCATAACTTCCCTTGTAGCATCCTCATCTTGATCCTCATCGTTATGACCAACAGTGAGACCGGATGTAATTCAAGTTAACCTTAGCCTTGAACAAAGAAAACGTTTGAAAGGCGAAAACGTTTCCACAACATTTTAGCTTCAAACAGACTTCGTAAAACTTACCGAAGCTAAACTCACCAAAACTAAAAGGCAAATCTTTCTAGACTAGCAAAAAGCTGCTTTCAGTCAATTAATCGTCACACTTGTCTTTGGTTATTGACCAAAAATTGATGCTAATTTACAAGTTTCCAAGTCACAATTAAAGCAACATAATCAATAGTTAATCACTGGTTCGAGTGACTGGCTTTGCTTTGGCTTATTGTTAACATCATTATTATTATGTTTATCATGATTGGTTTAAATTTTTAGGTTTTAATCAACAAAAGGGCAAACCTTATCAACAATTTATGTTTATTTTTGCCGTATTTTCATCGTTACTTTTGTATCTAACAACGTTGTTTATGTTATTTGTTTCAATCATTTGCAAATTGCTACAATCATGCTTAGCTATACATTTTGATTTATAATGCCCTTTTTTCCCTGAACTCACCCTGTTTCTTTTCAGGTTGGGTTCAATCATTCTCACATTAATCTTTTCACATTCACTAAACTTTCTATTCTCATCCAAACTTCAACTCTTTCCATTGAACTTAAATTACATCTTTTTACACCAATATGTATGCAAGAAAATCAACAATTAACTTAATTTACTTCAAGATTTACATTAGTCAAAAGTTGGTAAAAAAGAACCAAACAAATCTCATTTTCATGTATTGTCTCAATTAATTTAGCCTTAAGACTTTAAAGTCTATAAAAGGAAACACATTTATTGATTGGCAATATTCGATATCAACAATATCATTGACAATTTACCTAATTGAACTGATTCACTTGAAATTTATGGACTTTTCATGTTCAACTTAACAAGGTTTTAAATGATTAAAATAAGTCACAAATAAAGTCACTTTGCTCTTTACTCTTAATGGTTCTGTTTCAAGTAATGAAAGTAGTAACTTGAAACCAGAAAAACTTCTCGCCTGGTTCCGCTCAAACCGGTTAAAGAAAGGATAAATTACTTCCGAAAACTCCTCTTCAGAGCATCATAGACTATGAATAGACAAAAGTTCAGAGGTTGCAAGAATCAATGATTAATCAATTGACCTGATCAAACTCCACTTTAAGGATCAAACTAAAACTGACCATCTTTACAAGTCAATTTCAAGTGATTTACTAGTCGAGTTTATAAAATTGTACAAAATTTCTGTTCTTTCATGTTCCCTTCAGAAGTTATTTATTTTAAGGGTAAAATGTTGATTAGCTGAACCTGTAAACATTGACAATAATTATTTATACAATTTGCTTTAATTTAAATATTTGTTTCATCAACAGCTTCTTGGTGTTGCTATACTTGGATTTTCAATCTTGCTCTATGCTGAAAGTCACAATTATGTTAATTTTGAAGATACTCAAGGACTCTTTGATACACCATTTTTCCTGATAATCATTCTTGGTGCAGTTATGACGCTCGTTGGTTTCCTTGGTTGTTGTGGAGCAATCAGAGAAAGTACTTGTCTTCTTGGAACTGTAAGTTGATTTAACCACCGTCTTGACCCATCATCATCATCATCTTATAATTATAATAATCATTGGAGAGGAGAAGAGTTAATGAACATGATAGTTGATTGGGGTCAACCTTAACCGGTTATTTTATGTTGTATGTTGTTATTATTGTTGTTACTGTTGCGTTTACTTTAATTCATCAGTAGGGTTAATCACAATTTATTACAATTAGATGATGAAAAAGGAGAGAAAAAAATTGCTTATTATTAAAACAGTCCGATTGAGAAAAAAAAAGTGTTAGTGAAACAATTGAAATGGATTTATACATTGAAAAAGCATTTATTCATTATGAATGGCTGCTTTATCACATTTACAATTTACTTTAATAACTTTAGGTTTTAATCATTATTAATTTCGAGTTTTTGCTTATTTTGATTACAAATTGCTTGACAGATTCCTTATGATCGCCAATTCAATAGTTATTTATAATTTAGCTTCAACTTGCAATGTCAATATTTTGAAGCTCTTTGTGGTTTTCACTGAAATCGATTGTGTCTTATTAGTTTGCATTCAATTTAATTGGGTTAAGATTTAGATTATTTAAGATTGATTATGATTGTTAGCATCGGTATTTCAATCCAGTTTACTTGGTTGATTAAAAGACTAAATTTCTAGACGAAATGGTTTTGGAGGATTTGATGATCAAAAAACCTACGATCATTTAATTTCTCATTATTTAACCTTTAACAGTTGAAGGTTTTTCAAATTGTTTGAAGTTTATTATTGAATTTATGATCAATGATTTAAAGTGAATTGTCTAAAAATGGTTAATTTGACAGGAAAAAACAAATTACAAGTGCTTAACATGGTAAAATCTGATTTCATAAAAGGCAGAGTAAACTGTCCACAATCAACATTATTTATTCACTTGAAATCATCAATTAGTCTGCCTACACATATTTGGTAAAGGCATTGAATAATGAAACTTTAAATTGTTGTTAGGCTTTTAAAATGAGGTTGGTTTTGCTGCTACCAAATATGATCAATAACCTAATCAATCTCAATCAATTTAGATTGAATTTAATGAAATTCAAGTTTACTAATTTTCATATTTTTTTTTTTTCTTACAGTACATTTTACTTTGTATTACAATGGGAGTTGCTTGTGGAGCTGCAGTTTGGTGGAGCAACGAGTATCGGACTGATGTCTCTGAAAAGGTTCAGACAAGCTTACAAAAGATGATTCGAGAAAATTATCGAGGAAATTTGACTCGACCCACAACCGAAGTAGTCATTGATAGACTTCAAAAGGACATGCAATGTTGTGGAGCCAGAAATTTAACTGACTGGTCAGTGTCTCGTTATAATCAGGGAAATCGACCCAAACTGGAGATTGGCATTGGAAAGGATCGATCGTCCATTGCCTTTTCTGTTCCAGCCTCCTGTTGTCGGGTCGGTGCACCTGATTGTGAAGTTGCTCGTAAAGGTATAACCATGGACAATTTGGAGAGCAAAAAGTTCAGTATTAACAATGAAGGATGTCTCCATAAATTGGATGCTTTTGTTGGAGACAAATGGACTTATCTCATTTTAATTGGAATGACTCTGATTGGATGTCAAATTTTGGCCTTGCTGTTTACCTGTTGTTTTTGTTGTTTCCTTAGTGGACAGAAAAACAATCGATTCTAGAAAATCGAGAAACTTGAGAACCATTTAAGTTATAATTTATTAAGCAACTAGTTATGTGCGATTGTATTATAAAAATGTAAATATTTGCATTCAATATTGCCTTATGTCTTGTAATACACTCATAGAGTCTGTGACACAGAGAGTGCTAATTTCACAGAAATGTTAATCGTTAAAGTATCAATCAAAGAAGGACACAAAAAATGGAGTGACAATCACATCATCATTATCATTATCGTATTTATATTGAGACATGATCGGGACCCAACGAAAAGCAACGCTAATTCCTCTCTTCCAATGGTTTTGCACCTAAATCAAGTTGTTTTCATTGGTCTCCTTTGTTCACCTCTTTTTTTGTCATTAACTGACTTGCCATTTCTGCAAGCAAAATTACATGCCAATTTCATCTTTACATCTTCATCATACCAGATAATCATCTCAAATAATCATACCATTGGGATAAAGATCTACCTTTTCAGATTTCATCTTACCTTTGCCAATCATTTCATCTAAACCGCTCAGAATCAATTTAGTAAAGTACAGAGAATTCATTTCAATAGTTTAAACATGGAATGTTGAAAACTCAAGAATCCACTTATCAACCTCATATCAGTTAAAAATGAAACTCAGCAAATTCAGATGTCAGAAAATTGAATGTTATCATGATTGCCGTCCATTTTTTTGCCATTTTTTGTAAAATTCCGTTAATTTCAGTCAAATCAGTGACCAATCCAACATCAGAAAAAATCTTCCCCTCGTTTGAAAATGTGAAACTGTCGAGGCTTTTCAAATTGTCAGCTCTTGACACTGATACAATCTAATATTTGGTTTTTCTCAGTACAATTAAAATTCAGAGTTTAATTTATCAATCGCCTTTTTTCCATGAGATTAATCATTGTCAAATGAATAAAAAACTGTAATTATCTTTGTCTGGCCAATGGTGTTTTGAAAATTTACTCAAATTGGCCTCCCAATCAAGTGTATGTTTAAGTTTCTTTTGTTTGTCCATTGATTGTAAAGGGATAATTTGAGAATAATTTCGTTGATAAATAAATCAATTTGATATTTTTCCAATTTTTCATTGAATTATTTATTTCAATAATAAAATTTAAAAAGTTCAATCAAAAAATCTTTTTCCACTCATTACTAGCTGGCGTGCATCTAATTGACTGGCTATCAACTTATGTCAATATTTCAGGATAGCTTTGTAATTCGGGTTTTTAATTGTCGTGGTCAATTGAGTACCTCTCCATGGCTTTTATAAGATTTTCTTGATAACGATTTAAATCACTTCTTCTCAAAGATCTTGATAACATTAAAAATCTTTTCCATTGTCGTCGATTTGGCATTCGAAACAGATTAATTATTGGCATTAATAAGAAGCCAAATGGCATTGACCAATAAGCAACTTCAAGAGCATGTAATATTGACACAAATAAAGCTGGATCGGCCAAAAAGTCTAGAGTTAATCGAGGAGTAGCCTTTTGATTTATGAACAATGATTTGATTAATGTTAAAATTTGTTTATCGTCACTTGTATTAGAGCCATTGTCCAACACATTACCCGTCTCAGCATTTGCAGATAAAATAAAACAACTAATAACGATGATAAGGTTAAAGTTGATCAACTTGCTGTCCAATGATTTCATTTTGAGTCCAATCGAGGTAAACTCAGTAATAATATGAAATGAGTTGCCAAAACTAAAGAAATAAAAGCAAATAAAATTCCAAGTTAGATTCAAATAAATAATTTACAAAACTAATCATCAATTCTGCGGAATGCACTGAAAATTGAATAGAAGATAAGTACTTACATAGTAAGTATCACTTATTTCAGGTCAGTAATTTAACCATGACATTTCGGATACCTTTTCAACCTCAACAGATTTGAGGTTATCCTGGATTATCTCCCGGCGATCCTTGTCTAGTCGATGAACAAAAAAGTTTTAATGTCTTTATGATTCACATAGCTGAATGAAAATTAGAGGATCTTTTGCACGGAATGTTGTCTTTTTAAATTTCAACGGATTCACAACAAATGTTTAGGCAAAAAGGGCTAATTCATTAGGATTAGAAGAGGATTGAAACAAGAACACTTACCTTCAATGGATTTTCAGTTTTTAGGTGAACTTGAATAAACTGGATTACACAGCAATCACAAAATCAAGTGAAATTTTCTAATAAAATCAAACAATAATAAAACTGTAAATCATGTGGACTAGTAACTACACATTAAAAGGATAGATTTAGCTGGCCGTCAGGATTATCACTTGTAGCCATATGAGACAAAAGGACACATATTTTACCAACTGTAATGAATGATCAGGTAGGAAAAATAATCTGAAAAAATGAAATTTTAAAATGAAAAGTTAAAAAGAGATTGTAAAAATGGGTGAAACTGATCTCTTTTGTTAAAATCATTAATCCGTTGAAAAGTAATGGCGGGTAAAAGCAGGAGGGAAAGAGATACAAAGTCGGATGATACATTATGTATGACTAAACTTTCATCTTCAGACAAAACTGATGATAAGCTTGATTATCTTCTGCGTTTCCCAAGCGAATCATCTCAAACTGATCAACATAATATTAATGAGAATGTTAATTACCCATAACAACAACAAAAGCAGCAACATTTGATTGTGAGGTAAGGCAAGTGAAAAGTCCAATATTTTTCTTGCAATTGTTAACAAACCAATCAACATAATGAATTCAGCAATCATTATCGTCACCATCCATGATTACATTCAATGTCATTAACAATTGTAAAACACTTGTAGAAGCATCAGTTGATTAATTGCCACCAAATCTATTTTTAACTTTAAAGTTCGTTAATCTGTACATCTCAATAAAATGGACCAAACAAACGCAAACAAATCCTCGAGTGAACCAAGCAACAACAGGGAAAATGGCAATTTAATGGTAACACTGTTATCATAATTATTGTGTTGGACCACTGATTGCAATTAGATTTAGCACTGTTTACCACGAAATCCAAGTCAAGCTTCAGATGATGACAATAAAAGCTTATCCATAAATCACTTTAACATCGTTCATCGCAAATACAATAATTTGAACTGATCATCGATCTATCAATTTCATCGATGAGAAACGATTGAAATCGATGAAAAACGATTCTATTATCGAATCATCATCGTCATCGATAATGTTCATCGATTCATATCGATGAAGCTTAAATGTTCAATTTTATTGATAGCACATCGATTCATTTCAATTGTTCATAATTATTCTCATTTCAGTCCAAACATTTCAATCTGAAGCTTTTTAAGAACTCTTTATGCAATTTGATATTTAAGCTTCAGTCATTAAGCTATCCTGAAATTTCAAGCTAACTTCTCTTATAAATTCAGACCATTCCCTAATGAAATTATCAATATTTGTTTCTTAACTGACTCGATAACGATAACTATTATATTAATATATTGTTTCAATTAACTCTTCAAATTTGGAGCTTTACTTTTTATCCTTTGATTTTTCGACGCGAGATGTCACTAGCTTTACAGAATGAGAATCAAAATAAATTTTTTGCTTAATTTTCATCGTCTTATTGCATAAGTAATAAAGTTTTTTTTCTTGTATTTATTATTTAATTGTTAGCTTTCATTTTGGATTACTTCACAGTTTTTGGCATTTTAATTTGATTCTTTGTGGTGTAATGCTAGTGTTTTGCACATGGTATGGACAATGGATGAAGTTATTATCAATCAATGTCTATTTTGTTACAATTGCCTTTTTCCTATTGTTGCGTCCATTTTTCCTACTCGTGAATCATGAGTTTACATGTTTCTTTTCAATCTAATTGACTCTTGATTGTATTGATAGTTGATAAAGAGGTTAAAAAACGTGTCTGTTAAAGGTAAAAATGCCAACAAAACTTGTTTTGATTAATTGGATTCCATCAATGATCCAGTCAATCATCTTGCAAGATTTCATCTTTCACTCTCACAAATTTCATTTGACTGAAAAAAAAGTAATTACATTTTTCTTTTTCATTTCTTTTCTCCATTTCAATTCATTCCACCTTTCAATTTGCTACAATTTTTCGATCCCATTTTCATGATCAGCTGAAAACTCGAAGCAAAATTTCCATTCACTTGCCTGGATCGAGCCAATTTATCCTGGAATGGTTATTGAATATACTTTTTGGCCTCGTATATAGACATCCAAACAAACAGCTAATTTCAATATTTTGAAAATTTTGTCAATTTTCAGAGCAAAAGGAAAAATTAAATCAAATTGATATCAAATTTGATGGCATGAAAACTGAATCTTTTCAAAGCAATTTCATCAAGTAAAGGTAGGTCAAGAAGGTGAAAATTAAAATGTAAAAACTAACAGCTTTTTCCATTTCCATTCTCAGGTTATTAGGTGTGGTGCCAATTGCTCTTAATGGTGTTTAAAAAAAGGAAAGCCATTGATATTGATATTGGAGATAATCACCTTTTCTTTCAGCATCATCCCTGTAATCAAGGTAAAATAAACAAAAATTCATTGATTCCTGATTGCAGTTGACGAGCCAAACTGATGGAATGAACAAAAAATGAGCTAAAAATAGGGGAATAAGCATGAGAAGCAAGTGTTGCTGATTCCTCCGCTGATGATGATAATGATGATTACAAGGTAAATTGTAATGGTAAAATGAGTTTGCAGAATTGGAGCAAAAGTTGATGATGAAATGCTTACAAGACTAAGAATAATACTGGAATCGATATTTTTCATAGAAAAGTTCTTACTCTCTGAAAATGTTCCCAGTCAGAGTTCATTCACCTTCCATCCAAGCTAAATATGACTTTATCTTCTTCAACATTTAATCATCTCTGTCTATTTTATCATCTCTTTCTCCAATCTCGTCTATTCGTTACCTCTTCTGGACGTAAGTTTCCAATTTCATGCTAACTATAAGTTCTAATTCTCTTCTTCTCTTTCTCCTTCAGTCTTCTCTCTCATCTTTTCTTCTTCCTATTCTTCTTCTCTTCCCTTCGTCATCATGATCATCCTTGTGACCTCAAAAGTGAATCCATTGATAATGCATAGAGATGGGAATCGACTCAAAAAGACAGAAAAATTTCTTCAGAGAAAGCCAGAATTGACTAAATTAGGAAGTTGAGATAACTTTATTTCCGATATCATCCATCCCACATCTTTTCTTGCCATTTTACTTTTTATCATCGCCATCTCCATCATAACCAATCTTCATCACCTTTATCTGTCTTTATCAACCCATGTTTCAAGAGTGAATCAATTATGAAAAGTAACAACTGAATGTCAACATTTCTCGGCTTTAATAAGCCTCAACAAAATTTCATGTTCACTCAAATCAAGGTTAACTGGCAATTTTTTCACCATTTTTTGCCAATTTTTTTGATGACTTTCCTCTTCAAACCAGATTAACCCAATTTTTTCATAGTTAATAAATGTTGCTACCACATTACACAGCAATCATTAGGATAAATCTGTAGAGGTGTAATTTTTCAAGCCAGGCTTTTACTGGTAAAATTGCTTTTCAATTCAATGTACAGAATGACTAAAATCAATTTCCATTCGGAAAAATATTTGTCGGAAAACCCATGAAAGAGATGTGACATTAGATGTGCCTTGAGCCATTAGGAAAAGATGATGAATTTGAGTTGTACATTGATGATAACAGTAACCTTCATATTGCTCTGAATATTCAGCCCTTGATTTGTGTTTTTCATGAATCTAACATTTTCATCATCTGACAAGCATTTCGCTTACGTTAATTTGTTGAAATTTAATGTATCAATTACTTTCTTTAACAGTTAGATTTTTTCCGTTTCCCTTTCCGAATGACATCGCCATCATCTACGCCATCAAGACAACAATAACAATGCCAACATCCTTAGACAATATGTCAAGCTTGAAAGGGAAAAGTTAAAAGCGTCACTTTTAATAATCATAACTGGCAAACTTATGTTCCCAAAATGTTAATTTTAATTTGTCAGGCTTAATGTTGTTTAATTGGATCTGCATTGTCTTTCAGTAAGGCTATCTTAATCAACTAAATCTGAAAGGATTTAATTTTAAGGACAAAACACTCAACAGCTTAACCAGATTTCATGAAAACAAAAACCTTTGAACTGGGAACAGAATCTCTGAAAATGAAATTAAAGCCCAACAATTTCCGTGGTTTGAGAATGGATTAAAAATCAATATTGGAAAGGGAACTCAAAGGATTTAAATTAATCAGGATTGAATCTTTTCCTTGATTTCTTTTGTTTGGTTATGTTATTTTTCCTGGTAACCCAGAGAAGGAAAAAAGTACAAATTTTCAATTTTAATTGATTTTAGCTAATTAAACATGGGATGCCATCTAATGAAATTAAATCATTAGACTGTAGCTGCAAAGTGAAACCTTAAAATCTAATGGCATCATTAGTTGAGATAATTTATTGATGAAATGTGCCCATAAATTGCGGATTGTTTGTTTGATAATTTAAGTTGCTTATACTATGATTGTTTTAGTTACAATGTGATATCAATGTTGGAAAATTGTTAAGCTTCACTTTTTTGCGTTTTTGTTGTTGCTTCTGTTGCTTGGTTTACTGGTTAATGGTCACTGTTGAAAGCGAAATCCCGTTAAGGGTCAGGCCAAGTTCTCAGGGTAATTGGAAGGATACTTAAAGGATGCAAATTAAAGTTGACACTAATCAATCTTTTGGCACTTTTTCCGGTCCATACAGCGAGAGGATGGCTTCCCTTGGACTCTGTAAAATTATGACAAGACGATGGCGATGATGTTGTTGCTGGTTATGATAAGCTGCCGGAGAAACCATTTCTCTTGAAATTTTAAATAAACCGCATAACTTGAGCTGTGTGAATATGTTGATTGGTTTCATTATTTTCACAAACATATGGTTAGATGCTAAAACTTGATCCAGAGAAACATTGCTGCCAACCAAATCAGTAATACATGTGCAGTGAGCATTTTTGTGGAATCATCACTTTCTATGAAAACACAAAATGTGTTTAACTATAAGACGGTTAAAAGCCAACTTGAGCAATCAATGATTCCTGCTTTTGGCATCAAACCATCCATAATTTAATCATTTTAGAGGTGCCTTTTGTTACATGAGATGTTTCAAGCAGAAACCAATTTCTTTAACTACATCTGAGAACGAAACAAAATGCATATTGTGCGTGATGTAAATTATTATTTCAAAGGTACAGGAATCGTCAGTCCAACCACAGCACGGAAGGTCGGTTTCAGCTACTTGACATGCCAATGGTATTGACCCGCTTCCAAGGGTTATAGTTAATCATCACAAATCAAGTTTCGGTAAACCTAAATTTTCTTAAAGTAATCAGAAAAGAGCACAAAAAACGCCATGACATACATAGAAATGTAATGGCGTTTTTTGGAGAATAAAACTTACTTACTCCCTAAAAATGGAACAGGTACATAGACAAGTCAATTTGTCAGATAAATTGGTTAAATCTATACGAATTTTACAGTCTAATGGACAACTGTTCATCTTATCGACATTTTAAGGATAATCAAAAATTCTTAAACCATTTAACCGATTCCAACAAAATTGTTTCTCAATAGATTGAAAAGTTTCTTTTGTTTTTTTTTCAGCAAACCAGCCAGAGATGGTATGATGATGGTGATGATGAAAGGAGTGTGAAACTGAATGACCCAAACAAAGCTACTCTCATTATTGTTGATAATACAAATTGTGGTCACCGATGCATCAATGTTGCTGTAGCTACAATTGAAAAATCATTTTGGTTCAACAATTTCACTTTTTTCCCTCGCTTTGCTTAGGAATCCATAACTTTTGTTGGTTTTTTTGTCATTGTTAGCACTGATAACATGATAAAATTAATGTTTCGCCCTCAAGACCCTTTGAGTCACATTCCTTGTTCCATGTGGCTGATACTGAATGAAATTACTCTGGAAATGAAATAAAATCCAAAAACCTGAATGGAGAAAGGAGAGAAAGGAGAGAGAGAGAGAAAAATTATCACAAAACAAATTGCTTTAAAAATATCTTTGTTGAAAAGTGAGAGTAAAATCTGGCAAATCTTGCATCATGGAGTTAATTATTGTACTAAGTTCATTGAAACGACAATCGTCAGGGTAAATATGTAACTCACCTAAGCATTTAATTTCAATTAAATAGGTAAATGTACATAAAACATAGATAAAACAATCGAAAGTTGACCATTTTTAACAATTAAAAGTGAAACTGTGAACTTTTACTCATAACCCTTAAACTATGGTAACCGTAAGATTCATCTTTAACGCGCTAATCTTGAAATTGCTTTTGTCTTTCAATGATCAAAGGGATTTTTATTGTTACATAATTTAGCAATTTATAAATAGTCTGAATTGGCAACATTTCCTTGTACAATTATGTAACTAACAAGGATATTTTAACGGTTAATCTATAATCTTCAGAAAATCCCAATAAGTTAATCCAACAAGATTTACTTATTACATTATGACAATCTTTAATCTTTTATAATCTTAATATTGTTAAAATTAGCTGAGATTGAAATTGGCAATCAACAAGAATCGTTACCTGCCAACTGAGTTAGCCAAAGAATGAAAGTTAATATTCAGGAATAATGTTTAATAGACGATAAAGTGTTCAATGTTTTCTGGTAAACAGCAAATTTTATTGAGAATTAAATTGTTAACTCTTTTTGTCTTCAATTGGTTCTGCTAAATGAATGTTCAATTTAATAACCTGAAAAAATGAAAGTATTCAAGACCTTGAACTCTTTGAATTATTGAAGCAAGAAAGTAAATTGTGTTTGATTTTCAATTTAAAATGGCTTTGATTACGATGATTACGATGATGATTATGTTGACGATAAAGTTGCTTGTGATGTATATTTAATGTAAGCATAAAAGCAAATTGAGAAGCAAATAAATGCTCAAAGACTAAACGAACCTGTGAAAGCGTAAATTGTTAATGTTAAAAAAGGTTCAATATTGACCCAAGTAATGAATGTTAACCTTGAAATGACATGATAATTCAAGATTAAGTTAATAATATCGAAATGAAATCAAGATGATTGTCTGTAAATAAAGACAATGCCAATGACCGATTGGGTTTCATTTAAATTCATTACATAAATCAATGTAATTTAAGACCCGAAAGAAATAAAAAACTCAAATAATCCCAACACTTGGAAAGCTGCAAGTTTTTTTTGCCAAGAACCATTCAAAAAGCACTAACAGTTTCAATAATAGTCAACATTGGATTGTTAATTGTTGCTTGAATTGTCTGAATAATCAAAATTGCTTATAAATTACCCAATTAACTAAATACTAAACAGTTGAAGTGATTGTTATTGATCAACACAAAATTGAAGTTGAACATTTTTCACACCAACCATAAAGAGTCTACCCAAAGACATTTCAATGTTGATAATTTGTCTATTATTTAAATTATTAGAGACAGTTGGGTCTCATTTAAATTAGATTAACACAGACAAATGGTGAGAGAAACTATCAGTTTGATAACCTTGAAAACATAAGCATCATATTAGTTGATTAAATTGACTTTAAATTGTGTTGAATCAATTGGTGTCAACGGTAAAACCATTCAAGGTTGGATGTCAGATAAAAAGGCTTTTCTATTCCGTTGCTATGAAAAATAAACACACTAACATACACAGCAAATTGTATGTTGATCAGGTTTAATCAAGTTTATCGAGATAAATTTTAAATTGTTCAATTATCATCACACAATTACATTAATCAGGTCCATTTATTTCACAATTAATGGCAATACCATGCAAATTTGTAGTTAACTTCACAAGACTGTCAGATTATATAGACTATATTAATGGCTGTATGTTGTTGGGTCAAAAAATACCTGTTACCAGAAAAAAGATAACCAGAATTGGGTGTACACTAAGGTTAATTTGGTAGTTGCTTGATTAAATTTCACATTAACATTTACAATTATCATCAGATAAAACAAAATTAGTCAACTAAGGAAGGTTAATCATTGAATTGAAAAATAACGCCATTAACGTTTGTTAAGTCATTCCTGGTAAATCTTAAGGGGTCGAGTTGATATTGAAATTAGCCATAGAAGTTAGAATCTAGAGTAATTTATTAATTTAATTTTTTCAGATCACAATATAATTTATAGTGACCAATAAACATAACTGGACTCTATTGAGATCTAATTAATCCAAGAAAGCTCATCCTTACCTTTTTTCATCAATTAATTTAGTTTTTCAAATTTATGCACAAACCCTTTTGTCCGTTAAAATAAAGAGCTTCTGTTTTTTGTCTACGCTTTACTTTTGTTTATATTTTAATTTCTCTTCTTCTTAAATATAATTTGATTCAATTGGAGTTACAATGCAAGGTGAACTTAAATCATGTTAACCAGAATGTCGTCTTATCGTCAAGTTTTTTTCATGGTGATTATGTTGATGATAATAGTGAATGGTTAAATTGTCTCATCTTTTATATGAAATACAAAAAGGTTTGTTATATTTTTTGTTGTGTTTGCTTTTGCTTTCGTTTTTTCTCAGTTTCATTATCATTCAAATTGCCCATCTTTATCAGTTTAATTGTTTTAAGGTTGATAAAATTTCATTTTATGTGAATCTTTTTCTTTTCTTTTCTTTTCATCAACATTGTCAAGTTAATTGTTGTCTTTTTTGATTACATTTTTAAGGTCAAATTCAAGTTATTGTCACCAAAAGTCAGTTGTTGACGTCGCCTTCTCATTGTTGGCAAACAAAGCCGAAAAGGTTAAACAATTGGACAGATGGAAGACAATCATTGTGATTAAAATCAATCATCAATCAATCAAAGATTACTTATTGAACACCCAAATTGGATGGACACAATTTAAAGCAATATAGTGACAATTTAAAGTTACAGTGAAGAGTAGCTGCAATCAAGATTCACTCTGGTTAAGTCATGAGCAAATTCAATGGCAATAAACGTGTCCAGGAAAAAAGACGCAAAGATTGGCTATAAAATGGCATCCATTTGTTTAATAATTGATGTAATCAAGGAAACCTTGTATTGGTCAATTTTTTCATAATTTACATTAAGTAATGGTTAAGGATAAGGCCAATTCAATATATTACACAAACTGCAAGATTAATGGTTGTTGCTGGCTATTAAAGATGATGACAATTGTGGCTAAAAAATGGCAAATCAACGTACAATTGACAATATTTTTCCTCAATCAACAATAAACCTAAAAATGTGTTCAATTCAAGGTTCAGGTTTCAAATGTAACTTTTGATTATCACTTTATTAGCTATTGAATCAGGCCAGGGTTTTCATTTTCATGGGCTATTCTTGATTCAATCTTTATTTAAAACTTACTTGCAATGTCAAATGATAACAAGAGAATCAATTTTTCATTGATAAATATATCAATTGTTGCTGTTGTTATAACTGTCAATTGATTAACAGAAAGTGAATTTGTTTCCTTCACAGTCTCATTGTGATACAATATGAACAATGTATGCTCATGAATTATGTCACAATGATTACCAGAATTGTATGTTGACAATATTAATGTTTACATGGACAAGATTTTTGATTTAATTTAAAAAGCAGACAAACAATAATCATTCACAATGACAATCAACTATGTCAATGATTATGCAAATATCAACTGTTTCAATTTGATCCAATTTAAAAGACAATTTGAATGTAAAAACAAATGTTTTTACAATTGTTGGAACAATTTAATCTGGTGAAACCTTTTCAAGTTGTATCTTTTACCATCTTAAACAAGGTAAGTAAACAAGTGATTAGGTTAATTATGGTTGATTAACTTGCTCATTGTGACAAACAAAATGGGTAAGATTAAGAATGACTTTGGTAAGGTTTGCTTTTTGCCTGACAAATAAAAATCAATGTTCAACTAGGAAATGCATAATTTTATTTCTGGTTCAAAGAGATGGACCTTTTTTTGGTTATTTCAAGCAATGCCAATTATTAATTGTACTAATTATATCTTGCTTCACACATTTATCTATTATTTATGTTGACAATTAATAGATTGTTGAAGGATTCCCGTGAGATATTATAAGATAATCAGGAAAGTTGAAAAAGCAGTTAATGTTTTAATGGATTCAATGATAATGGTTGTTATTATATTTTCTCGCTCTCCATACCAATAATATTGTATTATAAATGGTATAAAATGATGGATATCTTTTCATGTTTATACACACAGTTGATAAAACCATGGAAACGATGGAATCATGAAGACGCATGGAAACTTCAGATGTATGTTAACAGGCAAATCGATTTGTGATGTTAAACATCATCTTTTTGTCTTCCTTTTTCCTTCTTTCTTTTCCTTTTGTCTCTGTCTTTTTTGTCACCCTTTTGAAGAGAGAAGTAAAGTTAACATTGAAGATAAAGATGATTCTCATGGTGATCAGGAGGTGGTGGAGGAGGAAGACGAGGAGGAAGACGAGGAAGTCAATGAAACAAGGTTTAATGAAACCAATGGATTCTGTTTAAGCTTTCATTGAATGTCAATTTTTTGTTTACAATTGATTGCAACAATTTAACTTTCACTTGGCTTTAGTCTATTCAATTGAAAATCTGGTTCAAAATGTCAATCATTTTCGGGTAAAATTGCACCTTAATATCGACCATTTTACTGGTTATTTTGGTTTAAACCAAAAGATTGTTTCAATCGATCGATGATAATTATTGGTGTATTTAGTGAAACACTTAATATTTGCTTAAAAAGTACCATTAGGTATGATTTAACAAGACCCAATGTTTAGGCCTTTGTGATGGACCCTTTGTTTTGGTTATTGATTTTTGCATTTTTTGTATGATTTTCAGCTACATAAAGGTTGAATCTATTGTTGGTATTTTTGACAAATAACATTGTGAATCTATGAGCAATTATCTTCATCCTCTTCATGTTCACCATGCTCATTATCATGAAATACAGTTCATCAAATAGAACTGAGTAGAAGAGAGAAAGAGTTGAAAGGAAAAAAGATGAAGAGAGGTAAAAAGTAAGGTTTAAGGGAAAGGGAAAAAGGTCAATGCTCGATCACTTAAAGTCTATTTACCTGCTTTTTTCTTACTAGAAGACAGATATTCTGAACATTCTTCCGGATTCAGGGAAACTAGAGATAGAAAGAGAGGAAAAAAAGAAAGAGACTCTGGATTTTCTGTGAACCAGCAAAATGTAAACAAATACCAACAAATAGGTTGAGATTAAGCAGCAAAAAATAATTAAATGTTTGTTTTTTCTTCCTCCACTGCACCAATTTATAACCCAAAATTTGATCCATTTATTTACTTGACCTTAAAGGTCACATCTAGATTAATATAGATTATGTTAATTATTATTACATGATGATTAAGACGTAACAATTCAGTGTTATAAACACATAAGACTCAGGCATGATGTTAACATGAATTTGGGTTGAAAATTTTGATTCAAGTCTTAACGATGTTTCAACCATCATTACAAATCAGGACAAGTGAATGGTTTGCTATCTAATGAAGTAAATTGTAATGATTGTTAATGTTAATTATCAAGGTTTGATGATGACAATTTAGAATTGTCTTTTGTTAATATTTTTGTTTCATTAAATTGTTGTTGTTGTTGAAGGAAGAAGCCAAAATAATGTAAATGTTTTCATATTTAAAAAGATGTTTTGAGTTCTCAGTTAATGAAGAGGATAAAGATGCAGATGAAGATGAGGATGAAGATAAGGCAAGATAAACAAGATGATCATTATGATGATTATGGTTAAGAAGGAGGAAGAAAGAATAGAATAGGAAACGAAGCTGAGAAAGAAAAGAATGAAACTGTTTCCGGAAGAAAACGAAAGAAACGAAAGTCGAACTTAAGGGTTCATTAACCTTTTCGTCCATCGATCAAATACGTTTTTGGTACAGTTTCAAAGAGGAAGATAGAGAGAGAGAGAAGAGATGATAAAAAAAAGATAACGAGTCTACGAAGTCTCAATGTCCCAATATCTTCTTATTCCTTCTTTTTCCATCTTTTTCTGTCGACATTTTTTCTGCTTCTCATGAGATTGTGTTTGTACACAAATTAGACTAAACTCATGTTACAGATTACTTTGTAAAATGATGACAATAATGATGAGAAGAAGAAAAAAATCCATGGAAAAAGAATGGAGAAGAAATTCGTAGATTCCATCTGATTCTTTACCTTTCCATTTGTTTAGCTTTGCTTTCGTTGTAACAGGAAAAGAGTCCAGATGATTATTTGTGTTACTCTTTTCCTTCTCTGTCTTCTTTATCATCATCATCGTCGTCATCATCAACATCATCCTTTATGTCCTTGGTATGTTTCAAATCTCACTTTGAATCTCTTTTTTTTTCAATTGAACGCAGACTCGGAATGAACTTATGATGATAACTATTATTCCAGAGTTCTGTGAGCGATCCTTGAACTTGGTTCCAGCCTTAGTTCCTGGTTTCTCTCATAGATCATTGACCTGAGAGTTCGAAGCTTTTACATTGGCAAGAAAATTCGTAACGAAAAAGAAAGAAAGAAGAAAACAAGGAAAAAAAATAGCTAAATAATGATGATGATCGATCAATATTAACACAGATATATATAAATTTACTCATTTTCCTATTTCAATCCTTTTCCTGAATCATCTTACCATGTTTTTTACAATTAACATTACAATTAAAGTTACCAAATCATTTTACTCGATCTTTCTTCTACTCTTTTTTTTCTGGTCAAGATCTGGTTAAGTTAAAGCTGCCTGGGTTTGTATTGTTTCAACTTGTTTCTGATTGTAAGGTACAAATAATACAATGATGATGATGATGTTGGTGAAGATAAGGATGATTTTTTCATGAGTTTGCTTTTTCTTTCCTCTTCTTGTTTAACTTGTCTTTCCCTGATTTTACAGAATATTCTGGAAGTTCAAACGTAAATTCTGATGCAATTGTATACTATTATTAGTATGGTTTGAAAAGTCATCATCATCATTATCATAGTACTGAATAGTTATTGTTTCCTTAACCTTTTTCTTTTTGCAATATTTCAATGTAATATCCAAATCTTACATTGGTAATAAGCAGTAGTAATCATTAATTTGGTTTTGATTGAGTGAACCGACAAGGTAACTTCAATTGAATGTATAATTGCTATAGATGAACAGCAACACAGCCTTTCCAAATGGCTAACCGAGTTCATTTATAAATTCAACTTGATCCTCTTTGAAGCGTAGGAAGTAAACATGAGCGTGGATTGTTTCCGGATTGATGGGTTGGACAGGTCTAATGGCCACCATTACAATCGTAAAATATGAATCCAATCAATTATGATCAACAAAGGCGAGTCAATCCAATTAATCAGCGATTCTTCTGGTTTTAACCTAAACGTTTGATCCTTGCTTGTTATCCAAATTGCACCAAAAGAACGATCCATTTTTGTATAGCCAAATTAATCCGCATTATCTTTATGAGTTGCTTATCCAAATCTGTAGCAAAATCAGTTGTAAAAAAGAAACAATTAGAAATTAATAATTAACAAGGTTAAATCAATAAGGTTTCATGATAAGACTAACCTTAATGTAATCAAACATGTGGTTATAAATACCTGTACAAACAAACAGGGAAACAGGAAAAGTAGAGAGACTATGTCAATGTTAACCATTTGTATTTATAACTGATTGTTAGTGAAAAAATTTGTTAACATAAACCAATTGATTAAATATGATTTTAGTAAACCATTAACTGTACATCGATGAAATGGTAAACAATGTGCATAAAGGAAAGGTTAGGTTAACCCGCGCATTTCAAACAAGCAACATTTACATTTCAGTTGAGGTCATCAGTGACATTTCATCTTTTACTCTTGATATTATAATTATGATAGTGAAATACAATCAAGTCTCAATTAAGTGTGGAAAATGATGATAATGATGGTGATGATGAACTATCAAATGAGGCTTAATTAGTTGTAGATAATGATACTGCAGTGACAACAATACAGCAATAAAAAAGGTATAATGGGAAGAAACTAAATTGTTGGACTCTTTTTTAATGATTTAAAGGTGTAAATCCAAACGATTTGTAGTCTCTTTTTCAGTTGCTGTTGGTCCAGAAAATGAAATCTTTTGTGTCTTGTAAGCAATCAACATTGTTGAACCATAATTTTGGAATCCATTGTTACCAAGAGAGTAAAATATCGGCAATGAGGCCACTAGTCATAAAAAAACTTGCGATCAATTTGAACATTTGATTTGTAAAAAGATTGACTCTAAAATTATCACTGAGCTTTTCATCATTTACATTTTAAAAATAACTTTAATCAATAGATCTTTTTATGGGATTCATGGGATAACATCGAAACACTTATATTTAAATTATGAATCTGTTATTGATTTAGCATGAAGATAATTTGGTTTAAGGTTCGCTTCATTACAGATTTACTGATTTGTGTATCAAAAATTATGGTTCATCGTCTTTTGTGAAAAATAATTGTACCAAGAGTCAGGAGAAGCTGTAAATTGAATATGAAGTGATTAACTTATTGATTGAACTCATTTTGCAGGACAGCTTACAGTTGCTGATGATATTCCTACGAGGAGAATACATGATCGTTGAAATTTAAACTGTTCAATTGATAGGCCCAAGAGCAAATCTAAAGAAAATATTTTATTGGTTAATATTGAAAACATTTTGAATGACTGGAAATGGCTGCTTTACCCTAATGAAAGGACAGATACAAATAGACTGCATATCAATCCAGAGGCATCAGGATCATCCGCAAAACTGGTTAAACTATTTAATATAATTACGGTTATAAAAGTTAGTAATCAACCACAAAAAACTGTTAAACTCGAAACTTACTCTTTCTCTCGCATTGCTTGAGTGAATCTAGCTACATAACCAATGCCAAAACCTATGCCAATAAACATTTGACAAATAACGACCAAAGTAACAGAGCTGATTGTTTTTGAGTATAAAAGTTATTATTATGAGCATCATGGAAGTTGGTCAAACAAAATGAAGAAACAACTTTTTACTGATTTCGTTGTTAATATTTAAACTACTGATATCCCACCTCATGCAAAAAACCACCAGCAAGTGGTCCAATAATCGTTCCAACTGAAAAACACATCTCCAAAAGTCCCTGAGCAGATATAACAATATACAATAATATCTTACTTCTAGACCAATGTAGAATCAACAATACCATTTAACATAATCAATATATTGTACTAGTTAGGCACTTACAAACATTTGAGATATGTGATCAGCAAAAAAGGTCGGCACTGCAGCAAAGACGCAAGAATACAAAGCAGCCATTTCAATGGACCCGAAAATTCGAACTAAGCCACACAAAACGGCAAACGGTGTTCCATAAGGAGCCCATACTAACGCTCTAAATATTAAAGTGTTCATTGATACAATCTGTTGTGAATGGATCAAGTTTCTAGTTACCCGAAAAATGAGCCCAATGGTGCCCATTATTGATCCAACCAACATAATTAATCTTATTCCTAGTTTTGGCAGCTTTAAAGGTATTACAATACAATTTGAAATCTTAAATTAAAGACAAACTTGATTGCTGTATTGTCATAACTTACCAATATTCCAACAATTGGAGATAAAACGATTGAAACAATTTCTTGAATTGATATTAAAAATCCATAGACGAATGGCGTTAGTCCCTTTGATTGGGCCTGTAAAAAACGACTTTTAATGTTTCTTCTTCGACTGATTGTTTTCAACAAAAGATCACCTCTTTAGGGGAGAAAGGAGCCAAACATGAGTTTGCACTGCCAACAATGGTATTTACATACGCAAAATAGCTATAATTGTGTAATCTTTTTTGGCCAATTTGGCACTTTATTTCCGTCAATACTGTTATATACTGGCATTTTAAACATATCATGTTCAAGTTTCTCTTGATTTTCATCATTCGTCATGTTGAGTAACAGTTGAAAATAGATCCGTTAAGTTGATTTGTTGGTGAACTGATGCAGTAAAAATAACGGAGAGTAGAAGAGGAAAATGGGATTCAATGAAGGAAACATTGTCTGATTAAATAATCTCATAAAAGACGATATTTTGAATATTTAACAAACTTGATTACCTAATCCTTGCTTAATAGAGCTAAACAATTTGCTAAACAATTTCAATTCATTTGTTGAAATAGCGTGATCCATTTACTTCTTTTGTTTAATCTAGTTAGGAACTGAGCTCTACTAACATGAATAACGAAAGATCCATTGCTTTAAAGTTATCATCTACGAGAGACACTTAACCGATTGAGTGTATTAGTCTGAACATTTTGATGATCAATAACTTGACAAACGACAAAGATTGAAGCCTTCAGTTGAACAAAACATATTCAAGAATGCAATTTGGTTATAAGTAGTTTTATTACAGATTTACTGGTTTTAATGTCATAGGATACAATAAATTATGGTTCATCGTCTTTTGTGAAAAATAACTGTACCAAGAATTAAAAGAAGCTGTGAATTAAAGAGAAAAGATTAGATTAATTAAACTCTCTTTCGATACGAAGCTTACAGTTGCCGATGACATTCCTACGATGAAAATGCATGATTTTTGAAATGAAAAATGTTCGACCAATTGACCACCAATAATAGGTCCAAGACCAGATCTAGTTGTTGGAGTTGTAAAAAAGTAACATTGCTTTCGTTAATAAAAATTGGTACAAAATTTTGCATGAAAAAAACTACTTTACCCTAATGCAAAAACAGATACAAATAGACTGCTCATCAATCCAGAGACATCAGGATCATCCTTAAGGCTGGTTAAACTATTTGGTACAATTAGAGTTGAATTTAAAATTGATTAGCAATTTAAAGATTGTCGAAACTCGAAACTTACTCTTTCTCCCGCATTCCTTGAGTAAATGTAGATACAAAGCAAAATGAAGTTCCAATACCAATAAACATTTGGCAAATAACAACCAAAGTAACAGAGCTGATTTCAAGTAAAAAAAGTAATGTTTTAATAAAATTTAAGGCACTGCTAAATCTAAATGGTTATTGAAATTGAAAATACTAATACTTACGGTTTTATTGGAATCGGATACATTGGTCCAATGAAAAGGTAAGCAATGATAACAAAGGCGAGTCCAATTATACTCATGAATGTTGCATCTTTAATTTTGGGTAAAACCAAACCAACAAGCCAAGTTGAAACTCCATAGAAAAGTCCAACTACCAAGAAAATAGCGCCAACAGTTGATGATCGCAAATCAGCAAACTATTTACATGCAAATTGATTGAATTACAAATTAAATTAGTGCCATTCTGATCTTCATCAAACTTTATCTAAAAAAGGCTTTCTGTTGACATGATTTTAGTTACTAATGCTAGCAGAATTCAAAAATGGAAGTGCTAAAAGTAATGTCAAGTTATGATAGATGTTTAGGTAAACTGAGTCAACTTACACTTCTTAAGTGTGGTTCAAGAGACACTTGAATAAATCCAAATACAACACAGACGATTAATGAAACAATGATGTTGACGGTGATTCTGAAGTTGGATAGAATACTAAGAATTCCAGCTTTGTTCTCAGTTTTGGTTGAATCTAAAATTGGTTAAAGACAACTTGATGAAACATTTAGTGCAAGAGTAAAATTATACCTTTCATTTCAGGGCAAATGAAAAATATCAATGGGAAAGACAAGGCCAATAGTCCACCGGCCACGAAAAAAGGAAGGCCAAAACCTCCATACTGTAAGTTGACCAAAAAAAGACAAAAGTCGTTTATTTCAAATTTCATTTTCAATATTTTCACCATTTTCCCACCTCATACAGGAAGCCACCAGCAAGAGGTCCAATAATCATTCCAACTGAAGCACACATTTCCAAAAGTCCCTGAATTTGAATTTAGGTAAAAAAATTGATCGATTAGATTGATGCAATATTAAACAATCGGAATATTATTAACATTGACAACATTGATAAACTTACAAACACTTGAGATATGTGCTCAGGAAAAAAGGTTGGTATTGCGGCAAACATACAAGCAAATATACCAGCCATTCCAATGGACCCAAACCCTCGAACCAAGCCACATGAAACGGCAAATGGTGTCCCATACGGAGCCCAGACTAGCGCTCTAAAGGTTTAAATGCTCATTAATATTCAACTTGTGTGATTAATAGAGAAAGTTTCTAGTTACCCAAAAAATATGACTCCAATGGTGCCCATAATTGATCCAACCAACATAATTAACCTTATTCCTAGTTTTGGCAGCTTTAAAGGTACAAATAGAAGCCTTAATTTCAAACAAACTTGATTGCTGTATTTGAAAGACTTACCAAAATTCCAACAATTGGAGATAAAATGAATGTTACAAGTTCTTGAATTGATATTAAAAATCCATAAACGGATGGCGTTAATCCTTTTGACTCAGCCTGTGAAAAAGCGAATTCAAAGGCATTATAAGGACTGGTAGTTAAAAAGTGACGACCAAGTGTTTACTTTCAGTGTTATCAATAACCGATATCAGACTAATTTCATAAATTACATCATTGAATGAACTAGAAATCTTTGCTTTCGAAATATTGTTCCATTCATAGCTCTATCTATCACTGATTAATCTTAATATTCAATTTTCTTGATGGTTTTACCTCTTTAGGGAAGAAAGGAGCCAGACATGAATAGGCACATCCAATGATGATATTTACATAGGCGAATGTAGCTATAATAATGTAATCTTTTCTGGTTAATTTGGCAGGTTTTCCAGTTGGTAGCTTACTGTCATAACTGTTGTTAGACACTGTCATTGTAAGCACACTGTGTCCAAGTTTTACTTGATTTTGATCACTGACCATGTTGATTAAAAGTTTTTCAAATTTACTCAAAAAATTTGGAGACTCCGAGTATCAATAACCTATGTGAGGTCACTTAAGATGCACATTAACGTATTTAAATGACACAAACTATTCAATCTATTTTACATTTAAATAAGTCAAGAAATTTGGTTTACTCGATATTTTAACACCTTTACAACTATTGGATTGACTGAGATTGAAAGCTGTTTTTATGGATAAAAACTCAAGGAAGAGTTAATTGGTAAATGATAGTGTATTTAGATTATTACACTTTCATATTGAAGACTTGAAGTGCCATAAATGGTTTATCGAAAGATCTGTCCATGCTTAGGTACAATGCAAGTGAACTGAAAACTAGTGTCAATCTTATCAACCATTAATATTACATTATGATAAGAATCTCTTGAAACTTGTTACAATCGATTTACTCAATGAAATTGAAGACTGATTATGACTCTCATCATTAAACCTAACCAAACCTAATTTACATTATCACTGGTATTTGAAAGTTAGGTGCAAATAAATTGGACTGAAAGCACTGAGAGCTTAAAAGACATCGTAAAGTGTCTTAATTGTGTTCAGATGTCGTGTTAACATGTTTTGAAGCAAATTTTGTTCAATTTACCCGATTAATCCATCATCAGGCAATAGTTAGATTAAAAGAGTTGACACTAATTTTATATTTAAACCGGTTAATTGTGGTCTAATTAGTCTTTGCATGTTTCCTACAATATCCGATACTGACTCAAATAATTTTAACCAATTTAACATCTAATGAGCTGTTTCTGATAGTGATCACCATAATCATCATTATGATTTTCATCGTGTAAACTCCTAATTTCAATGATTAACCTTTCTTAAGGTTGTTGTCAATAACAAATATAACAGAGTAACGTATGAAAGGCGCAAAAAAAATTGAAAGCTCAACAAAAAAAGCAAATTATACCTAAAAAAAGGTTCAATTGTTTTTCAAGGTTGATAACCAAAAAGTGCAACAACCAAAAATTGAACAAAATCTTTGGTTCCTTTGAAAGACGGCAAAAAACGCTTCTCAACCCATCCATGCCAATGTTTGCTGTTTACAGATCCAAAGCGTCTAATCTTGCTGCTATTATCAGCCATTAATTATAAATTGAAATGTTTATGATTGTTAAGAAAGAAAGATATTGTTAGAGGTAAAATAGTAAAGATAGTGTAATATAAAGTCAAGTGAAAAACATCATGTTTTCCATGTTAATCATTATTATTACCAATGATTAGCTGAGCTTTCAAACCATGTAAAGTCAAAGGGTAAATGTTAAGATGGCATAAATTGTTGTTTCAATTGTTTACAGACAATTGTAAATATTGAAAGCAAACAAATAGTGATGATAACATTGATTGTACAAATCAACAGACTTGGTGTTTTGTAAGGCAGCAAAAGCGGGTAAAAAACTGGTGAAGTACTTGAAAACACCTAAATATTAGGTTGTAACGCAATGTAACAGCAACAAGAGCAATACATGTGCACCAACAATCCTAATAATGGTGAACGTGACCATGAATATGATTAAATACAGTGAGACTTGTAAATAGCCTTTGAACTGAACAGCAACAAAGTATTAAACGGTAAGAGCGTTGCACCTTAACCCAGGTAATATTGAAAATTATTAGCAATGATAATGGTTTGTTGAATGTTAGTCAATCAAAACTCTTCCTTCTTCTCCATCCATTACATTGGCTTAGCCATTTACAAGCCAGTCTGATGATGATGATGATGATGATGAATAAAAATATTCCCAAAATTTTTGTTCGTGAATATGAATAACGCATAGCTCCACCCCAAAATACCAATCAAATTATCTGGTTAATCAACCATGATGAGGATGAAGATGAGAGAAAGAGCTAGAGAGAGAGAGATGAAAAGGTAAAAAATTGTGTGAGAATGAAAAATATGTTGAAAACCGGACTTGATAAATACCACATCAGCATCAATCTTTAATTCTGATTCAAGGTTTGTTCAGAAATGCTTTTTTTTTCTCTCTTCTCCTTTTCTCCTTCAGAACTTTTTTCATTCTTGAATCTTTTTCTTTTCTTTCATGGCCTAGCCTTGTCAAAATGCTTTTCCTACTTTCTTGGTCTTTCCCTCCTTCTCTTGGTTGGTCCCTCACCATGCCAGTCATCATCATCAGCATCATCATCACGTTGGTTGTTGACCTGTTAGGAGAGAGAGATCATAAAACCTGTTGCTTAGTGTCTATTCTGTTGTTTATTTGCCCTTTTTTGGGACTTTTTTTTCTTCTTCTTCTTCTTACCTTATCCTATCTTTATCATGAAAAATATGAAACATGAAAAGAAGACAAATCATCAATGAGGAAATAATAATCTTCCCCTTTTCAAATGCTCACTAGCTTCAAGATCTTTCACTGTATTTACACAGAAACCATCCTTTAATGTTGTCGTTAAATGTCACTGATCAGCCTTTTTTGTATTTTTTGCTTCTGATTGTTTCAATTGTGACTTTACAATTGTTTCAGTCTCCTCCTTTGTCATCACAAAAATCATCATCAAAATGATCATCAAAATCATTGTTCCTCCACAAAAATTGAAAACTGGATGAACCTAGAATGGAGAAGAAGAAGAAAAAAAGGTTGAAATTATCATTTAAAATCATTTTCACTTCATTCTTATCATTGATTTGCACTTGACTTGAGACTATGGCAAAAACTGGTTAATCACAATAAAAGCCATAAATGTTTCAAGCGTTAATCTGTCGATTAAATAAAACCAATTCAAACCTTTTACCAACAAATTGACCACTAAACGATTCAAGAGTCAAGTCAAGCCTATTTCATTTGAATCTTGCCTGATCAAGCCAATAATTCAACAATATATTAATAGGATTTATTATTGATATGATAAGATAATAAGGTCAATAAGTAAAGGTCAGTTAATGGACAAAATATCAACTCAATACTATCCTCAATTTTTAACCAACAACCAATCAAATTAGGTCAATTGAAGTTGGTTAAAAATTATTTCCAACCATTCAATTGTTAGGATCAATCTATGAATCAACAATGGAAATCTTTTCTGTTGTTAATTTAAATAACTTTGCTTACAATTTCCACTTAATCATCATCAATTCTTATGATCAATCTTGAAAAACTTGCGAAAAATTCCATTAACAATTGAATAGATTAAAAGGTGCTAATAAAGATATTCAATACTAAATGGAAATAATCAAATTACATTTGATTACTTTGTGTATTTTGAAATTCAACCTTTCTGTTCCCAACAAAATCGTGGTTTTTCATTTTCTCAGAAAAATAACCATTAAGAATATTAGTAATGATTAGAACACTAATTGACGGAAATACTTAGCTAATTTTTATATTAATTATCATCTAAAATTACAAGCAGCTTTGAAAAAATCATTAAAACTATCTTCCTTGATCAGTTTTGTGTTGCAGGATAAATTTGATTCAGACAAATGAAACTTCTACCAATACTGGTTTAGGTAAAACAATAAAGGTAAAAGCAATTCATTTTGCAAGCAAATTAGATCAATAATCGGCAGATAATTTACTGGTTTAGAGCTGAATAATAGGAAGAAGACAAACAATTTAACCACAAAATCGGGTTGTAATGGTTTGTGACAAAAGTGATTTAGATCTTTTACAATTTAACAATCAAAAGTGTTATTTATAAACCTTGTATCGTTAAAATAACGTTTTCACTTTGATTTACTTTGGTTCCGTCTTTTTATGTTTACCTTTAACAGGCTTTAGCAGTGGCGTAAATTGTCGTCAATGAATCAGAATCAGGAACTTGATTAAACAACCAATAATGCAAGGTATTTGGCTCGTATTTACCAACAGTGTCAACAATGGATTCGTTGAAATCTTAAATTCAGCTCATGAGATAGATGTGAGTTCAACAATTCGCCATGAACTTTCCAGCATAGACTTGCAATTTCCAACTTGCTGTTCTTTTGCAAATATTAGGCTATTCCTGGATCTGAAATGAGAATGGAAACAAAACAATTAGAAACAGACATTATAATTGTCACCTTAAATGAAATACATGACAATTAAAACTGCAGCTAGATTATAGTAGCCAAATTAATGTTAGATCAAATTAGACAAAGTGAAAAGCCACTATTATCAACGGTTACCATCATTTTAGTTGCATCAATATTAGGTTTGTAACACTGTTTTTTTTGGTGTAATAGATACTCTACTCCCAACTGATGTGATTAGTTTACAATAATGTAGCAATTAGCAGCGAAAAGTCAATCGTAGTTGATTTTGTTTTATAACACCTAAGACTAATTATGAGAGTTGATATGAATATACATATATGTATATTTATATGTTATCATATTTTCCATGTTTGCTCATTGAGATGAACATAATTAATGTTTACTTGTTGTTTTGTTGGGTTTGCTGTTATGTCTTTGCTGTTTATTATTGCTTATCATCGAATTTCTGAAGAGAGATTTCACCATTTCTAACCGGAAATGTAACAAAAACGGTTATTAATTTACCAAGAATGAAAAATCAATGTTATCCAGTGGTATTCAAACGGTGAGAAGAAATCATGAGGATCAGTCTGAATTGAGGAAAGGCTGATTGTAATATTTTGGAGGTTAACAGGAAAACTGTGTTTAATAATGATGAGGAGGATGATGATTAATATTATGATGATTAGGTTAGACTATCAGGGAGAGAGGAAGAGAGGGAGAATAGAGGAAGACAGAGAGAGACACAGAAAAGCACAAATGCAAAAGTAGAGTGAGGAAAAAACACACAGAGAAATAACAGTTGAAGCGAGGGACGCCATATTTATGCAGCACACATTTGTAACAGAAAGACTGGTAGATTTGTTGACCGTCAAAAAAAGAGGGTAAATCAAAAGCCGTTAACTGTTGAGTTTCAAAAAAAAAATGGTGACATCACTTGACAAAGAAGGTTAAAAATTGAAGTGAAACTGAAAAAATGGCAGATAAATTGTCTAATGATTTGCTTTTAAATAAACATGGCGAGTGATGATTAAAATGGTTCAACTTTCATCCAAAAACCTTTTCGCTCTAATTTGGATTTCTTTTGTTTTCTGGTTTTCTTATCTTTTTATTTTCGCTCCAATTTTTAGGTTTTGTTTAGTTTTTCTGGTTTTCTGGTTAACTTTTGGACTAGATAATATTAACATGGGAATGATGTAAGTGGGGTTAATGTACAGTTAAAACATAAACTATGAGTGTTTTAATGGTCTGAGAAATTGTTACAATTGTTTTTGCTGTTGTTACTTTTGAGCTACTGTTGATTGCTTACTAATCAAGACAAAACCAGCAAGACTATTGAAAAGTGATTTGGAAATTTGTGTTTTTGCTTGTTAGAAGCTGAAAATTGATTGGAACCAGTTAGATGGGCCATTGGGTTGCCAAATCAACAATCAACATGATTGTGAGTGTTGAACACATTTCCAAATGATGTAGATCACTCGTTTGCTTTCACTTTTAGCCATTTCTTTGCTTTCGAAATTTTGGCTTTTCTGTTTTCGCCTTCTTCATCTTCTTGCAATTATTTTGGCCATTCATCAGCATCTTTTTCACTCTTATCTTGTCTTCACTCTCTAACACAATAAACAAATGATTTTGGTTCAATTTGGGTTATTTTTGTTAACAATTTTGCTTGGAAATAAGCCAATAGTCAGAGAATTGTTTATAGCTAAATGTACATCCAAACCATTTAGATGCTGTTGCAGTTGAACACTTTTTTGCTGCTTCTCCATTCAACTTTCATCTTCACTTGATTAGAGTTTGATTTAAATGATGAAATCAACCATTATACTCAATTTAATTTAAATCAACCTTTCACTGACTAACAAAAAGTGTATTCAAACAGTCGATCAGAATCTTTAGTAAACTTTTTTCTCTTAAACTCTTATTCAGTAAAACCTTGCTATTAAAAAAGGTTAACAATCAGCTTGAATCTTGTTTCACTTTTTAATGAGCTACATTTGAAATAAGCTGAAGGGCGATAAAACAATGAGCTTACATTTTTAAGATCATTTGTTGATGGTTAACTAAATTAAAACGATTAAAAGTGGATAATTTTTGACTTTCTTTCTTCAAACTGGACGGTGAGATTTATTAAGATTAACCTTGTTATAATTATTTATGGTCAACAGTAATGTTGAGGAATAAGGAAACAAGATTATTAAAAATTGGTTTAACTGTTCAATGAATGGATTTGCTTTTATCATGATTGATAATAAAATCAATTGTGATACGTAATATAAAGCTAAAAAAGATGCAAATAAGGTTAACAGAAATAAACAGTTGGTTAATGATTTCAATTAAAACACACAGATACATACAAAAATATAGACATTAGATTCATTTATCAGCAGTGATTCTTTATACTTTTTTGTTTAGTGTAAAAACTGGTACTAGCAATGCGACAATCAAATGGTTAATTAGTTTGCTTATACGTAAAATAGTTGGCAAGAAAAGTGCAATGAATCAATTTGATTATCAACAGCGGGAAGTAAAAACGCTGTCTAGTTGAAATCGAAAGTAATAGGAAAAGTTGAAAATAAATGGCATCAAATTGTCAAACGTTGAATATTGACGTTTAATCAGCCAATCCATTGAAGAACAAGAATCAAGTTTTTTTTCCATTATTGACCGACATATTTTGTGTGTTGGAAAAAAATTGTTTAGCCACCAAATTGTTCAACTTTTGGGTTTAGGAATGCCAATTTGATGCGGTGTGTTGTCAATATGTTGATTGTTGAAGAATTGAAAGAAAGTTGAATGTTGAGTCGCGAGAGAAACAAAATTGAGTTATATGGCAAGTTTAAATGAAGAGAGAGTTTGTTATCATCGAGAAATATCCACTGATGGAGGTGAAAAAAGGTGATAGCAGCTTAAGAAGAGCGATAAAAAACATGGAGATGTTAACCTGTTTCTCCAGCGCCACATTTTTGTTGCTCCTTATCAAAGTAGAGGAATGTTTTTAAGGTCAATTTCAGGGTTGACCTCACAGACTTGAAAATCTTGCTTTCCCGAATGGTAAAGAAAGAAACGCCAAAAGAAAGAAAACCATTAATCCTTAAAGATGATCAACATATTCCTCAAGACTTCAGCACTTGACTAGCCTCTTCACATTCTATCATCTTTTACCTTACCTTTCCTCTTTAAGAAGCGAAAGAAAGAACAAAAAAAATGGCGAAAGAGAAGAAGATGGAAGAAAGAAGATTAGAGAAGAAGAAGAAAGTAGTAGAAGAATGATGATGAAGATGATGGCGATGAAGATGATGAAGATGATGAAGATGATGAAGATGATGAAGAGGGAAAAAAGCAAGAAAAGGAATTTTGACTGGAGAAAGAAAGGGAAATACTTTTAACGAAAGAGGATTAAAAGAAAGAGAAGATTATAAGAGAAAGATGATGAAAAGGAAGAATCAGTAAGAGAAATGTCAGTTTCTTTCTGCTTACTTTACTTCTTTGCGCAGCTTCCAACTCAATGTGCTCATGCGTTCTGAACTTTTTTCGGCCATTTTTTGCTTTTGGGGGCGCCACTAGTAAGTCTCTTTTCGCCTTTCTTTATGTTCCTTACTTTGCCATTCAGGTTCCTTCAGGTTTCAATTCAAGAACGATCCTTTATACCAACACTTTGTGTGTTCAATTTTTATCTGTACATGAAACATGAATTTTTTTGAGTGTCGTTTAAATGAACTCTCCGATTCCTTTTTTGTTTAATGTCTCTACCAAAATATGATCAACACCATCATCCACAATAAATTATCCGGAATATTCAAAGCGATTACCATACATTTGAAAAATAATTGTGTTACCAATCCTGGATCACTTTCTTCTTCCCCTCTCCGATTTTCATCGTCTTCATCAGTTTCTTTTACTTATCATCAAAGTTTCGCGTGGCGACCCAATTTCTTTTTATAATAATTAACAAAGTGAAACTAAAAACAAATTTTCAGAATCAACTAATAACTTATCTATAATTTCTAATTTATTACAACTTCTCCTTTTTTATACAATTTTCAATTCAACACTATTTCTCACTCTCTTTTTATTTGATATTGATACTATTGTATACTACATTCTATAACTTTCACCACAATACCGACAATCTTTTATACATCAAAACCACTCTTTTCTCTCTTTTGTTTCTTGCTTTGTGTGTCTCTTTTTTTTCATTAATTATTCATACTCTTAAATCAATTACCTTGTCAAAGCCAGCGCTTGGGTAAACCTATTTTGTTTCACTTGTAACCCCCAATGCTACACCATTCAGTGCTTGTGTTAACGTTCTAAATGATATGTGAGCGATATGCCCGTTAATTGGCCCACAACCGGCCGCACGCCCGGCTCTGCTATGGAATACGTTAGACAGTTAAAAGCATTGACTACCTTTTCATCCCTTTTTGAATTCAATGCGAATCAAATACGCGTTGATAATATTGTTTTTAAGTTACACTCAACAGTGACTGTACTCATACTCTTAGTTGGAACCATGTTTGTTTCTATGAGACAATATTTTGGTGAACCAATAGAATGTATGAACGGTGGGAGAAGTGATATTCAAATTGCCACAATCCAACATTATTGTTGGCTTGAAGCTACATTCTCCGTCCCCGGACCCAAAACCGAATATGCTGGAGTCCATCACGCCTATCCAGGTATAAAGACACAAGGACCTAATGATAAGAAGGTCTACCATAAATACTACCAATGGGTTTACTTCGTTTTAATAATACAAGTAAGTTAATCATATGTCTCTATAATTCTTATTGAAGATTTCATTATTATTCGCAATTTTCAGTGTTTCGTGTTTGTGAAAGGCCTTGTGTTATTCACATGTTTGAAATCATTCAATATCATGTTTCTCTGTCTCTTGCATCTTTATTCAGCTTTCTCGTGAAGGTTTGATAATGAGTCTAGATGTGGGAGCTCACTCTTTTTGAACATGTTTTATTAATTGATTCTCTGTTTTTTAACCTTTTACTTCTAGGCTATACTGTTTTATGTCCCACGGTATATATGGAAAGCAAAGGAAGCCAAAAGGATTCGTACTTTAATTAGCGAGCTTAAGCAGCAACATATACTTGAAAGAAATGAGTATGACCGCCAAAGACTAGTTCAGGATGTGGCTGATTCTCTGTTAATCAGTAATGACTACTTCTATCATTTCTTTATGTGCGAAGTGTTCTATATGATCCATCTTGTATGTCAAGTATGGTTCACCAACATGTTCCTTGGTGGGGCCTTTTTATATCTCGGCCTGGAATGGCTATCATTTGCTCATGCATCTATAGACTATCGTTATGATCCTCTAATTAGAGTGTTCCCTAGATTGACCAAGTGTAGTTTCCAGAAGTTTGGCTTCTCTGGTACAATAGAGACAATCGATACTCTGTGCTTCTTACCGTTGAACATTGTCAACGAAAAGATTTATGTTGTCCTTTGGTTCTGGTTTCTATTTCTATTTATCGTCACCGGTTCCTACTTGGTCTATCGTATTGTACTGATGGTTTTACCAGCAGCTAGGTATCGAAGATTACAAGCCATGGCTCCAAGTACAGACAAGAAATGTCTTAAAAGGTTGTCAAGCCGAGCGGGCAATTGGTTCATCCTTCAATTCCTCGCAAACAATATGAAACCCTCACACTTCCGTGATCTCATTGATGAAGTGATGAAAGCACATTTTGACCAGGCCGGCAAACCACTATATAAAAGTAATAAGCTTGGTAAAGCAATTCAGAATGGCTTATCATCTGTGACTCCCTCTGCTCCAAAAAACTCAGGTAAACCTGATAAAAAGACGAAAAAGTTCGGAGATAAGAAGGGTGGACTGGACATTGGTTTTAACGCACCCAGTGCTCCGAATCCGGGGTTTGTTGTAAAGCGTGATCCACCCTCTGGACATTCAGGTGACTCAGATGATTGGGTCGGCCTGGGAAGTGGTACTGAAGATCCCCTTAATGATAATTGGCCTTAATGCTGATGCAACGTTTAATATCCAATTTATAAAGCTTTTTACAACAATTAATACAACTTTAATAAATTTCTACATCACCTCTGTCATCACCATCTCAATCATCTTCATCATCAAATTCAAACCTTCATCCTCATCTCTCTCCTCATTCACATTTTACATGGTTTTAAACATCATCCACGCAACCATGGTTTACCAATCGCGAGTTCAGGAATCCAAATAGGATGTGTGTCTTTTTTATGTAAATAATTCAATTGTGGTCATCATTGCTTCTGTTTTTTTAAAAATCACCAGGATTAATTTTTACACCGTACTGTATACATTACTCATGAATCATGTAAACAAACACTCTTCCTATCCATCTCCATTGTCTTCTCCACTTTTAAAGACAACATTTGATCTGGACATTTGAACGAATGATGGAAAACAATTTAGAAAGCATTTATGTGACCAATACCTCTCTCTCTCTTCTTCTCTGCATCTCGAATCATGTATACAATGCATACACACAACAAGCACACCTTTTGCAACAATAAAAAAAACAATTATAAATGCAACTCAATAATCCTCATCAAGGTATACCGAAGACGACGTTGACTACTTCTACAATTAATTTATAGAAACTTTCCTTATGCTTTTAACCTCCTCTTTAATTGCCAACGGACACCATCAAGGGTGAACTCAACCAAAATCAAAGCTGTTTTTCAATATCTAAATTCATTTTTCAATATTAAAAACACTTTGAATTTAGTATTTTTTGTTGTCCCTTTTCTTTAAAACCTTACACACACACACACAACACTCAAATTCACTTGCCTCATCCACTCTCTTTGTTTAATTTCAAGTTAGTGGAATGTATTAATACAGTGCTCGTCACCTTTAATTTATCCACCTTTTCAATTTTTACCTATTTTATTTGGTAGTGAGAATTTTTTCAGTTTTTCTTCTCTTTCTTTATCATCTTTACTCACTCCATCCGCCATTTCCTTTCCTTGCCTTTTCTTTCTTCTCTTACAGGTTCCTCACTCTTATTTGTGTTCTTTACTCTCTTTTTTTCTTTTTCTTTCTTTTTTTCTTCGATACTTTTCTTTCCCATCATCTTCCCATCATCTCTCTCCCCTTCTCTCTCTTTTCCTCTTAAGAAGAAGACTGGAAGAGAAAAATAGAGCCAAGCCCTCTAAGAATAACCACCCTACGAGAAGTAGAAGAAAACATTTCTAAACTTTCTTAACAAACTTCTAAATCCGGTTTTTCGCAGAAAAAAAAACACAACCTTTTCTTCTCTCCCTCTCCTTTTTCGCCCCTTTTCCTATTCTTTTTCTTGAATTCCTGTCTCTATTTGCGACCAAGTAAAATTAGCTCATTTTTGTTTTGGTGTGTTAGGCCGAGAGACTAAATTTAAGTCGAGAAAAGCAGAAAATTGTTGTCTATCTCTTTCCCATCTCTATCCTCGTCATCCAGCATCCTTCATCCTCTTCATCCTTCCTTTTCATCCCTTTCTCTCTCTCAATCTGCCTCCTCTTTTTTCCCTTCTCTGACAAATCACAATCTCTTTTGCTACAACTTCGTCCACTTTTTTTACTAAAACAAAATCAATTACAAAAAATAATACAATTGTCGGTCAATTTATACATGTAATGAATAAATGAAACACAAAAAAAACATAAAATTGCTTATAAAAAAGATGAACATAGCATGAAGAGAAACATTTAAAAGATTGTCTCGCATTTATTTACCTTCGCGTTCAAATATTTAACCGAATAATTTTTACCTTCATTTCTCAATTAATTGAACAGTCTCTTAGCGACATCAATGTTTTGTATTAAACATTTTTACGTGTTTTACTTTTCTAATCTAACATTAATTTATTCATCTCAAAGTTACTATCAAACAGCGTCAAACATTCCGGAAAGATGATATAAACTGTTGATTGAATGATAAGGTGATCAGGCGTAACAATTAAACAACAATTTATATTTTACATGTCTAGTAAGAAAGGAAGAAAGAAAAGTAAAAATCTAATGAATACAAATAATTATTTTCTGTTCCTTCCCCAACAGACTCATAAGTTTTGAGTAAAATTTTGGTTACCATTGGACCGCAACCCAAAAGCTTGTAAACATATGTGAACCAAAGACCAGGACTTAACAAAGCAAAGGAGCAGGACAAAGATGAACACAAAAGGAAGGTAACAACACAACGAGGACTCAACTTTCCACCTTGAAGTTAGGAGCAGAAAAAAGAGCGACAAAATGGCTTCACCAGTACCTTCAACAGACTTACATAGAGCACAATCAACTGATATCAATCTAAATTATTAATTTTAACGGCAGTTGAATAACAGAGATGGTGATATTAATCAAGATGAAAATGTACAGACTTTGGGTTATTGTTGTATGTCAATGTGCAAAGACTGTTTTTTCATGTTGATAGTTGTTTTTTTGAATGAAAAAGCTGCTGATACTATTAGCGATGCTGATGGTGATGTTGATGGCGATGTTGATGGTTATGGTGATGGTGATGTTGATGGAGGAGGAAGAGGGTGGGAAGATTGAATAAGTAAAAGTAACATTCATCCGTAACGTAATTTAAAACGGCTGGAAAGGAAAGCAACATCAAAAATTGTCATCATTTACTTTAAATGGTTCCTCAGAGTTTTCTGATTGTTACCAGATTGTCTTTATTCAAAGTCACTTCAATTTTAACCATTTAATTAAAACGCTTAATACACTTTAGACATAATTAAAGTGTATTTACATTTTTACTATTCAAACTGTTAATGTAAAATGATCGTGTTGTTTCATCTTTCGCCATGGTTTATGGAATCAATTTGGTTCTTAAAAATTTACTAATTTTCATTTTATCATTGCTTCTTTCTTCCTATTGATTGATTGTTTTACCGATTTGATTGTACAAAATTTCCGGCTACTTTGCTCAAAGGTAAGGTTGTGTGTAGTAAAAATTTATTTATTATTGAAAGAGTAAAGGAAAAAGGCCTTTTGTTGTTTAGTAAAGGTAAATTTTGTTTTCATCTTTCAGTCATGTGAAGCTTGAAAGGTAAAAGCTCAAGACGTTTTCAACTTTACTTGCTTTTTGTTGATAAAGAAACCTGAGATTACATTATAACTTGAAGTAAACCCATTAGACGATTCAAAATGAACACCTTTACTTTTTTTTCCTGGTATAAAGCATGTTGTGTTATAGTGTCTTTTGTATTGAAAGTTGGTTAAACCTAATTTCATTAAATCTTGAATAACCAAATGACTTAAATGTACAATTTATGTATCAATAAATGTATCAATTTTATCAAATTTATACTTGAATGCAAATGAGACACAATCTCCCAGGTTGGGTTTGTTGGGCAACCAAAAAGGAAACAAACTTCGAGACTGTCCAACTGAACCTAGAAACCACTTGGAGACCTAAACAAAATACAAAACAAACATTTCCATCAATTGTAAAGTTTGATTATAAAAAAATCGTGTTGCCGCTTATAATTGAATTTGTGAGAATTTACCTCAATTTTAACAATTTAGTTATCAAATGACACAGTGAACATCAAATGCTTCATTGTTTTAAACTCAAGATGGGATTAAAGTGATTAATGTTTGATTTAAAAGGTGATATTCAAATTGGGACAAGAAAAATTTGACCATTTGTAAATGGAAACCAGTTTTGATGGTTAAAAATATGGTCAAATTTTCGTGATCTCAGCGCAAGTCTTTAGCTTTTTATCTTGGATGACGGAAGCTGAATAACATCAATTTTTCGTAATGTCAACTACGACTACAACTGTACCATCTAACCAGGAAAAGCTGAGGGAATTGTTGAATGAAGAAAGACAGCGAAGTGAACAAAGAAAACAAAATTACAATCAGTTGAGAGATGAACAGGTTAAACTGCGAACAGATTATTTAGCCTTGCAATCGGAAATTAAAACTATCCTGGAAGAGACCAAAGTGTTGAAGAAGCAAAAAGAGGATGATCTGGAAGAAGCAAGGAAAAAGATTGAACAACAAAATCAACTAATTGAGAAGTTGAAACGTGAACTAGACCTTCGAGATCCTCGTTTGATTGAACAACAGTTGACGCAAAAATTACGTGAACCATATTTAGAGTTAGAGAAGGAAAGAGATGGCCTTTTACGGGAACGTGAACGACTTTTGGGTGATTTAAAATGTTCAAAACAAAAGGTTGAACACATTGAGAAGGAGATGATAGAGTCCATTGAAAGAGTCCGATTGAGTTATGAGGTTGCAAATGCGGCAATTCAAAAGGAAAAGGAAGAGTTGAAAGTTAAATTGTTGGAGATTACAAAGACTCCTGAAGGGCAAAAGATATCAATGTTAACTGAACAGGTTCAAAGTTTAAGTGTCAAGTTACGGAGTAAGGAGAAGGCATTGGAAGATGCAACTCGTCAATATACAAAGATTCAAAATAATATTGAACATCTTAGTCTGGAACAGGAGAAGACATTAGCAGAACATGAAAGGCAAATTGAAATGTTACGCACTCAATTGACAGCTTCTCGTGAAGATAATATTAAACTGGATGATATAGTTAAACATCTTCGCCGAGAGAAAGATAATTTAACCAGAGACATTAAACGTTTGGAGCGTGATCAAAGTCGCCATCAGGAACAACTATTACAACTGGAACAAGCAAAAAAGTATGTTAACTTGGGCCTGGATTACTTTTGTTTTAATTGCCTCCATTCATGGGTAATTGAAACCAAAACTAGTCAACATTTCCTTGTCTTTCCAGAATCAAATTTACCCTTTTATCCAATCAATTGCTATTTTTGACTGAATTCAACTGCTAATAGTTAGAATCGTGAATTAACTTCAGGCTATGTTATTGCTCTTGTTTTTGTTTTCATCAGCTTAATTGTGAATTTCAATTTCTTTTTAGATATTGTTATGATTTCATTTCCTTCTTTGCTCTGATTTTTTTCCTTCTCATCCAACAGAGTTTCATTGGAGCAACGGATAGTTGAATTGAATGAGGAAAAGAGTTCATTAAAACAAGAACTGGACAATTTTAAACGGCTACTGGAAACAAATGGGGAACTTCGTATGAACCTGGAAAAAGAAGTAATGCTTCTGAAAGCCAAGATTGAATCGTACCAAAGCTTCCAGGAGGAAATTGATAGACTCAGGCGAAATCAGGCCAATTGTGCCGAAGAGTTGGATAAGGTGCGTGATGAGTTGGTTACTGCGTCAGCGATGAAAAAAGATTTAACCATTCAATTGCAGCGATCAGAGGAGGAATACAATCGGGTTAAGATGATTCTGGATGAAGAGAGGAGAGAAGTATTTGAATATAAGGTTGAAAGTGATAAAATAGTTAACAAATTGAAAAGTTGCCTGGAAGAGGAAAGAAATGAAATGAAAATTAGATTAGATAATTTAAATGATGAATGTAAAAGGAAACACAAGGAAAGGGAAGAAATGAAGGTAAAATGTAAGCAATATGCAAGTTTAGTTGAAAAATTACAGGTAGAGGTTAAATCATTGAAAGATCAAGTTGAACAGTTGGAAAAATTGAGCAAAGAAATGGTTCCTCTGAAAGTATATAAAGAGTTGAAGAGACAATACAAGGAATTGAAGCGTCTATTGAATGATCTACCAACATCAAGTCTAGTCAATTTATCTCACCAACAATTAAATCAAAAACCTGCCTTATTTTCAGTCCAATCAAACCATTGTAAAGTTACCAAAACTCGAGAGAAACAAACGACAACTTCTTGATCACATTTAATCATCAAATTATCCTCATAATAGTCCAATTAACTTATTGAAATTAGTATTTGCATTTTTTATCCTCTTTTTTCATTAAATATTGTTTACATTGTTTTTATCGTCTAAATTGGCCATTACCAAAAGTGGATCAAATGATGCAAAAATAACCTCAACCTGGACATCACTGGTAAAACCTAAATTGAAGCTAATAGTTGTCAGCAATCAACTGAACAGCAAAAAACAAGTTTTATTTCGCCAAAGATGACTGTGCCTATTGATGGTTTGACAATTAGTTTGAAATGATTTTTTTAATGATGTTAACATAACTAACCTCAATAGAATCGAGGTTTGATTCTGATTACAATTAACGTATCAACTACAGAATAAAAAAGAGCAACAATGAATTACTTTCTAATTTACTCTCTTTTTTTGTTTCAAATATAATTTACTAATTTTTTAGTCATCTAATATAGCTTTTCACTTGCTCAATGTGATCAATCATTTGAGAAATATGATCAACAGTTAATATTGATGGTATCCTGGCAGTTGATCCTGTATTATAACTGTAATCAGATTTACTTGCCGGTAAACCTGAGCAAAAGACAGTGAAATATCAAATGGTTCCTAAATCTTCACAAGTAATTAGTAAAATATTTTTCAGGTATTGGATCAGATAAGAGAAGAGCAAATAAGCAATAATATGCACCAAGAATGTCTTACTTTTTATTTTATTGAATGTGTTTATGATGGGTAAACAATAGTGACATCTTCTTGACCCTTTAATAACAAATCAACTTTCTCTTGGTCAGCAGCTTAAGGGCCAAAAAATAAAAGTAAGATCAATTTACCTGTTGATTAACATGATGAAAAGAAAAGAAGAAGAGAAAAGAAGAAAGGAATTAGAAAAAAGAAAAAGATCACTAAAAGTGATAAACTTGCGACTTAAAAATAATGGGACAGGAATAATGAGTGTACCAAGAAACGAGCAAGATGGAAGGAGAGGCAATAGGAATTAAGTTAATAAAAGAAGCAGGAGAAGAGAAGAGAAGAGAAGGGAAGAATAAGAATTTTTCAAGGAAGAAAAAGGCGGACAAAAAGGGTGAAGGGCATTAGCCTAAAGGCAAGGAACTGTATGAGCTTTCTAAGTTAACTTGAGAATAATAAAAAGCTTAGAGTAATTATGCTTTTCATCTATCACTTCTTCTTCTTCTTCTCTTCTCTTCTTCACAGATTTTCTTGTGAAGATGATTTTCATGAAGATGAGCTTCTTTGAGCGCTAACTAACATTTCAAAGGTACATTTATGTATATGAGAAACAGTTAAAAGGGTTTTACGCTAATTTGGCTTACCTTTGCTTTTTTAGTTTTAGCCTTTTCTCCTTCCATCCATTGTTATTGAGCTATTGTATTATAACGATCATCATCATCACCAGTTGATGGCCTAAATTTTTAAGCCTTAGTTTTCTAGTGGTGTTGATAGTGGTCATTGGTTGGTCAGGCAAACATCAAAGGAGATATAAAGTTAGGCGGGAAAAAAAGGTAAAGATGGTAAGGGTAGAGAAAGAGTTGCATGTAAATGTGCCTTAGGAATGTAACCACAAGACAAGGAATTAGTTGAAAGCTTGTTTGCCTATGTTAAAGACAATTTAATTTGACGTTGATTAATTAATAAATCACCAATTTAGTCAATTGTTTAAACATTTATTTAGTCAATCATTTAATAATAACAAAAACTTGAACCCAAAATGTTCATATCTTTTGTTATTATCAAATCAATCGGATAAACCAGATACTATCTTAACCAGGATCCGATCTAAAGCTCTTTTGTTGCTCTACCTCTTACCAAGCTAATCCTTTACTTTGGGTCAATGGTTTCTTCTGTGGTAATCATTAACCACAATCAGGTAATTAAGATCGATACAAAAGCACAATTAACTTTACCTTATAAACAAGATTATACCTTACAGATGATCATTTTGTTTCTTATTCAACCGTTTCTTATTCAACCAACTCAACATTTTCAAGTGAACCATAATTTTTCAAATCATTACTGGTTCATTGAAATGTATAACAATTTTATTAAAACCAGAAAAAATCTGGTTTGACAACTATTCAGAATGCTATCTTTTCACCCTTTAACACCTCTTATTGTCCAGCTAAATCAATCTTCAACAAAACAGTTTATCTTGTTGATTGCAAATGGATAAAACCAACCAGTTAATTGTATTGTTAGTTTTATTTAGACATTTAAATCATTCAGCCCAATTTCATTTCCATCTAAACTAGTTTAATATTTTCTAACCCAATTTAACCTGAAAATGTTATTTTTGACCAACAATAGTCTAATTAAAATGATATAAACTTATCCAAATATTATTAAACATTTGATTTGCTGATTTACTTGGCATTATGTATCACTTAAATCATCTTAAATTGCAAATTATGGCCAGTTATAGTAAATTGTGTGTTCAACCTTAACATCTGATTCAAAGGTTTTTACTTTTAAACTTGAAATTTAACCCAAAGTTAATTTCTGATAAACAATCATTTAATTTGCTTTAAGGTAAATCATCATTAATCCTTATTCTTCTTTGCACAATTAACTGTTACAATAGTTTAACCCATTTTAATTAATTTGCTTACGCTTTTTGTTTTCCCAATCGCCGTTTCAAGCTGTACTTTAATGTTACCTTCAATGTTTACACATTCACATGTTTGACCTAAATTTTACATCATTTTTTGAGTTGATGTTGCTTTTGTTTTGATTAACTTCAAGAATCATGATTTTGTCTGAGAAATGAAATACATAATGATAATCATGATAATCAGTTAATCATCAGACAACAGGTACACACAGTTTAATATTAATACACAAAAGGAACAGAGTGTTAACAAATGTTGATGTAACATCTTTAACCAGATTTGACCAAACCTTAAGGAAATGTATTGTGTTGAGCAGCTCTTTATTTTTTTGGTTAATTTAATAGCAACAGGTTTTAATCACTTTCAAGTATTAGCTGTTCAAAAGGTAAATTAATCAGCAAATATATAATCCGTAAAAATAAAAGGTTAACCAGTTGTTAGAGACCAGACTTGATATGGTTTTACGATGTTAACCAAGAGTGTATTTAGCAAGGGTTAGCAACATTACCAGCCATCATCAGGCCTCACCGATATCGGATACTGTTAATCAACCAAGTTAAACCATTAATCACTGTCATCATCATGATCAACATTAATCTGGTAAAAACATTATTGAACTGAATTAGAAAATACTAATACAACCAGTCAAGTATAAATAAATCAAAAAATAAAATTACAGACAAACAAGCAAAGAGACATTTATTGCTCAAAAGCACTTGGTCAAGATTAAGCCATTATGGCTGAAAGATCAAATTTTCATCCTGATTCCTAAACAAAAGCATGGTGATCATAGAAGCAAATCTGGTAAATTCATGTAACTATTTAGAGACTGAAATATGGATGAGAAAATATATTTGTTGAAAAGTTCAAATAATATCCTTTTGTTGCAGCTTGGACTCTCCATAATCAAATATCCTTCCCTTTCAATGGTTCTTGATAGTCGACTCAGGTTAAGTCAATGCCAAAAGAGCTGGGATTCAGCAAATGACGATATGTTCATCAAAATTTGAAACACATAGGCTTGTTTGATGTGAAATGCCTCTCTAGCTTGACCAAAGATCTGACCAAATCCAAGGCAAACCTTTTGAAGTAATATACCAAACTGGCAGTTAAGGAATGACATCAATCTGTGTATAAAAGCTTGATAGACAAACACGAGATTAAATGATGTTAGATTTTCATGATTTCGCTATTGAAAGTATATAATGAATCCTTGTCTTCTCCCGCATTTCGTATCTCATGTTTCCATGTTTCTTCCCCTTTTAGTTGTTTAAACCAGACGGGAAGATTTCATTGTTAATCGTGATTATTTGCCTCCGTAAGTAGCCCGATACGATCATCCTTACCAGATTAGATTAGCCATAAAAAGGTTGCGCTCATTCATGTGAAATCTGTTGAAATGCAATCTACTCTCATCATTCTTTTTACACTCATTGTATTGTGTAAGAAGTTGTGGTCAGAGGCCATTTTGCTGAGGTAGAACCAGAAAATTACAATAATGATTAGTTATAAAAAATTCAACCAGACATAACAAAGGTTCATTCAATAGTTTTCATATCAGAATATCTGAACAAATACAAAGACTCTGAAACTCTAATTCTTGTCTGTTCATTTCATACTTACTTTTTTTCAAATTTTCCAAGCAATATCGTGAAACTACTAATTTAACTGAATATTTCACACAATAAAGTCTATCTCTAATCAATCCGAACTTTAGAATGGCCATCATTTTTGCTTTTCATCACAATTGAGGAATGACGAGTAATGGTTTCGACTTGAACATAAGATATTACATTGTATTGAGCAAACAAAATCTGTCGACAATCACGATGGTTAGACAAAACATTAAGTGTTAGTAGGTTAGTAAAAAATAAAATAACATTTTGATTAAAATTAATTAAAATTTAATTTTCCAAAAAATAACCCATTTTATCAAATAAACAAACACAAAACATAATATAAAAACCAAGCGTAATTGAATGAAAGCTAAGAAGCGCAAAAATCAAACATTGAAAGGTTGAGTACAAAATTGAATAATTGAAATAACCTGAAATACGGTTAATAAATTATCAACATATTATATCCTTAATACTATTCCAATTAAGCTTTTAAACTAATGTCCAATCCAATTTACCTTGCAGGCAATTTGATCTAGATCGTCTTCTTCCTATTTTACCTTCAACATTGACTTGCAAATGCTATGACAGTGTTTACAACAGGTAAGCAAAGCAAGTTATGTGAATCTGACAAAAATGAAGATTTCTTTTTCTCTCTTTTTGAGTACAAAAAAAGTCAAAGTTTCACAGATAAAAAGCAAGCTTGAGCCTTTTTTTTCAAGTAAAACATGTAACATTCAGGTAAAGAGGGATTCGCCTGAGGATTTGATCTGGCTTACCTGTTGAAGCGTTCAATCTTTATGAACGCAACAAAATGGAGAATTATTTTCTTCTTCTTCTCCAAGACGATGATGATGATGGTGATAGTGATGATAATGATAATGATAATGATGAAAATAATTTGCAATAAGATGCAAGGACATTCAGCTATTCAGTAGTGAGCAATAACTTTTTTTGTTGCTGCTCAAAAAACTTGAGCTAACTCAAGGATCCGTGATCGGGAAAAGGTAAACTCAAGGTTTTTTTAATGCTTTTTTCTTCTTCGTCTTCATGTTCTTTATTCTTCTGAATTTCATCATTTTCATGATGGGAACAGAATGGAACCAGTAAAGCACACAAACTGACAAATTGGACTCAACTTTCTGGTACAATTGAAATTCAAGTTGCCTTTGTTTCTGCTAAGCAAATACATATTCAAATTTACATTCATTCAAAATGTATTCATTCAGCTTTCTGTTTACCACTTTTTTGAATCTGAACTTTTCTTCTTATCCTGTGATGCCAAGTTGTAACAATTAACGTCATGGGAAACAGTTTAATCTTGATTTTATTCCCAATCAAAATCTGAGGTTTGCTTTGAGATTTTGAATTTTCTTTCAAATTTTTCTCTAAATTTGTTTTACTTTTGAATTTTTTTCCCATTTTTTCCCTCAAAACTTGATGATTGATGAAAATGGCTTTTAATTCAAATTATATTCATTTTGAACGTTTAATTTGCGAAAACATACAAATCAATTTTGTTGATTGTGCAAAATTAACCCAAAAAAGGTTCAATTTTATATTCAAGGTAAATGAATATTCAAAAACGTTTAAACATCTCAACAATCAAGGTTAATACATACTTTTGTTTAACTTGTTATACATTCATTTTTTTCACCAATCCTTATAATTGTGATTAGCAAATTGTAATCAAATGTTTACTTTGCCACAATTAAAACAATTTAGCAATCAATTATCCAAAATTTAAACGTTTTTCTTTGTTTTTTTACTTTACATTTTTGACCATTTTAAGGTTAGTTTGATGTTTCATATGTTGATGAATGATTAGGATTCAAGAATCAAATTTGATGACAAGAAAAGAGACTTTGGTTAAAAGGTGAAAATTAATTCTCATTTGATGATTTTAATGATAAATAATGGGCTAAAAAGGTTTATAATTGATGAGTGTAATCAAGTAAATTTTCAGTGTAAATTAATCCAATAATAATAACAGTGTTTTAAGCCTTCTCACTTAGTATTTCAATATTGCCAAGGTTGATTGATTGGGTAAAGGTAAATCTGTAATGTAATCAAAAAGATTGTATGATTTAGCTAATTGATTTTGATTAATTGATCAATTAAGAAGGGTTTAGACAATAGTTAATTGTAAACGGGAAACTTAAATGATTTCAGGTTTCAATGAAAATGTTGAGTAAAAATATTGAGATTTAATCATTGATTGTAAATGAAATAATCATCAATTATTTTAGTCTGGACTGTTAATGTTATTACTTCAATTGAACAATTTAAGATAAATCATGTTGCTCTTGTTAAGGAAATGGTTAATACTTGTACTTTAACTGGCCAATGTTACCTAAAATTTTGGGGTAACTTTGAAAGGTTTTGAATGATGAATAAATTTTACTTTACTTTACAACTATCATTGTTACCATTGTTAACCTGAAAACCAGAGTTGAACCTGCAAAAGTGATTCCAGGTCAGGTCAAATGGGAACCTATGGGAACCTGAAACCTGTTGAAAAAATAAAGAGTCATTGTAATTGGAATTTAAAAGCATTTCTTTGGAAATTTGGCAAATTTTCACTCAAATATATTTTCAATATTTTCATCTCAATATAATAATATTTGTAAAATTAGTTGCCATTACGAGTGATCGTAAAGATTCAACATCTCTGTAGGGACGAAAGTTGTATTGGTAAAACTGGTTGATGCTTGGCAACACCTGAAGAACCCAATTTTGATACCAGGAAAAAGAAGAGCAAAGGTGTTCATTTTTGGTCTTTTTTTGTGCCCTTTGCTTAAAGTATTATAATAATAGTACAACTTTAGTCTTCTTTATTAACCAAAGAATGGCAAACTTGGTAAAGCTGGAAACGTCTTGAGCTTTTACCTTTCAAATTTCACATGATTGGAAGATGAGAACAAAATTTTTACCTTTACTAAAGGCAACAAAAGGCTGTTTTTGGCTTTACCTTAAAATGTTACTCTTTCAATAATAAATAATCATTATTATTGTATATTTACCAACAAGTTTAGTCTTTGTAAGGTAAATTACTTTTACACATTAAACGTTTACCTTTAATTTATCCAACTAGCCGGAAGTTTGGTTCAATCACATCGGCAACAAACAAGCAAAACAACAACCGCAAGCGTAAACAAAGAAACAAATTTTATATGAAAGTGAATGTAATAGAGAAAAGGAAAGTTAAATTAAAACCATAAATCTATGAATAATGAGAGGCTATCAAAAAAAAGTTGACTTCAACAGGCAAGTTGTATAATCATCTGACAATGATAGTAATAAAATGTAAATACACTTAAATTGTGTCTAAATAAGTGTTTTAATTAAATGGTAAGATTGAAATGAGTTTGAATCAAGACAATCTGGTAACAATCAGAAACACTCTGAGGAACCATTTAACATTAAAGTTGATAGTAAATGATGACAATGTTGACTTCTTGATGTTGCTTTCCTTTCCAGCCGTTTTAAATTACGTTACGGATGAATGTTACTTTTACTTATTCAATCTTCCCACCCTCTTCCTCCTCCATCACCATCATTACCATCAACATGGCCATCATCATTATTAGCAAGCTTTTTTTTCTGGTGCAAGATTTTCAACATGAAAAACAAACGTTTCAACTTCGCACATTGACCTTTATAAATAAGTATAACAATGACCAAAAACCAGTCCAGTATTAGACGTAAATTTGTATTTGCCATCTTGATTCATCACTACTATCTGCCATCTTTGTCTTTGTTAACTGTTGACCCTAGAATCAATATAAATTGTGTAAATTGATATCACTTTGATTAGGCTTGATGTAAGGGTAGATTGGTGAAGGTGCTGGTGAAGCCATTTTGGTTGTGGCTTTTTTTTGCTGCCTTTTCAAGGTGAAAATGCTGAGTCCTCGTTGTGTTGCTTTCTTTTTTTTGTACACTCTTCTCATCGGCTGGTTCAAAAACTGCTTTTGTTGCTAAGCTTTAACCTTGCAAGTCTACACATATGTTTACCAGCTTTTGGGTCTCGGGCTTTAAAATAGTAACCAAATATTACACAAAAAAAAGTCATGACTCTGTCAAAAGAAAGGCAAAAAATATGTACAATGATCAATGCTTTAGAATCTGGCTTTTTTTCATTCCTTACTTTAGCTACAGTTCATGTTGAAGATGTTGATGTTGAGTAAATTGCGTTCAATTGCTACGCGTGATCACCTCATCATACTGTCAATATGATTTTCTTGGATGCTTTAGCAAAGACAGCCAGCTTGATTGTCATTGTTTCCCTCAATTTATCTTTGAATTTTGGTGTAATTTTCTGTGGAAAAAAAGAGACAAAATTAGCAAATTTGGTTTCGATTGTTGATTCAGATATTTGAAAATTGAACTCACTTGTTAATCAACTGCAAACTCATTGTAAGCTTCAAATTTGGTCTATATTCTAGACTGTTTATGTTTAATCATTTCCTTTTGATTGGTATAGATCCACCTTATCATTGAACCTGCAACAAAAATAAATAAATACAGAAAAGGAATGATAATCTTGTAGTTGATTATTCTTGATCAAGGTAGACGATTGATTAGTTATTTTGATAATCTGGTCTCTCTCTCTCTCTCTCTGGGTTTTATGTTACCTGAAATTGAAAAAGCAAACATTGAGTTTAATAAGTGAAAAATTGTCCTCTCATTATCATGGTCAAAAGATGCTAACTATTAATAACATGATACATGAACAAAATATAATGATAATTATTACAATTGCTACGAGTAATGCGAGAACTGAAAAAAAAGTTGATTGTTTAACTAAGAGTAACTTGTTTTCTTGGTTTTGGTTTTACCTTTTTGGTTTTACCTTACATTATCATTCGCTTTCCATCACACACTCTTTTTTAATACACATTTAAAGACTAAATTTATTCATACACAATGAAGATGAATCGTCTTTATGCTTGGTTAATAATAAATTATAATTGTAATAACAATATCATTATATTATTATTTAAGGTTCACCGGGTAATGACCGGTAATTGTGAGAGAGATTCTTGACCACAACAAAAGGTATCTTCAAAATAAACTTTCAATTGAATGCGTATATCAACAGGTTTATGAAAAAAAAGAAGAAACTTCATCTCAATATTGTTTAAACTGGACTTACCTATATAATTAACATTTAAGATGTGTTAAAGAGATGCTTTAATCAAATGTGAATGAATATTTCTCAGACAAATCATCAAGAATCTCAATTGAAAAAAAGATAAAAACGAGTCTGAACAAGTGAAAAGCTGTAACACTATAAGGCTAAGGTAAAACAAAAAAGCGCGACCAGATTATTGAGATAGCTCTTTCAATTGGATTCAATTGTGTTCAACTGCTGTTGGAATTGGAAACACAGTTGTCATTATTAGATACCTTTACCATATGTGACCAAGCCCAAGGACAAAAAGAGGAACCATAATAAGTAACCATTCAATTCACGTAATTCATTATAACATTTTTGACTTTTCACATTTTTTGCTCTTTGTTCAGGTAACTACTCCATCTACTCCATCTGTTGGTTTCAGAAAGAGTAAAATTAAACCTTTTTGTGTTAATTTTTCAATTCATTTTATTGTCAGTTTAATTGTCAGATTTGATATGAACGAGTGTTTCAAGAAACCAAATTGATTCAAATCAGTTTAAAATTTGAATCTATTGATTGACTTCTTGTTAATGCTAAAACGTTAGTTTACTTTGCTAATCAAAGGATTAACACACTTTACTGCCAACAAATCTAAAGAGTAAAGAAGTGCGTCTCTTTGAAGAAACCGTTATTCATTGTTGTTTGAATTTAAAAGGGTACTTTTATTGGAAGTTGTTTAACACAATTTAATTGAAATCAATTGTTGAACTGAACAAATTGTGATGAATTGAAATTCAAAATCAAAATGTCAAAAATTTACGATTAAATGGCGCTGGGTATGCCATCTATAGAGCTTTTAAAACCTTACCTGATCATATGAGTCAATTTATTTGCTCATATTTAGCTTTACTTGTCTTCAATGTTTACGTTAATTATTATTTACGTGTGATCTTGGCTTTATTTTTTATGTTTTAAATCATCTTCTTACATTTAAAGATATCCTTTATCCTTTGTTGTCTTCTACAATGACTTTACGGCCAGTGGAAGTTGATTTTAATGAGAGTTGGAATCGTTTGCGCAGTACACTTGAATCGGTGATTTTGTTGAATAATGTTAACAAGAAAGAATGGAATGAAAGATTTTCCGATGTTTATAAGATGTGTGTTGCTAAGCCTAACCCGTACCCGGAGGAATTATACGAGGAAACCAAAAAATTTATCATCACTCATGTACAAAAACTTCATTCACAAATATGTTTACGGGTTCAAATGGGTGATAACCTGTTGGTAAATTACTATCAAGAATGGCTGGTTTATCGAGATGGTATACAGTTCATGGATAAATTGTACATGTACCTAAATAATCAACATCTTAAGAAAATGAAATTAGGCGATTCAGAACTTAATTATGGTTATGCGGATACTGAGGATCAAAAATTAGAGATTGGTGAATTAGGTCTTTCGTATTGGAGGAAATATATGATTGAACGCTTGTCTGACGATCTCGTGAACCTTTTGCTTCAAGCTTTTGAAAAGTATGTCATTTCTACATAGTTTCATCCTTGAATTGCAACCTTGTTACATTTTTAAATCAAGTTTACTTTTATCAATCTCGCGAATAAGCGCTTAAGATATCAGCTGCATTTAAATTTATTCTCAATGTATTTTTATAGTCTTCTAATTTGAATTTCATTTTCTAATCAACAGCGATCGTCTTGGTAATCCTACTAATGAAAGCGTGGTTCAAGGAGTTATCGAGTCTTTTGTCATGGTTGAAGCATACAAGAAAAAGGAGAAGGACCTAAATCTTTATCGCGAAATTTTTGAGACACCATTTTTGGAAGCCACTCGTAAATATTACTCTAGAGAAGCATCTAAGCTACTTGCTCAGTACGATTGTTCGCAATACATGGAAAAAGTGTTACAGAGATTGGATTCAGAAATTTTACGAAGTCGTAAATATCTTCACGTTTCTTCTCATTCAAAAGTTAGTGAGGTTTGTGAAGAAGAAATGGTTGCCAAGCATCTCGACTTTCTTCATGCCGAATGTCAAAGGATGGTGGTCAGTGAAAGTCGAAAAGATTTACATAACATGTTTAAATTATTGAAACCTATTGGACCTGGAATTCAACACCTTGTTAGTGAGGTTCAAAAACATTTTACTAAAATTGGTTTGGATGCCATAAGCAATTTGTCTGGTGATAATATTGCAAACAGTTTTGTTGAAAATTTATTAGAAGTTTACCGTAAACAACGCGATTTAATTAACGATGTCTTTAATTCGGATCAACAATTTATTGGAGCCCTAGATAAAGCATGTTCCTATGTGATCAATTATCGAGTCAATTCTAAAGTTCCTTGTCGTTCAGCCGAGTTACTGGCCCGTTATTGTGACTCTTTGTTGAAGAAAACATCAAAAAGTGTCAATGAATTTGAAATAGATGAAAAGCTTCGACGTTCTATCACAATATTTAAATACATCGATGATAAAGATGTTTTTCAAAAGTTCTATGCCAAAATGTTGGCCAAAAGGTTAATACACTGTCAATCTGTATCAATGGATTCAGAAGAGTCAATGATAAACAAGTTGAAACAAGCTTGTGGTCATGAATTCACATCTAAACTTCATCGCATGTTTACCGATATTAAAATCTCTAACGATTTAAATGACAGCTTCAGCGAATGGTGCAAAAAAGAGAAACAGGGTTTGGGCGGCATCAACTTTAATATTTTTGTTCTTCAAGCCGGAGCCTGGCCATTGGCTCAAAATTTATCTTCACCCTTCTCCATGCCCCATATTTTGGAGAAATCATGTTGCAATTTCGAAACGTTTTACAATAAAACTTACCATGGACGGAAATTAACCTTCCTTCATCATCTTTCTACATGTGAGGTTAAAATTTGTTTCTCCAAAAAAACATACCTAGCATCAATGTCTACATATTACATGGCTATACTTTTATTATTTGAAAACACTGACCAGTTGTCTTTCAAAGAGATTCAAATGAGTACCAATCTAACGGAAGATTTGCTCTCTAAACATCTGAGTATGCTGATTGACATGAAAATTCTTACTCTGGATTCAGTCTTACTGGATAACTCTACTGTTAATAAATCATCATCTAATGAGGAAGGATCATCACCTACTCCAATGAAATACAATTTGGAACCAGAAACCCAATTAAATTTGAATTTAAATTTTGTTAGTAAAAGAACTCGCTTCAAGATTCTTGCAGTTAATCAGAAAGAAGTCACTCAGGTTTGTAATTAAACAAATTAAGTTAACATTTAAAATTTTCGATTGCAAATTATGCTTTGCAATAACCATTATTTAAAATTACAATAGTAATTAATTTGTCTCTATTTTCTTCCTTTAACTCATAGCATCAAGAAGTTGAACAAACTCATTCATCAGTTGACGAAGACAGGAAATTATTTTTACAAGCTGCCGTTGTACGAATCATGAAAGCTCGAAAAGCGATGAAGCACAACCAGCTTATTCAAGAAGTGATTGATCAGGCCAAGAATCGTTTCGCTCCAAGTATACCTATGGTTAAAAAGTGTATTGAAGCATTAATTGAAAAGCAGTATCTTGAAAGGACATCTTCGCAGGATGAATACAGTTATATCGCCTAGAATGATATGGTTGAAATAACTCTGATCATTCTCTCTCATTTTTTAAAAAAATGCGTGTTCTCTCTCTTTTATTGTTAATTTGTGTATTTAAATGAGTTTATCTGTCGGTCTTCAGCTATGAAAGGGGATAATTCAGTTGCAAACCACCAACTCAAATATATATTTATATTTGCATCAATGTTTACGTTGTCTTTGAAGCACACTAGGCTTATAAGTATTTACAGCTATGATAAAAGCTTAATGAGAGAGAAATACAATTGCAAAGGCTCCATCCATATCATTGCTATTATATAAGTTGAATTAAATGATTTAACTCATCTAATTACAATTTTTGTTGTGGTTCAATTTTTGATGAACATTGTTAAACAAGGTTCAAGTTAAAGTGTTTATAAAAGTGTCGCAAACAAAAACTAATCTAATACTGATCAATTGATGTTGATACATTAAGATTACAATATAAACCTTTTTTTTTGTGTCAAAAACAATTTACTCCTCACACAATTCATCACTGTTACTCTATTATTAATATTAGTAATTACTACTATGATCATTGGAAATCATGTAAAATTTTAGAAACTCAAGAATGTAACTTTAAATAAAATGAAACTTTCACAGTAATTGTCATGATTTTTGTTCCAATTACTCGACAGAATCAGGCTAAATTTAGCCAGTCAAATGAAAACATTGTAAAGGATGAAACCAGAATTATTTACCAAATGAGATTCATTTGAAATAATTTCAACCTGAGAATCTGAAACATATTCAAAACTAGATCATAATAACAAATCAGAAACATAATTTGAATACTTAAATAGCTGTAATCAATAAACTAATACAGAAACAAATAAATGAACCCAAAAATTTAAATAATGATCAACTAAATGTGTGTTTACTTAGGATAAATTTAGTAACAAATAGACTCGCCTTGGAGCAATTTATTCCTACTATTTACAAATTCATATTTTCACGTTCAATTAACGCGAAAATTTCAAAGTCAAAGTTGAAAATTGTAACAAAATTCAATGATGAATACATGAAAAGATGTCAACCCAAATGAGCTAAATTATGAATCTCACTGTAACATCATCTTCATCATCTCTTCATCTTTAAAATCATATGGATAGATCAACCTGCGCTGTTGATGAATTTATCCGCTCATGTTCGTAATCGATAATATCTTTTCCTTTCTTTTTCTCATCATTTCCAGGATTCTGCTCTTTTCTTACATTATTACCTCTTCTACTCTCTATCATCATCTCTTTCTTTCTCTCTCTTCTCTTTCAACTCTTTTGTGTCGCCGATTTTCGAGCGATCATCTTCATTAGTCTCTCTTTCAATCTCATTATTTGCCTTTTCGATATTTTTCCTTCTTCCTTTTTTTCGCAGTCGTATAATTTTCTTCCTCTGTCTCACCTAATATCATCCTCATCCTCACCATCATTTGTCTCACATCACCTTCCTCTGTCTACCTATTCAGTCTCTTGCCTTCCATCATCACCATCATCATCATCCTTATCATCATCCAACGAAAACAACATCTTCCTTCATTCTTCTAATAATTTCACCAATCTAGTGTTGTATTTGTTTGTTTGTTGTCGTTGTTGTTTCGGCTTACATCTTTCCTTGTTAACTGCTTGTTTTTGTTTTCCTTTTTATTGTTAAATTCAACCAAATTGTGATTCCATTATTTTGATGAACCTCATTTTAATCAACTTAACCCTTCATCTTCTTCCACATCATCTCCATCATCGTATGTAAAACTCAATAATGGGTAAGTAAATCATCATCTTTTCATTTCAACTCAATCTCATCAAGTTAAGATGAAGTTTGAAGCAAAAAAAGCAAAAAGAGGATCAAATCTTTAAAATAGATTCCCAAATGATTCGCCAACCAAAACAAACTGAAATACAAATATTAAAAGGTACATCACAGTGTTTATAAGACTTATCCTCATCATTTTGACTCCCACAATCATCTCTATCCTTTTGATTTTAAATGTCATCGCCATCGTCTTTAAACAACTGTGATAGTTGATTCCCTTTGATATTTCAACGGTTCACCATTTGTCATCCAATTGTTTAACCATTCAGTCCTGAAAAGGATAAAAATTTAATCAAATTCATTCATCGAGCAAAAATATTAAATTGATTAATACTGTCAATTTTACATCAACCACCAAATGAGAGTAAACTGAAATTGTGAGTTTTGCATGAAGAAAAATGATTATGTGATCATCGCACACTTAGTTAAACATGAGCTTTACATGTTTAATTATTAATCATTATTCATCTAATTGGATATAATAACTTCAATTAGATTGATGTGAAAATAAACAATGCAAATGAAACTGCAAAGATTGTAACAATTGCATCAGTTGGCAATCTTAAAATTGAAGCTTCAATCAAATGCTATTGAAAAGAGTGGAAATTATGATTAGATTGTTCTAATTAGATCAATTGTTAATCACAGGAATGGAGTTAAATTATATTCACTTTCAATTTTGAGTTGCAATACTTTTTCCCTTGCATTGTAACATCTTTATATGAGAAGCTTATTTTTGGCTTAACCCACTATCATCATCCTCATCTTGTTCATCTTTTTGATCCTGAAAACTGTTTACTTTTTGATCAACTCGATTCCTTGTTTATCTTACAATTGCATTGAAATGGCTGATGAAGGCTCATGGGACAGTTACCAGAACTAGGCGTAACAAAAGTAATGAAATGAATCATGGCGAGTGTCCAAGTGTCCATTTTGTCTGTAACAGTTAATTTGTAGTTGATGATGATTACAATTTGTGTTGAACCAGGGAATCCATTTTGAATTAAAAGCAGCAGCCAAATAACTGCAAGTAAAACTCAAGTTTGACATTAATTTAATCTACAGTTTCACCAAATTTTCATCCAGCGAAATATATCTATAATCAGATAAACACCAAGATAGTATATTAAACGACAATAACAAGAGAAACAATTCAATTTCAATTCAATTCAATGGCAAAAAAACCAAATGAAATTAAACAAATTATCATCACCAGAAAAGCTAGAGATGACAAAATTAGTTTGGACATTTTTCCCCAAAAAAATGAATCAATTTTGGTTTTCCTTTTCTTTTCAAATCACATTTCAAACTTTCCAATCTTGTTATAGTCAATCAGTTTCAATATTATTAATATTGTTATCATTATTACATACTCACTGGATGAAATTGTTCATTTATATTTATTTACAATGGTTACACCAGTGAAAGTAACCAGTAAAGTTGAGAATCCCAAAGACAGTCTCATCTGATCAAAGTTGCATCTTTTAAATTACAGTTTTACAATAGTAACCTTATAATCTGATTATTGTTTCAGTTCAACTTTTGTTTCCATCCTTTTCCCTGTAAACGCCTTCCTTCCCATTAACATTCACTCCATCAACAATCAATATGTAGCACCAAGGATGTTGATAATTGGCTAGGAACTGAGGGAAAAAAATGAACAGAGAAACAAAAAGAAAGTGAAAAATATAAAAGATCATTCTTATCATTTTCATCTCATCATCTTTTTTTTCACTCACACTGAATCCTTTTTCAATGAACAACAAGCAAAAAGTATCTCATCATTACCAGGATCATTGTGTGAGCTGCTCAATTCATTGACTTCACTGATACATTGACTGAATTTGTGAGAGGCCAAAATGATAGTTAAAACCCCTTCCCTTAATCACTCACAGTTAACTATTAATCTATTAACAGAGCCTCTGTGCTGGATGTTGCCTTGGATTGAACCTAAAAAATAATACAAAACAAGAGACTTACATTATCACAATAAGCTTGGAAAGTAATACAGAGAAAAAAATTGTCTTCAAAAAAAAGATGATGATAACTTTGATGGCAAAAGAAAGTTTCTTTTTCTCGTTTTTTTCTTCTCTTCTTCTTCTTCTTTTTTTTCTTCCCTGAAAAGTTCATCTATCTGACTTTGAAATCTTAACGAATGACTTTACTCAATTCTCAATTCAAACTTTGAATCTAAACTTTACACCACTTTCTTCATCATTTCATTTCTCAATCTCAGCCTTTTCTCCAACTACAAAGCATTATCCTTTCACCATGTTCAACATGGGAAACATATCATGCTCAGAAGTCCCTTCTCATCATCATCATCATCTGGAAACATCCATTCTCATCTTTCTCCACTCTTTATCTTTCTCTTCTGCCTTTTCACAAATAATCAATGATCTCTCTTTTCACCTCCTCATCCTCTTTTTTCACCCCCAGCCTCTAAACCTTCTACTTTACCATTCATCATCATCATCTTATTGAACAAAAATTCATGTTACCAGTGCACCATGGTTATCCAGTCATCCAGTCATCCCTGTTATCGCCATCGTAATAACCATCTTTTTGCCTCCATTTGCTTCTAACCAGGAAAAATGTTTAAACCGGTTTCACAGGATAATCTGACCTTTGTAAATGTTATTGTAAATATTAACAGATAGAAAGGGAAAATCTTTCAATTCTTGTGATAACCTGTCATGTCCAGAGTTTTCAACTTCATTTCTTGATACTTCGTTTTGTAACCATTTTTCCTCCTTCTCTACTTTACTCCTCTTTTTTGACATTTGCAAACAATCCAAACATTTTTGGATGAATATCACAAATTTTGCCATGCAATTCATGTCTATTCAATTTTGAGGTTCAAAATGTTCCCATAAAGAGATCCATCCTTTGATATTGCCAATGATGATAAGGTTTCACTAATTTCTGGTTAATCCTGGTCATCTATTGTTCCAATGGTTACCATAGAAATATCACAGACTAATTGATTAAATTAATCAAATTAGTGAATTTCAATATCGGGACGTTTATAGATGTTTGTTGCTATTAACAATATTAACCATTATTTGTTACACACCAGATTAGCTTTTGCATCAACTCCATTTTACATTAATATTATCGATTTTGAGACAAAAGATATTGTTTGGTTTTCTTCCTGGCTTTTTGTCTTATATCTTTCAGTTATTGGAGTTAACTACGTTTAATCAGCATTTAATTGATGCGATCAAGTTTGTACCATTTCTCTATCCAACTGTATTGCTTTTAATAATATCAACAACAACCATGCATTAGAACGTAAAAGTTAAAAGGATGAATGAAAACTAAAAGCAACTTGGTAGATGAACAAATATGGATGAAAAAAGCAAAAATGGGTAAAAATTAGTTTCTTTCAAATCGAGACTGTTGAGTCCATTTGTGCGATTTGAAGATTTCTCTCATCGACAGTTCTCGAGAAAATCGGGGAAAAAAGTTGAAACTTGCTAAGCTTTTTGTGCAAGTATGGAAGCAGAATTTTTCATAAAACTCATTTACCTGATTTATCTTTTGATTATAAATCAGGAAATGTATTCATTTTGAGAAAGAGAATTTTTCTTTCTCTGTAAAGCAGATCAGTTAGATTTTCAGTTTACGTCGCTTTCTATGACCTTAATAGTTCAGACCAACAAACAATTAATGGCACTAAAGGTCGACGAATGTATCAATCAGCTGAACCAGTTTTCAGTTTACTTCAATTCCCAGTTTTACCCAATTCCCTTGAACCAGACTTGCAGAAGCAGTTGATTAGAGATGTGTCATCCTTTGAGACTGGTAACATGGAAAATTATCGCCTTTACCTCCCTGTTATGAATGCTTTATCTGAGCAGATTTTACAAAACTTATTTTACTGATGTATCTTTTGATGAGCAACCAGAAAATGGTCTTATTTTGAGAAATGACATTTTCTTTTTCTGTAAAATAGATCAGTTTCAGTTTGTAATCAGACAGCTAATTGACAAATTAAATGATAACCAATTAATTGTGATAATTAATAGCATTTAATTTGTTCAGTTTGATTTATTCATAAATGCTTGTACATTGCAAGTGAACTTTTACTCGATTTCAACTATGTTTTTCTCCCCAAAACATTACGTTTTCTGTGTGTGTTTACTTTTGGTTAATGTGATCTATTTTTTTCGTTTCCCATCTATTATTGGATCACTACAAGGATCAGTACATGGATATATGGAAGCATAAGAGGATAAATTAGGTTAATAATAAAGAGAAAGTGAATGGATAAAAGATTGATTTATTCAAATAAGACTGTACAGAATTAGAATCAATTATTTCTGTAGGTGAATAAACTGGTAAAAAATAAATATAGTGAGAGCAACGAGAAAGCCAGAAAAATAGCCTTCAACTCTCTTGAGTCTACATGGTAATAGACTTACAATGGGTTAACCAAATTAATCTAGTTTATATTTAATATACAGCCATATAAAAAGCAAATTTTTATTCATTTCAGTTACATTGAACTAATTAAACAGTTTGATGGATTTAGCCGGTGAAATTGGCAAATATACGATGAGATTACTTTGAATCTGATACAAAGGCTTGTAAGTTTCAGCTGTTAACAAATGGCTCTGTAATTTGTTGATTGGCGATTCAATCTTCAATTCAATTGATTGTTGAACATTGAAGGTTGCAACAAATCATGAAATGAACTATTGGACAAATGTTCTTGTCCATTTGGGTTCACAAGTGCCAGATATCGTTTATATTTAGTGTACTTTGCTGTTTGGGTTACATTCATCTCTAGTTTTTTACTGGTAACCCGAAAATTCAAAAGACAGTTAATAGTCTTTTTAACCAGTTATTGTTTTTCCTACAATTTCAATCCGTAAAGTATTGTGGAACCTTTTAGATTTTGTTTCCTGAAACAATTGAAATTTAAGGATAACTCTGCCAATTCCCAGAAATCCAAATAAATTGAAACATTCTATTATATAATGATTTATATTTTCACCAACAACAATCCAAGTTAACAATTTTCCCTTCAATACTAGTGTTGCCATTTTTCATCACAAGCTTTCAAATGTTTCGATTAATTGTCCATTTTGATTTTAGTCCTTCTATAAGTAGACTTTTGACCATTCCTTGTTGGTTAGGTTCAGTTAAATCCTTAAATTGTTCATTTTGCAGACTTTTCTGGTTCATTTTTATTCAATTTTTTGGGTTGATTCAATGATAACAGTTAGGAAATGATTAATGATTATCAAAGTGAACAAGCTTACCAATTAACAAACAAGAACCTCAACAATTACAGTATTAGTATTTGATGGATAATATTGCAACAAAATTGGTAGTCAAACACCTTTTTTAACAATCATTGGTATTGAATCGCCAATTATTGTATTGTGTGTTTTGGTGCTAAATTAACATAAAATCGATATATTTTAATTCCAATGTTTACTGTCAACTTTCAATCGCATTATTGATAGGTAATTGTGTATCAATGTTTATATATGAGTTTTGGGTTTGGGTACAATGAGAAACAAATCAATACAAAACAAATGATTATTCATTTGATTGAACCGATTCGCTCAATAATAACTAGGATCAAATCAACACAACTGAATCTTTAGCTGCATCAAAAATCAGATCCAAGTAATCAATTATTAAATTTTCATAGTCTAATGACTGGAATAATTGATTGGAAATTTGATGTGAAAGAGTCACAATCATTGGAAAGGTTAGACTGTTAGTTAATCAGTTGAAGGAATAGTAATCATGGATCAGAGGAAAGAAACGAGTCTTTTTTCAGGTTTCAAAATATAGCAACATTGTTCAATCAATTGGAATCACTGTTGGACTTGTCCTGATATTTCAATTGATATTTCAATCAATGGTTTGAAAAATGATTTTACATTACAAATTGTTAAATGAAGAGAGGTTAATTTTGATGATAATCAAGTGATGAAATGTAACAAGGTTAAATGACCTTTTTTTCAACTGTTATATATCAATGTAGAGATGAAAAAATAGATATTTTTATAGTGAAAAGAAAGGCTTAGCTTCTTATTTCACATTTGGTTTCATTCGTTTTCATTAAACATGTCAAGTCCCATGATGATGGCTTAAAGGATGAACAAGAAATAGAGATCATAATATCATCATTATCATTACCATTATCATCATCAGAAGCAGAGGCAAAAGCTTAGTGTCATCATTTCAACAGTCTTTCAACAACTTTCATGATTCTTTGGGTAGTTACTTGGCTGAATGAAAAAAAAGAGGAAAAATTTTAGACCTCAAAGAAGATAGTCAAAAGATGATGATGATGATGATGATGATTTAAAGAGGAATGATGAAATTGTCAGATTAACCTTTGGTTTGGTCCTAAGTATTTATTGATTTTTGGTGCAGCCATATCAGATGTTGGACTCATTTTTACATGTAACCAGTTTTGCATTTCACTTTTACCTAAACAAAAAAGCAAGAAAATGTTTTACAATTAACATTATTAGTATAATGAATTGATCACTGGAATCAATTTGTTAACAAAAGCGGCCTTAGCTTGCATCATTAATCATTCAATATTAAATTAGAGGACGAGAAAAAAACGAGCAATTTGAATTGTTAATTTGGTTCAAGCTGAAAGTTGATTCAACCGCAAGTTATGGAAAGAAATGTTAATTTCAAATGTAACTAAATTACACAGAAAAAAGATTAATCATTTCTCTCCATGCAAACTTTCAGCGATCAATTGTTTTAACAATAAATTGATCGTCTAAATTAAAAATGCAATCAAGATTAAAAAAGTAAATCAAATTTACTGGTAGATCAATGAGTTAGATCCATGAAAATTTGGGTGATTCAGTGATAGGATCTGTTTGCGTTAGCAATGAACTAATCCTTGAGTTGGTAATGAGGTTCCAAGCCATTGTTCCGGGTAAATTTAGCCAATTGTAAAGCTGAGGTAATAATTACACACTGAATCCCTTGAAATCATTGCTGGATCCAATAAAGCACGTAAAAATGGTTAGATGAGATCCTTAAATATCCAATTATTTCATTATGAAAATGAATCTGAGAAAAGAGGAGAAAAATGAGAAAATGTTAGTGAAAATGAAATAATTAAAGGAAGAGGAAATAAAGGGTAAATTATTTAACAATCGGTAGTTTTTGTATACTCATTCAGAGTTGTAATTTATCCATTGGCAGCATATAATTCATTTGGTTAACAAACGTTATTATTATCATCTCGTTGATAATGGTTAGCTGAATATCCTTTCTGTATCGTGATCCAAGTAGAAATGTAGACAACATGGTGAAACATGATTTTCAAGTTTCACCTTTTCATGTATATACATGAATGTGTAGGTATGTATGTTAGTTGTATGTCAAAAATAATCTGATATCATAATTCAACCCAGTTGAATTAAGTTATAATGTAATATATCTTTTTGTTCATTCATTTTGTATTCTCTGGAAAAGAGAGAGAAAAGGAAAAAGATGAGAAAAAAAGTAATTCAAAGGTTAGTGAAGGAAAAGGCTAAAAATTTCATCAGAATTTTTCACCGTCATTATCCTTGCTCTTATTATTTATATCTTTATTATCATGGAGACATAATTTCAGTAGGTTGGAATGGAAGAAGAAGTTAGAAAATAATCTTTTGAGAGAGACTCCAAACTGCTGTTATTTACCGGTTAAAATTTGATTCTGTTATTTTTTTACACAGTCTAGTTTTAATATGATTCCCTGCATCTCTACTGTAAATCATTTACTCAGACAGATGAAAAGATAATTGTAAGTGAAAACTAGGAGTAAATAATATCATATTAATATATAAAGATTTTAAGATGAATTGAAGGTAGAAAAATAACATTTTCGTGATTAAACTTCATCAAAATCATTTTGTTTTCTTTTTCTTCTTCTTCTTCTTCCAATTCCATCATGAGGAGCTTTGAATTTCCTTTCAACGTTATCATCATTATATCACAGACTAATGAGTATGAGTAAAAGTCACATTATTAGATACTGAGAAAGTGATTATAAAGTTGAATGATATTGTGATATGTGGTAAAATTTACTTACCTGTCTGCTTGGAAGGTGTTGTGAGGCAAGTTTCATTGAATTTCCAATTCTCATGACGTTAACTCGTTTTATTTTTAAAAAAAAAGCTCAGGGCATTCTCGTAATAATTAACCTTTGACTCCCTTTTCAGTGAAAGAAACAAAACACTATCACAATACAGGATTGATTATTTTAAAGCAACCAGTAAACCAGAAGGTTACAAATATAAGGTAACATTGTTTACTGCAGTGTGAAACAAAACAAAGATTATATGACATTGTTTGAAACTGAATTTACTGAAGTCCAAGAGATTTAGTTGATTGGTTGAACCTAAATTAATAATAAAACAATCACTGAGAGGAAACCTAATCCTTTAACCCAAAGATTTTGTAGGTTTCTCGAGACAGATAAACTCAATTTCAAATGATAAAAATAGGTAAGTCAGTATCACAGATGAACATAAATATTTGAAAATCATAGACTTGACAATTTAAATCAAAGGTTGTCACAGGAAAATGATTTAGTTAAATTAAATCGACTGCCACAAACAATAACATACGATAAATAGCCATTCAATAGCTAAACTGTTAAGACAAAATCTTTCCAACGGTTTTTTTCAGGGAAAGTGTTATAATTAAGATCTGAGGCTGTTACGGGTTAAATGATTTTTTTCTTGACCATTTCAGCTTAAATACTTTTATTTTGTAATTACTTGCTCTTAATTGATCTACTAATAGTGTAAATAATCAATGGAATGATACATAATTAACTGATTAGTTTATTGTTTCTATTTTGTTTACTCTGGTTTTGTGATTGTTGTTAGTAACATTACAGTATATGTTTGCATACATAAACTGTGGACTTACTACGTAATATGAGCTTACCAATCATCTGTTACGTCTGATGATTGTTCCGTTATGATATTTTAGATTGTTTTGTTTGTATTTGTGCCTATTGTAAGAGTGAAAAGGTCGAACCTGAATGTACGAATAAATCTAATTAAATAGATTGTACCTTGATAAATCATCTGGAAACGTGTTTACTTCGTAACTTGAAAGACATAAGTAAACAGTCAACTTTCAGTTTACTTTTGTTTCATTATCCCTTTCATCACCACCATCCATGTCATAATAATATTCAGCCTTATAATCAGTGTCTAGTCAACTTTAACAATATTGTAGGAATCCTGATAAAAGCAGTTAATTTTCACCCTAATCAGCAAAAAAAGGAAAGATTATTTTGTTTTCTTCTCAAAGCTGTTTTCCGGTTTTTTTGGATCTCACATGTTACATCTTGGTGTTAACTCTTTAGCTGCCTGTCACACTGACTCTTCATATTACATATCATGAAACACACAATTGGAAAGGCAATTTACTTGGTCTAATTTAAATTGTTATTGTTAATCAGTGAACCAGTAAAAGACAATCAGTAGTTGATAACCTTATTAAGATCACTGTCACCCAAGTTGATGTACAATGTATAATAAAAGCTGATCAAAGTGTCTATACCAAGGCTTCACCAGTTACACAGGAATCCAATTGTACTTTTGTTTCTCTTCCAATGCATCATCCATTGAAGGATTAACCATTTTGGTGACTGATGAACATTCTGGTGGGCAACTTGAGCAGGTCTTTTCATCCTCTTTAACATTCTGGACACAAAGAAATAAGAAGCAACAACAAAGAAAAGGATCAATCTAATTGAAATTGAATTTACAATGAAAAAAAACAGAAAAGTAAATAAAATTAACATCACATGGAAAAAAAGTGTAACTTGATGAACCTGAAAAGCTTTGGTCTTGATTAACCCTCCAATTTCAAAGTCTTGACAATCGGAGCTACAATTTTTCCAAACCAAGCCGAAACAATTTCATTATATCAAGCGAATGCTGTCTTCATGGCTGGATCATCAACATATGATCACCATTATTAACCATTACCCTAGAAATGGCAAAGCAAACTGATCAAGGAACAAAAGAGTTGGGAAGAGCCGAGATGTGACCAGATTCTGATTCATTTATCTATGGGTTTACGTCAAGTTAATGCAGTTAGTGTCCAATCAGTCAACCCAAGCAATATTATCATCCTTCACCTTGGTCACCATTTATCTTACCATCATCATCTTCAGTCATCTTCAGTCATCTTGTCAGTCATATTAATAATTCTATTCACTCGCCTTCAACTGATTCTGGTTACCTTCATCATGTATTTAATATTATTAACTTTACCATTCCCAAGTGAGATTATATAAAAAAGCTTATTAACAATAAGAATCAGTAAGACTCATAGGAACCTAAACTCTGAGGAAAGATAAACTTTAATTAAACCATGATTAATCAACAATTAATATCCAATCCTGTTGCAAGTTTCAAGTTTTCGTCTCAAATTGGATCCACTTTTCAATAACAATTCACGTCAATGGTCAATAACTGGAATCGCCAAGGAACACAATTTGATGATCAATTTTAATACAACATATAGCCACTTAGATTATCATCGCCATCAAAAAGATTATCTTCAACGTTCTTCCAAAACCTCTTGAAAATCATCTTAAATAGCCAATGAAGAGCAAGATGAAGACCAACAACAAGGCAAAAGGATAAAAAAGGATGAACAATCTGAAAGCAATCGGTTTAAGATGATGATGATGATGGTGATTGTAATAGTTTTGTTAGTTAGTTAACGTGATTTAGTTGATCAAGAAAAGGTTCACTCTGGTAAAGGACATTTGATTGAAAACCATTAACTAAACTTGATACAATTATTTAACCAATTCTTTCATCTTCATCTTGCCTCCATCAACCAATGATATTGAATGTTTCAAGTGCCCATTCAATTGTCCTAACCTGATCAATCCACTGAACCAATGATTTTAATTCTTCTTTTCCCTATCATCATTATCTAACTTCCCAGTGTCAATCTTCATTGTCATCTCACTATTATCATCATTCTTCCTCATCTCCATGTAACTCATTTTCCCCCTTCTCCTAGTGATTCTCATCATTCCTCAACCCAACACACACACACACAAAGATATACAAAATTGACTCAATATATCACACAGTTGCTTACCAATCAATAGTTTTGTATTGATTTTCTGGGAGACCAGCAAAAAAAGGCAAAATCTTCATCATCTTCATCCTCATCTCTTGTTTTTATCAATCCTTTGGTACAAAACGATGTTAATGAGAGTTATAAGAATTGTTGCCAATGTTGATTCATTAAAATCATCAATATCTTTCTCAAACGTAATAACGGGTTTACACAATTTATTTAATATATTGAACCTTTTTTCTGCACCCAAATTTGGGTTCCTCTTCTGTCTAACCTTCTTGTTTTTGTCAAATTAATGGTTATACATTTAAATGATTTCCAGTTGCTGGTTAATCATGGAAACAATTGATCAATTGTTTGCCTTGAATATGCAAACTCAAATCTAAGGTTGAAACAAAACCTTTACTTTGCTGACCTTTTATTTTGCTTACCATTCCCATCATCATTAGTATTACCATTATCTAATCACTTTTTCATGTCCACCAGTAATTAAACGTAAATTACAACGAGCAGCAAAAAATTAACCAATTTAACCCAATACAAAGACCTAAAAATGGACCAAAGATTGAAATTTAAATGAAACCAGAAATTTGATTTGAATGGCAGTTTTTCTGGGCATAACAATCAAGTTAAACAATATTTTTTAAGGTTTCCAAATGATTAAAAATACATCAAAATTAACTTAAAGTTTAAGGTTTTAACGTTAAACTTTGCAATACAATTTAATGAGAAAAGGTTGAACGGTAAACAAATATGATTACATAGAAGTGGATTGTAAAAGGATAAAGCAAAGGTGGACTGAAGAGGATGAAAAAGGATGAAGAGTTTTGAGGTGAAAAAATATTTACCTGAAAATGAACTCTAAAATGAAAATATCTTAAAGAGTGAAATGTATTTAGTAATATCTACTTTAAACATTCATTGAGAGCTTCATTTTTGATCATTTTCATGTTTTTATATTGCTCAAAATTCCTAATCCATCATGTAAATGTTGATGAAAAAAGGCAGTTTTGTTGAATACATTATTAAATTATGGATAGCAATTGTGTAAACAGAGTAAAAATAATGGTTAAATGTAATCAACTAATCTCAATTCTGGGCAATACACTTGATAAGCATTATTTAAAATCGACATGAATCTTGAAACATGAATCTTCCATCAAAACAGTTTCAAATTGTTGGTTCAAAAATAACATTTAATTTCAAATGATATCAATGGATGAAATGGAACAAGATTTAAGTCGCATTTTTTAATACTTTTAACAGCAAAACCAATGTTAACATGTCTAGTATAATATACATTTACAATGATCAACAAATTGAAAGAGACAGCAAAAATTGTTATCAATTGTTGAAATAATGTGATGCTGATAAACTGTACCATGAAAGGGATAAAATTGAATAGAGAAACTGAAATGTTGGAATGAAAAAAGAGAGAGAACAGATAAAAGGATAATAATAATAGACACCAAATTCAAGTATAAAGGTTGTTAGTTCATTTGAATTGATAGTTTATCAGAGAATAACTTTTCTCATCTTTTCTCATCTTCTTGTGAATTTCAATTGAGTTTACCTCTTTTTTTATTCTCTTTTTTCATCATTATAATATTAATATACATCTTATATAGATATATAACCATGTATATTGAACCAATGAAATAACATTTCAATTTCATTCAAGGCCTTAGATCAATGGCAACTTTTCAGGGTAAATTTTGAAAGGCAGGCTTGAAAAGTAAACTTAATTCAAAGTATACAAGCTTTAATCAAGTCTTACTTTGGCTTATTTTTTGTGTATTTCAATTAAAGTAGAGTAATCAAAATTATCTTGATTGTTCTTGATCTTCAATTCTATCTGTTTCAAGATACTTTCAAAACCTACGCTTTTTGTTGGGCTTTTTCAACATTTAAATTTCATTTTAATCATTAGACAATTGTTTTAACCATTTAAAACTTGATTAAATCTTATTCTTGTATGGTAAATAAACCTTTTGGTTGGTTTATTTTTTTCTCTCCTGGATTTCATTTTGCTGAGTTTTCTCTTCAAGTCTTTGTCTTTGTATTTGTCTTCTTGCTTGTTCACAATATTTATATTCAAACATTTTACTTGTTTGTTTACCAAATGCTCATGTACTTTTGTTTGTCATCCTCATCTACTTGTCAGAAGAAGATGCAAAAAATGTTGGAACTCATGTATACAAAAGCTTTAAGAATGAAAACTGAATTAATGTTTTGTCAGCTTCTTTTCTTGTTTTGCTTTCTTTTCTTTCTTTTTACAATTTCTCCTATTCTGGACATTCTAACGTAACTCTGATTTGACATTGTATACTTTTCCTTAACTGTGTAAAGTGGAAATAAAAAAACATCCTAAGATAATGCACTTTTCTCACTGCGTCAATATTTTGGCGATGAAATTTTTTACCATCAGCTTTGCTTTACTTTTAAATCTTTCCATATCATCTACTGGATTGAATTTCACTGAGAAAACAGTTTACCAAGATCAAAGATTTAAAATTTACTTTGCTGTTCACCTATTTAAAAAAGAGGTTTAAAACATATTAGAATAGATATTTTTAGCTTTAAAAAATCAATCAAAAAATCAAAGTTATTGACAAACTTACGCTGTTGAATACATAAATCCTTTCCTTGAAATCCAGTGAATAGAAGAGATTAATTAACACTGTGTGTAAAGTGGAAATAAAAAAACATCCAAAGATAATGCACTTTTCTCACTGCGTCAATATTTTGGCGATGAAATTTTTTACCATCAGCTTTGCTTTACTTTTAAATCTTTCCATATCATCTACTGGATTGAATTTCACTGAGAAAACAGTTTACCGATCCAAATGAAAATAATCATTAATAATTTGGATGATAATCATTTTTAATCGTCTTTTATTTCACGATATTTTAAACCCATATTAATGATAATGTTGATGATTTGAAATGAGAAAATATTTTCCTCCTTATATTATCAATATGTTATTCAGAGGCTCGTTAGTTATTGATAAATTTTATATCCACTACAGTTGAGTCATGTATACGATATATCATTTACTAATGATAATAATAATAGTCGATGGTTACACAAAATGTTACATTCATATATAATAATGCTAACAATAATCATAATAACAGTGAGATGAGTGTAATAATAATAGTAGCAGGTATCATCTATACAAGCTTTTGATGTCTTATTAAAAGAGTTTACCAAGAAAAAAAGAAGAAGCAAATGATTCAAAATAAAAAAGTAAATGTAATTGTTGTTAATACAAACTAACAAGCTGAAAGATAGACAGTATTTACAGGCTATATTTATCAATACAGTTTGTAAAATGTATTAAAATGTATTAATGATGATGAAAATGGTTGAAGAATCTATTTGAAGGGTTGAAAAAAGTATCAACGAATTTGCTTTTTTTGCTCGTAAAACAAAATGTTTCCAAATGATAAACATTAATCTTACTCTTTGATTTATTTCATTATTTTAATGACTAGATGAAAAGGGTGAGACCATGATGATGGATCTTTCCAAGGAGGAAGATAAAGAAGGATCTAGTAAAAATATGTATCTGTATGGCGAAGAGCCCAATGAACGGCCAGCAGTGTCAACCATCTTATCCAAATTAGCCAATTATAATTATCTACCCTTGACAACCAAAGAAGGCGATCCCAATGGTACACCAAAGGGAGGTGGCGGTGGCGGTGGTGGAGCTCAATTAGGTACCATAGCTGGTGTCTATTTACCATGTATTCAAAATATTTTCGGTGTTATCCTGTTTATCAGAATGGTCTGGATTGTGGGAACTGCCGGTGTTCCAGCAGCTTTTCTCATTGTTTTCATCTGTTGTTCAGTCACCTTTTGTACCTCAATCTCCCTTTCAGCCATAGCAACCAATGGTATCGTGCCCGCTGGTGGTTCCTACTTTATGATCTCCCGTGCCCTGGGTCCTGAATTTGGTGGAGCTGTGGGTGTTTTATTCTTCCTTGCCACCGGTGTTGCTGGAGCCATGTACATTGCTGGTGCCATTGAGATTATACTTAAATACATTACACCCGAATTAGCTCTTTTCGGTGATCTCAATGAGCAATCCGTTTTATATCATAATATAAGATTTTATGGGACAATGATATTGATTGTTTCGGTAATCATTGTTTTCATTGGGGTTAAATTTGTATCTAAAGTGGCACCCTTTGCTTTAGCTGTTTGTTTGTTGTCCATTTTTTCCATCTATTTTGGAGTCTTCATCAACTATAATGGTACTCCTGACACTTTTTGCATGGTTGGGTCAAGGATAATGTCCAATACAGGGTACAAAAATTGCAATAAAAACTCTTCCGATCCGGATTCCATTTGGCATGTTTTCTGTGTTTTCCACAATCAAAGTGTAACCGAACCAGATCAGGTAAAGGTTGGCCCTGGATTGTACAATAGACGTTTAGATATACGGTTACAGCATCGATCTGAAATTGATGGTACCATGATTGAGCCCCATTGGGATTGTGATCCATATTTTAAGAATCATGAAGTTAAATTGGCTCGTTCAGTTCCCGGTATTGCTTCTGGAGTAATCAAAGAAAATCTTGCCCTCCGTTTCAGGGAGAAAGGTGATGTTGTTACCATGGATCCTGACGGTAAGAAAAAAAAAGATACTTTAATCAAATATTGTTATTACAAAATTAACATTATTCATATTTACCTTCTCATCATTTATCCTCATTACTCTTCTTCAAACTGTCAAATTCATCTTCACTTAAATATTCATTTTTCTTATCCTTTCATTATCATTTTCCTGACAATTTTTTCTTCTTCATTTCCTTCTATTTTCACCATTTCAAAACTTTACCCAATTTCATCCAATCAACTATTTCTCATGCTTCTCCATTAAATCAATATTGTTCAATTTTTCATATCATTTGAAAGGTTCATTTCAATTGATAACTCTATGTCATATCGAGTAAGAATTAATTTTTCAATTTATTTTTGTTCACCTTTCTAATGAGCAGGGGAAAAGAGGTGATATTTTTTAATGAGAATTCATTGTCTATCATGGAAATGTCGAGAGTTATGTGAAAATATTATAAGTTATGCCAAGAATGACCCCAACAGAATCTATTTAATATCATAACAAAAATCATTCCTTTGACTGTTTTCCTTCCCTTCTCTTCATAACTCTTTATCCTAACCCTTCAATGAATGAATATCATACAATACTCAATATAATGATGTTAATAGTTGAAATTTTTGTCCTCCTCACTTTATATTCACCATCATTTTGATGATAATCTTGAATGATAAGCAAACAATGATAACAAAATCTTGAGCTTATCTGGCCATTCAAGTGTTATATCATTTTATCATGCAAATAGGTTTGTAAAAAAACAGTCAAATGATCTGATGAAGTAACTCAGATAATAATCATTTAAGGATAATAATATAATATGATAATAAGATACTTGACTAAAAAAGATATCACCTTTTCTTAGCAAATATTTATGGCAAGTCAATTAAATCAATCCATGAAAATGTCGATAACAGGTTTAATTGACTCTTATTGTGAGCTTTTATCAAATGAATTTTCATCAAAAGCTTGAAAAGGAACCTGAATATTTGATATTCAAGTCTTGGAGTGAAACTTGCTTACAAAGAAGGCTTCTTGTTATAATCGATTTACATTCATTTCTCATGTTATTCAGGATTTTGCAAATGATAATTTTGCATACAGTTTCAGGCATGTTCAACATTTGATATGAAAAAAAAACTCAGAAAGTTTCCCTTCATTCAATTGTTGAAACAAACTCTTGAATTGTTAACTTAAATTGAAATAAAGAGCAATATTAGAAAAAGAAAAGCTCAGATTATTCCAAGAACTTTCATCTTTTTCATCTTATACTTTTATATCTTTTAAATCAATAATTTTTATGCCAACATGATCATCTTCATCATCTTCCTCTTACTTATCATCATTTCCTTATTCGATTGGCCAATTGAAATTTAACCTTCTCTGAGTATGTCTCTAAATATTTTCATGTTATCATGGAGAGAAAAAATTCAATTCTTGATTCATATTCAACGATTCAATTTTTCCTTCTCTCTTGCTTCTCCTCATGGAACATTATTTACACTCAAAAAATTTCTCATTTCCTACCCTAGAGCAGTTTGATTAGGTTTGAAGATACAATTTAAATTGGTAAGAAAATTTAACTTACATGAACAAGAGTGAAACTGATTTTATTCCCATCACTATCGATAATGATGTTGATGTTGATGATGGGGAGGATGATGATGATTTATATTATTATCATTACGGTAATGAAGATGGAGGATGAAATTGTGATTTTGTTTCCTCTTTTGTTTCTTTCAATTCAAGTGAATTGAATTTCCTTTTGCTTTCTTTTTCAATTCTCCAACATTTTATAATTCAATTTCTGATAACTCATTGTTTGTTCACCAACCAATTTGTATGAATTATTAAAATTAAACCAAGATCGATGAGATCAAAAACAACCGCAACCATTGGCCAACCCAATGGTAGAATCAAGAATCGATAAAATATTTTACATAAATTGATCCACTAGGTGATTGTAGAGTAACTTGATTGTAAATGATCATCAACATGAATCAGATTATCAATGTAAACCGTTCCAAGGAAAGTAATCCACACGATTCTCCATCTTGTCTTCAAGCTTCAATCCTTTCAATAGTTTCCATGGTTAACAGCATTCTTGTCTACTCGATTTCTTGAAAATTTTTCTCTTTGTCTCATCTTGGATGTAAAAAACTTCATTAGGATGTAATAGCTTATCCACTTGAACTTTTTTCATTCTTCCGTCTTGTCTTGTCTCCAGAAGCTTCACCTCTTTATCCTTTGATGATTCCTATGTTCCTCCTTCTCATTATCATGTTCATCACTTTTTCTTTGAAGCGAATACCTGAAGTTTTAGAAGTCACATTTTGAGTTTACAGGGTTTTGATGATGACACAGTTGAGCTGGAAAAGACAAAAAATTGTCAGAATTTATTGTGGTTAAAAGAAGAAGGAAAAAAACAAAATTGTAAATCTATTCAATGACAGAATAAAAACTGCATTGGAAACCTTATGGTTATGTTAATACGCATACGATTACCAAACGTTGTTACATTTCTTATTCCTCCTAACTCATTACTTTAAATCTTTTTTTACAATTATTTGGCTCATTGATTTTGTCAATCAATATATTGTAGTTTGAATTTGATTATCTGTTGATCTGTTAATGGTCAACTAAAAATGGCTTTAGGTCTATAAGTAATTGGTTTTAGGTAAAGTTAGAATAGGTTAGAAAGGTTAAGCTAAACCTTACCTTTTAACATTATGAGTCCATAGGGTTGCTGAAAAAAAATTGACCATTAATGGATGATATTAACTAAACAACTGTTAATATTAATGATGTTATAAATATTGATTAAGAATAAAAATTCATTTAGTTGCAGCAATCAAATTAATAGATGTAAAACCGTTGTCAAGAAATCAATTGTCAATATTTTGTGTAAAATTAACGAGAGATGGCGTTTCTTAAAAACAGCTGGTCATAACTGTAATTAATGTGTTGAAACAATTTCTTGATTGTAAAATTGTGTATTAAGATTTAGATTTATAATGTGACAACTATTTTGCATTATTTGTTAAATTGTGTGACTGTAAAAACTAACATCTCGGATGCCAATCAAATGGATGTTTACTGTTATTGAAATGTTTTACATTTGGTAAAAATTTTTACTGTGATTGCGAGAATTTTCTTGCTCCAGAATCAAAATCTTAAACTGGATCATTTTACGTTAACATTAAAGTCAATTTAACTTGGAACCAAAAGACTAGTGAATTGGTTTACTGCTTGTTTAGAGTAAAGGTACTTCGTCCTAATCAATATTCAGTAAAGTCTTGTCAACTCAATCAAACTAAATTTACCTTCCATCTTCATCAAATTATTTTGTTCACCATTCTCTTCTCCATCTTCCCAATCAATCAGTTATTTAGTCAAATTGAATAACAAGCCTACTTTTTTCCTTGCCAAATTAAATTACTGCTAAATATGGGAATTCAATGTACAGTTTATGCAATTTAGATTCAGAATAATCTACAAATTTGTTTCGTAAAAATTTCATGTTTTTCATATCAGAATATCAATTTCCAGCCTGTAAGACTGTTAACACTTTGATAGTGACAATTGTTAAATGCTGTTGCAATTAGCTGGCTGTTAATATTGATATAATAATAACTAATCACCAGAATCAAGCAAAATAACAAATAGCAATTAAGTTGGACTAACCAGTGGACCATATAAAACCATAATGGATGGTAGTTTTAATTCATATTAGTAAGACCTTTATTTAGAATGTATAGAAATACAAGCAAGCCATACAATGACTGAACAGCTTTACAGATATATAATCTGTTACTGTCCCCTGGTGTAGTCTTATGGCTCTACATTAAAGAAATTTTTATAATGATTTACTGATTGTTACAATGAAATTACAGGTACATTACATTATAAATCCTGGTTTAGATTTCCATGCTTTCTGAGGGTGACCATCGGTTGTCTTTTCTTTCTTTTTCCATTTTTGTAATAATATATTTCATCCATTTGATTGATACTTTCCGTTGTTTCGATTCCATTAGGTTTATGTTCCAATCTTTTAGCTCCTTCGGTATCTGTAATTCCTCGTCATTCAGGCATTCCCTCTTCCACTCGCTCACCTCCTCACATCTAATTAGGATGTGTAAGTGATTTAGTTTTTTAAGGTCATATGAAGCATGGCTCAAGGTCAAAACTTCAGTTTTCTACAGATATGACTCTTCAAGAGTTCTCTTATTATATGGACTCTTTACGAGTTCTATTCTTGTGTGGACTCTTTACGAGTTCTTTGATTAAAGGGGATCTTAATATACCTTCTCTCATGTTTTGGTCCCAGTAATATAAGCACAACCAATATAAACCAATAAGAGTTAATACATTTAACAAATGTACACTAGGCAGTGATTTAGGTGATGAGAAACCATTTAGAAAAAATACTTTGTAGTTGAACTGTTAAAATAAATCAGAAGAGAAATTAAAACATTAATGAATATACGTTATGTTAATGGTGAACACAAAAAATTGAAGTTGTCTCAACCACAATTAAATATCAATTAAAAAGCCAAGACAATGGATGGAGAGACAAAAGAAAGCAAATAAAGATTAAACTGTGAAGCTGGTTGGAATAATGTATTTTCTGGTTCCTTTTAGGTTAACCCAAAAGGTTAACCAGTTATAACCAGAAGACAACATGGATTATGATTATTTATGCTCACATAATCAAGACTTATACAAAATATGATTGAAAATTAAACAATCCATTTTTGGTTATTTAATATCTTCAATTGGGTTACCACCAAGAAACCCAATTGAACCAGATATTGTAAATTATTGAGGTTATCAAGAAAGGCTTATTTTTAAATTAACAATTTCAATACAATGTGATGAAGCAAATCTAGTTTATAAAACATTTCCAATTGAAGTTGTCTATTGATTTACTGGTAAAAATAAGGTTCCCTTTGGATTCAATTCAATAAAGTTGATGAGAAACTCAGAGTTATCCTTTTATATACATAAGCTCATTCATCATTTCATCCTTCAGTCATCCTCTTGATAATACAATGAAGCAACATGATGGTGATTACCTTTAGTTTAACAATTAATGTTAATACAATTTCTTCATTTACTCTGGTAATACACTTTAGCCTATTTTTCTGGTTGCTTTGGGTTAATGAATCAACTTATTCAAATAAGTCAATCATTTATAGTTCATTTAACTGCTTTTTACATTTATAATTTGCTCCAAGTAATTAACAAATGTTAAATTATTGTTGTTTAATCAAATTACTGATTGAAAGTGACGTTCAATTCAATTTAATCAAACATTTTACTAACCAAAGTCAGTTACGCCGAGGAAAGATGACAATCAAAAGCTTTCACTTTAAATTTGTATTGATTTGTTATTTCCTTTCCAATTGATGGTTAACTCATTAAATTGTAAACTAAATTTGATGAGCAATTGATTTAGTTTGTAATCGATAAATTGTCTACCTTTGGGTAAATGGCTTTTATAGTTAGGTTTACAATTTAATTCAAGAAATGGTTTTACAGAGAACCTTAATTTGACAATTGTAAATTGATTAACTTGAACCTTATTGAAATTATCAATTGGTTGATTAAGTTTATTTACCTTTAACTATATTAATAATTCAAGTTGATTTGCATATCCCTTTGAGGCTTTAACTATTAATGTTGACTTGGTTAAGGTTGACAGAATTTCAATTGTTCCGAAGTAAAGAGATTCCAGGATTTAAACAGATTTACTTGATAATTGATAGTCATTTCAATGAATGTTCATTTTTCCTTTGATTAATTATACTCTCAATTGTTGATTAAGTTCAAGTGATCAACCTTTTCACGGCTCATCTTAACGGTTGTTATATATTGTCTTTTCAGGTTTCAATTTGTTGTCACAATCATCAAATGGCTCAAGTGTTGAAAGGATTTTTGCTCCTTGTGATTAAATGTTACAGTTTTAATGATGAAAAGGGTTGAATGAAAATGTGATTGAGCCATTAAATGAGCACCAATTTATCCATCTAAAAATGAAAAAATAGAGAAAAGAAGAAAATTAAATTAATCAAAGGTAAATACGTTTATATTTATAGCAGATCAGCTATTGAATCAAATTCATGAAACAGTTTATACCATAAATCATTTTCCTAATAACATCACCTTTGACTCTGTATGTTGAACTATTAATCAAGCAAAATTATCAATATTAATCACAGTCTAATAGTATTATAATCTGGTTATTTGGGCTACTTTAACGTTTCATTAATTTTTCCTGGTCAACATATTCAAACCTAATTGTTGTTTTCTGGTTTCACTTTTGGCAAATTAACTGTCATCAAGAAAGACTCAAAGATTATTTCCATGATAGGATTAAATTAAAAATAAACAGAGTTAATCAATTGAACCGAACCATGATAATTGAACAGGAAAAGACGAGTAAATTTGAAACCTGAAACTAAATCCAAAATTTGAACCTACACCTAAATCTGAACCTAAATTTAACTCTAAATGGCGGATTATATTTAAAGCTGTACTAATTGTTTTTACTATTGTTTTCATTTTTTCCTCTGTTCAATTTCAATCCATGGATTACACAAATAGCTCGTTATCCACCGGAATTGCCACCTTATTCAAATATATTTGTTGATTTAACGACATCGTTTACATTTTTTGTGGCCGTTTACTTTCCTTCTTGTACTGGAATCTTAGCTGGTTCCAATCGTTCAGGTGATTTGGCTGATGGTCAAAAATCAATCCCAGTAGGAACCATTGCTGCTCAACTGACAACCTCTTTTGTTTACCTTTCCTCGGTTGTACTCTTTGGAGCTTGTTTCAATAATTTGTTTATTCGTGATAAATTTGGAGATTGTGCTGGAGGCCAACTGGCTGTTACCCTGGTTGCTTGGCCTTATCCAAAGTTAATTGTTTTCGGAGCCCTTTTCTCAACCCTTGGAGCAGCCCTTCAATCCCTTACTTCAGCACCTCGTCTCATTCAGGCCATTGCCAATGATGGAATCATTCCCTTTCTCAACAGGTTTGCCGTCATGGATTCCCGAGGTGAACCTGTTCGTGCCCTCATGTTAACAACTGTAATCGCCTGGGCAGCACTTCTTATTGGTAATTTGGACTTTATAGCACCCATTTTGACAATGTTTTTCTTAATGTGTTATATGTTTGTCAACCTTGCTTGCACCCTTCAATCACTTCTTAAAACACCAAATTGGAGGCCAAGGTTCAAATATTATCATTGGTAAGTCTCATCACCATATATTTAAATAAAAGCCACAATCAAAATCAGAAGTCATTAAATTCAAGGAATCCAGGTTTTAAAAGATCGCAATTTTGATGATTTTCAATCAATGAATCCATTTTTTCACCCAAAATTTAAAGTTAGTCTCTCGGTGAAGCCATCAGTCTAAAAGTCGAGATCTTTTCCGTATTTAATGGTGTAATATGAATGTTTTCAGACGCATATCTTGTCAGCTGCAATCGATAAATTCAAATGAAAATCATTTCCAATCTAAAAGTGAAAACAGTGTAAGGAAAACAAAAAAAGTTAAATAAATTTATGCATTACCTATTCAGCTCATGTAAGTGCTTTACAATACATTTTTACCTTGTCCTATTTGAAAGCGCATTGGTGCATACATTAGCCAATATAAAATGTAAACAAAAGTCATTTTTGGCTCTTGATTGTGATCATCATCATTTGATTTAACCTTTTAAATTATGGTTCCATCCACTCCATTAGTTTTCCATTAGATTAAGATGGAAATACAATTTGTCTGGTGAACAGCAGAAAGCAGTTGAAATAATATTCAAGTACCAGATGAGTTAAGGTGAAACCTATTGAAAGTGGAATGAGAATAAAAAAGATTATAAGAATACTGATTGGAAATTGGAGTAAACATTATTATCTGAACAACCAAGTAATTATAGTAGAAGTAATACAATTAATTGCAACTAATTATAAACACTAATAAGTTAAATGATCAGTTGGAAAGAAAAAGAAATCAAATATGATCAATTTAACGTGTAATTAGCAATCAACCTTTCCCCAATGTAATCATAACCAATGTAACATTTGATATTTATACCATTATTGGATTCCTATTTACCTTAGGCTTCTTGAATTTCATGATTGAACAGTATTATAAGTCAGAATCAACATTTAATTGTCTATTTTGCGTCTCATTTCAGGTCATTATCAATGACAGGAGTTTTCCTGTGTTTATTTGTTATGTTTATTTCATCTTGGTATTATGCTTTATCAGCAATAATTATAGCTGGTTGTGTATATAAATATATTGAATATCGAGGAGCTGAAAAGGAGTGGGGCGATGGTTTCAGGGGTTTAGCCCTTTCAGCGGCCAGATATTCATTGTTAAGGTTGGAGGATGCTCCACCACACACCAAAAATTGGCGACCTCAGATAATGGTTTTGTTGAAATTATCTGGTGGTGATGAGTTGATCATCAAGAAACGTAATCTATTAACTTTTGTGGCTCAATTAAAGGCTGGTAAAGGTTTAACCCTGGTCTGTACCTGTATAGATGGAAATACAAATTCAATTGAAGCTCAGGCAAGAGCTTCAGCTGCCAAACAAACAATTGTTAAAGCAATGAACGAGGAAAAGGTTAAAGGTTTTGTTAATGTACTAATTACAAATAATGTTGCTGATGGTCTATCATATTACATTCAATCAGCTGGTTTAGGTAAGTTTCATATTCAAATCATTTTTCATTTTCCTATTTTATATTCAATTACTCAGTATTAAGTATCCAACAATCAAATGTGATTGTTTCATCAGAAGACTCGAGTAAAAATTAGGTTTAATGGCAAGAAATGGTCAAAACTCGGTTGGATATTTAGTAAATACTAAAGGCTTCTCATCTGGTGATGTTACAATTTTTGAAAGCATTTTCTTGGTTAAACATAATTATAATCAATATTAATAGTGGAACTTGTTACATTTTGAATTTCACTGGAAAATAGAAATTAAATTGAGATAAATTGTCTTACGATGCAATTTATATCAATTTTGGTAAAAACAGAAACCCTAATTAGTTCAATAATTTGAATAATGTTTTTAAATGTATTACATGTTGTATATTTATTGATATTGTCAAGTCTAATCACTATTTTCTGGTTGATAAAACTGATCAAGTTTGTACTTGAAAGTGATCTTTGCAAGTGTAAGTGATAACTTGAATTTTTGTATATTGAAACTTGGCTTGGATTGATGGATTGATTGATACAATGTTGAACGAGTTTCGAGATCAAGGTTAATCATCTCATCGATCACTTCTTTGATGGACATATTCTCAATAATTATTGTACCAGTAAATGGACACAACTATGTATCAACTCTAATTAGGATCAAATGAAATTGAACAATAATTTTGTATACAGTTTGATGTAAGAAGCTTTCCTCTATTACAACTTTTCTCATCCATTTTTCATGGCACTTTTTCACTGCAACTCCATTTATTTGAGTAGTTGAAATTTTTTATTACACAAGGTATTGCTAGGAATGATCATAATGATTATGATGGTGAAAATAACCATCATCACAGTCATGAAGAACAGGTTAAATTTGGAGAAGAAGAGGAACAGGAAAATGAGGGTGAAAAAAGCAAGTAGAAGATTGATATAACATCATTTATCAATTTTAGTCTCGTTTCTTTTTTCTTGGTTACTCCGTTCAAGCAAACTACCGTGATAATATGTAACAGGAAAACATGTTGTCACATCAATAAACTGACCAGGTTTGACAATGTTAACCTGAATACACATCACCTGATGGATAAAATCAATAAAAAAATCATACTTACGTTGCAACGGTCACAAAAAATTAACCCATTAGTGAGAATGATGTGAAAAAAGCTGCGAGTTACCGGAAAATTCAAATCTTGTAGCCAAAAAAACCTAAGTGATTCACCATATGTTAACCAGAAAATCAAACAAACAAGGATAAATTGTAACATGATCATTTGAATAATATATGTATATTGATCCAAAAAGTCACCATTCAATTATTTACATGATGGAAACAATAACATTGTTAATCAACCGATGATAAATGAAGATGATTATCAAGTTGATTGAAGCCATTGTGCCATTAAATCACGTTACCATGCACACTGATTTACCGCCTTTTTGATCCAATCAAAAAACTCTTTGCTTTCCCCTCTTTTTGGGTTAAGTCAGAGTTTATCTTTTATTTTCAACTTTATATCTTTTGTTTTTGTATTTATTTGGTTGAATTGTAAACTATTTGTGTTAATTTGATTTGGTTTAAATAGGTGGATTAAAGCATAATACAGTACTTCTTGGTTGGCCTCATGGTTGGAGACAATCGATGAACAGTAGTAAAGTGGATGTCTTCTTGCAAACAATTAGAAATGTGACTGCCTCTAAAAATGCTTTACTTATTCCAAAAGGAGTTGATCAATGGCCAGAGACAACTTCACCAGGTTTAACTGGATTTATTGATGTTTGGTGGATAGTCCATGATGGTGGAATGCTCATGTTACTGCCCTTCTTATTGAAACAGAACAAAGTTTGGAAAAATTGTAAACTACGGGTATTTACTGTTGCCCAAATGCAAGATAATTCAATACAAATGAAGAAAGACCTTAAAGCTTGGTTATACGCTATCCGTATTGAAGCCTCTGTTGAGGTAATTGAATTTAACGACACCGATATTTCTCAATATACCTATGAACGTACCCTTCGAATGGAACAGCGTACCGAAATGTTACGCCAAATGGCCAGAGCTGCTGCTGAAGCCAATTCAGGTTCATCTTCAAATGTAACTGGTGGAACAGTGGCCAAGGCAGTTCGTTTTGCTACCAGACGTAAATCATCAACTACTTCCAATCCAACCACCTCTGATCCGTCTTCCCCACCTTCAACTACAACCACTTTTGGTCCCACTGCCACGGTTGTCGATATTATACCATCACAACCAGTTTTTACCGTTTCCCAGGCTACACCTCCAGGGTCGCCGGAAAGGAAACACAAAAATATATTGGATAATGTGCCAAATCAAGATGAAAATGCTCCTCCACCTTTGGAAACAAATAAACTCCTAAACCTTAAACCGTGAGTTTTATCGTTCTTTTTTCTATCATCATTTTCATGTGTAAAATGCTGATTACATCAGAATTGTGTTATTAGACAGAAATTTAAAAAAACTGTTCAACCTCGTAACGCATCATAGCCTTAAGATTGATCTGTAAGATCTCATCATGATTACTGTTACAATTTTGCTACAGAAAAAAACCTTTAATTTTAACTTTTTGGTTAAATGTGCAAATTGATTTATTGAGATGTTGCTAAATTGTTTAGTGAACAACAAAATTATATAATGATACAAGATGCGATAAACCAGTAAATCATCTTTTTTTATTCCAAAAAGCTCATTTTACTACAAATCTTTGTGAACAAAAAAAGCATGAGATTTTTTCATAATACGTATTATACAAGACTTTAGCTCATTCAAGAAAATTGCTTTCATGGAAAGTGAAAAGCAATAATGTTTAAAGTTACTTACGTTAAATTGAAAAAATTTTTGCATCATGAAATCATTAATTATCATTTAGATTGAGTCAAAATGATCTATTTTCCAGACACAAAACATGATAATCCGCGAAAACATTCGTTTCAATGAATCATCATCGTAATCTGATTAAATCTAATATTAAACTGAATAGTATGCAGTATTTATCCAATTAATCAGTGAACAACAGTCAGATTGAAATATCGTGGAATTGTGATATTGAGGAAAATTTTGGTCAACCTGACAATCAAACCACGGAAGAAACAAATATTAACTTACAATTTATTTGCATATAACAATAATGCAATAACATCCGATTAAACAAAATTATCATTGTAATAATGTTCAGCTATTAATATGTTAACTTTGTTGTTCAATCAACTAAATACGCACTTCAACTATTTACTGGTCAACACGAAATGTCAATCAAACCTTTTACTAATGCATCATTAACTATTAATACCAAGCACAGTTTGAAATTATAATTTGGGTTAAAATGGTCCATCAATATTAACAACAATTGGCTTTCATTGGTAACTCATTTGGATGGTAAATTATTTTCACAATTTTATGGTTAAATTGATAATCAAAGTTGATATTGAAGTGATAATCATATTTGACTCGGTTGAATCAACTTAAACATGATACATATTCACATGTATTATTGTTTTAATGATAGTTTCAATTTCTCCATTATTCAGCATTCTCATGAGAAACATGAGATTCTATTAACTTCACATTCTTGTTTTTTGTTTCACCCAAACCCTAAAATATCATCAGAAGGATGAATAAAAATGATGAATAAGATGATGTATAGGATGATGTTGAAGGTGGAAACCTTTGATGTTGGCTACAATGGAACCTGTAAGGTTAAATGATGAGAATAAACTGTTCAGATGTTGAGATTAATTCCATGGTGAATGATGATTATGATGAGGAAGAGATAAAAAAGATTAACAAATGAACATTGATCACACCTGAATTGAACTTGTGAACCTTTGTGTGTTTCTTGTATTTTTTTTGATTATCACGCAATAAACCAATAATTAGCTTGGTAGAGTTTCATTTGTCTGTCTGTAAAAAGTGAATGTTCAATGAATTTACACGAACACTCAGATAGTTTATGAACACGCAGACGACAATAATAATATCTGTTCATAATAATAGTTGAAATCACATAATGAACCTAATGATGGTGATGAGGATAAAATTGAAAAGATAATAATGACAACAATGATAATCTTTACGATTAACTTGACCAGTCAATGAAACAAGGAAAAAGTGAAACCTGATTGAAGATCAATATTGATAGGTTCAGGTTTCACTTTCATATTACATATTCATCCAGATTCTTGACCTTTAAAGGTGATCTTTTTGGTCTCTTTCAATGTTCCCCTTGAAACTAGATATCCGTCTATTACTACTGTTATTATTATGGTCGTGATTGGACATAAGTTATCGAGTTTGCCTTTCAATCGCTTTTTAACATTTTTTAGTTTTTCCTTTTTCTTCAACTTTATTTTTCACTGAAAAATGGATTCAAAGTGAATAGTAATTTTGCTTTTATATTTCGCTTGGGATTTAAACGGTGAGATGATTATAAACAAAAATGCTTTCAACTTGCAAATGCTTCTGGGATTTGCTGGTGAAATGTTCAATTTCGAGTTCAAAAACAGAGTTCAATCGAGATCTTTGAGAGATGCTTCTAGAGATAAATTTTCATTACATTTTGGTGGCAAAAAAGCAATTTTTCAATTCACTTTTTGGTCAAATTATTGCAATTTGAAAAGGTATTTCATTTCAAGGAAATTGCATTTTAATTGTCGGATTGCATTCGAGTAAATTCAAGACTAGATTTTTTCACTTAATATTGTTGTTTATCAAAAATTAACATTTTACTGTGTTTAATTTACTATGAAAACTGATTATTGTTAAACATAAACATGATTGAATGAAGGTTAGTTAAAATAATGAATTTTGAAAAATGGGTTAAACAGGAGCACATAAATTAAATTAAATATTAGCTGTTTTTTTCCTCATTTAATTATTTTCTTAATTCCTCTATGTGTTAATAATATACATTTATTACTGTTTATTATTATTAGGTTGATGATAATTTGTTAAGACGTTTGATTGATTGATGGAAGCATCAGATTGAGTTTAAAGATCCAACTTTTTTTTCACCAAAAACAAACAGTTTCCATCATTACATTGAGCCTGACATTTGAAATGAATTGGATCGGAAAACAGAAGTTAATAGCTAAAGAAAATTTAATAATAATTGTGATCCCTAATTTGATGACAATTGTATTGCTATTGAAAGGTTAAAAACATTTATATAAAGGTGAAACAATGGGTAAATATCAGAGGTAAAAATGGGAAGCTTAAGGATGACATTGAAAGATTGAACCTGGAAGGAAGAAAAGGAATGGTCAAGAAAGTTCAAAGGATTGGGATAAGAAAACTTTTGTCCAATCGATGAGATTAACCTTAGCAAATAAGATAATAATAAGAAAAATGATGGTCAAGATGAAGACTGTAAAGGTAAGATTTATATCCATTTCATGGTAACATTTTGTTCTAGACGATTCAAAGCTTTTTGTTTTGCCAAATTTATTTCACTTCAAGGTTAATTTCACAGCAAAAAAGCAGTTTGAAACATTTTTTGTTCTCACTTTTTTCCCCTGAATCTAATGGATATTTGAAATGAAAAAAAAAGATGAAAAGTGAAGATGAAAATGATGAAAGTTACATTTGGTTCATTTCTCATTACCAACTTAAACCTTTTCCCTATTTTGTACACTTCTTACATCAATACCCTGTTACTTGTTATACAGCAAACTCTGCATTCCCATTTTTAACAACATTAACCCAAACATAATCCCATTTCTCATCTTCATTTTATTAACTTCTCTTCTCTTTTTGCCATCCAGATTCAGGATTCTTGTACTGAACCTTTTCTTTTTTTTTCTTTCTAGAGTGTCACTCCACCAGCACATGATGTTTATATGCATCAAACTCTTTCCCTTGCACTCTAAAATTGCATTGTTCATCATCCTTGATTCACTTTATCACCATCCTTACATTGGTTTGTAACCTCTGCGCATCCGAACCTGAAACGATTTTTCCCTTTGGCTTCTCATCTCTCCAACTCCAAGGGTAGTTGTAATTCAGCGAAGAAAAATTCCCTTTTCTCCAAGTCTTCATAATCGTTATTTTCCTAGTTGATCACAACATTTTTTTCTTCTTCTTTCTTTTCCTTTTCCCTGGTTCCAAGTTTTTCCTTTTCCTCTGGTGATTCTTTCTTTATTTTCCTCTTCATCTTTCAATCACTATAGTTCTCATTTTTATCATCTGTGCTTGCGTTCCTAACCAGAAAAAACTATCCCTCCATTCATCCCTTGTAGATGGTAACCATTGTTTTTGTGTTAACCATGAGAGGTTATCACTTTTATGTATCATGTATCTCCATTGACAATCAAGATCCTTAGAAGGTAGATAAAAAAATTGTATCTAATATTATCTGGTAACAAAAAAGCTTGAGTTAACATTGGCAGTTTATTGTTGAAATGGTGATTTTTTTTCTCTCCCGAATCTCAGATTTTATTTCCAACTTTACTTCATGATTCTTCAAGGTTTTTGGGTGAGTAGAGCTTGAGATCAGCAGGTTACTTGAGCTGGATTGCCAAGCCTAGGAATGATTCCAGGAAATGATAATAATCTGAAAATGATGGATGAAAAAAAACGTTTAAATACAGTGTAAAAAGTAGATGTTAATGCTGTTTCAATGTACCTTAATTGATTCATGGTTGTGTTGACTTTTTTCAATTAATTGTTGTATTTTTTTTCTCGCACCAACAATAATTGTTAACTGAGAGCATTCAGTCAACATTAATCAATTAAATTTCCTGTATTCTTGTTTTATGTATCCTTTCATCTTAACGTTGATCATTGATCGATGTTGTTATGTTTATCATCATTATCATCAAATTAAATTATCCAACCTGGATAAAATAGTTGAAGTTTGAGGAAGAAGGTGAAAGATGAAAAAAAATAAGGAGACAATGGAAGAGGAAAAGGATAAGAAACAGAAAGCACAAGAAGATGAAAAGACTGGCAAGAAAAATTATTGACTCTCTGATCTTAACAAAAGATCAATGGTCGAGGTTCAATAGATTGATGTTCATGTTTTAGGAATGGGTTTTTGCTGTTGCTGGTCAAGTTTACTTCCATGGGATAAAAAATGAAAAGACATTCAACATCTTTTTTCCTTTCCATTCCATTATTTTGATCCTTGTGATTTCCTGCTTCTTTAGTGGTCACTTGGTTTAAGTCAAATTAAAAGTGGACTGTGAGAGAAAAAGAAAAGGTAAAATGATCAATATTTGTAAGGTTTAAAAGGTATATTCAGATATTTAAAGGTGAAAAGGTTAGTGATTAGTAAATGTTTAGCCATGTGTGAGAATGTTGAAGATGATCAAAGTGAATAGATTTCGAGAATCTCGTATTGATTACAGTTGCTTGTACAGATAGTACAAAATTATGTTCAACTTTCTTTTCATGTAAGGATAATGAAAGGACCAATTTTAAGCTTCATTAATGCGATTTATAAAGACATGGAATGAACAGAAAGGTGTGAACAAAGGTAAAGATTAGATAAATTAGGTAAATTGTTAAGGGTAAAAAGGTTAGAGAGTAACAATTGATTGAGAATGGAATGAAGAAAAATGACGCTAATCATTTATTTATGGAAACTGAATATTTATGTTCTAAATTGAATGTGGTTGATTGAGCTGAAGTTAAATAAGGAAAAGGTTAATATTGGTGTTACTGTGTAACATGTAAGGAATGTTTTTAACTACCTTTTTCTCCTTCTTAACCTTCTTACCTATCAATAAACATTGAAATCAAATATCACATTCCAAAGGCTTCAGGCAGATTTATGTGTTCACCTTTTAACCAATGAATTAGCAAAATTGGGCTCATTCAACGTTTCCTTTCAATTTACTTCTTTCCTTGATTCTTTTCCATCTGGTATCCTGTAGGTGAATGAGTTAACCCACTGTAAACCAAATAATGATAGTTAATAACAGTTGGATTTATTTTTCAGTAAAAGATATTTAAAAGGTATTAATTGTATGAAAGACTTACCTAAACCAGGCTGATAGGGCCTGAGTACCATAGGCCTTAAAAGATAGACTTTACAGGTTTTGTGATATAAAAAAGATTTGGACAAGTCTTTTTATGATCAAATGTAGATTACAATAAAGTAATTTGCGAGATTGATCATAATAAAATTTTAAACCTTCGTGACTATAACAATTAACAATTTGTTGACTTTATTAAAATGTTGAAAACAAAGATGAAACAGAAAAGGGCATTTCTTTCAATTGCAGATGTATTAATATTCACACACAATTTAATAGTTAACAATTTATATGGTTGAGTAACCTTGTTTGTTCACAATTTCAACTGGTAATTAATTAACATGCATAAATAAATTATAATGATGGTTTGATTACAGTTGAAAAAAAGGTTGAGAAACAAAAAAAATGGACAAGTTAACAAGTGTAGGTTTTAAGTAACGCGCAATAAATGATTTGCCGGGAAAATCCATGTTGTTCAATACAAATGATAAAGAAGCGTCATTTTCAAAAAATAAGACAATGGAGACAATAAATCAAGTTTTCTTTCAAAGATAGTGTTTGAACTGTTAATTAATTGTTTCAGCATTTTACACATTAATTTACTCTTAAATTAACTAACATTTAATTTAATAGTGTCTAATAATAATTATTTTCATCTCTTTTTCCTTCAAATCAATTTTTTTTGCCCTTTCAACAACGCTCTAACAACCATCACATGAAACCAACAACATATTTTTCATGATTCAATGGTTCCTCTTTCCTGCTATTATTTGATCATTTTTGGACTGGTCATCATTAATAAATAATGGATAAACAATACCAACATCATAATTCAGTGATGAAAATAATGTTCGCCGGATGAACACTGCTGTTAAATTAAATGAAGCCATTGTGGACAAAAGTCATTCAGCGAAGCTCATTTTCATCAATCTACCAGGACTGCCAAGAGATATTGCCCATGGAAGAGGTTCAACTGAATCAGCTCACCATTATATGGAATTTTTGGAAGCTTTGACAGAAGGCTTGGATCGAGTAGTTCTAGTCAGAGGCGGTGGCCGTGAAGTAATCACAATTTACTCTTAACCCAAGAAAAGATTATTATTATTATATTATATTATGTTATTTATTGCAAGGCAAACCAAACCAAAAATCAAAAGAGGATAAAAAATTTAACAAAAGTGATTGTAAAAAGATGATCGTGATGCGGCTAAACGAGATGAAGGGGAAAAGCTAAGGTGCATTTGGTTCACGTAAAAGTAAAGTGGACACTTCGATTCTGACTAAGCCTGCAATAAAATCGAGAGCTCATCTAACGTTCATCACAATTATTACTATCATTATTATATCCTGTTAAATCTCTTTCATTTCGATCTCATCACAACCCTTTCTTACTATTCTATCCTCCAAAATTGTTTTCTTCATTTTTCATCATCATCATGGACTCTCTTCTCTCTCTTTCTTTCCAAGTCATACTCAATGATGACCAGCGAACACTGATTTAGATATATTAATCATCAAATTTAGCCAACTGATCATCTTGTAGTGATTAAATTTAATTGATTCAAAAACAAAAACCAAAAATTGGAATTGCAACCTAAAATGAAATGCTTTTTCATAAAAAAAATCTCATCAAACTAAACTTCAAAAATGAAATCTCATTGCAAAAATGGATGATAATTCTGGACAGAACTTTTTTTTCAAATCTTACAATTTGGAACTCATTTGATCACAAGCAAGCAAATACACTAAACACTAAAGAAACTACCATCAAACACTTTTACCTAATCAATCAACTCATTTTGCTTCTACTGATTAAATACGCTCAAATCAAAAACATTTAATGCCATTTCTTTCGTTCCTCTGTTTCATGAACGATTGAAGATAAACTATGTAACAAAAAAGACTAAATAATTAATTGGAATAAGAGAAAGAGACAAAAAACATTGATTAGTTGATCAAAAAAAATTGTTGCACAATTAAAGTTTAAATAGTTGAAACCTAAACCAAATGCCTCTATTTCTTGATTAAAACAATGAAAATTGAGTCTTAAAAATAACTCTAAACAATTCTTTCGATTAATGGTAATTATTTATTTTTATCAAAATAGATTGTTAACAACGAGGATCAACTTTTAATTGTAGGCTCAGATGAAAAATAAAAATTGACTTTGAAAAGGTTGAAAATTTCAGAGCGAAAGTGCATCAATGACTTGAAAAATTTCCAATTTAATTGTTACAATGATAGATGCCATCGGTTTTTGGACACAATTTGTTTTACTACAAACTGTTTCAAATCGATTCAGATTAATTGTATACAATATGCAAGGTCATGAATAATTTAACATTTTAAAATGAAAAATGCATGAGTCTTCATTTGAGATAGTAAAATAATAGAGTTAATTATTAATCTCATCTTAGTTTAAATCACTTTAGGATATGATAATACAATTGAGAGGCTGAAGCGAATTAGATTTTTTTGTCTTCTTTTTTAGTTCTTGTTTTTTTTTGATGATTTCCATCACTTAACAAGTATTGTTCTTGTCTTTAGTTTTATCACTCTTGGTGTTGATCTTTTTTCAAAAGATTTGGAACAGAAGGACAGCTGGGTAAGTTTTTGTAAGTTTGTTGAATACCTTTGATCATTTTTTCTTTGAACTTCTGTTGAACGACTAGAGAAGTTGTTATGGTGTTGCCCAGAAAGATGACAGAGAATATAAAAGAGGAAACAGCAACCTGCCACTCACTACATTGAGGGTGTTTACTTAAATTGTACAATGTGTAAGCATTGTAAAACTGAAATGCATAACCTAGATAAAGGAAAGGTATCAGAAAACCTAATCCTCTCCACATCCACGAATGAAATCCTTGAATGGTAATGTCCATTTCGTATCGCTCACCCAGAGCTCTTAATCGATATAAACAATTATGTTGATAATAGAATTGTAGGAATTGAAGGAAACTTGTGTAAACAATATAGTAGAGAAATTGTCTTCGGAAAAGGTCATACATTAAACCATCAGGCCAAACAATTATGATTCCTGCTTTAATACCAGTAATAAACTGGAGAGCTCTCCACCAGCCTTTGATTCTAGAGCCATTAACGATTAGAATACTTTCTCGAATTGTCAACGTACAATGATACCAAACAAGTAGGAAATGGAGACATGCATCTATAACTCTAGAGAAACAAATTGTAAAAAAATTTTAGATAAGTTTTTTTGAAATAATGTCTGGTGAACTGAAGTGAACTCGTAATCAGATAAAAGTGCCACTTAGTGCAATTAATATGAGGACAGCTGATTGATGAAACATGCGTCACTATTTAAAGATAGAGATAATTGAAACAAATCCAAACCTGAAACTGAACATAATATCCAAAACGGCCACAACAAGTATCAAAGCATTAACTATCAGCTTAAATTTTTCATATTGTTCTTTGTACTTAAATTTTTTCTCATTGTTGCTCAATGTGACATTGATATCACCCAAGATAACTTTTAAATATAAACTTTGTTGTGTCGGTAACTCTTCCTGTTAATCAATCAGAACAGGTAATTATAGAAGAGGCCCAAAGAAGCATCAGCAAGACGGCCAAACCAGATAATGGTGATCATCATTAGAAGATAGAAAGAGTAAAAAGAAACAGAAAAATCATTAACAAACAATAAAAGGCATTAAAAATTGACAATTTTTACCAACAGAATAATCAAAATCACTTACCTTCACTGACATTATTAAATTTCAACAAGATGGGTTAAAGACAATGCTTAACCGGTAAGAAAATGAACAATCAAAATGATCAAGAAATTTTCATCACAATAAAAATAAACTGTAATGCAGGTTCCCGTTTAATTTGAAAAACAAGCTCAAAGTAACTAGTTACTTGTAACCAAAATTTTACACTAAACAATGTTACAAAGAAAGTTATCCGTTTCCGGACTGTTTCCAAGGCAACACTAAAATTGTCCATCAAAAATTGCCGTTAATTTACAGAACCTTTTGTTATGTTTCTGGAAAGGATAAAGAATCAAGTTTGAATTATGCTTAAAAGCGATTAAAATCTTTAAATCAAATTGATTGATATAAACTCGAAGACTAGAGATGTGGCGACAATTGGTAACCAGCTACTTGATTAGAGGAGAAAGGAAAGTAAATATGGATCAGTTAATTGGTGTCGAGTATTGGCATAACAACAATTAGCCGATTAATCCGATTGATTAAAATTAAAGAAATCTCTGTTCGAATTTCAAGAAACAAGATTTCTAATTTTAAAGAAGCAAATTAATGTGAATTAATAATAACCGAAATAAACGGTTTAACCAAACTAGACAACCGCATCTCCTTACTCTTTGGCTACAACAGTCACTAGATGGAGACTGAAAAACTGGTTACTGTTCATTGCAAACCAAATCGGGTTTGGATTTCAATTTTTAATTTGATTTTACGACGACAACAAGTTAATTATTACAATGTAGGAATTCGATTATGATTATGTACTTTTTCTGTTACCATATGAAATGTTGAATGAGAATTAGTCTGATAGAAATACGCATTAATCCAAAAGGACTGGGTTTGACCAAAGAAACTATACTTTTGGACTGTTTGTAAGCTTTGATCATTTGATTGTTGAATTTAGTCTTTAACTGGTGAAATACAAGAAATCAGGTTGATATTGAATTAAAAATTAAATTCTAATTGTTTAGTCAAACTTTGGCTTTAGGTTTTACTTGATTTCTCATAAACAAAAATCTATTTTTAAAAACTGAATCACTTGGCCTCTTGGTTTATTCAGTTGCATTTACAGTTGTTAATCTAAACAGTCAATGTAAACAATTGCTAAACATGATTAATTAGTAATCAATTAAAGGTCCCGTTTCCGAATCAGGCAAATAAAGTCTATTGCGACTAAAAACAAACATAACAGTTCAACAACCAAGAATATTTTACCTATTATCATGAATGTCTGAATGTCTGAGCAAGTCTACAGCAAGTTGACATGCAAGTAATATGTATTTGAAGAGAAATAATTAAGCACCATTTTCAATAGATTTGACAATTGGACAATCAGTTTGATCAGGTTTTCTTAATCAGTACAGTTCCGACTTTATTAATACAATAATTGTAAGCTCACAAAGTTTAAGACAATCAAGAGTGTTGAGAGCGTAAACTTGAAAGATGTTTTATCAGCGATATTAACGGAATAAAACAATTCTTGTTACTGACAATTAAATTGCAATATTTAAATATCAAACTCAAACTAACAATGGCTAATAAAAGGCTATTCAACTTCGCAGCTAAAAATTTATCGATTCAGAAATCGAGTATAGATGATTCGAAGGCATTTCGAGTTTTGACTAAAGCTTTTGCTTCTGATACTTTTATGCAATAGCCAAAGAGTTTCACCAACAGTAATGATCGGAATATACATTTCATTTTTGGCAAGTGATCCAGAAAGTTCACTCGTTCATTACTTGCAGGTTAAGCATTTGCCATTGTAGCTATAAACTGAAACTCGCTATAGCCATCAGAAGTGGTTGATAAACATTGACAATTCAACATTATACAACTCGGGATTTCATTATAATTAAAAGTCTTTTAATCTAACTCATCCTTTTGCCGTTAATTTCAGATTCTCTGTACATTCATTCAAGATAAGGCAGTTACTAATCAAGCTGGTTACACTTGAGCTAATTCACTCCCAGTGATGTTAACCAGCAACGTTCTGGACGCAATTCAAAGCGATAAAATTGGTAAATTTAAAAACTTAATTTTTCCCTTTTCACGCCATCTAACGGTTAGTATAACCATTAACCGGTTTTTTGTTCTTTCGGTTATTCTTTTTGAATTTTGGCGGTCATTGATTTCATAAGAGGGAGCTTTACTGTATCCTTGGTGATATTCGGGAAACGGAAACATATTCTCTTTATATAATAGAGATAAACACGTTTAGATAAATTCTGATAAAACCTTATCTTTTATCAACATTTCCCATCATTTTATCTAAAATCTTTTTATCTAAAGTGATTAAGCTTGACGTGAGCTACAAAACAAGTGCTGCAACACTCATAAAAGATTAAAATTAAAGTTTTTACAAACACCTGAAAATTTAGGTCCAAAACACCTGACAATGGTAAGTCAACATGGAGTCTTTTATCAATATACTCCAATGTTATATCAAATAATACTAATAGATAGTATGAAATATTAATAAGAAATAAATTAATAAGAAATAAATTAATAAGAAAACAATACATAAGAATAAATAATAAGAACAACTAATGAAAATATTTCTCTTGATCTCTCTCCATAGACTGAAAAGAAACAAAACATGCTTATGGATCACTGGAATAATGACAAGATAAAGACTATTGAATTCATAGATAATGTCATTAGTGATACAACCAAATTCATTGAATTCAAGAACAAATACGCCGAGATTGACATCAAGAAAGTTGTAGTACAAATATGTGAACATCTTAAAAAGGACAAAACACCAAAAGACTGGTCTCAACCCATCATAGCCAGGGCATGCAAAATTACTCGTTTTTATGCTGATATAATCAAAAAGAATAAAGAGAACAGTATCCTCAACAAGAAGAAAGATGATGATACTAATAATAACATTCCGAAAGTCAGCACTGATATAATCAACAACAATATCAATGACAGAGATACTGACAAAATAGGAAATGGTACTAATGGAGAAACAGTGAAAAGTAATGATGATGGTAAACAACAGAAGGAAAATAAAAGAAAGTCCATTGAGGAATTTGATGATGATATCATCATTGATGAAACAGCTCTTAAACTAATCAAAGACCAAGACAACATCAATCCTACAAAGAGACGAAAGATCATAAGTAAAAATTATTTACAAGATGATGATAAATTACCAATTGGATGGCATAAGGTACAACAACTAGAGACAAAACCTGTTGTGATTGTCAAACCAAATGGTGATGATGATGTCAACAAAACTAAACAACTGATAAGTAATGTACTCGAGGAAGAAGATAAGGAATATGGTGAAGTTGAACAAATCTCCAAGACACAAAAGGTAGTGGTAATACACTTTGATGATATTACTAATAGAGACAAATTCATGAAATATGCAAAGATTCATAGAAAGACATGGCAATGTGAAATACCTAAGCTTAAGAATCCATGCATCCGAATTAATGGTGTGTCCATCAGAAAGAATAATGATAACAAGATTGACTGGGATTTATGGTTAGAAAAGCTTATCAACAAAAATAAATGGTTACCAAAAACCAAAGACTCAATCTTCAAGATTAACTTTAAGACTGAGAAGAACAACAAGTGGAATATAGTATTTGAAGTTTCACCCAACATAAGACAGGCTATAATTCAAAAGAGAGGGAAAATATTCCTAGGTCTGCAGAAATGTGATGTCTATGACACCTTTAATATTTACACTTGTTATAATTGTTCTGCCTATGGACATACCACTAATCAATGTGGATAACAACCAGTTTGCAGATTCTGTGCTAAACAGCATTACACAAAATGTCCAATCAAAGAACAACCAGAAAAATATAAGTGTCATGCCTGCAAGAATGTTGGACACGCGTTCAATGATCCTACTTGCCAACAGTTTCTCTGGAGACTCAAACATGAACTACAATTCATCAACATGAATTACGAGATAATTATGACTCCAGCCAACCAACAATAACAATAAAACTCTCTTTATTCTCAGATCACCAGAATAGTAACAGCATCAAAAACCAAGAGAAAACCTTCATCTTCCAAACCACAATTCTTCTCTTTTTACATATTCATCTCAGAACTTGTCTCTATAAATCCAAAAGCATGTCAAACTGAAGTACAAATTGATCTTCTTTTTACAAACAATAAAATTTTCTCAATTATTAATAACAATCACACACAGACTATTAATACACCTTTTTTATATTTACTTGATCAATACAGAAACAAAACAAGAAAAAAGAAACTACAGAAACATATAATCAGAGACATCCTCCAACACATATACTCGATCACAATTATGCCCAGACTGAAAGACTTATTAACCTAAAAATCATAGATCACAACTGTTATGGTAATGCCTCACTAACCAATCAATATGCAGAAACACCGATAAAAGATACAATAATTACACTCCAAGAAATAAATCACAGCCAAATAATCAATATCAATCAACAAAACAAAATCATCACAAATGGTTCATCAGTAATTATAATCCCGAGCTCATTTACCATAATTAGAAAATACATCATCAAGGAACACTCAGCCGCTATACTAACAAAGACTAGAGGCACAAATATACTAATTATTAATACTCACCTGCAACCGACGAGAAAACAAATAATGATAGAAACACTTATTCAAATCAAAGCTATCATTGAAGCAAACCAAAACATCCCAATCATTATAGCAGGAGATTTTAACTCTGAAGCTACGATTTGGACACCAGAAATCATAAGAAATAACAACAAGTACAAAGCAAGTGGTACTGGAGGAAAAATAATTGATGAATGGCTCAGTAGTATGGAAAGCAATTTCCAACCAACAATAAAACCAAGTTATGACAACTATACAAGAGCAAAAGACGGAAGTAAAAGTTACATTGATAATATTCTGTACAATGAGAAAATCAGAATTATGAACACCGCAATACATGATTGTGATAAATCAGATCACAGAATTCTGACAGCAGAAATACAGCTTAATGGGCAAAGTGAAAAGAGAGTAAAATCAAGAAAAATTGAACTGAAGAGAATTAAGCTCAATGAAGTAAAAATCAAAGAAAACAATATCGAAAAGACGATGGATAAGGCCATCATCAACATCATCAGACATCCTAATATTCATGGTAAATGGAAAGAATACAAAATAAATCAAAACAGAAGGATGAATAAACTGAGGAAAAGAGAGAGAAAAGGTGACAACAGAGCCAAAGAAATAATAAAGTACAAGATCAACAACTTTGCGGTCTCAAAAATAATCAACAATACCAAAAACAGTCAACAAAGATGGAAACTCATCAACAAATACATAATACAAAAAACAGATAATTCATGTATTGAACAAGAAGCTAGAGGTAATCAACAGCTCAACCAAAACATCCAAACAATAATTCAAGATTACAAGTTCTCAAGACCAAAATATCCGAAAGATGGAAAAATCACAATTGGAAAGGAAGGAATCACCTTTGAAGAAATAAAACTAATAGAGAAATATAAAGCAAATACTTCATCCGGCAATGCTGATGACTACAACAAATCTCAATGGAATAAAGTAATGAAGAAAAACAGAAACTACATAATGAACATCATTAATCTAATCTTCAGAACGCAACAAGTCCCGAACAAATGTAAACTCTCTGGAATTACAATGCTAATTAAACCAGATGGAGTGTCAATAAGACAAATAAGATTACAATCTCACTTCATGAAAATAATTGACAAATTGCTTACCAAGAGATTACAAGAATACCTGGATGTGCTTATTACAAACAATCAATATTCATACATGCCTGATATTGATACAACAGATGCTATAATTCGGATACACAAATTGATGAGAAAAAATGATGTAGCGATTAAAGTTGACATAACCAAAGCGTTTGATAACATTGACAAAACAGCAATCTTTGAGAGACTTGATGAACATGTAGACCGACAAACAGTCAATCTAATAAGATCCTTCTGCACAAATAGATGGGCAAAAATCCGTTTCAATAATATTGACTATTACAGAAAAGATGATAAAGGTGTCCCTCAGGGATCAAGTCTTGGCCCAATACTTTATATAATTGGAATGGAAAAAGCTCTAAATGAACTTAAAGAAAAAGGATATCGATTTGTAGCATATGCTGATGATCTCCTAATCATCGAAGACCATCTAGAAGTCTACAAGAATATTGTCAAAACTCTCAAAGACATCACTGATGCCTTCCAAAAGATCAATCTAAACATCAATACAACTAAAACTGTAATTCAAACACAATATGATGAACAAATATATCGAATCAAACAAAGCATCATACTTAACAAACATATCCTTGGAAATATCAAATGTGAACAAGGAATCGATTTTCTTGGCAAATATTATACAAAAACCATCAACCCAGAACTTATCACCAAAATGGTCGAAAAAGCACTCATGAAAATTCAACCAAACATCAAAACCATCAATCAACTAAAACCAGAAATCAAAAATATCATCTTTAATGCTTACACTTCTTCATGTGTAGATCCAATAATTTATCAAACCATTAAAGATCACAAAAAAGGCAATTTTGATCCACTTCACACAAGAATTCAATCCATGAATAGCACGATAGCAAGAACTATCAATTGCAATAAAACTGGACACTGGACACCAACATTAATCCTAGGAATTACTAATCCATGGATCAATCAAATACCCAATATACTAACAAAAATAATAATCGAAGGAGAACAAGAAAAATATGACATCATCACAGACTTAAATCTGAAGGACATAAAATTAAATGAAATACAAATCAGCTCCAGGGGTATGCAGAAGGAAACTTACAGACATACAAACAATGAACAAACATATGATAATCAATGGATATGGTAACAAAGTCATGATTAAAAATGGGAATTCATCGCAAATATATAACATAAACAAATACAAATCAATATATCACAAGATGATTACGGCATTTTATATCATGGTAAACAACGCTAAGAATAAAGAGGTACTAAACCACTTTATTATACCGGATATCTTAATAACTCCAAACCAAATGAAAGAAGTTCGTAGAATACTCTCTAAATTAAAAGATAAACTCTGGACATGGGAATCGGGGAGTATGGACAAAACTTCCATGGGAAATGGCATCGAAGTGGAAGCGATAATAAGAGAGATAGATGTTAAAGCCAGGATAAAAGAACATTTCAAACAAGTACTCATCTACAAAATGAGACAAGATGAAACCACAGCTTTAATTCTAAATCCATATTTAAAGAAACCAACAACACACTTCTATGGTGGACATAAAGTAAGATATCTCATCGAATTACTCAAATCAATCAATATGACCAAAGTAAACTGCTGTGAAGGAATAGGAAGTAACATACATCATTACCTCTTCGAATGTGAAACAATGGAACCTCTACTACAAACGAAAGACTTCAATTTATGGTCATCCACTAACAATAATAAGAAAATAATAACATCTCTTGAAAAAATACTTCTGAAACTCTCTGAAATTTACCTAAACTCCTCTAAAACACGCAAATCTCCCATAACCCATTATACAATGTATATACTAAAAAACAAAAAACTTATGTAAAACAAAAACTCATGTAAAATGAAAAACTACTCAAAACTGGCGGTGATGCCAAGCCAGAGGGAGCTTTAGTGTTTCCCTAGCTACCTCTCCGGAAACGGAAGATAGCAGCTTGTATAAAACAGCCTTTGTCTAAGAAAAATAAAATACAAGCTATCTGTAGCTGGTTTCATACAGTTTAAGTCGTTTCTTAGAGAAACGTCGTACATTTAATTTATTGTGTTGTTTATAAAACAATGAAAATTGCAACAATTGTCTGTTAATCCTAACGTTTAATCATCATGCGAGCTAAGGTAAGTTTCCGATTAATTTAATGCTGACTTTCGAGTTACTGTTTTTTGTCGATTCAGATTTACTTATCTAATTTGTCTTTTTGTGCCACCATTTTCCTTTTTATGTTTCTCCATCCTTTACCTTTTCTACACTTTTGTTGGTATCTTCCTTTGAATCCCTGATTTCTTAGTGGCGGAAAAAGCGTATGCGACGGCTAAAGAGAAAACGCCGAAAGATGCGAGAACGATCCAAGTGATCGTGTGATCATTGATGTTCAGCTTCTGTTTGGATAATCTCCAGGACTTTTTTTTAATTGGGGAGTTCAAGTGCTGAGTAATCATTGATCTATAATGATTGGCTATGTCGAAGCCAAGATATCTATGTAACAATGCTTGATATTAATAAAGACGACTTTAGATTACTTCGTTTTGTTACACTCAATTTTTCCATTCATCAACGTGATTGGTTTTCGCGATACCGGAATATCTATTAATATAATTTCATATAATTTTATGTTCTCAAGGGTTATTCTCTGATTATTAGAGTTTTGTTGAGATTCAATTTTTCCACATGGTAAATCAATATGTTGAATCAGGCATGTTAACTTACAACATATTGTTAGATGAACCTCGAGAACTTTCTAGAATGTTTATTGAAAGTAGCTTTTCAAGTGTCTCTTTATTCAGTTGTTTTCAACTTTTCTTTGAAATGTTCTGTTTGCGATAAATCTAACCTCAATCTTGAGCTATCATGAAATCGGTTTAGTCTGTGCAGTAGCTTGTTAAATCTTTGGTTATCTTAATAGGCTTTAATATTTAATACATTTGTATTATCACAAAATTTGAAGACACTTTTTTTGTTAGATTTAGAGATTCATGTCAGAGTCTTTAATTTAGGAATAAACAATTAATGGAATATAAATTTATTTAATTTAAAACAGGTGTTAGTAATTAGAGCTCTCTTGGGCAGAGAGGAAAAGGCAGCACAAAAGCTAAAAAGAGAATATAGTTTATTTAGGCGTCAATGGCAAAACCATACGTATCTTGAGCGGCTTCAGTGCAAATATCCTGATCTCTTTTAATGTAATAAGAATTGTATAAAAACGCAACACCGCCTAATATTAGTACAATACAGTTGGTGTAGAGCGAGTATTGTAAACTAATAGCTTGTGCTTCATTGGTTGATGTAAAAGATTTGCTTGACTTGATGGCATCTGATATCTATTAAAATAAATTGCATAGTTAGTAAGGATAAATTAATAACGACAAATTATTTGAAATGGATAAAAACTTTACCAAGCCAATGATGTAAGGACTAGTTGCATCACCAAGTAAGTGAGAAATAAGAATTTGTATTGATTGAGCAAAAGCTCGCCGATGGGGAACGATTATATATAATAACATATCAGCCACAAGGGTCCAATTGATGCAAAGCAATGTTACTCCAATTGCAATACTAATCCATGATAAAGTAGGCACACTTGTAGCCAAAGCGATCGAAAGAAAAATGAAAGGAGTTGAAATGAAAACACTAGCTGAACAAATCAATGGATCAGCTCGGTGGGTTTTCTTGCGAAGATATTGAGCAGCATAGGTACCCGTGAGAACACCAACTATACCACCAATGCATGTTATCACTCCGAAAATAAGAGGAATGCTGGATATGAAATGAAAAAAATTGATCATTAAAATCTGCAATTGTATAAATTATTCGCCAAAACTCAATTTACCCATCATGATCTTTTCCATCTTGTAATTTGAAAACCGCTTGCATGAAAGTCGGAGCCCACCAAGTCAATGAACCAGTGGTAAAACAGACACAGGTAAATCCAAGTGTTGACCAAATGTAAGAAGGAATCTTAATTAAATATCTTATATCAGTTTTGAGAGTACTTTTTACTAAATTAGAAGCACCATCAGCTTGACCTCTTTGAGGTTCTTCCAGGAAAATTAACATTAAAAAAATAGAGAAGAGACCCAACATTGGAGTCAATCGAAGAGCATATTTCCAACTACCGAATGCTCGTGAAAGAAGATCTCCTACAATAAAACCCATACCTGAACCAACAGGTATTGCGAAAAAAAATAAACCTAGAACTTTTGTTCTTAAATCGCCGATAAATAAATCAGCAATAATTGTTGGCGCAATTGTTGAATAACTGGCTTCCCCAATTCCAACCATGGCTCTCATGAAAATGAACCATCCTTTTGCATTTGCAGGAATAATGGAGCCGAGGTATGTAGTTATTGACCAAAAAAATACGCCAACGGCCATTAAATTTTTTCTTGAATACCGATCCCCTAAATATCCAAAAAGTGGTGCCATAACCATATAGCTAACAATAAAAGCAGATTGAAGTGAACCACCTTCGGCATCACTTAAGCTGTAATATTTGGTAATATCTGGTAAAACTCCAGCAACAGTAAAACGATCCATATAATTGATTAAATTGATAAAACAGAGGATCCCAACTGCCACATATTTCTTGGTATTATCCATTATCCAAGGTTTTATTAAGTAGATTCACAAAAGTGAGAAAACTGTAAAAAAATTTAACAAAAATAAACAAAAGTAATCTTTCAAAATTGAAAGAACAACCGAGAGTTGACAACACACCACTAGCTCATAACTTTTTTTGATAAAGTTTATGGCATGATCATTGTGATGATTTTACCTAAATGATTTCACCCCCATTAGTTAATGAATTAAATCAAACCAACAGTAATTGTTATTTATACACAAAGACTAAGGTAAACATCAGAAATCTTACAGGAAATTTTTTTAATTGATGCAACAACAATGTCTTCCAATAGATGGCTCTTAAAAAAAGCGCTGAAGTTAAATCTCGTTATTTGAATTTACTGTTAAAAATTAATGAATTAATTTCATGTCGACTCTGAAAACTCGTAAAAATCTTAATCATCGCCCTTTGATTATTTTTACTCTATTACGTGATTTAACAGTTTTTAGGTAACAGTTTTGTAGCAGTTATATATGGTGTAACAGTACACTTGTACAGTAAAAAAATGAAAATATTTACAAATCACAATTTGAATTTTTTTAATAAATATTTGAAATCAAGCAATTGAAATAAAAAAAGAGTTGATTAATAAATGAAACCACAACATTGTGTTGATTTGAAATGTTCAAAAATGACTATATTTCCAACCTTGAAAATTAACAAAATATTTAAAATCTTGTAAAATAATAATTTTCTGCGTTCATAACAGGAGAGGAAAACGAGGACGGATAATCAGCCCATAAATGAACTGATAAATGTTCATAAATGTCTCAATCTATTGAATCAAATGATTCTGACTTAAGCAAAATGCCATTTAGGTGAGATTGTTTAAGTATCGGGTTCACAAGGCAGTGATGATGATTTTGATTACAATAATCCTTTTTCTCGCAGGTCAATAAGTTCTCTCTTTTTGTCCAAATAATTTTTCAAGCGCAATTGGCCATATTCCTAAATTATAAAGAAAAACGAGAAAAAAATCAGTGAAAATGAACAAAATCTGAAATCAAGGAATAAGAAGAAGAAGAGAAATAGGCATCTTTTTGTAAACACATCTACAATTACAGGATGCATGATATGAGTTCCATCAATTAGAAAAGGAATATAATTTATAATTTGAGCAGCTCATAAATCAAACCGCTTCTAATAAACTGACTATAATCTAGAGATGATAAATAAATCAAATTACAGTCCTTACCCAATAACCGAAAGCAATTTTTGATGAGTATCCATGGTCTATACTCCAAAGGATCCATAAGAAATGAGATGCAAGTGTGAAAATTTCAGCTTCGCGTAGTATGTGATCTTCGGTGTCAATCTCCGGATTTAGATTTGATTTATCAATGGCTTTAATATATTCCTTAACAAAGAATCGCCTTTGAGTTTCACTTGGATAATCTTGTGGATTATAATAAAAATGAGGAAACTCGGGTGCTGAATAATCCATGGTCCATTCGTTAAAATGATTGGCTATATCATGGCCACGATAATTATAAGCACAGTACTCAAAATCAATAAAGATAAGGTTGGGTTCCAATAAACTCTTAGTTAATTGATTTTTAGACCCACTAGAAAGGCGACTCTTGGTTTGTTTTGTTGGAAGTAAAATGTTACCCTCTTGAAGATCATTATGACAGAAAACTACGGGAGATTCAATAGAGGAAAGAAAATTTCTCAACCATGTTATTTCTTCTTCATAAGGAAACTCTATCAATTCTTTCACTAAATTTTGATAATCTTTTTTAATCATCTTCACATCTATTTTATGAATACTGTCCAACCACAAATGTATTGTGTCAAACAGCCATGTGGGTTCTTTATTGATAGGTACATCAAGTTGGTGAACATGAGATAGTTTATGGGCAATGGTTGCTGAAATAACAGGATCTCGAAGTTGTTCACATGTCAGAGCTTGTGCCTATTAAAAGAGATTAATTTAATTTCAAATTAATTCAAATCTTTAAGCCCCAAAAAAATAGGGAAAAAGTAAAGGGTAAGATAACTTACCGGAATATATTCTTCAAGCCGTCCTTCAGGGAAAATCCCATACAGCTTGGGGCCAAGTTTTCTTTCAGACAACATCATGAAAATGACTGATTCTGTCATTTTATTTATATTTTGACTTGGGTCATCTGAATGGAGTTGTCCATACATCCGAAGGAGAACCTGACTTGGCTCTCCACACAATGGTGTATGAGTCGATGGCAATGAACACCGATATAAACTGTTGCTGAGGCCACCACTGCAAAGAAAGAGAAGAGATGATTGATGGCATGAAAAAAGCGCATTTACACGCATTTATTACCTGATTGAGTGGAAAACCAATTCATCTTCTTTGATGTCCTTCCAAGACCCCGACAGGAACTGTCTGCATAGATTATATGCTTTGTCATGAAGAGCAGAATTTGATTCAATCATAGATTGTGCTTTAGTTAAAGATCTATAAAAAAAACAATGTTAATTAAAATCAAAATATACGTATAATCAAATCATTCATAACAAGACAACCGTTAAACATCCAATTGGTCTATTTTCCTACTAGGCTATTCTCAGAGATTTATTGCCAATTGATAGAGTTTATGTTTGGTTTTATTATGATGGATTTAAGTGTAATTCATAATGAACTTACCTTTGATGGACATGGACATCTCGAAATTTAAAAATAGCTTGAATAAAAAGTGGAGTTATCCATAACAAAGAATGAGTGGTGAAACATAAAAAAGTGAAAAAAAGAGTTGACCAGATATAGGAAGGAAATTTTGACAAAAAGGATAAATTTACTTTGAAATTATTTCTTTCTGAATATTTAACACCAATAAATTGACCTCTTGGAGGTTCCTCTAAATATAATAACATTAAAAAAACAGAGATAAAACCCAATAACGGAGTCAGTCGAAGAGCATATTTCCAACTTCCTAATGTTTTAGCAAGAAAATCTCCAACAACATAACCTAAAGTAGAACCAACGGGAATAGCGAAAAAGTATGAACCCAAAAGTTTGGTTCTGTAACTGCCATAGAATAGATCAGCAATAATTGTTGGAGCTATTGTTGAATAACTAGCTTCACCAATTCCAACCATGGCTCTCAGGAAAATGAACAAATTGCCGCATTCTCTAGGAATAAAGGATCCCAGATATATTATTATGAACCAAAAGAGTAAACCCATGGCCATTAATTTTTTTCTGGAATACCGGTCAGCCAGCAATCCAAATATTGGTACCATAAAAATGTAGCTAAAAATGAAAGCAGTTTGTAATAAACCACCTTGAGCATTACTAAGGCTGTAATAATCTTTGATATCTGGTAAAACTCCAGCCACAGCAAATCGATCAATGTAATTGATCAAATTGATAAAACAGAGGATTCCAACTGCCACATATTTCTTGGAAACATCCATAATTAACGAGTTGATATAACAGAACCACAAGTTGAATGAAATTTTAAGCGATAATCGACGATAAATAAAACCAAATGTAACTGTATTCTCCCAAAAGATGAGAGCGTGACAATAAGCACATTACTCGCTCATTGCTTTTTATCAATTAATCTTGAATAAACTTTAGGAAAATTTTTACCTTGAAGAACCACTCTCATGATCTTACCTCCAAACATTAATGAGTAATAATGAACACATGACCGATTACAAATCAAAACATGATAATAAATCTTATTTTCACAATTTCTCCAAGTCTGTCCACTAGAGGTCTCTCAAAACACAAGAAAGCGCCAAAAGCGTTTTTTCATATATTTTTCAAATTAAATTAAACACGAGACAAATGCAATCACGACTGATTGCAAAATTGTTGCTATTCCGTGAAATTAACTTAAAATGAAACTGAATTAACGTAATTATAATGTCTTCATAATTTTGCAATAAATTCCCATAGAAACAGGTTTAAATGTAATCCTTCAACTTAATAATGAATTGAAAAAAAGACGAAATGAAATCCTTTTCTTATGCAACAGATTCTGTAATTATTATGATTGATTGTTATTAATATATCATGATTCATATACCAAGTATTCGGTTCTTTACTTATAAGTTTTAGCCATAAACTAAAGCTAACTAATTCCCTTACAAATACCATCCTCACACCGGCAATGATATTTTGTCTGTCAACTGAAATGCAAAGATCGTGAAGAGCAGTTTGAAGCATTGCCATTACCTGAAGTCAATTCACAAGACGCAATTCAAAATGAAAAACCCATTGCTTGAAATGGCTGTTATGTACCTTTGGTTGTTACTAAAAAGACACAACTATCCCATTTATGCAGCAATTGGCAGAAATGAACAAAAATGGGTAAAAATTAATTTCTTTCAAATTTAGACTCTGTTAGTTTATGAGGAGATGAAAACAAAGTCAAACAGATTCGAAATTTCATTTGAAGAAAAGTTTTCGAGAAAATCGAGGTCAAAGTTGAAACTTTGATCGCCTTTTTTGCAAGTATGGAAGTAGATTTTTTCATGAAACTCATTTCACTGATGTTGCCTCCAATTGTCAATCAGAAAATGCTTTTGTTTTTAGAAATAAAACTTTTCGTTTTCTGTAATACAGATACGTTCGACTTCCAGTTAAACCGATCGTTCTCTTCGCCCGAAAGAGTCAGTATGCTGAAACTTATTATTTGACCATAAAAGTTGTGCGTACACATCATGGATTAAATACTTTTTTCCAGTTATCAATAGTTACCTTGATTTTGGCCATTGTTGTTAAAACTTTGAGCCTCGATATTTCGATAATGGCATCACCTACAGTCAACATTCTTTCACTCATTTAATCCTTTACTTATTATTAATTAAATTCACTTTAATCAATTTCCATTAACGCATTTGGGTCATGATGTTTAAATTGTAAATGTACAAGGAACAACTTATTCAACAAACAAAACTCATCACACCCAATTTTTTGCAAATAAAGCAATTTTCTGGTTAAAATGTCTTTGATGCAAAAAGTACTGCCAAAGACTCGAACATTTGATTAAAGATTTGAGTCTTTGTAGGTTTGTAGGGACATAAAAATTGGGTCATTGTTGCTAGCAAATAATTCACCCGATGGACAGTTTTCTAGAAAATTGAGGTCAAAGATTAAACTCCAATCGCGTTTGTTCAGTAATGGAATTAACTTCTTCATAATACTCATTTTAACGATCTACAATTTTTGATGAACAACCAGAAAATAATTTTATTTTGAGAAATGAGATTTCACATTTTCTGCAAAACAGAACAGTTCAATTTTCAATTAAACCGATCGCTTTCTGTGATTTTAAGAGTTACCGAGCGGAAACTTATTGTTTTTCCACTAAAATTAGTGTTTCACATCATGGATTGTCTACTTTTAACCAATTAACAACAGTTCTCCCGATTTTGGCCATTGGTCTTAAAACTTTGAACCTCAATAATTCAAGAATGGCATCACTTACAATCATCATTCTTTGACCAATAATTAGGTTTCATTAATGGGTATACGATAATATGACTGAAAACCGGAGAAAATCTTAGCAAATTTATTTAATAATGAAAGAAATTCTGTCACACAAGATTTGAGTTTGAATAACCATTTATCTTTATTTGTCAACAATAAGACCGGATTACTACTTTGTGTGTCTAATAGCTGGGTGAAATTCAGATGAAAACTAACCCATTAAATGCAGCTACTAGTGTTGAAAGAAGACAAAACATGATTGAAATGCATGAGGAAATTTGAAACATAACTCGAAAAATCTTTGAGGACTTTCAGGTTAAAGTGACTTACAAGTTGTTAGTGGGTTTTTAGAGCGAAAAACTGAATCCATTAGGGCTATAAGTATAGCTTACTTTTATCTTGACCATAGTGCCAGTATGCGCGTCAATACGATAAGTGAATGAAACAGTTTTATTTAATGCTTCAATTTTTATTCAATATTAATAGATAGTGAAAACTCCAAAATTATTCCTTCAAATTGATGAAGGTTGCTGTCAATTTATTCAACAAGAATTCAAATCGCCACAAACACTGATCCATTGTTTTTCGCGAAATACTGCTCACCTCAGTAAAGAATCCGTCGTCCTTAGAAAAATGATAATTTCGCATTTCATTGGACAATGATTTTAGACGATCAACGATCTTCATATCAACTCGATTTGGACGTCCTAAAGATACTTCACACATACGAACCATCTCAATGTCACCAATATAAGCATCCATCATAGCTTGTAGGTTATCTCTCGAGAAACTATAGCGCGAATCCATAGTCAAATAATCACCATTATGGATTCCCATGGCACTGTTAACATCGTTTATAAGTCGCACAATATGTGAGTAAGATTCAGAAAGATCACTGATTCGAGTGTCATTTGAATCCATTGATTCCAAAAGTAAGCGTAACGATTGTTCAGTTGAATTGCAAAAGATTTTTGCATCTTCAAGAATCGATTTTCCTTCGTATAAAGTCCTGACTTGATCGATTCGTCGATTTACCATAGAAGTTAGTATCGGCTTCGGCATATCTTCACGAGCGTAAAGACTTTTCATGAAGGCCAACTCTCGTAGGGATGCGGAGTATGATGCATTGATCACGGCAACTAATTCAAAATGAAAAAAGACATTGAATTGAAAGAAATTGAAAAGTCAAGAAAAAATGAAAAACTTACATAAAAAGATGAGTCCGATCGTATTTTTCATTGTAATAGCTTTCAAATTAGTTAGTCAATGTTAATAAATCAAAAGTAAACTATTTTAGTAACAACTTGATGAACTTGAATGAATTGAATAGATCTGAGCTCGTCTTTATATCTACTCGATTTGTTTAGTCGTAGCATTGATGTACAATCTATCGCTAAATCTTTGTTGCTTTGTTTTTTTGCAAATTCAAACCAGTTTAATCCATGTAACTTGGTACTTTCGCCCATTACTATTTGTTCAATTTCAATCGGAATAATAACAAATTTGTTATTGAATTGAGTTAAACGATATAATTAAGTGATAGACAACAATGGTTCAAACATTTAAAAAGTGTTATCAAAGTAAAGTCGATAACACAGGTTTGAACATGATTGAACACATCCATTGAGTCCATGTTAAATCCAATCCATCGCCACTAATAGCGCGTGTTGCAGTCTTTAATTGTTTATTATCATCATAACTATTAATAATACCTGATATCTGGATTGATATCGTCCAGTAAATAAAATATTATACGTCGTCAACATAAAAAGCATATAATATGTTTACATTAAAAGCATCGTTTATCGGAAAATTAGTTGGTTTTGCTGGGTCGCTGAATTAATCAATAAATTTGATTAATTAGCTTTAATTTTACCTCATTAACATTTAACAATCTTCTATTGAGATTCTATTTCTAAGTCTCGGGACCCGATAGACTTTTTGCAATATCTCTTACGAATGAGATGTATTTTGTTTTTCATGTTAATCCTCAATAGAAATGTTTCTAATATTAATATCATGAGTACCCGTAATATAACCGTAAAAATGGTATCGACAGATCTCCTTTAACAAGTTACCTCGCGTAGAAACACTAAATAAAACATTCAATGACCATTCAAAATTTTTACTAACTTCATCACAACTCTCTCTGCTAATCCCATTAAGGATCTAACGATCGTGAGCTTGAGCTGTGCAAGTCTGGAATGATATTTTAGTTGAAAACAGTTGAATTTCAAGAAAGCACTGCAAAGCAAAACAAAGTTTTAAATTTGAAATAAAATTTCTCGAAAAATATTCATCTGAGAAAATCGCGAATCAGACGAATGGTCTCAGTATTCATGGCGATACAAAGTAGCAACGTTATAATTTGAAAATAATTTTTATCCGTTTCTGCCTCTTTGCGTACAAGTTTGATGCATAAATGTGACAGTTGTTAGTTACAAGTTCATTCAATCTTCAATATAATATAATAGTTGAACAATCTGAGATGGAAAGATAACATTCCCTCGATTAAACACAATTCATTTCCATTGTCAATTTTCCATGATTAAATTCTGGTTAGTTATTATTGGACTTTTCACTTATAAACAAGCATAATGAAGACTTTTGGTGTAATATTGTTGTCATGTTTTGCTCTAACTTTGCTAATTGATGTAAGTAACTGTAAACTTTTACATTTTAATTGTTTCCGCTTATTTATAATATATTGACAATTAGGTTACAAATGGCTCAAACAGTTTCACTATTGACTATGAAAATGACCGCTTTCTCATGGATGGCTTACCATTCCGTTATATCGGTGGAGAGATTCATTATTTTAGGGTTCCTCAAGAATACTGGTTTGATCGTTTATTCAAAATGAAATCAGCCGGTATAAATGTGCTACAAACGTAAGTAACAATTAACCATCTCAACTCCAAACAAGACTTCTAATGCTCCTAATAGGTATATTGAATGGTCTGGCCACGAACCAAGAGAAGGTGTTTACAAATTTGACGGTAATTACAATGTTACTCGATGGATTGAAGAAGCTCAAAAGGCTGGTCTTTACGTTCTTTTGCGTGTTGGACCTTACATTTGCTCTGAGCGAGACATGGTGAGTGCTTTGTGCTAAATAGCTTCTTTGTTTACTCGTTCAGTCCGTAACTTACGTATGTTAGTGTTTTATTCTGTCCTTTTTCTTTCGTGTTTAAAGTATGGACCTTAGTAACAACAGGTTGGCTTGAAGCCAGTAATAGACTGTAAACTGATTGTTTTTGCTCATTGAACAGGGAGGATTACCTTGGTGGCTAATGAAATATGATTTACAATTACGACGAAACAATGATATCTACATGAAATATGTGAAACAATGGTTTTCTGTGTTGTTACCCATGATTAAACCATATCTTTATCAAAATGGTGGACCCATTATTATGGTACAATTGGAGAATGAATACGGTTATTACAGTGCTTGTGATAACAGTTACATGTCAAGCTTACGAGACATTGTTCGTTCACATTTGGGTGACGAGATTATCTTGTATACAACAGATAATCCAGGTTTATTGGCTTGTGGACTGGTTGATGATGTTTTTGCTACAATTGATTTTGGAACCAACACTCAACCCGATGATCAATTCAAAACACTTCGGGCTCACAGAGCCTCTGGTCCATTGGTTAACTCAGAGTTTTGGATTGGGAATATCGATACCTGGGGAACTCAACACTTAACCAAACCTGTAGATGAAGTTACCAAATGGCTGGATGTTTTATTGTCTTATGATAAAAATATGTCTTTAAGCATGTAAGTTGCATTTACAAGCAAAATAATAGGTTGTAAAAAGACACAACTAACACAATTGACACAAATGGGCAGAAAAGGATAAAAATTGGTTTCTTTCCACTTATGAGATTTTCGCTTTTTAGAGACATGAAAACTGAGCCCAATCGTCCAATTTGTGATTTTCTATGATGAATATTTTTCGAGAAATTTTAGTTCGAAGTTGAAACTTTGACCGCCTTTTATGCAAGTTTGGAAGTGGATTTTTTCACGAAACTAATTTTACTCATGAAGCTTCCAATTTTCAATCAGAAAATGTCTTTGTTTTGAGAAATAAAACTTTCCGTTTCGTGTGAAACAGATAAGTTCGAGTTCCAGTTAAACCGATCGTTCTCTTCGACCGAAAGAGTTAGAATGCTGAAACTTATTATTTGTCGATAAAAATTAATGGAACACATCATGGATCAAATAGTTTCTTCAATTGCTCAACAGGTCTCTTGATTTTGGCCATTGGCCTTAAAACTTCGAACATCGATATTTGAAGAATGGCATCATCCAAAATCACCATTCTTTGACCAATCATTAAATTAACTAATGGCTATAAGATGATGTGGCTGAATACCGGAGAAAATCTTAGATAGTTTATTTAATCATGAATTAGATTCTATCACATAAGATTTGTGTTTAAATAACCATTCACCTTTATAAATCAAGAAATATAAGCAATACAATGCTATAACTTTGTAGTATCTTGAATGGTTTAACATGTCAATTTATCATATCCCGTAGTAAAATCTTATGATTGGTCAAAGAATGGTGATTTTAAATGATGCCATTCTTCAAATATCGATGTTCGAAGTTTTAAGGCCAATGGCCAAAATCAAGAGACCTGTTGAGTACTTGAAGAAACTATTTGATCCATGATGTGTACCATTAATTTTTATGGGCAAATAATAAGTTTCAGCATTCTAACTCTTCGAAGAGAAGAGAACGATCGGTTTAACTGGAAGTCGAACTTATCTGTTTTACAGAAAATAGAAAGTTTTATTTTTCCAAACAAAGATGTTTTCTGATTGACAATTGGAAGCAACATCAGTGAAATGAGTTTCGTCAAAAAATCTACTTCCATACTTGCACAAAAGGCGATCAAAGTTTCAACTTTGGCCGCGATTTGTGCAAAAACTGTTGATCAAAGAAATTTTTAAGTCGCACAAATGGACTCAGATCATAAGTATTTACAAATTAACATAGTCGGAAGTTGAAAGAAATTAATTATTTAGTCTTACGGACCATTTGTGCACAAGCTTGATGCATAAATTTTACAATTGTATCAATTGTGTCTTTTTGCTGCATTAAAAACCAAAACATCACTCATTGCATTTCATTTATTGTTAACCAGGTACATGTTTCACGGAGGAACTTCATTTGGATTCGGAAGTGGTGCTAATAATGGAGGTTATCTACCAAGACCAACCACTTATGATGTCGATGCATTATTAGATGAAGCCGGTGATCCAACTGAGAAGTATCGAGCTGTTAAAAACGTCATTTCAAAGGTGCATTCTTCATTTTCTGACCCTTACCATCAAATTTTAAGCTTTCACGCAAATCATCATTATTTTATTTCGTTTCAGTATGCACCTGTCTCTAAAGACGACATTGAACCAAGTCCTAAACTGTCGATTGGACCGATCGACGCTAAACTGGAAATGGATTTCACTCAACTCTTTTCACAGCAATTTTGGAAGAAGGTTGACTCTGATTCGCCTCAACCATTTGAATACCTTGGATCTCGTAATGGACTGATCCTTTATTCAACTACAATTGACTTCAAGTCTACATCTCCTTCAATGTTAACCATTAATGCATTAAGAGATCGTGCTTATGTTTACATAGATAAAGTAAATTGATTTATCCATATTTTTTGAAAGCTTTGAGCCAAACTTTAATGACTACTAATCGTTTCAGGTATTTCAAGGAGTTGTAAGTCGCCAAGAAAAGAGTTTAGCAATTCCAATCAGAGCTGAAAAAGGAAGTCGCTTGGATTTGATTGTTGAAAATCAGGGGAGAACTTACTTTGGAGATGAAATAAGTCAACATAAGGTAAAGAAATGGCTCAATGTATATCAATTATAGTCACTGATATTTTTATTAATGTTATTAAACAGGGAATCTTTGGAAGTGTTACACTTGGATCAAAAACATTAACCAAATGGTCTCATTACTTTATTGATGATTGGGAAGATTTTACATCTTTATTGAAATTTGATGCAAACGTGCCTAAACAACACAGTGGACATAATTCAAAGAATGCTTTGCATCCAGCAATTTTAAAAGCTGAATTTGTTGTACCATTTACAAAGACGTATGACACTTATTTCAATCCAACCAATTTATCCAAAGGCTTTGCATATCTTAATGGGAAATGTCTTGGAAGATATTGGCCAACAAATGGTCCTCAAATCACACTTTATACACCAGGAGTGTGGTTAAAACCGAGCCCTCAAGTCAATCAGTTGATTTTGGTTGAACTAGAAGATCCACCGTGTTTAATCAGCAACGGAACTTGTCAACTAACTTTTGATGATCATCCAACTCTAAACGGAGAGACTCCAGTAAACTGGTGAACAGATGCAATCAATAAACCATATTATTAAGTTTTAACACCATTCTTAAGTGACTTTGAATCTTATTGTAAAGAAATATTACATTTATGATTATTAGAAATATGGAGATGCATTCAATATTTTGAATACTTATATTTAGATTGATATAATTTTTAAAAACTTCCGTTTACTTGAGAAGTATTTCTTTCAATAATGGAAATTGAATTGCGAGATTCATATGAATCCATTCTGAACAATCTCTTAAACCATTTCAGCCAAATCATTCCAACTCTTTTATTCCATAAGAATGCTATGAATAAAAGTAAACCTTGATTTGTGTTGATGAATACAAATAGATATTTAGCTAATTGATGAGGCAAAGATTTCGGTGGAGTGATAGGTATTAAAAGGACAGTTATCCAAGATATACTGAGAACTGTCGCGATTCGAGAAAATACAGTCAACTGAACGGGCATGGATCGTATTGATTTTCCAGTCCAAGTTGAAACTGCAAAACTTTCTTCCAAAGATTGTTTGATTTTGATGAAGCTTGCTAGATAAAATATTGCATTTAGTAAATTACTCAGGGAAACGGGAATGGCGAAATAGAATAGAACTCCGATAGAATTACGAATCCAACAAACACCTTGATAAGCACCGAAGTGGGGAGCAAAGTCATTGGATAAAAGCTCGTTGACCAAAGCAGCGCCCATGATTATCAAGACCATTAGATGCGCCATAACAAATGAATAGAAACGGTTACTGAAGGGAGAGTTCTTAGGGTACTGCATTGATCCAAAGGATACAAATGTTCGAAATATGTGAAAGCCAATTATACTGGAAAAGAAATTAATAAGTTAGTCGACACTCATTATTTACCAATTTAAATAAATAGATTCAAATGACGCGAATCTATTTTTTATTTTACTTACCTTGACCAAGAAAAGTTTAGCAATATAAAATAGTGAATTACAATTGCTGCCAACCAACAATCACTCCACTGTGAGCCAGTCAAGAACAATAACTGAAGGATCAAAATGGTTAGCACTAAGTTAATCGTATTGAAGCCGGGTAGAGTTGACGCTATATCAGGAACCATTGTAAATGTAATCAAAATGAGAAGTAAAAATATACTTGACACTACCAAACATAAGGCTACAATAGTGTTTTCCGTTTCACTGACAATACAGAAAAATGTCGCTTGTTCACATATTTTAACATTTGACTCTGCATCGATTTCAAATTTATTTGTTACTCCATATTGTGATCTTACTTCTCTGCCATCGGCAACAAACTCATACGATCCTGGAGGCAGTTTAATCTTTTCACAAAAGAATCCTGTAACCTTTTCACAGAGCATCGTAAATCTGACAACTTTCAACTTGTCATTATAAACCAAAATACTTCCAAGATAAGTTCCTTTTTTATACCTTCGTCCATTTGCTTTATTTAGTAAAATAATTTGACCAATCATTTCAAAGTCTAGATCCCAAATTATCAACCTTTTATCATGAGCACCATCACAAAAAGATCTCACATAATGGTAAACAGAATAATCTACATGAAGAATTTGGTAAAAGGTGCTCTCTACCTTAAATACCACATGAGGGTAAGTCCATTTCTTTAATTTCATTGCGATTTCGTTATTCGTCGTTGGCATTCCAACATCTTCAGTAAGTTGGAACTCAAGTATGGCTTGATCGGTTCCATTTGGTGTCAAACTTTCAACCTCTATTCGATCCTTGGGAATCTGTAGCTTCCTGGCAAAAGCATCTCCAAATTTTTGCCGAGTTTCTTTGCAGAAGATTAAATTTCCTCTAAGAACACCAACAGTGACCCGAAAAGACCATTTCTCTGACTCCAAATCAATGAATTCTTCATGAGCCATGAATCTAGTCAAGGCTTCCTGGATTGTACACATACGAACTGGAAGATCACCATAAGGAGATCGGCAATAAATCGGTCGACATTTTTCGTTAATTTTATCACGAACCTCATAATCACTGCACAGGTTTAAACTAAAATACCAAGTAACATCATGATGGCCCTGGAATCCAAAATTAGTTAATGTCACCGAACTTGGGATTGTCGTATTGAAATCTTCATCATCCAAAGAGGCCTTACAGATCGCAACTATTGTTGCTGTCATTAAAATAATTAATATGAATTGTTTGGAAGACATTTTAACACAATGTCAACAGTCGAACGCTAAATATCGCTGTCAGTAACGATTTTTTTTATATTTTGTTGCTAACAATTCGAACTCTCTCAACTGTTTTTACTTCTAGTTACGTGATTATTCAACTCGAAGCAATATTGAAGACTCAATCTGATCTCATCCATTAACCTTGAATTGAATTGAACGAGCAAACGCCAACGAGATTTGCGTTCTTTAGTTCTCTCTGTCTATTAAAGTCAATTATGGTGAGTAAATATTGTCTGAAAATTTAATCGTCTATCTTTTATCGATTAATGTTTAATTTCATTTAGCATACACTAAGCACTTATTTAACAGTTATTAGGTGATAAGAAGTGGTGCGATATAGCTGTGTATTAATAATAGATGCTACAGCGATCATGACTAATCGTAACTCCACACTCCGTACTATCAATTCAATCCACAAAAAAACTCAAATTGTTTAATTGTAGTTGTTGTAAAAAGTTTCCCTAATAGACAATCAATAACAACATCCCGTCTTCAAGGGTTTCTTGTCACATATCCTTAAAACCGTATCCTAAAATTAAACTTTTGATTTCGGTAAAACTAGTAGTTCAATATGTTTGATCAACAATTGAACTTGTCAACTCACTTTTGATGATCATTCGACTATGCCTGGAGAGACTCCAAAATTGGTGAAGACAAACAATTAATCATATTATAAGTTTTAATGCCGTTCTAAGTCCCTTTGAGTTTTATTGTAAAGAAATATTACATTTATGATTATTTTTACATATCATTGATTTAATTTTTAAAAACTTCCGTTTACTTGAGAAGTGTTTCTTTCAATAATAGAAATTGAATTAATAGATTTATGGGAATCCATTCTGAACAATTTTCTAACCCATTTCAGCCAAATCATTCCAACTCTTTTATTCCATAAGAATGCTATGAATAAAAGTAAACCTTGATTTGTGTTAATGAAAACAAATAGATATTTAGCTAATTGATGAGGCAAAGATTTCGGTGGAGTGATAGGTATTAAAAGGACAGTTATCCAAGATATGCTAAGAACTGTTGCGATTCGAGAAAACACAGTCAACTGAACGGGCATGGATCGTATTGATTTTCCAGTCCAAGTTGAGACTGCAAAACTTTCTTCCAAAGATTGTTTGATTTTGATGAAGCTTGCTAGATAAAATATTGCATTTAGTAAATTACTCAGTGAAACGGGAATGGCGAAATAGAATAGAACTCCGATAGAATTACGAATCCAACAAACACCTTGATAAGCACCGAAATGAGGAGCAAAGTCATTGGATAAAAGCTCATTGACCAAAGCAGCGCCCATTATTATCAAGACCATCAGATGAGCCATAACAAATGAATAGAAACGGTTACTGAAGTGGGAGTTTTTGGGATACTGCATTGATCCGAAAGATACAAATGTTCTGAATATGTGAAAACCAATTATACTGAGGAAAGAAATTAATAAGTTAGTCGACAATCATTGTTTATCAATTTGAATAGATCGATTCAAATAACGTGAATCTATTCTTTATTTTACTTACCTTGACCAAGAAAAGTTTAGCAATATAAAATAGTGAATTACAATTGCTGCCAACCAACAATCACTCCACTGTGAGCCAGTCAAGAACAATAATTGAAGGATCAAAATGGTTAGCACTAAGTTAATCGTATTGAAGCCGGGTAGAGTTGACGCTATATCAGGAACCATTGTAAATGTAATCAAAATAAGAAGTAAAAATATGCTTGACACTACCAAACATAAGGCTACAATGGTGTTTTCCGTTTCACTGACAATACAGAAAAATGTCGCTTGTTCACATATTTTAACATTTGACTCTGCATCGATTTCAAATTTATTTGTTACTCCATGTTGAGATCTTACTTCTCTGCCATCGGCAACAAACTCATACGATCCTGGAGGTAGTTTTATCTTTTCACAGAAAAACCCTGTAACCTTTTCACAGAGCATTGCAAACTTGGCGACTTTTAAGGCGTCATTATAAACCAAAATACTTCCAAGATAAGTTCCTTTTTTGTACCTTCGTCCATTTGCTTTATTTAGTAAAATATTTTGTCCAATCATTTCAAAGTCTAGATCCCAAATTATCAACCTTCTATCATGAGCACCATCACAAAATGAACTCACATAATGGGAAACAGAATGCTCTGCATGAAGCAGTTGGAAAGTGTTTCCTTCTATATACAAAAGCGCACCGAAGGAGGCATATTGCTTTAATTTCTGGGCGATATCATTGTTGGTCGTTGGCATTCCAATATCTTCGGTTAGTTGAACCTCAAGTATGCCTTGATTGGATCCGTTCGTTGTCAAACCTTCAACCTCTATTCGATCCTTGGGAATGTTGAGCCACTCGGCCAAACGATTTTCAAATTTTTTCCGAGTTTCTTTTCCTAGGATTAATTTTCCTTCGACAACATCAACAGTGATACGAATAGTCCATTTTTCTGCCTCCAAATCAATGAATTCTTCATGATCTATGAATCGATCCAAAGCTTCCTTGACGGAACATTTACGCACTGGAAGATCACCATAAGGAGATCGGCAATAGACACGTCGACATTTACAATTAACTTTATCATAAACCTCATATTCACTGCACTTCTTCAAGTTAAAATACCAAGTAACTTCATGATGACCCTGGAATCCGAAATTGGTTAAAGTTGCTGAACTTGGGATTGTTTTGTTAAAATCGAATGAGGAATTACAGATTGCCGCTATTGTTGCTATTATTAAAATTATAAATTGTCTGGAAGACATTTCAACACTATTTAACGGTCAAACGCTGAATATCGCTGTCAGTAACAATTTTTTTAATATTTTGTTACTAACTTAGCAGTTTGTAGCCAGTCGATTGACTAGTTACGCGATTACTCAACTCGAGAAAATATTAAAGACTCAATCTGATCTGATCTAGAAACCTTGAATTGAAATCGAAGCAAATGCCAGCAAGATTTTAGTTTTCTCTGTCTACTAAAGTCAATTATGGTAAGTAAATATTGTCTAAAAATGTAACAATCTATTTTTTATCGATTAACATTCAACTCACACTTCATTTTCCTATTAATATAGACTCGACAATTATACAACAATTATCAGTAGATAACAAGTGGTGTAATATAGCTTTATATTAATAATAATAGTGCTAACAATATATAAAAGTAAATGATATCTAATGTGTTATATGACATAACTTGTACCAGGTTTGCGTCTTTCATCTATCTGATTAACTTTTACTTTCGCGAAAAGGATTAACCTGTTTAGGATACTTCATTACGATATTTAAATGAATTAAGTACTTGAAGCTTAACAAAACTCTGGCATTAGAATATTTAAATTTAATAGATTTTTATCGTTTTATAATAATATCAGAGTCACTTTTGTGCATCCAAAGAGATAAACTTTAATCTCACAATGTCTATTAATAGATGACTAGATCGTTCAAATTGTGACTCAATAATTGAATGGAATGCTTGTTTGAAAGGAAACAAGTGAAATGAAATTCAACTGTGATGGTTATTTCAGAACATCCCGTCTTTAATTCCTAATAGTATCAGAATGAAGAGAAAAATGATAAGATTTCTTGTCATATATCTCCAATCAGGTGAGATGGCGTATTTGACCAGAATTCGAGTTAAAAGATGAATCTCGTGGGAAATACAAACGTAAATGAATGATGTGACGATTACATTAAGTACAGGAAAACTGGGAATCAGAACAAGAACTCCATGTGTATCAGCTGCTAACCAAATGTGATATTGGCATATAAAAAGCTAAAATGAAAATTCAATAAAAATAAGTTAAAATCTATCATAAAGTGAATAATGGAGTAAAAGTAAACTTACTTCTAAAGATATTCGACCGAACCATGCGAAAAATATACTATAACGAGATCGAAGAAGTCCAGATATGTTTCGAAGACAAATGTAAGAAATGACTGGTATGAAAAATATGTAAGCGTGAATAACGTTGCAATCGTCTTTATTGTGACATAGAAAAGCGAAACTGGCATAACCCTTAAATGGAAAGAAAGAAACAAGAAATTAATACTTGAATGTAAGGTCATGAATTAAAAATACTCACAATTATACCGCATAGTGATGAAACAACTACCATTAAGCTGATTCTTCTAGAAAATAAATTGCTATGATTTTTATCATCGAGAATGTGAAAATGTTTAAGAAGATAATAGAAGTAACCAAAAACCATTCCAGCGGGAACACTCTGAAAAAAATAAACCAATGCAATTAGTTAACGGTTAAAATAAATTGACTGACAATGCTCAAGACAATTATCACATACATAGCGATCAAGCTTCCATCGAAATTCCCATTCTTTTATGGAGTCATCAGTGGTTACGAACAGAGCTTTCCATGGACGAGTAAGGAATATTTTCTCAAAGAACACTTCGGACATGTAAAGGACTGATATGACAATTAACAAAGCCACAAATTTAAGTATCAAGTATAGATGATGGATTGGATTGACTGAAAATAAAAGAAAAAAACAAAAATTATAAAAGTTATTGATTGATTAATAGAGATAAAACCTGGGAATTTTGTTTACCTTCAGCAGAACTGCTAGTAACTTGCGGAAAGCTACTCATTGTTGCATAGATGGTTATAAACCAGAAAGTAATTAATGGCACAAAATAATAAAATTGATATGGCCTACTCATTACCAGGCACAGAAAAATAACTAGAATATTCAAACGAAATAAAACCTGAAAAGGAAAAAAATTTAAATGAATTAAATGTTCAGATGAATGATCTAAAGCTGTTTTACCTTCCAGACACGATGAAGACTAAAATCTCCAGTATGCCAGAAATAAGTAAAATGACCATAACCACTGAGAAACAAATATGCCGACACCATAACTCGAATAAGTAAGTATATTGGTACGATTTGACTGGCTCCGGTAATGTGATAAATTAAAATGATTAGCTGCATGTAACCTTTCCATTCATCAGTTTGATCTCGGTGAAGCACATGAGTGTATCTTGATTCTTCGGTGAAAAAAAGTCCAAGTGCAAAAACATAGGCAACGGGCAGGAAAAAAGAAGTGTGTGTATAATACTTGTTTTCTTTCATAAAAAAATTGGTTCTATCACAGAGGAAGAAAAAGGCCATGAGGAGACCAAATTTGGCCAAAGAAGTGAGAAGTTCGTGATAAGATTTTTCAGAATCTTTGGTTCGAAAAGAAGAGGAAGAAGGCAAAGAAGAAAGATGCATTTGACTTTCTCTAATAGGAACATCGTTGTGACTGTCATTACTTTGATTGTCAAATAATTCAATCTCTTCTTGATTGACCAATGGTTGCCAACGTCGGTGATTATGAGAGGTGAGAAATTGATGGAAAACTGAGGCCACCGCTAAAATTCCACACACAATTGTGAACGCAAAGGTTAATATTTGAATGTTAGTTATTGGTTCTGGGTCACTACAACATGTACCATCATTATGATTCATCTGATCGTTGCAGTACATATTTAACAAAATTTGGACAGCATAGTTGAGAGCTGTTTGTCCCATGTGAAGTCCATCCTTTTGATCATCACTGTAACCCTGGGAAACTAGACGAGAAGAGCTCCAAATGTGGACTTTGGGTGAAGTTGCATATTTCAATACATTGATGGCTGCTTTATTATACAAATCAATTTGTTCATTGGAAATCATTGACCGACTTGGATCAAGTTTTTCAGGATTCACTGGATCTTGAAGGACCCATAAAATTTCACATCCCATACGGTCCATGTTAGGTAATAACCGCGTCAAATTGGTCTTATAATCTTCTAATGCTTTGAGACTAGCATTACTTGACTTTATGGTCCAAGTTCCACTTCCTGTGACAACAACTTGAGGTCTAGAGGAGATATCTGAGCTCAACCAATTTTGATAAGGAGTAAACATGGATTCATTTATAACAGGTCGCCATAAGAATTCCACTTTTAAGTTTAAATCTTTTTCTTCTACTTTCAAATCGTGATGAACAACTGTATCAATGACAGGAGTCTCCAGATTTGCATTGATTAGATTGATGAAAGCAAAATATAGTTGTCTTATTCGAGAATCACCGATGAAAACGATGTAGTTTCTACCACCCCAATAGGCGATGTACCTAAGACATCTTCTACTGTCCCTGTAAAATTTAAGAAACAAATCATTAAATTTAAGTTCATCATCAACAGGAAATGTTGAACATTTACATTTTACTGTAAGTGTGAAGCATACATCCATAGGGTTGCCATTCTCTATAACCTTGAAACCGTCCATCACTAAGAAGCCATTTGCATGAATTTATGCCTTCAAAAAGTGTGAAAGAAAACAAGAGGAAATAGATTCAATATAATTATAGATTAATTTATCAGTTGGCAAATATTTCACTTACCATAACCAACGTGCAATACTGAGTGGTAAAGAATGAGTGAAAAAACCAAAATGGTGGCGATCTTTTTGGCATTGTGAGAATTAAAATGATGGACAATGTAGTCGGAAGAATTTCGTCCTGAATCCTCGTTCATTCCAACTATTATTGAGTCTTCAAATTGGATGTTAACTTTGGTTGTTGATCCGAACGATGGTGACTGTGGAAAGCGTTGATATTAAGTAATCTCATCCATTCAACTTTGAAATCGCTTATGGAACGCAGGGAGCTTGTTTAGATGATCGTCTTTGGTGCAATTGGCGATGGCTCCGTCAGTAAATTTGTAACAATCGTTTCCAGGCTTGATTACTCATAAAACCTAGCTTTAGTTTGAGAATAAATATAAAGATTAAAACTAGTCAATCTTTTCATCTTATTGTGATTTTATAACAATGGTATGAGTAATTGGATTGAAACTAAGTGAATATGAAGATTTGTGTTGAGTAAAGAAACTGAAAATGTAGTTTAAGTACTCGAAGTAACCTAACAATTGAGAAGATGAAAAGGCAAATCAAAGACAACACAACAAGCAAATCTGTGCAAATTTTCCGACATCATTCAGGATGGTGTTGCCTCGGCAGCCAAGTAAACATTGATGAATTATGGGGAAATTGCACTTAAAATTACTAAATAGAGAATCGAATGATAGTCGATCGAAGGCGTCTTAGAACAGGCCATCGTGGTCATAAATTTAAGAAACACTAAACTCTAACTTGAATACAACAAAACTGATTGCTTGAAAGCATAATATGCAAAAAGATTAAACTTACATTGATTTGAATCATCCAAATATTGGTCTGATGATGAAACAAACAAACAATATCAAATCACGATTTTAATCAATGCACTTAGTTAACTAAATGTGCTAAGTTAACTCAAAATGATTGAAGTCTATTCATACCGTTAATTAGTATAAATAGCAGTCCGATTTTAACAGCTGTGTTGAGTTTTTTTAATTTCCAACAGAAGGCGCAATGCAATTGTGGTCTAAAAAACAATTGGCCTTAGATTTGATGATCAAACTTTAGTGACATTTGCAATTGTTAATTATTTTAAAATCATAAAGTGGCATAAAAATGTAAATCAAAGATAATTCCAAGATTAAGATGTATTTTTTGCGTGAAATCACGTGTAATTGAAATTTTAAATCATCAGGAAATCAGAGATGTTTAAGTAACTTTCATAACTGTTAGTAACAAGGGAAAATTTGATAAATTGTTAACAATTGAAGTTGGATCCAAGGTTTAGTTTCACAATGTAACTCAAGAAAAGGAATATGTTGTTACAATTTACAATAACAATTGGGTAAAAGAGGTTTCTCGAGAAGAAAAATGTTGTCAAGCAAAAATAAAATTAAAATCTTTGTTGAATGTTATTTTATTAAATGCTTTAGGAGATAGCGAAAATATTAGCCATATTTTCGCCGAAGTTAATTTCAATTCAGATCTTTCTGTCAGATATTTTTTCGGTGTCTAATCAAGATGAAATATTCAGATTTAATTGCTTCAATTACTCAAACTCACTGATTACGTGAGGTGTCAGCTCAACCAAAAGATGTCACTAGAGGAGAAAAAGAGCGGGTTCTCTCAAATAAGATAGATTTGATTGTTTCGCTTTTTAAAATTAAAATCAGGGAAAAATTAAACTATCCATGTTTAGACTAGACATGAATGTTCAAGATAGCTGTCTCGAGTTTCATATAATCTCATGTAGTTTATTATCTTTACTGATTATGTTGTAGATTGGTTGAGAAAATGTAAACTCTAAAGTCTGTGGTAAGCAATGGTCTTGCAATAATAAATTATCATAAATAATAATCAATCTGGCTATTTTGATCATCTTTTTATTGGTTAGTACCCAGATTATTATTGGATTAGATTATCTTACGTATTTAAAATCTATCTTTGCACCCACCGTTAGGGCAGCAACAAGCTGACCCAACATAAAGAGAGGGTTTATAAATAACACTGTTTTATTTTGTAAGCAAGTCTCTTTCATTTGTTGCTATTTTTTAACACAGTGTTTATAGACCCTTCACCTTCATTTTCATCTCCATCTTCATCTTCATCATCTTATTATTTTAAACCTTAAAAATGGTTGATCTATCTGGTGGACCCGAAGGACCTATTGAACATCGCTTCAGCAATTGGATATTTGTTGGACCAGCAATAATCACCATAGCATTAGTGGGTAAGCTGTCATTTATTCAATGTTTTTTTCCCAATTCTTATCTCACCAACTGTCATTTGAAAACCATCTTTCCTCTCTGTTACCATATGATTGATTTGATGATATTTTTTAATATTTAGTATATTCTTACATGAATTGAGATGATTTATTTTGAAATTATTCATATAACAGTCAGTTAGATTCAATAATACTCACATGAGCTTCTGTCTTTGCCCTGTTGGTTGTTTTAATGTAACATATTTATTTTCCGGTCTTTTCCCATTTGAGTTACACTGTGAATTTAAAATGTACAATGTAAAACCTTTTAGTTTAAATTCTTGTTTTTAAAATTTGTTCAACGTTCCATCATGTAGCAAAAATTGTGAATTAGTTTAGTTTACTCAACATGTAGCACACCATCTGATTTTACTAAATGTTTAATTGGTTACTCTTCTAGCTGCTTTTCAAAGCCCAACAACATCAGCTCTCATCATCATATTGAGTTTTTATCATTTATCCACGTAGACAATTATCATTTTCCGTTGCTTCTCATCTCCTCATTGGTTGATCTAGTTTCTTTTCTTTTTAATCACCATAGTCTTCAGTTCTCAATTAATCAAGTTACAACTCAGTCAAACCATTTTATAATCTATTTTAATTTTGTTAATTTTGTCAATTTTATCATTGTTTATCAAAAGTCTAACTCTAGTCTAACCTTTAAGAAATAAAGTTGCTCATAAATCTATAGTTGCCATGATTCCAATAGGGCTTTTATTAATCTTTCTTGTTCTCGGTTGTATCGGTATGTTTCTCTCGTTAATTATCCTCATTATTATCATTGAATCTTTTCAGATATTAATATTATCACTAATTTTGTTTTCTTTTCTATTTATATTTCAGGTTTCTTTGCCTACAAGTTGATACAATCTTTACAGGAAAAGGAGAAACGAAAGGAGGAAAAGAAAAAATTAAAGCAACAAAAGAAGGATCCAGCAGTGGCAGCTAAGAAGAAAAAGTGACCATGATACTGATAACGTTAATTTGAAAGTTAGGATAAGCATTTTCTTGACACTTCAAGTTCTTCCAAAATTTAATATTTCAAATACAAGTTATAGCTGATTTAGACGAATTTATAAATATATTTAAAGAGAGGGTATATGGAAACAAAATCATGTGGCGAATGTGATATTTTAACAAGAATACGATAAAATTATTCAACTTCCAATCAACACCATTGATCAACAATTATCCAAGGAAAACCAAATGCTAATGAATTTGTTATGAATGGCGATATTGTTGATACTGAATACATTCCAGCCAAAAACGTTTATGGCCAATAAATTTTAATAATCACTTTTTAATTTCTAATTTTCCGTGATTACGTGAATATGTGCACTTAGAGTGAAGAACACATAATTTGATCAGTTGAATCGAGATAAAATACAAAAATGATTTATAAGTATTCGTCACCACATCATAATAGGAAACGGAAATTGATTTCATCTTAATATTCACCATGAAGTGCTGCAATCAGAAATAGCTTCAGCTAAACTGCTTTGATAGCGAGATTAAGGACTGAGGAAGATGCGATTGTTCAATGATATTGAATTTTGAGCAAAGCTGCTCAAGTATCCGCTCACTGACTTTGTAGCTTAGCCGTTGAAACTTTTGACAAAAAACACATTGAAAAGCTAAACAAAATTAACTAATTAAAGTGCATGTTTAAGATTGCAGCCAATGAAGTTTAATCGAAACCAGATATTTTTAAGGTTCTGGAAAAACTTGTTATTCGCGGAACAACAATATACGAATGGAATAGCTAACGGATGTTTCATTATCGATCAATTGTGAACCTGGACTAGAACCTGTTAGAAAGGAAACTAAACAAAATTAGCTGAGAGCAATGAATTTCATATCGAAATGAAGATCAAACTAAAACTTATTCATGGAATCAGAATCATCTTGAAATTCAAAACCTTTTATAACAAAATTTTATTTTGTTCAGTTTTATTTTGCATTTTTTTCATTATCTCTAAATATGCTCGAGATGGCGACTTCTGACAATTAACTTGAGTGTTGCCCTTTTTACGCTAACCACTACTGTATTATTGTAACTCCTTTTAAAGGGCCAGGAAAGAGTAAGTTAATTACTCAACAACTATAAGTTTTGAAAATCCATAATTAGTAGATGAAAAAAATCAGCTTATAAAGTGTTTAATATGCAATCATTTTATTAATTTTTTCAAGAAAATAGAAACACTTTTAAAGTTGAAAGTGATTGTTGTATTCATTCATCCCAGCTTTTTTCTCGGTTGATATACTTTTTCGTTTCAAAATTTTCAGTGATTTCAGAGTTACCTTTTTTCTCTGTTCTTGACTTGGTCTCGGTGACTTTGATTTCCTCTTTTTCAGTGTGCTTGTGTGCAGCCTGGTGAAGCTCATGGTTTGTTAAAGCACTTAAATCATTTAATTTGCTTTCCAAAGAAGATTTAATAGTACGAAGATCAGACAGCAATGATTTTACTTCATTAATGGTAGGTAATGAGTAGATGTCAACTTCTGTCATATTTGATTTAGTGCTATTGAAAAGATCCGTAGAGTTGAGTTGATGATATTTAGCGTTTTGATAAATGGGTGAGTTTTGCATTGTATAGTTCAAAGTCATATTGTTGGAATAAATTGGATTGGAAATGTTTTCTAATTGCATGGATCTGTTGTAAACATCGTTGTTGTAAGAAGTTGCATTTTGTCCAAAATAGTCTGGAATCGAGTGGTTGAATCGATGAGTCTCATTTACGTTGTAATAAGCTGGAATTGAGTGGTTGAATTGGTAAGTCTCGTTATAGTTGTAATAAGCTGGTATTGAATGGTTGAATCGATGGGTCTCATTGAAGTTGTATGAGGCTGGAGCTGAGTGGTTGAATCGGTGAGTCTCATTTACGTTGTAATAGGCTGGAATTGAGTGATTGAAGTGATGAGTCTCGTTATAGTTGTAATAGGATGGTATTGAATGATTGTATCGGTGAGTTTCATTGAAGTTGAATGAGGCTGGAATTGAGTGATTGTATCGGTGAGTCTCGTTATAGTTGTAATAGGATGGAATCGAGTGGTTGAATCGATGGGTCTCGTTGAAGTTGTATGAGGCTGGAGTTGAGTGGTTGAAGTGATGAGTCTCGTTTACGTTGTAATAGGATGGAGTTGAGTGATTAAATTGATGAGTCTCATTGAAGTTGTATGAAGCTGTAGTTGTGGGATTGAATCGATGAGTTTCGTTGTGGTTAGCTGATGCTTCAGTTGTGGGACTGTGAGCCTCTTTATCGTCGTACGAGGCTGGAGATGAAGGTACATATGAGGCTGGAGTTGAGGGATCGTATGAGGCTGGAGTCGAGGGATCATATCGATGATCCTCTTTGATGCTGTCTGATCCTTCAGTTGTGGGACTGGACTGGTGAACCTCTTTATCGTCGTACGAGGCTGGAGTTGAGGGATCGTATGAGGCTGGAGATGAGGGGACGTATGAAGCTGGAGTCGAGGGATCATATCGATGATCCTTTTTGATGTTGTCTGGGGCTGGAGTTGTTTGATCGTATCGGTCATCCTCATTGTTGAGGTATAAGGTTGGAGTTGAATAATCGTATTGGTTAGACTTGACATCAATGTCATTACTATCGATTATTCGTTTTGGACTGGCATTAATAACAGTTGAGCAAAAAGCAACAATAACAAAGAGAGCAATGAATTTCATTTTGAAATGATAAATAAACTTGAACTTATTCACGTAATTAACTCAATTAGAACTGATGTTTTTTTCTTGGAATTGAAAGCCTTTTATATTAAAAATTTTGTTTTTACAAGATTGGATTGATCTTCGATAAACTCTTCATCAATTGATTACATTATTTTTCAGATCCGTTTCATATCAGTTTATTGTTAAAAAAATTATCATGCATTTCAATGCTGATATTCTGACAATTTATCTCTTCATTTGATAATCCTATAATAAATTTGAATGTCAATCTATTGTCCCTATAACAATGGATATCCGTTATTATATTTTTTCTCGTAACTTCATCCCTAAGACGTGTGTTTTATTTGCTTATCTAATTGCTAGCTATCTAATTAAATAATCCGAACGATCCCAAAATAAATTTTGCAATTGTGAGTCAACAACAAATCTTCTTTTTAGATTTTTCGAGCTCGATCACAGGCTCAAGTTAATAGTTTGTAATAAAACTGAATTGCAATTCATTCCAGAAATAATTATGGAAGGTCAACGATTGATCAGAGGGATAATGTCCAAGCACAAGTAATTCGAGGAACCAGTTATTCAGATTGTGTTTTATGGCTCTATCTGTTCGCTATTTGATTACAGCAAAGATAGTTCTGTTCAATGTAAGTCATTTGAGGATTATCGTTAAAAACAAAATAATCATAAACAACGTCCGATTTCAATTTTGCCAAGTTGTTCAGGAGTTTATCAATTCAGTGAATCACCTGATTATTTATCTTCCTCTTCATCCTCCCTTTCTCAATCAAGTTAAGTCCTTTTTATAATCAGATGAATTTTTAGGAATATATTAAACCATTCTGTGTTGGTCAGATTTGGTATTAATAAAATTGGAGATGCTCGAAGTATTAGAGTTGCTTGAGAACGATTCATATAACCAGCTTTATCTTTAGAGAACGAATTCATTATTAAAGGTGTCTTATGAATTTTGCATTAATTTTTAATTCCGATTTGATATTTTCAAAATGAGAGGAGTAAATTGAATTATTTTTAATTTTTTTTATTGATTGTGATTTTACCTCTTTTCAGTATGAATGTAAGCATTTTGTGATATTGATGGGGAGTTTTTCATTCCATACAAATAAAATTGGTCATTTGTATGAAAGAAAAAGTAGGAAAAATAGGATTTTACATGAATTTACACAAATGGATTAAGAAATTAGTTAATGATAAACATGTAGCTTAAGCCTTGGCAGCAGCCTTTTTGTAGTCATCACCATATCCTCCTGATGAGTATGAGTCTGATCCATAGGAATCATCACCGTATCCAGATGAACCATAAGAGTCTGAACCGTAAGATGATGGAGCGTATGAGTCACCAGACCAGGCATCACCAGATGAGTATGAACCAGATGAGGAACCATATGAAGGTGCTGAGTATGATGGTTCATATGATTTAACTGGAACAGCAATGTATTTGTTGACAACAACTGGAACGTGTTTGGTGACAAGAACTGGTCGTGGCTTGGTGACTACGTATGGCTTTGGAACAGCGATGGTCTTGACTTCGACAACCTTTCGGGTAAGGTAGACTGGTTTGACGACTGGTCGTTCAATGATGACCTTCTTTACTTTTGGTGCATAAGAGTCACCTCCATAGGAATCACCAGCACCGTATGAAGCTCCTGCAGAGTAAGCATCACCTCCGTATGATGAACCGTATGAACCAGCTCCGTAGTTTGAGGCCAAAGCTTGACCAGCAAGAAGGGTGAAACAGATAACAATCTAATAATAATTTAAAAGAAAAGAAAAGAATATTATTTTTCTTATAAAATCAAAATGCACTTTAAATCCTTGTTTGATGAAACTCCATTTGTAATCACTTTCTTACCATTGAGTTCATGATGAGTTTTGTTGAATTAGTTTATTAAACTGAGTTTTGTTGAAAAACTAGAGATGTTTACACGATGAATGAAGATGATTTGACTGACGATTTTGAACATTCAATAAACGCTTTTATACCGTTTTTCATTTTGACTCTTCGATCTCTCTTCTGTTCAAAAGTTCCAGAATCAACTGCCCATTATGGGAGGATCAAAGTTTAACTATCAAAATGATCTTCCTCTTTAACTTTCACTTTATGGTCATGATTCAAATAAGATTGATAATTTATACAGATCAAGGTAAACAGTTCATCAGTTAAGTAAGAAACGGCAAAACATTAAAATTCAAGGTACAACTGGTAAAGTACATAACAAAACCAATTCTTAAATTCCGGTTCGATCAAGTGTTTGAATGGAATAAGTTTTCGGTTTGGAACTGGAACTGTAAGTAACCTGGAGGATATTCAGAGGTATCTATCTATTTTTTATCAGCTTATTACTCAGCTTTTAACCAATTTCTATCTACATGATAGTTTGACATGGAGCAAAGTTTTTAACTTGATTTCAAAGCAAATACAAACAATACTATCCTTTCTGTAAGGATGAAGTTCAAAAGAATGAATAGGGAAAATAGCTTTCGTTAGCTCTGAATCTATACATCTATACATCTGCACACAATATATAAAGTCGAAACATGAAATTTTTGCGTGAAGATTGTGGCCAAACTAAAAGGATTCTAAAGAAAATCTTTACATAGCCTGAAAGCCATGATTGAACTTCATCCACGAAAAATAGTCAGAGCTTTTTTGGAATTGAGGTTACTTAGAAATTATCGTCCAAACAGACTGGAGGAAAAAATGCAGAATCCGTATATCTCACTATTGACTCAGGGGGAAAAACTTTTTGGTTATTCAGGTTGATGGTTTATTGTTGCATTAGAAGGATAAGTAAATCAGTTTTATACCTGCACAGCCAACAAAGGTTCAAATCTCAACACAGATTTTTTTAATTTTTCTCATTGGCAATAGTTTTTCATCAATAATTTGAGTCAACAATTTTAAATTCGGATTGGATTGTAATCAGTGAAAGAAATTTACGATCAGTCATGATCGGGGCTCAGCTTGTTTTTTAATCAAAATTTTCTAATGTATTTTGATGCGCTGATTCCATAAATCATTTTCATCGATCAGAATCATAATTTCTGAGACATCGACAGTAATAATTAGGATATTGAAGAAACGATAGAGTAAGGTTCACCAACCTCAAATAAAAGTCAACATATGCAATTTTAAAGTGTTCAGTATGCAAATATTATATTTTATTTATTTTTTCAAAAAATAGAACCATTAAACATGAAAGTGATTGTATTATATACTCAACCAAGCTAAACATCGTTGAATTCGTAGAACGTTGCATTGCGTTCAAATTAGTCTTGTGAGTCTGAAGTTGAGTGATTGTATCGTTGAGTCTCGTTGTAGTCGTAATAGGATGGAGTTGAATCAGTGGATCTTCGAGTCTCGTTGTAGTCGTAATAAGATGGGGTTGAATCAGTGGATCTTCGAGTCTCGTTGTAGTCGTAATAAGATGAAGTTGAATCAGTGGATCTTCGAGTCTCGTTGTAGTCGTAATAGGATGGGGTTGAATCAGTGGATCTTCGAGTCTCGTTGTAGTCGTAATAGGATGGGGCTGCAGTTGTGGGATTGAATCTGTGATCATCGCTATTGCCTGAGACTGTAGTCCAGCCAACGGTTTCTCGATACTCGTTGTTGCTGTTCGAGGCTGGGGTTGAATCAGTGGATCTTCGAGCCTCGTTGATGTTGTCTGATGCTGTGGTTGAATCAGTGGATCTTCGAGTCTCGTTGTAGTCGTAATAGGATGGTGAGAGATCATATTGGTTAGAGCCTCGTTGTAGTCGTAATAGGATGGAGTTGAATCAGTGGATCTTCGAGCCTCGTTGTAGTCGTAATAGGATGGGGTTGAATCAGTGGATCTTCGAGTCTCGTTGTAGTCGTAATAGGATGGGGTTGAATCAGTGGATCTTCGAGTCTCGTTGTAGTCGTAATAGGATGGGGTTGAATCAGTGGATCTTCGAGTCTCGTGTAGTCGTAATAGGATGGGGCTGCAGTTGTGGGATTGAATCTGTGATCATCGCTATTGCCTGAGACTGTAGTCCAGCCAACGGTTTCTCGATACTCGTTGTTGCTGTTCGAGGCTGAAGTTGAACTGTCTAATCGTTGTCCCTTGTTGATGTTGTCTGATGCTGTGGTTGTGGGAGTATATCGGACATCCTCATTTTTGTATGAGGCTGAAGTTGAGAGATCATATTGGTTAGACTCTGCGTCAACAACTATGCTTGCAGTATGGAATGATCGTTTTGGACTGGCATTAATAACAGTTGAGCAAAAAGCAACAGTAACAAAGAGAGCAATGAATTTCATTTTGAAATGTTAATCAAACTTGAACTTATTTAATTAACTCAATTAGAACTGATGTTTTTTTCTTGGAATTGAAAGCCTTTTATATTGAAAATTTTGTTTTTACAAGAATGGATTGATCTTCGATAAACTCTTCATCAATTGATTACATTATTTTTCAGATCCGTTTCATATTAGTTTATTGTTAAGGAATTATCATAAATTTCTGTTGATATTCTGACAATTTATCTCTTCATTTGATAATTTAATACTAAATACCCTGTAATAAAACGTCAATCTATTATCAAATCCTTGTTTTATTTTCTCGTCACTTCATCCCTACGAAGTGTGTTTCATTTGCTTATCTAATTATCAATTACCGTAGTCGCGCATACAATAGCACTGGCTTCAAAATGAATCATCCATTTGCTTATCTAATTACTATCTAACTAATCAAATAATACGAACAATCCCACAATAGAAATGAAAGATTCGATTATTGCTATTGAATTGATAAAAAATGAATAAATTAAAGATAAATTTTATAACTGTGAGTCAACAGCAAATCTTGGTTATAAACACGCCTTTAGATCTATCGAGCTCGGTCACAGGTTCAAGTTGATTGTTTGTAATAAACCTGAATTGCAATTCATTCCAGAAATAATTAAGGAAGTCAACCATTGATCAGAGGGTGATGTCCAAGCACAAGTAATTCGAGGAACCGTTATTCAGTATGTGTTTTATATCTGTTCGCTAACGTTATTTGATTACAGCAAAGATAGTTCTGTTCAATGTAAGTCATTTGAGGATTATCGTGAAAAACAAAATGTTCATAAACAACGTCCGATTTAAATTTTGCCAAGTTGTTCAGGAGTTTATCAATTCAGTGAATCACCTGATTATTTATCTTCCTCTTCATCCTCCCTTTGTCGATTATGAACTATATAAATATTATATTATAAATTTTGTTCCTATTTTTGCGTGAATTTCTAATTCCGATTTGGATATTTTCAAAATGAGAGGAGTAAATTGAATTATTTTTAATTTTTTTATTGATTGTGATTTTGGCTCTTTTCAGTATGAATGTAAGCATTTTGTGATGTTGATGGGGAGTTTTTCATTTCATGCAAATAAAATTGGTCATTCGTATGAAAGAAAAAGTAGGAAAAATAGGATTTTACATGAATTTACACAAATGGATTGAGAAATTAGTTAATGATAAACATGTAGCTTAAGCCTTGGCAGCAGCCTTTTTGTAGTCATCACCATATCCTCCTGATGAGTATGAGTCTGATCCATAGGAATCATCACCGTATCCAGATGAACCATAAGAGTCTGAACCGTAAGATGATGGAGCGTATGAGTCACCAGACCAGGCATCACCAGATGAGTATGAACCAGATGAGGAACCGTATGAAGGAACTGAGTATGGAACAGCAATGTATTTGTTGACAACAACTGGAACGTGTTTAGTGACAAGAACTGGTCGTGGCTTGGTGACAACGTATGGCTTTGGAACAGCAACGGTATGGACGTCGACAACCTTTCGGTTAAGGTAAACTTGTTTGACGACTGGTCGCTCAATGATGATCTTCTTTACTTTTGGTGCATAAGAGTCACCTCCATAGGAATCACCAGCACTGTATGAAGCTCCTGCAGAGTAAGCATCACCTCCGTATGATGAACCGTATGAACCAGCTCCGTAGTTTGAGGCCAAAGCTTGACCAGCAAGAAGGGTGAAACAGATAACAATCTAATAATAATTTAAAAGAAAAGAAAAGAAAATTATTTTTCTTATAAAATCAAAATTCACTTTAAATCCTTGTTTTGATGAAAGTCCATTTGTAATCACTTTCTTACCATTGAGTTCATGATGAGTTTTGTTGAGTTAGTTTATTAAACTGAGTTGTGTTGAAAAACTAGAGATGTTTACTTGTTGAATGAAGATGATTTGATTGACGATTTTGAACATTCAAGAAACGCTTTTATATCGTTTTTCATTCCGATTTTTTTATCTCTCTTCTGTTCAAAAGTTCGAAAATGAACTGGCGATTATGGGAGGATCAAAGTTTAACTATCAAAATGATCTTTCACTTTATGGTCATGATTCAAATAAGATTGATAATTTATACTGTTCAAGGTAAACAGTCCAGCAGTTAAGTATGAAACGGCAAAACATTGAAATTCAAGGTATGAGTGTTAAAGTTTATAACAAATCAATTAATTCAATTCCGGTTTGATCAAGTTTTTTAAATTTTCATATTCATCACCATAAATTGAATTCAATAAGTTTTTGGTCTAGAGCTTGGAGCTCTAAGTAGCTGGAGCTATCCTCTTTAAAAGAAACAACATTTGAATAAGTTTGACGGAGGTCGATTTTGATAAGACATACCCTTTAAACTGCTGTTGGTCTGTTGTAAGAACATAAAATCATAGAATAAAATAAATATGAAAGTTTCTCTAATAAACAGTTTTCAAAGTTGTTTTTGCACAAAGCACATTTTTGTATGAAACTAATTTAGTTTTTGATAGTCAATCAGAAAATGCCTTTACTTTGATGCATAAAACTTTCCGTTTTCTGTAAAATAGATAAGTTCGACTTCCAGTTAAAACGGGTCATTTTCTGTTACCTCTAAACTGGTTGGTCGCTAATTCTTGTGGTCATTCTCATGGGCCATTTTTCATGGACGAACAATAAGTTTCAGACCGCTAACTCTTAAGGTGACAGAAAATGGTCGTTTTAACTGGTAGTCGAACTTATCTCTTTTACAGAAAAAGTTTTATGCATCAAAGTAGAGGCATTTTATGATTGACCATCAAAAGATACATCAGTGAAATGAGTTTCATGAAAAAATCTTCCGTAACTGCACAAAAGGCGATCAAAGTTTAAACTTTGACTTCGATTTTTGCGAAAACTGTTGATCAAAGAAATTTTTAAATCATACAGATTGACTCAGATTCTGCGTCTCTACAAAGCTACATAGTCTAAAGTTGAAAGAAATGAATTATTTCGTCTTACTGCTCATTTGTGTACAAGTTTGATGCATTTTGACAATTGTATCAATTTTGAATAAATGTCACTATTGTGTTAATTGTGTCTTTTTGCTGCATTAAAAACCAAAACATTAACTAATAATGGAGGTTATCTACCAAGACCAACCACTTATGATGTCGATGCATTATTAGATGAAGCCGGTGATCCAACTGACAAATATCGAGCTGTTAAAAATGTCATTTCAAAGGTTTACTCTTCATTTCTGACCCTTACCATCAGTTTAAGTTTCCATGCAAATCATCATTATCTTATTTTGTTTCAGTATGCACCCGTCTCTAAAGACGACATTGAACCAAGTCCTAAACTTTCGATTGGACCGATCGATGCTGAACTGGAAATGGATTTCTCTCAACTCTTTTCACAGCAATTTTGGAAGAAGGTTGACTCTGATTCCCCTCAACCATTTGAATACCTTGGATCTCGTAATGGACTGATCCTTTATTCAACTACAATTGACTTCAAGTCTACATCTCCTTCAATGTTAACCATTAATGCATTAAGAGATCGTGCTTATGTTTACATAGATAAAGTAAATTGATTAATCCATTTTGTTTGGCAACTACGAGCCAACATTTTAATGACTGACTTCTCGTATTTCAAGGAGTTGTAAGTCGCCAAGAAAAGAGTTTAACAATTACAATCAGAGCTGAAAAAGGAAGTCGCTTGAATTTGATTGTTGAAAATCAGGGCAGAATTTATTTTGGAGATGAAATAAGTCAACACAATGTAAAGAAATGGCTCAATGTATATCAATTATAATCACTGATATTTTTATTAATGTTATTAAACAGGGAATCTTTGGAAGTGTTACACTTGGATCAAAAACATTAACCAAATGGTCTCATTACTTTATTGATGATTGGGAAGGTTTACTTCTTTATTCAATCTGGAATGATCTAATATTTCAATATAGCCCATAATAATCTTATAATTGGTTAAGAATGGCGATCGTAGGTGATACCATGCTGGAAATTATTGTGTCTGGAAGTTTTTCGTGAACTGCCAAAATCAAGAAAACTGTTGGTCGGAAAAATTTTTAATGTTCATGTTCAGACATGTTCATCTAGTCGAGCAGGTTTGCTACTTTTATACTTGGCATCGCCTGGCTGCTAATTCCTTTCTGATGTCAATAATTCAAGTTCATTCTTTTGCATTTCCCTCGTCGATATAAATCCATACATATTATATATTTATTCATTGAATTGAAAGAAAAATAAACCTTGTAAAATTGAGACTAACGAATCTAAAATTTAATTACATATCTTTCATAATGCACTGGCTCATCCAATCGAAATTGCTTAGGTTATATTGAGCACTGATTAATGAGCCCCTTTTTTCGCGCAGTACTTTCTGATCTACCTAATACACTAAATCAGTATTATGTAAATTGTATAATTTCGATGGATGGTAAATTAAATAACGCTAAAGACAAGAACAATTTTCATCATTAGACTGATTAATGTTTAATAGAATAATATTACCAATAATAAATACAAATAATCAAGCCAGGTTCTGTGAAATTGGTCGAGATCAGTCGTATTGGTTCAAATATTGTGTATTGCATCGATGGAAATGAACAAAATGAACGAATTAAAGATGAATTTTTAATTTGAATTTTACATGAATTTACACAAATGGACTAAGAAATTAGTTAATGATAAACTTGTGATTTAAGCCTTGGCAGCAGCCTTTTTGTAGTCATCACCATATCCTCCTGATGAGTATGAGTCTGATCCATATGAATCATCACCGTATCCAGATGAACCATAAGAGTCTGAACCGTAAGATGATGGAGCGTATGAGTCACCAGACCAGGCATCACCAGATGAGTATGAACCAGATGAGGAACCGTATGAAGGAACTGAGTATGGAACAGCAATGTATTTGTTGACAACAACTGGAACGTGTTTAGTGACAAGAACTGGTCGTGGCTTGGTGACAACGTATGGCTTTGGAACAGCAACGGTATGGACGTCGACAACCTTTCGGTTAAGGTAAACTTGTTTGACGACTGGTCGCTCAATGATGATCTTCTTTACTTTTGGTGCATAAGAGTCACCTCCATAGGAATCACCAGCACCGTATGAAGCTCCTGCAGAGTAAGCATCACCTCCGTATGATGAACCATATGAACCAGCTCCGTAGTTTGAGGCCAAAGCTTGACCAGCAAGAAGGGTGAAACAGATAACAATCTAATAATAATTTAAAAGAAAAGAAAAAAATATTATTTTTCTTATAAAATCAAAATTCACTTTAAATCCTTGTTTGATGAAACTCCATTTGTAATCACTTTCTTACCATTGAGTTCATGATGAGTTTTGTTGGATTAGTTTATTAAACTGAGATGTTTACTTGATGAATAAAGATGATTTGACTGACGATTTTGAACATTCAAGAAACGCTTTTATACCGTTTTTCATCTTGACTCTTCGATCTCTCTTCCGTTCAAAAGTTCCAGAATGAACTGCCCATTATGGGAGGATCAAAGTTTAACTATCAAAGTGATCTTCCTCTTTCACTTTCACTTTATGGTCATGATTCAAATAAGATTGATAATTTATGCAGTTCAAGGTAAACAGTTCATCAGTTAAGTAACGGTAAAGCATTGAAATTCAAGGTATGACCGTTAAAGTTTATAACAAAATCAATTCCGGTTTGATCAAGTTTTTAAATTTTCATATTCATCACCACAAATTGAATAAGCTTTCGGTTTTGAGCTTGGGGCTCTAACTTGGAGATTAATTCCCTCGGAGTATATTCAGAGTGAATTAACCTCCAACTAATGCTAAACAGAGGTATCCAAATGTTAACCCTTATTAGTCCTTTAAACCAATTTTACTGCTTAACCAGAAAGTTTTGCAAAACATATTGATCTTCATTTACAAGTAATATGGTTAAATGGTGCAAGTCATGTCAAACTGTCTTCTTACATCTCCAAACAACGTTAATGTGACCAAAACTTTACCGGACATATCTCAAAAAGGAGTTCATATGTGTAACCAGAAACGTTAAATTTCAGCTCAAGAGTTGGTGAGTACATGAAATGAAGTCCATTTGTCCACAAAAATTTTTCTTTGATCGACAATTTACGATAAAATGGCTTTCTAAGTCAAAACTTAAACTGCTTGTTATGGGTTCAAAGCTTTTCATTAAACTGGTTTTTTGATGTAACTTTTAATGATCAATAAGAAAATACACTTCTTACCGTTATTCACCGTTCTGGTTAACGCTGATATTCGAAGTCTATTTTCGATTTATCTATCGTTCCATTGGGTTTGCCGAATCTCACTGAAACTTTGGACTGCAAAGGATTTTTGAAGCTGAAATTAGTGAAATTGGAAACCTTCACCTTTTAAATGTTATTCATTTTTCAATCAATATCTGCTTACTACTAAACTTTCTAACAAGGCCTAAACATGGCCTAACTTTAGAACCGTTATTAAGATAAAAAAGCTAGAGAAATACAAGAAAATAAGAAATGAATTGATTGCTTGAGGGATTTTAAGTCTATCAATTTCCTCTTGGAAAATTTGGTACGATCCAATCTTGGCTTTGAGAAGCATTACTTAGCCAGTAGCCGTTTAAAACTGTCCAGTTCTTGTTTTAATGGAATCTTTTCCTCGTCCGATTCAACTGTCCGTTGCTCCAACTCTATTGGATCAAATGGGAAAATAATGGAGTAAAAGAGGAATTGAAATCATAACAATATCTCAAAACAAATTGAAATTCACAACGAAACTGTCGATCAAATGAATATTTTATTTCACAAATGGACTTCATTTCTCTACTGCTGCAAATCTACTAAATCTCAAATTTCAATACTCAAGCCTTAGATTTTTTAAGTCATAATTCAAAATTAAATCCACACTTAATCGGTACATAATAAAATGATCTTGAAATAATCAATTTCGCATATTTTGATGAAAGGTTTTTCATAAAGTTACATAAAGTTGAATAGATTTTAGTTTATTATTAAGGAATCAAATGTATGCCTTTTTATTTTGCTAATAGTTATTATATTTTTTAGTGAATCTGGCGCAATTTGGCATTAATAAAACCTGTTAAACAAAAAACTCAAGCAGAGAGCAATGAATGTCATTTTGAATGTTGATCCAGCTTAAACTTATTCATGTAAGAATTGGCTTAATTGATGATGTTTTTTCTGTTTGAAATTGAAAACCTTTTATAACAAAAGCTTAAAAAATATTAATTATCTTTCGTCAATTGATTTCAATTCTGCAGATCCGTTTCATATCAGTTACATAGCAGTTTGAACTTGAAGGAACATTTTATCATTTACTTACAATCATAACAAATAATCAATACGATTTATCATTGTAAGTTCAGATTCGAGTATTGTTTATGGTATTTATAGGGATTAATGAAATCAACAAATGGAAGGTAAATTTTTAACTGTTTATTTCTGAATTTTGGCCATTGGCTTGACCTTTGGCTGAATAGCATGAAACTATTTTCATTTATCATGAGCTGAAAAGTTGATTGTTTACAGGTAAATGGTCATTGAGCAATTGATTCAGATGTATATAAATGTAAGCATTTTGTGATGTTGATGGGGAGTTTTTCATTTCATGCAAATAAAATTGAGTCATTTGTATGAAAGAAAAAGCAGGGAAAATAGGATTTAGGATGCTCTGTACATTAACATTGCAAGAAACAATTGAGATGAAATGATTTTAAGATTGAGAATGGAGAGAGAATGTCTATACACAAATGGATTAAGAAATTAGTTAATGATAAACTTGTAGTTTAAGCCTTGGCAGCAGCCTTTTTGTAGTCATCACCATATCCTCCTGATGAGTATGAGTCTGATCCATAGGAATCATCACCGTATCCAGATGAACCGTAAGAGTCTGAGCCGTAAGATGATGGAGCGTATGAGTCACCTCCCCATGAGTCACCGGATGAGTATGAACCGTATGAAGGTGCTGAGTATGATGGCTCGTATGATTTAACTGGAACAGCGATGTATTTCTTGACAACAACTGGAACGTGTTTGGTGACGAGAACTGGATGTGGCTTGGTGACAACGTATGGCTTTGGAACAGCAATGGTCTTGACTTCGACAACCTTTCGGGTAAGGTAGACTGGTTTGACGACTGGTCGTTCAATGATGACCTTCTTTACTTTTGGGGCGTATGAATCACCTCCATAGGAATCAGCAGCATAACCACCAGCACCGTATGAAGCTCCTGCAGAGTAAGCATCACCTCCGTATGATGAACCGTATGAACCAGCTCCGTAGTTTGAGGCCAAAGCTTGACCAGCAAGAAGGGTGAAACAGATAACAATCTAATAATAATTTAAAAGAAAACAAAAAAATATTATTTTTCTTATAAAATCAAAATTCACTTTAAATCCTTGTTTTGATGAAAGTCCATTTGTAATCACTTTCTTACCATTGAGTTCATGATGAGTTTTGTTGAATTAGTTTATTAAACTGAGATGTTTACTTGTTGAATAAAGATGATTCGACTGACGATTTTGAACATTCAAGAAACGCTTTTATACCATTTTTCATTTCGATTTTTCCATTCTGTCCCCTGTCCCAAAAGAACTAGCTATTCATAAGAGTCTCTTGGTTCCAGTATGGACTGCCAATTAGGGGAGGATCAACGTTTAGCTATCGAAATAATCTTCCATTTTCCTTTTACTATCATGATTCGAATGAGATTGATAATTTGTAAAGTTCATCAGTTAATTTGGATATTGATTTGACCGATGGAGTAAAAGAAGACGATGAAAAAAGGTAATATGATAATGGGTTAATCATATTAAATTATAAGAGGTAAACTGGTAAACGACATTATTCGACTGTGTGTAATGTTAGCTTCAAAAATCTGGTTCAAATTACCGGTTACCGGCTAATGACGACGTTAGAAACATTTAACTTAAGTTAATCATGACCAGCGGCATTTGTTTAAGTGGGTGGCTTCAATTGATTATTTGATCGTTGATTATGATCGTGTTGATTGCGATGGCGACTAACGAGAAAAGAAATAAAGAAAAATGTAAGAAAAAGTAAATTAAAATGTTTATACTTTTGTATCTGATTTGATTAATTTTTCATTATTGAATAATTTTTGCCTTTAAATTGTAAACGATTTGAACGATTAAATGATTATTTGTTGAAAATCATTACTGTAACAAGCAAAGTGAATGGAAAGTCCCAAAAGGAAATTTATACCTGATTAATATAAGCTCATGAGGCCTTCATTTTGAAAATATTAAACTGGATCATAATCTGAAGGAGCAACCAAAAGATGATTGAGTATCTCATGTAGGATTGGCTCGGTAAACGACGGTAAAGTTCAACTAATAACATCAATTAAATCACAAATGGATCGGAGTAACCATTGAAATCAAAAATTTTAACTCATCCATAATGTTGTACCAATTGTTACTTCAAGCTTTCCAAGTCACAGTAGAGTTAACAATTCAGTGTAAGAGATGAGGCCTGGAATGGGAAAAGAAAGTTGAGATTAATTTGATAAGCTGGTGAACTTTAAACTCGCAGTGTTATCAGTGCGTTTTATTGTGAGAAGATGGCCACAGTGACCAGCAATGAGATAAGATTACAACGAACATCTCGATAACCTAAATTCAAGTTCAAGATGAAGTTGATATGTTTTCACCTTTTGCTCTTATCAATTGTCACCTCAATAAAGTGTTAATATGAGAGAGGACTGATGGAAGATTTAATTAATGCGTGTTACAGATCGCACAGGAACACTTTCACCTTATTTTTCCTGATTTCAACATTATACCAACATGGAAATGAATTGCCATCAAAAGAAACAGTAACAGCAAGGAAAGATGTTGATAGATTTTACCGGTCCAGTAATCAATTTATCTTAAATGATTAAACTGGTTGATCTGGTTAAAAGGTATAACCTCCATACACAAAGCGAACACACAAAATAATGATTTTCTGACGGCAAAGTTAAGCTAACGATCAATATGGTCAGTACACGTATATCGTCTGAGGTCATTTATATTGAAGATTATTCAGTTAAGTTCACTGTAAGTGATAAAGGTCAGGTTGACAGGGCGAAAATAAATCATTTTCAATTGTCATCAGCCATTTGATCAAAATCATTGATAACCATTTTCACTTTTAAGCTTCTGGTACAGACAAATATAGAATCACTGATTTCATTAGTTTCACATTTTCATGTTGATTTGGTTGATTATCGGTAACTTTCCAGATACATTTCCATTGTATGCAATTTAAAATTTTAATTTGAACATTTTCATGTTTTTGCACTATTTTCATTGCGTGTGAGTGTGAACCTGAAAATGTCACCTTTACAAAAAACATCTTTCATGTCGTCTCTTTTTATTTTACTCTTTGTTCACAGTATTGTAGTGAAATTAGCTATTTAAGTCACCTTCAGATTTGGTTTGTTTAGCTTGTTTTCATTTGATTGTCCAACAGAAAATTGGTTTAATTTTTGTAATTCGATATTTTATTTGCTGATTTAAAATGCCAACTTACGAGGAAAAAAAGGAATACATCAAAAAATTATTGGGTCCAGCTAAGCCTGATGGAAGAAGGGCTCGTGCAGCTCCTCCAGACCCAAGGTTCCCAAATACTGATCAAGCTTTGTAAGTGTATCTCGTAAAGGTAGGTCTAGGATAAGTTAAGTTTCAACAAAGCACAAATAAGAAAAGGGACAACTGAAATCCAGCCATTTAAAATTTTCAGTCAGGAAATATTCGGTCATTCTTGTATTAATAGTTCTTGGTTTCAACGACTCGTAAAGGATTTGCATTGATCATCTATAAAGTTATGGAGCTCCAATGCAACTTCGGATATTTTCTGAAAAAGATGATGCCAAAAAATTATTTTTTGTACTTATACAAATTGATTCAAACTAGTTGAGTTCAGTGAAACTTACCGGTATTAATTCTTTGATAGGATAACAATGAAGACTACCATGTCCTAATTTTTTGGAATGTAACAACGTTCCACAATTGTCCACAGAAAATAACAAACTTGCTATACTCGAAGCCTCTTCTTCTTGGGTAGGATCAATAGTGTAATTGTTGCCTATTCTAGTGACAGTCACGAAAATAGGTACTTTAGATACATCTAATTGCATTAAATCAAACGGGTCCTCAGAAATTTCAATATCCATAATGTCTGGATTAAAGTATACTTTAGGTAATCTAAGAGATAAAAAAATAAAGTTAAACCAAACGTAGCATATTTATTAAACATTTCTTAGTAAACAAACCTGGTATCATAGAGAGCTGCCTTAACAGCTATTGAACACAAATCGTAAAGCGATGCTCTTGCTCCAATTTCGAGAATTAGAATGTCTATTGAAAGACACCAGACTTGTTTTCCTTCCACAACAGTGAGACAGTCAAGAAGAGAGCAATCTTTGAAGCTGTCCTCAAAAAACCTGACCAATTCAACAGTCATTTCTTGGCCTCCTCTTCCCTCAAACAGAGGATCTGCATTGGCAGATATATCAGCAAAAAATTCAATTTTACCTTTACCAGGTCGACCAGAATCAGGTGACACCAGAGACATTTTCACACCTGCTATCACTGAACAATTTACAGATCGTATTAGCGCTGATCCGACACAACTAGGTAACAAATTGTTTTCTAGCTCAATTTCGCGTCTATCCCAGCAAGAGCGTCCATCAATGCGGAAATTATCATTAATTCCATTAATTAGATAACATTTTTCACCTTCACTCAATTTTAATTCTGCCATTATCACAATGTAACAATATAAAAACACTTATTCTTGATTTTTTTCAAAACAAAAGTACAAAATTGTCTGACTTGAAAGCACGTGTTTTTAAAGACATCGATTTTCTGAGTTGAGATCGATCAAATTAGAAAAATCTATCTTAAAATCGGACCGGACCACGCCTACTTAACTCTTTGGTAAATAGGATTTACCGAATTCCAGTTACTGGATATGATATAACTGTGATATTTTACCTCAATTAACTAAGATTGTGTGAAATTATTATTGTCTTAACAATATGTAAGGTCTGTGATTTATTTTCTAATCTAAATCTTTTAATTTATCTTCATCGAATTTTGTTGAGAATAGCTTGAATCAACGTTTACTTCAGTTTTTCATCATTTACTAATGATTATTGCGAAGTAAATTGGATTTAAAAGTGAAAGAAAGGACTGATTCATTATTGGGTTACAGTTTAAATTCATTGATCCATTCACAGATTTGAGTGAAAGTAAAACCAGGAACTATTAATTCAAGAATAACTGAATATTTCCTGACTGAAAATTTTAAATGGCTTGACTTCAGTTGTCCCTTTTCCCTTAGTTAACTTAAAATTTATTGAGATAACTTATTTTCAAATTTTTAAACTGCCTAATGTGATGAAAAATTTGTTTTGTTTACTAGATAAACTTAAAAGATGGTTGACAATTAATTTCCTTACATATTTATTTGGTGCATTGTCGGTGAATGTCCAAGTATAACTCGTATTAAACAAATTAAAAATGACAATAGTAAGTAAAATACACCGAATAATCATGATTTATTTTGTATTTATCGCGCCATGAATAGACACGTGATCTCCTATGGAAACACATGTTAGTTTTGTTTACAAAGCGCGGTTTAAAAGATTTGCCTAGTTTTTTGACTTAAATAACTTTCTCTTATTTTTCAATTTCATTTAGACAGTCATTAATTGTATTTATATATTTTTACATTGTGATAATGGCAGAAGTAAAATTGAGTGAAGGGGAAAAATGTTATCTGATTCATGGAATTAATGATAACTTCCGAATTGATGGACGCTCTTGCTGGGATAGAAGAGAAATTGATTTAGAAATTAATTTGTTACCCAGTTGTGTCGGATCAGCTCAAATACGCTCTGTAAATTGTTCAGTGATAGCTGGTGTCAAAATGTCTCTCGTGCCACCTGACCCTGGTCGACCTGGTAAAGGTAAAATTGAATTTTTTGCTGATATATCTGCCAATGCAGATCCTCTGTTTGAGGGAAGAGGAGGCCAAGGAATTGTAGTGGAATTGGTCAGTTTTTTTGAAGATAGCTACAAAGATTGCTCTCTTCTTGACTGTCTCACTGTTGTGGAAGGTAAATCAGTCTGGTGTCTTTCAATAGATATTCTTATCCTCGAAATTGGATCAAAAGCATCGCTTTACGATTTGTGTTCAATAGCTGTTAAGGCAGCTCTCTATGATACCAGGTTTGTTTTTTTAAAAATACTTTAATAACTTTATAAATGCGTGCTATGTTTTCATATGTTTTATATTTTCAAATCTTAATTTTATTCTCAATTCTTTAGATTACCCAAAGTATATGTTAACCCAGACACTATGGATATTGAAATTCCTGATGATCCATTTGATATAATGAGGTTAGATATATCTCAGATACCCGTTTTTGTGACTGTCACTCGAATTGGCAACAGTTACATTATTGATCCTACCCAAGAAGAAGAGGCTTCGAGTATATCAAGTTTATTATTTTCTGTGAACAATTGTGGAACGTTGTTACATTCCAAAAAATTAGGACTTGGTAGTCTTCATTGCGATCCAATCAAAGAATTAATACCGGTAAGTTTCACTAGACTCAACCAGTTTCATAAATTTGAATTGAAGTGCAATAATTAATTTTTCTGTTTTCATTTTTGTCAGAAAATATCTGTAGTTGCATTGGAGCTTCATGATTTTATAGAGGATCAATGCAAATCCTTGACGAGTTAACTGGCTTCATTATCATCTATAATAATCTATCAGATACCAAAATGGGTATCAAGAATCTATTGATTGAAATGACAAAAAAATGTATTCAAATTACTTTAATAAAGTTTTATTTACCACTCAATGATTGAATAATCCAATTTTCAGGATAAATTTTAAAATTTCACGAAAATCTCGAGCGACATCTAACGTGTTCTTTTTTAGTTCAATGACAAACTGAACAAAACTGTTTTCTAGTTACTGGAATAACATGTGATATTTTGCTTCAATTAACTAAGGTTATTTAATTTGAGATTTTGTGAAATTATTATTGTTTTAACATTAGGTAAGTTCTGTTATCTTCTAATTCAACTCACGTATCTCAATTCCTCGTTCACTTCATCGTCTTTTGTTGAGAATAGCTTGCATCAACGTTTGCTTCAGTGTTGCATCATTTACTAGTGCTTATTGCGAAGTAAATCGGATAAAAATTTAATATGGCTGTAAGTATAAACAAGTTATTGTATACAATCTTAAATTCATTGTTACTGTTCAATATTTAACTGGATATTATGGTTATATTACTTAGAGTTCCATGATTGCTGCTGGCATGGCCATGGCCGCTGTCGGTTTTGGTGGAAGATATTTACTACGAATATCAAAACAATTAGGCCCTCAACTTGAGCAATTAAATAAAGTTTTCCCAGACGCTGTGAGTTAATTCTCCCACTAATCTTATGAAATCTTTCTAAATATTCACCATTTCAAACATTTACTAATAATATTCGTTCTTTTTGTTACAGAAATCTTTCGCCAATTCTAAATATTACAAAGGAGGGTTTGAGATCAAAATGACAAAGCGTGAAGCCGGTCTCATTCTTGGAGTTAGTCCATCAGTTAATAAAACGAAATTAAGAGAAGCTCATCGTAGAATAATGTTACTTAACCATCCAGATAGAGGTAATTTATGAACAATTTAATTATAAATCTGCCAGATTTTCAAGACCATTCTTCTATAGTTTTAAGGGAAAGGAAGGATTCCAACTTCAAATGATTCATTCTATTGGGTTTCATTTTAAATTCATAGATTGTATCGAAAGTTAAGCCAGGAACTATTAATTCAAGAATAACCGAATATTTCCTGACTGAAAATTTTACATGGCTGGACTTGAGCTTTCCCTTTTCTTATTTGTGTTTCATTGAAACTAAATTTATCCTTTTCTCTTTTATTAGGTGGATCACCATACATTGCAGCAAAAATTAACGAAGCCAAAGATTTATTAGATTCTGATAAGAAATGAAAATTAATTCTAGCAAATTGTACAGACTTCTAAAAAAGATTATTTCGAGACAAATAAAATTTAGTTAACATACAGTCAACTCAAAATTTATTGAGATAACTTATTTTTCAAATTTTTAAACTGCCTAACATCAAACCAAATGATTTAATAAACACTATGTCGACAATGTAGTGAATCCAAGGAGTTGAATAATTTTAAATATCTCCAGCGAAGATTCCTCGTTTCCTTTGCCAATCCCATTTCTTGTGCTAGAGAAAAATAAAAGTAAACATTTTAACACATTAGCAAGAGCATGTAATCAAACGTTATTCGTTGTTCATCATTCATTAGGAGATGGATTTAATCCTAATAACTCTCTATTAACCCTCGTAAATCTAATTATTCATCTCAATTTCAAAGCTTTAGGAAGAAATGAATGATAAATTACACTTAAAAAATTAGACCTACCCATTGTGATGGACAAAGTGTCTCATAATTGTCTCGGTACCATTCACAGGCTTCCCAGCCGGGCTTCTTCTTTAAACATCTGTGATAATCTATGTAATTTTGATAACAGTTCCTACAATTACAAATATTAAGATAGAAAAAAATAAAAGTGAGAAAATTGTAACGAATAAAAAGATACAAAATTTGTTTTGTTTACGAGATACACTTACAAAGCTTGATTAGTATTTGGGAACCTTGGGTCTGGAGGAGCTGCACGAGCCATTCTTCCATCAGGCTTAGCTGGACCCAATAATTTTTTGATGTATTCCTTTTTTTCCTCGTAAGTTGGCATTTTAAATCAGCAAATAAAATATCGAATTACAAAAATTAAACCAATTTTCTGTTGGACAATCAAATGAAAACAAGCTAAACAAACCAAATCTGAAGGTGACTTAAATAGCTAATTTCACTACAATACTGTGAAAATATCTTTACCACTATTTATACAGCAGTTCAAGTGAAAATAGCCCAATAAAAAAATCAAATCTAATAAAAAAAGAAAGTTTGAATTGATTCATTGTTTAAAAAAATCAATTCAATCAATTCACCAACCCAAACAATTTGTGATAAGATAGCTAAATCGGTGTAAACGCGTTTATTTAAATGAAAATCATAATAACACTGTTATTACTTATGAATTGTACGAAAAATTTCCTATGAAGATGAACTTCCTCTTTCAGTGTTTACAAATGATTATCAATTTAATTACCGTTTAGCATGCTTTATATTACTGTGTTTGATATCAATCATAATCCTAAGTTTACCTTCAACATTAAAAAGTACGTTCATAAGATTCAATTGAACTCCCAGACAGCTATCAATTTTGAAGCCTCAACAATTTAATTAGTGTTTCTGCCAACAGTATGATCAAGTCAGTAAAATCTGATAACCGTCTCTACTTTATCCATGGAATTGTAAATTGCTGTTTAGTTAAAGAAATAATTTTGACAAATTCTGGCTGATTTGCCAGATTTGTATTGAAATTGTCGGTCTGTTATGTTTCTTCCAAGTATCAAAAACTAAACATGAAAAAACCTGAAAACTATTAACTTTAATTGACCACTAATTCACTAATAACAATGGACAATGATTGTTGATTAATTTAAATTAGTCTGATAGAATTCATTAGTTGAATTGTAGGAAAGTGGCTTGTAATAAACTCGTTTGTATAAAATGTAGTGAAGTGAAAAAGCAAATGAAAAGTTACATGAAAGTGTAAAACATGAGCAGAAAATTTAATTTTCAATTATCCCGAGATGATGCTTTAATAATATTTGGCAAAACATGAACTTAAATAATGGTCAATAATAGAAAATTATGAGATAATTTAGTTAAATAGATGAACATTTAAGATTTGCTTTGAAATTGTGAAGCTGTTAGTTAATATGTTAACAACGTAGCGATTGAAATAAACAACAAAAAAGCCTAAAGGCAGAAATGAAACTGTCTCTCATTTTCCCTCTCTTTTTTCATACATCCCGGTCACTGGTTTGACATTTTTTATCCTCCAACTGTTTTACGTTAAAATTTAATGCCGACAATTTTATTTTATCTTATTTCATAAACCATTTTAAAAACATAATTCTAATCAACATCATCTTAACAATCAACAACATACTCATGAACTGGATTATAGACTCATCTTGGTTGAAAGTAAGAGTGGTGAGGTCATAATGCAACTGTAACCGTGAAAATGGTAAGTGATTAAACACATTCTGCCCTAGGCCTAATCTTTCTTTCTTTCTTCCTTTCTTTTTTTCCTCTCATCTATTTATCCTCTTGATTTCTTCTCATCACCATCAATATCATTCGTATTTTATCTCTATCTCCATCTCTACCTCCTATTTCTCCTCCCTCTATCTTAATAAAAATTACGCTTTCTCTAATCATCGACATAATCTTGTTTTTTTCTTCTCTTCTTTTACCGTTATCAATTAAATCAGGCAAAGAGTGAAAGTGATGATGGAAGTATGAAGATGGTGGGATTCGTGAAAACTGGATTACCGGATATTACCTGAACTTTCCTACTTCGACATTCAACTGTGATCAATTCAAATTTTCGGGATTAGACTTTCAAACGATTGAACGATTGAAAATGTATCACCTCCTTCATCTCCTCCTTTCAGCTGAATAATATCACCATACTTTGTCTCCCTGTTGCTCACTAGGATCAAAAATTTCTAATATATAAAGTGATCATCGGTAACTCAACAATCATCACAATTTGTTTACCAACAATCAACCATCTAATCATCTTTTCAACGTATCAACCAAAAAACAAACTCAAAACCAAAATGAATCCAATGGTAAGTTGACTAACAGTTTTGCTTTGTTTTCATTCCAAGCAAATCTTGTGAAAACTTAAGTGAACCAATTCGGATATACCTTTTGCTAACTAATTTATCTTCCAACTATTATAACATGTAGATTGCTCTCTGTTTCACCCTCCTCGCCGGACAAGCCTTAGCTTCAGCTAACTATGGTAACTCTTATGGTTCATCATACGGTTCAGCTGGTTACGGTGCTGCTGGATATGGTGGCGACTCATACTCTGCCCCTGCTTCATACGGTTCATCAGACTCTTACGGTTCAGGATACTCTGCCCCAGCTTCATACGGAGGTGACTCATATGGCTCATCATACGGAGGTGACTCATACTCATCTGGTTACGCTGCTGCCCCACGAGTAAAGAAGGTCATCATTGAACGACCAGTCGTCAAACCAGTCTACCTTACCCGAAAGGTTGTCGAAGTCAAGACCATCTCTGTCCCCAAGGCAGTTGTTGTCAACAAGCCACATCCAGTTCTTGTCACCAAACACGTTCCAGTTGTTGTCAAGAAATACATCCCAGTCCCAGTTAAATCTTACTCAGCTCCTTCATACGGTTCATACGGTTCATCTGGCTCATCTGGCTACGGTGACGCTGGTTCATACTCAGCTGGTGATGCCTGGGGAGGTGACTCATACGCTCCATCATCTTACGGTTCAGACTCTTATGGTTCAGACTCTTACGGTTATGGTGGTGACTCTTATGGCTCAGACTCTTACGGAGCTGACTCATACTCATCAGGTGGATACGGTGATGACTACAAAAAGGCTGCCGCCAAGGCCTAAATTAGATCATATATCATTTTATTCAATTTCCTAGGTCACCTTGTATATTAATACATTATCAAGCCATTCATATATCAATCACCAATATATTTTTATACAGTCGCGCGTTACAATGTAGACATCATAATTGAATTTTTTACTTTTTTTCATTGTTTATCCATCCCTTTTCATGATTCCCTTATCATAAAATACCATTTCAACCAATCATTGTTTCATCAACAGCGAAACACATGAAAACAATAAAAAAGAAAGCGATTCAACTTTTTGTCCAAACTAAAACATTATCTTGCCTCATTATTTCTTGCTAAACATTCAACAGACTCGGAAACATTGTGCTAATATGAAATCAATTCAATTAGTGTAATATAAAACAAATTTAGTGATAGTTGCAAATTATCAATAATGATATTTTGAAAAATGAAAAAGGCGTAAAATGGAGTAAACTTGGTTGATTTTACATGGAAGTTTGCATTTAAAGATCAAACGTTACCAAATCAATCTATTTTTGCAATATAATTATGATCAAATGAACACACATTAGTCTATCAAATAAAGACATTTTGGTTGCTTTTTAATATCAAGGAAATATTTTCACCATATTTCCTTTGATTCCTCAATTCTTGTACATAAACTCCACACCCAATAATTATCATCTCATCGTCATTCCATTTTCATAACAGAATCCTAGAAAAAAAACATCATGCTATTCAGGTAAAAAGATCTGCCTCTTCTAGAAAAGTTCATGACCAAAACGACTAATCTTTGAAACAATAAGGTAACAGATAAAATCGATTTTCATTTTCTTCCATTTCTACATTACCCATTATTAACCAGAATCAAGATTAGTCTAGCCCCAACTGTTCACCAGCATTTTCAGGTAAACCATCGTCATCATCTTCAGCTTTGTGAAATTTTCAATGATTGGGTGGAGTTTCTTTACCTATCAGTAATTCAGAGTAACTCATGGCTAAAAGTTAAACACTAGTTTGAAAAAAAACATAAACAACTGTCCAGTGTGATTTAAGGACAGTTTAAAAGCAATCCATAAAAAAGTCGTCTCTCTACAAAACCCAGAACAAACTAAATGTTTCCCTTGATTGCAAGTTGATTGGTAAATTTGTTATAATCAATTGTTCCTTACAGTCATCAATAAAACAACAATGGATAATTTTCATCTATTTTGTGGTTTTCAGTGCATAAAAATAACCATCATATCTGTTAAGGCTACTTCATCCAATACCAAGCCATCATCAATTTCATCATTACCAGTTTCTTAATCATGTTATTATCAACTGACCAGACATAAACAATTAAACATAAAATACTCTGAAATTGTGTTCAGTCAACAATGATAAATCACCGTGAACCAATAAGTTGAGTACACAAAATCATAACTAACAGTAAGAAATTGAGAAAAGCTAATCAGATATCTTTTCTTCTTTCCCTTATTTTCAGTTTCACCATTTCTTCCAATCACATTAACAATGTTAACCATTTTAACTTCAATCAATTGTCAATACGATGAAGCCTATTATACATCTGATTATGCCATTAAATGTCCACCCGAACGTGAAATATCACCATGTAAATGTAACAATTCATCAGGAGAAATGGAATGTTATGGTGTTAAAATAAACGATTGTACCATTCGCCAAGTTTTCAATCAGCTGGCCAACTATTATGTGAACACAGCAGAGAGACATGTTAAATCATTGAAATTGTACAAAACCGAGATAACCCACATGACTGAAGATATACTGGGTGACATGTCATTGGAAGCTATTGACCTAAATGGTAACCAAAATTTATCCTTAACCCGAATTCACAGGACTTCACTGGTTAAATCAAAAGAAACATTGAAAAGCTTTAAACTTTCTGGTCTCTCGGAGGCAAGTTGGATATCCAAAGAGGAAAATGATGGTTCCATATTTGAAATTGTTGACGGATTTAACCAGCTCAACCTTTTTTGGGTTACCGATGCTTCCATTCCCAAGATTCAAAGGTCAGCCTTTGGAAGAGTTGAACTGCCAAAATTAACATCAGTCCAACTAGCTCGAGATGAAATTGAAGAGTTGGGTGATTACGCATTTTACCGTTTACCCAATTTAACCAGCCTTTCAATCCGAGACAACCTAATCTCTCGCCTTACCAATCACACCTTTGCTTTCGAGAAATCATCTGATGAACTAATGATTCTCGATTTAAGAGGTAATCTACTTCAAATGGAAAACATTGAAAAAGATGCCTTTACTCGACTTCGAAGACCGATACATTTAAATTTAGAGTACAATCTAATTGAATACTTGGATGAAGATGTTTTCACACCAATTTTAACCAATTTAAGGAGCACCATTTCAGTGAACAAGAATCCAATAAAGTGTGATTGTCGTATGCAATGGTTAAAACGAGATGATCACAATTATATGGATCGAGTTGAAGGACTTGTTTGTCCTGAAGCAACTGAACTTTGGTACTTTACGGTTGAAGACCTTCTCAACGAGTGTAATGAAACTTACAGACTTGAAAAGCTTGCTCTTTCCCATTCAAATTCAATTCAATCTCAATTGCTTTACATTGTTTTAATTATTCATTTAATTTTTGCCCATCTTACTATTCACTCAATTTGATTAATCTTTCCCAATCTTTTCACTTTCAATTTAATCTTCTCCTTAATTCCTCCTAAATCAATCATTTCATCTTCTTCTTCCTTCAAATGATTTATTTATTGTTTCAAGCAAATAAATTAAACACAATCTCAACTCAAGTTCAATAAAATTACAATCAAATGGTAAAATTTTCACCCTTAAGCTCAGTATTTTCAAACACTCACATAATAATGAAACCTGAACATTTGTTGACAATTGAAGTCTTCAAAGCTGGCCAATTAATTGTGACCATTAATTAGTCTTGATTCGGAAAAATACATTTTTCTTCATCTTTAATAAATGGTCAACCTGAATGGGAAAATCAATGTTGAGAAAATCCTCCAATTTTCAGTTAAACTCATCAGTTGACATTAACATGGTTTAATTATCACTTGAATTTCCTTCTCAAGTCTATTTTCAATTGCAATATTGAATCAAATAATAGTCTTGATCCATTTCAATTAGAAGAAACTAAGTTACATTAGATGTAAAACTCATTACCCAAATTGGGTTTGATTTAACATTAATAATTGAATTAATCCTTGATTCTCTTTCCAATTTCCTTAAAATTGAATCAAAACTGGATCAGTAAAATTTAATTAATGCACAGCTATAATAATTAAACATTGACATTTTGACAATTTACCAAATTACCCTTCAAAATTAATTTCAATCAGCATCTATTACTAAAATTGATTTAGACAAAAAATTGTCGTAAAGCTTGGAGTAGCAAAAAAAATATCAACTCCAAGATAACCCAGTAAAAGGCTCATTTCTGTGTATTACTGGTGAATGTAAATTAATTATATCTACATATGACTGGTAACATAACAATTTATCATTAATAAAGCAAAATCAACTCAATTGGTAACATTAAGTGACCTGAAAAAAACAAGATGTAACAGAAAAGGCTTAGGCCTGAAAAATCAGATTGCAAATGAAATAGAGAAAACCTAGAAAGTTTCATTAATGGAAGTAAAAGAAGACGAGAAATCATAAGATGGTGATGATGATGATTGTCAAGATATAACTAGATGAAATATAACAGTTGATGGATATGCTTTTAGGGAAAAGACAAAGTGAAAAGTAAAAAAAAGGCTTGATAACAACATAATGTAAGCTCTGGTTGGCTTATTGTTGTTCATGGTAAGAACTCAGCACCCAAAAAAAAGTTCACCAGTGAATATGTTCAGGGATAACAACAATGGTGGTAATAACAAAACAATATGTATGCCGGGGTCACACTTGGTTTCAATTGTTACAGTTACAATTTAAAGTTGCCAGTTGAACAACAAGAGTAGGAAGATGAAAAAGCAGTGAAGACACTTTTTACCATTGTAAGTTAATGGAGGTTCTTGTTGTTGGATTTAACGCATGTGAAGAGATGTTTAGATCGAGATGATGTTCAAGTTGTTGTTGATGATGCTGATGATGCTGATGATGATGATGAACAATCGATAGGTAGAAAAAAATAGAAAGTAAAACTAGAAAGAGAGTTGACTAAGGAATGATTTGACTCTCTTTTAGCCTTCATTTCTGGCACAAATTTTCTGGCAACATTGGGTTAAGATAATATTATAAGATTTTTCCCTATTGACAATCTTTTCTGCTCCTTCTTGTCTCATTGCTTGAAAACATAATAAACATCTATGGATATATATCAAGTTATTTTGTATTAAAAACTGTCTCTCTCCCATTCATCTTGGTTACTCCAATCAACACCACATTATTGTTATCAGTATTCAAGTGTTAAATCATCTCATCAAAGTCCACTTTCATTATTTTGTTAACCACAGTTATTGCTATCAAAAGAAAACTCTATTTAATGCTTTCCTCTCTTTCCTTGGATACAACATTGGACTTTACAATGGCCTTTTTCAATATTGTGATACATTATTCAATCATTTTTCATTAGTTTGTTTTGTTTTTATTTTTGGTTGCCGTTGTTATCATTATAATTGCTACTCCTGTTGTTACTGTTGTTTATGACCAACATTAAAAAAACAAACAATGAACCAAAATATATGCATACAATATTTTAAAGCGTTATTCGTTAACCTGAAACTCTAACTGTTAATGTTGCTAACAAATGAATATCAAAATGATACAAATGTGTCCATCTTTACTACAACCACTGGCAATCATCCAATACAATTATAATTATCTTTATCAACCAATATTTTCTTGATACACCATTTTAATAGTCATCATTATCAACTAATACATTTCGCTTTCCATTGGGTTTACCATCAAAGCCAAAAAATTGAAGCAACACCAAAAACAATCCATTTTACATCATGTTATCCTGTTTGTTTACAACTAATGTATTCATGGAGAGCAAATTAATTATACATTTTAATCTTTGACACAACAATCAATTTGTAATTCAATCTATGAATGAAGATATTAAATGAAGCTGGGTTTGTTATGCGTTGAGGTAAGTGTCAATATAAATTTTTTTTCCTATTACCTTCCATTACACACAAAAAATCAAAATGAAAACAAAAGATTGGGTTACAGTTGATAGTGACTTGAGCCTTTACTTTCAGATGGTAATCATTATGTTTCTCGGTAATATTGGATCAGATTATCCTGATGATTTACCATCTTCTTGTCCTCGAGATAAATCAAGATTGGTTAAAACCATAGTTGATAAGGTAAAATACAAAATGAAATCCATCCATAAAACAAAACAATAAATTTGCATCTCGTTTTTTCTGTCCATTGTCTTTTCCTGGTCTTCTTCATCCTTTCTTGGTTTCCTTGTTGTCCAGAAAATTTTACCCATTTTTGAACGTTATCGCATTGAAATGCCTATTGAATGTCCTTTCCATCCTCATCGTGATGTCCTTTGGTGGCCTGAAGATAATTTATCGACATTTATCTTCAATGATCCAGATGGCCAATCCTCAACATCCACACTTTCGGTTACCTCAATCACTGCGACTCTTGCTTCGTTTTTCACATCAATATGGCGATGTCCACTTTGTAGTAAAATATTTGCCTGTTCCGAAACTTTGGCCTCACATTGGGATGCTGAACATCGACTTTACCGTCACAGGGTAAGTTGTAATCAACCAAACATTAGAAGCATTATTTTCAGTCCAATATAATTTTCCTGGGAATATATAAAAAATTAAGATTATTCACATTGAATCTTTAAAGTGAGAAATCGTTTACTAAATTACGTTTACCTTTAAATTTTTAATGCTTTACAAGCTATAAGTTAGCCAAAAATTGTTATACTTTCATGATAAATGCATGTATATGTTTAAAAATTAATCTATACAATTAAAAATGTAAATAACATACTTAAGGTTATGATATGATTTTTATTCACTGTTTATTTTGGTTAACTTGACTGACTAGTACAACTTGACGGATTGAATCAAAATTTTTAGCCTTTAGCTAATTCAGTCACTTTGCTTAACTCATCCCTACGACTATATTTCATTAAAAAAATTCAGGTTAATATTGAAAAGTGCAAAATTGTTAATAGATAAAGATAAGATTGAATAATCATTCAAATTTGCTTTTGGACAAATTAATTATATGGTGAAATAAGATCATGTTTTATTGATGGCAATATCACCCTAAATGGTATTGTTCACGTTCAATAAGAAACTTATTAAAGATGTTTATATTGTCCATTTTCAGTTAATCATTAAACTGTTTTTTCACCAAACATTGGATTTTATTGATACAGAAACGCAATTCAATCAAAGGCTTGATTGACCTACAAGTCAAATTGATCTTAGGCTATTATTACATGTATTATTTGGAAACATGAAACAACTAATGATCCTGCATAGATTTCAATGTTAAACAGACAATTTCAATAACCAGTTTATTGGACATTTATACCAATATCGTTAGTTGAACTCCAAAATAATAGATTAATCTGAAAAGTCTGTCATGTCATTTGGATTTGTCTATCTAATTAACCTCATCTCACTGATCAGTTTAAATTTGAGCATTTCAACAAAGATCCCTTCAATTATTGAATTTCACTCAAATGTTCATTCACCAAAAAACAATTTAACTACCAACTTCATTATATGGTACTTCGATATACGTATCTAATCATTACCTTTGAAAACTACCTTAATATTGAGAAGTACATATCACCTAACATCAAATACATTTGATGCATTAAAAGAAGCTGTATTAATGGTTAAATCAGCTGGAGATGAATAATATTATATTGAGTTGTTGAGAAATACTGTGAGGCCAAATGGTTAGACTTGTAATTATTTCCAATTCGTAAAATTAACGATTTTTGACCATCCATCAAGGAAAATTAGACTAATATAATAATTTTTTGTTTCTTTGCTTCTCTTTTCCTTCTTTTCGCAGACTGAAAATTTTGTGTGCCTAAGTGACTTTTGTGATTTCATGCGATGCGATGTGTTGAGCCGTCGTCGTATTTATCCAACCATTGGTACATCCAAATACTTGGCTCGAGTTCTTTCACCAACATTATCAATTGATCCTGGATATCTGTCGCCTCCTTCATTACTACCCACCCTTAATCCAGAGAATTGCAATAAAACTGAAATGGTTGAATTGGAAAAACGTTGTCAAACTGTGGTTCGCCAGTGTATCCTACCCCTGTTGATAGATAAGATAACAATGAAAGATTTTCGAGACATGGAGGAAGATATGGTTAAAGAAACTTGTGGTTACCTTAATTGTGAAAAATTTTGGGACATGACAATTCATATGGTAAGTATGGACATGAATAAATACTCTTGAATACTATTTTCAAGTATTTCAAATGAGCCAACAAAACTGGTAAATGACACTTGATATCAGTTATTCTAGTTTTGTTGACCATAGATCAAGTTTAATGAATCAAGAGCTATTAAATTTTTGATGAGTTTGAAATGTGAATCTAATGCAACACTTTTAGTGTTCTAAAAATATCACATTCTCAACAAATAATTGTATGATTAACAAAAAAATGCACTGCTAATGTAACCACATAATTTTTACAAAATCATGCTAATTTCAACCTGATTTTGCATAAATTAAAATCCTTCCAAAAAGCTGTTTGAGCTTACCATTAGAAATCATTTTCACTTTCAATCATTTTCCAAGATGATTTAAACCAACAACCATATTTTGTTGACTGTTTGATATCACCACTTTATCGCAATCGACGTGACTTGAAATAAATTGAGAGCATATTTTGTTCAACTTTCCATTATACCAAGCAACACATCACTTTAAGCCTGAGGGAAAATGAGAAGAGTAAATTCGGTCACAATTTAAGTTAATAAAAAAATGTCTCAACAAATTTTGCTAGCCAGTTGAGTGAAAGGTAAACATGTAAACTAACTAGAAATCACAATTAATGAACAAAACGAAACAATTGGAAATAAATAAAAATAAAATGTCAACTGGCAGCAGCAAGTAGCTAAAAGTGCGCCATAAATCAGATGATTTTTAAGCGCGCTTTAATTGAATTGATAATTTCTTAAATGATATAATCTCTACTTTAAATTATTAAAGCAAATATAGATTAATAATAAAAAGTTATCATTACAAAAGATAATTTTATACTTGTTCATAAAATAATGTTCAGATCCATTTTTTGCCATCTTCAGTAGCTATTAATTCAGTCTTCCTGGTCAGCCTGGCAAATGAATGAAACTCATCTCAACACCTTTTTTAGCATCGTTAAAGTTGATTATACAAGAGCAATAACATTTATATAAATATATATTAAGTTGAGCAAAATATATTCAATAAATAATGCTAAATGATCAGTGTTTGATTAAAGTTCATATTAAACTTCCTTTTAATTTGTTAACCATTTTTCCTTGGCCTCAAGTCAACCATTTTGTAACAAAAGATGTACCAAGTTAAAGAGTTGATTATTATCTGTAAAAAATTAGATAATGATAAGATTAATGATAATGAAGATGACGAAGTTGATGAAGTTGATGAAGTTGATGAGCATCATGAAGAGGATGGTTATGATTTTAATCAGACTGATGATAGGCGCATCCATAACAAATTACATGGTGACAAGTTGGCCTTAAACAATAATCGTGCTTTTGATTACCCAGATTAGAATGATTATTTATCTCGCCTTTTATTTCCATTTGGTTCATTATAAGGTGAAAAATATCTGTCAAAAATAAAATTAAGAAAAAGAAATTGCAATTAATAAACAATTTGATTAAAACAAGTTCATAATCTGAGCATATACACATTACATGCCTTTACTTTCACTTATTTTCAATACAAGTTTCAATAACTAAACAACAACAGCGACAACAATCAAGAGTAATTTAATAATCATTCAAATGTCAACTTGATTTGAATTACCTTTATTTCAATCAATCAAAACGTGCTTTCAGATTGAACAGATTGAAAAACAATAATGAGCATCAAATGTAACAATAATCACAAAAGATTTTTGTTATCGTTTTTGATGAACGCTTTCAATTTGTAACAAAATTGATTGCTCTTAACTGTTTACCAATTTACCAATCATTTTTATCAAATTTTGAATCATCTTCAACATTATCATGTAATCATGTAAATCATCTATACAATAATATAAGCAGAATGTATCAAATTTTTGTGGCTAAACTAAAAGTCAATTCATCGCAGCCTCTAGTCAAACTAATTCAAATGTCAAATTGTTTTATATTCAATAATTTTTACCTTTTCACTTCATCTCAACCAATGTTTTATAAAAAACGATTTTCTCAATTGGCTATTCAATCTGTTCTTCATTTTGACACAAGTATTAATCTAATAATTAAAACTCAACATTTCCATGAAAGTCTTATTTAATTTGAATCTTCTTCCGTTAATCTTTAGTTCCTTATTTAGATATTTTTAAAGCTAAAGTAAACGACAGATTAGCTTGTTAATCTGGATGTTACCAGGTTAACATTAGAAAAAAAATATTTCAAACTTACCATTACTTTATTGTACATTACAATTTGATAATCTTATTGGAATCATTACAGTATAATCTTTCAAAAAAAAGTTGAACTAATTAGATCAATGAAAAGACACTTACAAATGATCAGAAACAATTAGCATTTCCAATGATATTCAATACGAAACCATTTCTTAACAAAACAGTCTTTATTAAACAAAAACAAAACATGACTGTCATCATTACTTAATATCACACACTTATCCCTAATGTTAAGGACTAATCAGATAATAATTACAGTAATTTTATTTATTATCTGCTAATCACTGAACATTAGATTAATCAATAATGTTCAATCAACTAAATAAATCATTATATCAACTGTCATTAGTTGAAAACGGTACACACTCACTGTTGATGTTAAACAATAATGTAAAGATGAACATTGATTTTTGTGTTTATCTATTTCATCAAATTCACACCAAACTGAAACATTATTTGAACAAGACAAGATAAATCAGTAGAATCAGAATTAGATTAATCTAATTAACTTCCGTCATATCAATAACTAAGGTCATTAATAAATTTACGACCTCAATTGTATACCTGATATATATATTAAATGTGAATGTATTTACATATTGAAAAGGTGAATAAACATAAATATTATGACTGACCTTTAATTTTGATTCAGAAAAGATTCAGATTTTTGGCTTTTTTTGATGAAATTATTGTTATTATTATTGTTCTACTTTCTTGATTAAGCTTACAATCATCAGTTTGTTCATTGATAAATAGCTGAGATGTAAATGATATCTCAATGACCAATTTACCTGTAATACTGGTCAACTAAACATTAAGATTCAGGTGAAGCAACTTAATTCAATACCACCAACTGTCAACATTAAATCGCTTCATACAATTAAATTTTTTAACCTTAATCTTAATTCAATTGGTCAGACCAATTAGACAGTGAAAGTGTGCATCTTTGTTACCAAAAGTATCCATTGAAAAACGTTAAGATACAAATGTTAACCCAACCATATTTGGTTCTTTGATACGATTCATTGAAAAATACATCAAATCAAATGAACAGTGAATAATTAATGGCCAGCAATCAAACAATAATTTAGCTAAATCTTTTATAATTTATCGTTCATCTGTCAACATTAAACATGAAGCTGGATGGACCCAAAAAATTGTTTCCATGTCAATAAGTTAACCAGAAAAAAAGCATTGCGTGATTAAATTATTATTTGAAATACAAAATAATCAATATTATTATGATTAAAAACCAATGCCTTGAGCATTATTGGTTTTATAATTAAAAAGGAAAGCAATAAAAATCAAATGGTTAACATCAACGATATTTAGCATCAGCCAATTGACCCAAGCTGATTAAGGTCATTACTTGGTTTCCCATTAATGTTGCCCTTACCCTTAAAGGATCACAACTCAACGTTTCCTGGTTATCATTAGGGTTGATAATTGTTGAACATAAAAAGATTCATCAGTTAATCAATCTAAAAACCAGTAATTACTCTATTGATCAGTATTTACCAAGTTTAACAGATTAACTTTCCTTTAAAATCAGCTTGGACAAGACTCATTTTTGTTTTCAGATTATCTATTTCAACCTTTTAACATATCGATTGGTCAACCATTTGATTTTGAATGTAATTTCCTTTCAGTCCATTTCCTTGAGTATTCAATATTGATGAAAATGCATAGTAACCAAATGGTAATTGAAATATCTTTCTTTCCTTTCTTTGTTACCAAAGGATCGGACCAGGCCATTGTCATTATGCGTACTGATTGGTATAATCATGATTATTGGATTCCTTATTTGTTACTACATTGTCTGGTCCCTTTTTGAGTAAGTATTAACCTGGTCAAGTGTAACCAGAAAATGTTTAACCAATTTATTATACGATGTCCATTGATTGAGGCAATGGGAAACAACCAGCTGATTGATTTAAAATCTGTAGGTAGAGAGAGAGGGAAACATTTATTAATAATAATAAATCATGTTTACTTGGTTCATGTAAATGGTGAAATTAGGTGATATCAACTTACAAAGATTACCTTTGACTGTGGTTGAATCACTAGATTGATTGAGCTCATGCTGAAATAAACCTGGAAAAAGATGGGAAAAGTATCAAAAATTGATAGAGATTAGGAAAAAGAAACAAAAAATAAGTCATAATTTTAAGCAATCAAATAATTATAATGATGTTGATAATGATCAAGAGTGCAGAAGGTAAAATTGGCCTTAAGGTCAGTAATCAATCCGAAACAACAAAGCCGCTGTACTCTCAATTCAGCTTATCATGAACCAAGAGACGTGAAAGAAACAGTAAAAAGTTATATTTTTTGATGTACAGATGTGTAAATGGTTGTTTACCGTTTTACTTTCAACTAACAGTTGAAATGAAAAGTTGAAATTTATTACATTTAATAACAACAGGACAAAATGGTTTGGTTTTTTTTCTCATTTCTGACTTTTGTTTTATCTGATGAACTGAATGATTTCATACTGAAAATAAAAGTCAATTAAGATAAGTTTACGGTAAATAAGAAAAGGTCATCTGAAAGGTTGAAAAGTAACGACAAGAGTCAAAAGGAATGGTCAAAATTAACATGACAATGATAATAAAAACAACTGACAGTTTGTGGTGAAGCAAGAAAAAGTAACATATTGTTAGTAATCAAGATTAGCTGATGATTTCCTTTTCCTTTCAGCGTTTCAATGTTCAACAATAGATGAAAGAGTAACATGGTTTTTTAATGTTTCCGTCCTGATGACTTTTGATGGAGCAAATAAATTATGCATTATTAACTTGAAGTGGTCAGGGAAAATCAGTCATCATGACCAATGTGTCTCTTTTAGTGACAAATCTTTACAAATCATTCACCAGTTCAGCTACAGTTTAAGATGATGGCCAGCTTATTGTTATCATCAATTGTCCAAATTAAATGTCTAGAGTTCCAGAAAATATGTTGGCAAAAGATAGTTATTCATTTTTCACTGAATGTTGGAAAGTAAAAGCACAACAGAACCATCATTAATCATTGATAATTAAAGGCCAATCATATTTCCTTGATTACTTCAATCCTTATTTATTTTCGAACCAGCATCGAGTGAAATTGCTTGATAACCATCTTTGACCTCAAGTCTAATCCAATTGCCAATAAAAGCATGGGAAAGTTGAAACCAAATCGCCTCAGTTTAGCTTTATAAAGCTTCTAGATAATCCATTGGATAATCTTGAGATTATGATTCGAGAGGATTCATGAGGAAAAGCAAAAGCATATTCAGTGATTCAATTATGCTAATCTTGCTGACAAAGATCCAGCCAATTAGAGTGTTAATAACGATGTTTGTTAAATGATGATTCTTAACATTTCAATGTGACAATTGAACCCATCAGTTAACACTGAATTAAAATGAAAGGCAAATGGGTGAAGTTTTCACAGTCATCATCACCAAAAGAGATTTAATTGCTCACAATTGAGTTAATGAAATCTAAAAATTGAGATGAAAAAGCTGCTACAGATGATGGTACTCTTGATATCATTTCCGTGTGTCCTTTTCTTGTGAACTGAATATCAACTGATGGTAAAAGATGATGTGAAAGAGTTAACAGGGAAATATTTGTTTTGCCTTTCATTATGTTGGATGGATAATCCTTCAGGCCAGTACTAATAATCTCATTTGTTTTTGTATTTTATCCTGAATTTATCCTGAAATAAGAACAAAAAAATAAAGAAAAAGATGAAGGCGACGACAGTTAACTGGATGAAGCCGGCTTACCATTTTGATGAAATGCAAATCCCTTTATTGTGCCAATTAAATGGTCAAATTAATAAACATTGTTTCGGCTTTTTTTGTCTCCAATGGAGACAGTAGCCTCTTAGAGGTCAATAATGTAGAGTTAATTACTATATTGGGATGATTATCGTGATTGTTATACCGAAAACATTGATTGGTTAAACATTTGAGTAGACACGACAGCAGCTATCCTAATCCAATATGACTTGTCGACTTATTAATTATTGTTTGTTTTTTTGTCGTCTTAAAACAGGTCAACAATGGGTCTTAAACAAGAAAGACTAAAGCAATTTAAGATGCGACAATTGAAAGGAGACCGACAAGCTATTTTAACGACGCCAACATCAAAAAAAGTAGCAACACCGACAGAATCTTCAGGATCACTTGCAAAGAAACGATTACACCAAAGTATGCCCGTTCGTCAATCTGGTGAGTCTGAAACATCGCAAGAAAATAGTCCGGCATCAAATGAGAGTAGATACATGGTTACACATACTGGTAGACGGCATCAGCGACCAAGTCATCTTTATTTGGCCTCAGAGTTGGCTCTTTTACTTGAGAAAAGATCAATGGAAACAGTTCCAGAATCCTCTGATGACCAAGGATCAATCAGCTTGGCTTCGCAATCGATTTCTTCGCCTTTACCATTTCACCATAAGCAATCACCATCATTTGGTATGAATCGATCAGATGTAGCGATAATATCTGACCGACAAAATGATTCTCAAGCTTCACAGGGTTCACAAAATTCTCGCCAATCTAAAAATAGTTCACAATCAACAGCTTCAACACAAGAAGCAGTCAATAACCGTTTGCACCACTTTCCCAATCGAAGGCGAGATTTTGCGTTGAAAGGTCGACGGAATAAGTATGATGATGATCACAGCTATGATGATGAAGATACAGACGATTTAGTGGGGGTAACCAAAGAATCTAGATCTCAGTCTATAATTAAATCATCGCCATCACCTCCATGTATAAAGACAAGGGCAAGAGTTGAAGGAACAATGTCTGATTTAGAAACTAGAAGACCATGTGAATATCGTAATATGAGATCACCGGGTGAAAGCTTTACAGGTCGAGAGATTAAAAATGGTACACGAGACTGTGAGGTTAATCTTAATAAAGTAGTAAGATCAACTAGTCGCAGTCTACACCGTGTATCATACTCCATAGGAAATCAAGGGTTGGAAAGAGGTCGTGGAGTTGAACGAGATTCATCAGCTTCCGATACAGTCACAAGCGTAGGTCCAGATATTGAATCAGAGCCAGTGGTTTCATCCACAAGTGGAAGACGGTTTAACAGGCCAGGAGTCGTTCGTAGTATTTCTTCAGCAGGAAAAACACGGCGATTAGCAATGGTTTCCCAGCGATATTCATCACAGCCATCGTCTTCAACAACAGCTGATGCACCAACAACCTTTGATGCAAACCAGCCTCGATATCCATTGATTAAATCACAATCTAACCCAGTTGTTCCTGTTAGACGGTCAAAAAGCCAATTAACATCATTAAATCGATGATTTAGTTGAACATGAGAGCTGTAAAAAAACACAAATCCATTGTCAGCTTGATCGTCTGATAGTGAAAAATATTTGAGACTTGACACCAAACTCCAGGCTCACTTCATCTGGAAAAATATTGTTAATTATAGATAAACTGTACACTGGGATCAATCAGAAATATAAGCAAGTTGTCTCTTCATTAACCAAGGATTAACCATTCCATCCAATTTTGAACGGTCATCATTAAATGTAAACCTAATTTGCTAGCAGTAAACTGTACTTTTATTTAGTTGCAGGGATGACCACCTAACTCTTAAATTGCAATTGTTTACAATGAATCTTATTGGCTTTTATAGCAATTGTTGCTTCTTCTAAATATTTGGAACATTTCAAATTTAAATTTACTTTTGCTTGTTTCATGATGATTTAAAATTAGCACTAGTCGATAAATTATTAATACTATTAATTTATTATTGTTAAGGTTCGCTACTTGTGCATTAGATTTAGACTGGACACTCAACTCAAGAAAAGATAATCACTGCCTTGTAGCCTATCAATTGAAATACATAAATCTTTTAACTGAGTAATCATAAATTTTCAATGACTTTGTTAGTCAAATTATATTATCAAAAACCATTATTTACACCAAAAGCACCGGAATTTAAAATAAATTCATCTTCCTTGCCTGATAATCAAATGCAATCCAAAACCAGAGTCAAACAAATCTTTTTCAAAACCCCAGCAATTTTAGTTTTCACAAGAATTTGATTGAGCACACAAAAAATCATCTAAAGTTTATCAAATCTCACCAATTAACCGACAACATTTTGCTATGTTTTAAATAAGGACACAATCTCAATCGTATTGAATGGACATGATCACAATTAATCAACTGAGAATCCCATTGAAATTACTTTTTCCTCTATTCCAATATTTTGTTTCGTCTCTTCCAATTTAAACCATTTACACAATCTTGATTACTTGATTAATCCATTATGGGATCAATTTGTATATATTGAATGAATTGGCTACTCAATTGGTCAAGCAAAAATTAAACCAACAAGTCAAGTTATTATTGTGTACAATAAAAATATTATACTTTTTGTTTCTTGCTCATTTTGCTTGAAGTTATGTTCATCACTTTGATTACAACCTTGTCATATGAAACAGTTTAAATTATTCAAAATCATTCATTTGATTGATTTGTGTAATATAATGAATAAAGAAGCTGTTAAATCTATAAAATTATAAGGATAACAAATTGAAGGAAATTTTTCTTTATGCCGAGTTGGTATATTAACAATTCAAATTTACAGGCTAAATGTGATCGGGAAAACAGGCGGTAATTAAAAGAGCTGAATGATGGATAGATGTGTTTTGATTGTTTGAATTTGCAGATCTAAAAAGCTTACCATTTAGATATAAAACATTATTGAGTTAATATTTTACACTAAATCGTGGCGATTTAATTTGATTGGAAGCGATGTAAATACTGTGAACTCACACCATTATGAATTTTTACTGGATTTAATTAATTTTTGTAGTCATGATTCAAAGATATGTAAAATGCTGCATCACAAAATTGTCAAATAATTACTGGTTATTGGTCTGAGCTTGGAGTTGGATAGTAAAATAATTTATCACAATTTTAATTGATTAACGAGCTTTTTGTTAAGAAAATTAAAGTGAAAATTTGGCAAAATTTATACTTTTATTTTTTGGAGCAATGAAAAATAATGGAGCAGTTAATAGGTGGAAAAGTGAAACACGATGTAAATTATTTTGCTTGGGCGGACAGATGCACGAAGTGAGCCCATTATTAACAAAATGAGAAGAAACGTGAACTCTGACCTGCGTCTCTCACTCTTAGTAAGCCTGGATGGGATCGAAGGAAGGTCAGGGAAAGTAATTAACCAAAGCAATTCAGAGTTGATTTCAAGTTAAAAAATCTCACAGAATAAGGTTGAGATTTGTGCTACTTGAACATGGTCACTAGGAAGCCTAGGATCAGCTTGAAGCCATCAACACTGAGGCAAGATTATTTTCAGTCTTTTCAATCAAATTAGTTATTGACTATCACTTGATGAACTGCTTGAAGAATCAGTGGACATAACTTCAACATCTTCTATATTGTCTTTGGATATTGTTGCTTTCGAATCAATAGATGAGTGAACAGATTCTAAAAATCCTTTCGTGAAAACATGATCTTCAACCATGGGCTGTTGTGAAGAGTTCGGTGCTGCTTGAGCATTGTAAGAGCTTTGTTGCTGTTGACCTGTTGTAGCCATACTCGTGACAAAACCACCCATTTGACCAATGAAGCCTGATCTCATTTCTATGTCTGTTGGATACGGTCTTCTTAAATCTCCTTGTTCCCAGTTATATGGAGCTGCAACGGAATGACATGAGCTTATTTTATAAGCGTACTTAATCAGTTCTTCAGAAGGAACCGGATGCGCATTGGCTTGTCTAATCAGGGCCAACTTTTGTTTAGCTTGATATATAGCAGTTGCCAGGATATGTTCTGCTTCTTTAAAAGATTTGGTTAAATGTTTGATCTCTTCATCAGCCCTACTGATATCAAGATTCAATAAATCTACTTTCTTTGCCATTTCTTCCATCTCCATTGCTAATTTAATTGATTTCTTTAGTTGAGCATTCTTGGCCACCAAGCTATCCCCAAGCTCAGTCAAATTCACTGTATGCCCAGAATTGGGACGAAGACGCTTATTGTTGATCATATTTTCGATCAGGCTCCTGTTGTGAGAAACCAATAAACAAATGTTAAGCATAAAATTAACTTACTATGAAAGGAAAAACATGAAAACAAATTGAAAAATTCAATACTCACTTTGATAGCTGTTCAATCTCATTGATTAATCCTAAAATAACATCCTTTATATATTGATTGACAGTCATTTTGAAAGGAACAATTATAAACTAGTATCTCAAATATAATACAATAAATAAATGTAAATAAATTAAAATTAATTTTAAGTTTCCGTTGGTCAATAAATACATATGGGTTTGTTTAGACTCTAGAATTTAGAAATCTGTTTGACAAGTTTAGTTGTATCATCCAGTCATAGGTGGCTCTACTGCACAGACGCTTAAACTTTTCACTTCACACAATTAATAACAATTTAATTTTAGCACAATCGTAATTGAATTTACCCTTAACCATAATATATTTAAACTGATGACCAATCTATTAACCAGCAGAGTGATAAATTGTAAACCACTAATAACTATTTGTCGAACAATGTTCTTGATGTAAAAGTAACACCAATCTGTAAATGAAAATTGAAAAACCTTTTTAACACAAAATTGGCTAAACAATAAATTAATTTTGAACGCAAAAGTCAAACTCAGTTGTTAATTTAAATTCTTGAAAATAATTAGATTGGAAAATGAAATTGAAGGTAAAAGCAAGGCTAATCAAGAATATGATTGATGAGTTGACATAGCAGATATTTTGTTTTCACCATTTCGACTTACTGACAAATTAACTAATGTTAACCAGTCAATCAACCAAAACATCAACCAGGCATTTTAAATAATTCAATGAATGGCCAAATTATGTTAACGTTCAATGTTGATAAGTTGTGAAGGAATAGGCAAAGTTAACATCTTCACAAGACATCTTTCATCGTCATAAATTCAAGTGTAACATATCAACAGTTAACAATTTAAACAGTTACTGAGCAGCTAAATCTTGAAAATCTCTGTAACAATTTATGCTATAACAACTGATCAGCCATTAGAAACAACATTAATCAAACAAAATATAATGGAAACTGAATATTTCAAAAACGTAAATCACTTGAAAATATTCAGCCTTAAAACCATAATAAATAAATTGCTAAATAGTAAATTTATTAATAGTTTTTGAATGTAACTCCAAGCTGATAGCTAATTCATGTAACTAAGGCCTTTGGTTAAATATTTAAGCAACTCTTGAAATGACTTGAGATTTTCGGCAACATACTTTTAGACCTTTGGTAAATACCAAGGCGACCTGGAGGCCTATGAAGGAAACGGTATAACAATTAATAATTCATAGAGCAAGCTTTTGTGCATTAGTGAATCGCCGTGAACAGGCATAAAAAAAGGTAAAATTTGACAGAATTGTAGCAATTAAAAGAAGGTGAGAAAACAAAACAACAGAAACAGCAAAAAGCTGTAATACAATGTGGAGGGAAAAAGGTTGACGATGAGGAAAGAAAAGGACGTAAAATGAAGAAAGATGTCAAGATGACGATACTCCTGGACAGTCCTCAATATAAAAGACACATTTGGACTAGGACACGCTGTCTATCTGGACCATGGCCGCCAAAATTTAGGGTAAAAAAATAAAAACAGGCAAACACAAGTGAAAAGTATGGCAAGCTAGGAAAACATAGGGAAAAGCTTAGGGAAAAAAAGAGGCTAAGTAGCCTTAGGATAAAAATACGTATGATTCCAAGGTATTATTGAGAAACAAAATAAGGGTAAAGGTTGAAAAATAGGTTGAACTATATTGTTTACTGATGAGCACCTGTGTGTTGATTTTGTTATGTCCATGCTTCCATGGACATGCTTTAGCTGTCGTCCAGTGGATAAGTGTAAACAAGCCTTTTCCCTAAGAGTAATAACAAAAGACTTTCCAGTTAACCCAATCGACTGCATTTTTGCACATTTTCTCTCTCAATTTTGGCCCTTTTTGGCTCTTCTTCAGCTTCAAAAATCTTCCTTATCTTCCTCTCTCTCTCTCTCACTAATTCATTTACTTTTCTCCCTCCAAGCACCATTATCTCTCACTTTCTCACTATTTTTGCCATTTATTTTTTTTCATCCTCTCAGTACCATCTTCCTACTAGATCTTGGGTCTCTTGCTTTCCCTGGTTAACTTTATACTCTTGACAGCTAACGATTGTATGAAAATATCCGTTTGGCCTTTTAGTTGAAGTGAAGTGTGAAAAAACAAAGTCAAGTGAATTTAGATAAAAAAGATTAAACTTATATTGGCATTTTAATCGCTTCAATTTCAATTATTTGCAAGACACTTACTTTTAAATGTGTCTCAAAATGATATCCCAACACAGTACATTCTGGACTTTTATTATTTTATTTATAATGTTAATCAATTTGACAGGACAATTATGTCAACTTGTTGATTCACCATTATTAAAACAATTTTCATCTTCATCTTCAACGCCTTTTTCACCATCATCATCATCATCGTCGTCATCTGATTTCAATTCAGTTTCCAGTGATTCTACCATAATTATTAGTGATTCATCTTCATTTTCATCACCTCTATCATCTTCAACATCACCTCAATTAATTCCAACATCAAATGCTGATGATGGTGGTGATAATAAACTACATTCAACACCGTTAAATCATCGTGGATCAAAAAGGAAACGATATCAACCAGCTCGATATTTGGTGAGTCATTAAATTGTGTTAAGTAATTTTTTTGGATTCGATCATCAACAGAACAAAATTGATCATTTTACCAGTAAAAGAAAATTTCTCTTTTTTTTCATTTCAATTACAACAGTTAATATATCAAAATATCAACTTTAAAAATTGTTTTCTTTCAAGTTCATACAATTGTATTTTGTTTGTTGCAATAATTTTTGAAAGATAAATGGGTACTAATAAGACCCTTTGATAATTGATAATCTAATACCTTTGTCTTAACTGTAGCTATTATAATATTATTACAGATTATTTTTTTCTGGTATAATGATTAGTAAATGAACAAAGCTTAAATGTAGAAATTTGATTGATTCCATATTGTTTTTTTTGATTATCAACCTAATATACTCAATTTAATTTACCTTTCTTTATTTTTTCTCTTTCTTTAGGTAAGGCCGTTCTTTTTAAATCCTAAACATACTTGGAAAGCTTTTCAGATGAATGTATCTCGGAATGAAGCTAAAGATGCTGAGATGAGAAAAATTCGTGATAAAAAACGTGCAAAAATACGTAAATTAGCTGATAAGATGAAAAAAGCAGCTTTAATCTCAGAGAAACTGTATCTCTTGCTCAATGAGATTAGCATGAATCTTGATTCTGAATTAGTTTGACAATGATGTTAGCGTTGACAATGATTTTAAAGGAGGTTGCATCGACGCCTTGGTTTTGGCTCGGGTGGTTCCAATGCAGCCAAGATTGCTTCATCAAAAACATTTTTAAGTCCTCTCTGAATAAACAAATAGAAAAAAAAAGACAAATCAGTATTGTAATTTGATTATTAAACGTAAATTATACATAAATATATCCATATAAGCAATGTGACGATAAATTATCCATGCATCCTATTTTTGTTTCCTGTCAATTTCAATTCACTCATTTTTTTCTGCAATTTTTACTCTACTCCTTTTAATATCTACTTTTAATCACTCTTTCACCCTCACCAAATGATACAATCAATTGGATTCAATAATAATTGAAACAATGAGTAAAGGGTGTATCTACAATTATAAACAAAATTTGAGCTTTCATACTTTACCTGAGTTAGGGCAGAGCATTCAACATATTTCACAGCTTTCAATTCTTTAGCCAATTTTTCTCCTTGCTCCAAAGTGATCGGCTTTTGTTTATTTTTTGCTAATTTCTCCACGGTAGCGGCATCATCACGAAGATCGGTCTGTGTACCAACTAGAAGGAAAGGTGTTTTTTGGCAATGATGGGTTATCTCTGGCACCCATTTTTCTTTGACATTCTCAAAAGAGGATGGCGAAACAACCGAGAAACAAACAAGAAATACGTCTGTTTGGGGATAGCTCAGCGGTCGAAGTCTATCATAATCTTCTTGACCAGCAGTATCAAATAGTCCGAGGGTGTAGGGTTCCCCACCAATCATAACAGTTACGGCATAATTGTCAAATACTGTTGGAACATATTCCGATGGAAACTTGTTCGTTGTGTAAGAAATTAATAGGCACGTTTTACCAACCGCTCCGTCACCGACAACAACACATTTTATTGTTTGCATGATGGATTTTGAGCTCACTTTTAAATTTTAAATAAATCAAATAATATCAATAATATAAGTAATATAATGATGATGAAAAACCAATTTCCAACACCAAGAAATCTCTATAACTGATTAAGGGCCCAAAGCCTGATATAACTTTACTCTCAATGGCTCCCTCTTTTGGTTAAACGGTCTAAAAGGAACATCAGGCGGCTATTTCAACCAAAACATAGAGGAACCATTTTTTCTGCTAATTTAAACTCACAACTGGCCACTCTTTTTACCTGTGAATCGTCCATTTGATCAACATCATTTTACCTTATCATTACAAGTATCTTCAACATATATCCTTCAACTACCAACCTGATTTTGATCATGAAAAAATACCTTCAATCTAATTCCAAACAGAGCAACTCTGATCGCTTGTCGTTACCATCACCTTTACCTTAACCATCCACATCATCATCAACATTAACTTCATTCTTTTTTTATCTTTTTCTTTCTTATCATCTTTTATCATCTTTTCCCTCTCTATCTAGGTTTCTTCAGTAGTTCAATATTTACCCATAGGCAATGTCAACAAGATGATTCTGGTAAATGAAACATGAAGAAACCTCTTTTTATGCTAACCCAAAACTCTGATCATGATAATGATGGTTCTTTTTTTCTCCTTTTTTCACTTTATACCTTCAATTTATCCAAAGTATTGAGTTAAACGAATAAGCCAAATCAAATTTCAAATCAACCCATGGTTGGTATCAAAGCCAATCAATCATAGAAATGGTTAACTCATTGTTTCCATCAACACGTTTTGTTTACCAAACATAACCAGCCTTTCCGATGATACATCAGGTTAAAGCTTCAACATGTTACTAGCATAGTTATTGGTAATAACAAGTAAGTTATTTTATAATTTTATCATCATTAACATCACCATCATCGCCACCATCATCATTATTATCATCTTTAACTTTCCCTGTCAACTTTACAATTGATTATTGATTTTCTTATTTATCATGTGTAACAAACCAAAATTCAACTTTTTTTTACAGCCAATAAAAAGATGAAAATGATGCTGCTTTTGCTGATGAACGATGATGATAATAATAATGGTAGAAGCAACTTTGATATAAACTCTTAATGATTCAAGATGAAAAGGAGCTGTAAATTGAGATAAAATTTGGATTCAATCATTCCTCTTAACCCAACAACACCGCCATGAAATTCAATGCAAAGACAAGTGTTAACCATACAATGGATGTTCAATGATCAAATGTAAACCTTGTTATGAAAATATTGCTAATAATTGTTGGTCCTGGTTGAGACAAAAATCATTTTTATTGGCAAAAATGTGATTCCAAGCTCCACCTTTAACCCCCAAAAATACAATACAACTCCTCCTGTATTTGACTGTCAATGAGGATGAAAGGGATGAAGATGAAGATTACCTCTACAACATCAACATAAGTCTCTGTAAAGATGATGATAAGAGTTAACACTTATTATTGTTATACCAAAGTTGGGAGTGAAAATTTGATGATAACACAAGAATTATATACATTTTATGGATAACCTGATAACAAAATCAATTTCAATTAACTTGATCAACATTTACTTTTTCATTTCTTTTTTTGGTGTTAACCAGATAAACAGATTAATAGTAAATCAAGATTGTTATCTTCAAAACACAATAATAATCAATAGCTAGAGTTGAGTAATGAAACAGATTCAACAACAGTTATAACAGTTTTCATTTCCACTGAAACTCACTTGATATTACGCATAAAACAACCTTGTCCTCCTGTTTAAATTTTTATTGAAGTCATTACTTTGTTTAATGAACTCACCTTCTGATGAAGGGAAATCAAATTACGATATAATTGTTGAAAAGCAAATACAAAAATACCAATAAAATATTAAAAAACTGAATTCTTCACTCTTACTTGTTTCATTTATCATTTATTTTTTATTCATCTCTCCTCAACTCTTGGTGAATTGATTGTCATCAAAACAAAAATAAACAGATATTTTACTGACTAAAGGTTTTATAATTTTATGAATATTAAGGTGTTTATTATCGCTCAGATAGGGTTGTTACTAAGAGACACAACCAACACGATTGTAAAAAAAGAAATTGTGAAAAGTTCGAAAAAAATATGCAATGGCCGGGAATCGAACCCGGGCCGCCCGCGTGGCAGGCGAGCATTCTACCACTGAACCACCATTGCGACGATATAAGTGATGTGAACGCAGTAGTACTTGAATTTAGCACGTCTGGGAATGATTGATGGTTGTTGCCTTGAAGGCTCAAAATGCATTAATAGCTTTCCTCCTTTTGAATATTTGATGATTGATGATGAATGAATCAGTTCTTTTCCATGTTAATCAAAGCATTTGTCACATTTATACACAAATTAATAAAAACGGCAATAACTGGGAAATAGTAGTTTCTTACAAATTTAGACTCTGTTGGTTTGTAGCGGGCATAAAACTGAATCCATTTGTGTGTTTTGTAAATCTCTATGATGACCAGTTTTCGAGAAAATCTGATTCGGAGTGGAAACTTTGAGCGCTTTTCGTGCAATTATGGAAGTAGGTTTTTTCATAAAACTCTTTTGACTGATGTAGCTTTTGATGGTCAGTCAAAAAATGCCCATGTTTTGATAATGAAACTTTTCGTTTTCTGTGAAACAGATAAGTTCGATTTTCCGTTAAAGCGAACCCTTTCTGTTGCCTTATGAGTTGGAGGGCTGAAACTTAATATTATTGATAACTTTATTTATCCTGGGGCTGAATGCCTAACGAGCTTAATTACTGATACCAAAGAGGGAAAGGTGCGAGTCTGAAAGAGTTACTTTCAAAACTGAAAGATTTCGTCAGATGAATATGATTGATCTGGTAGTTACAACTGTTGACGATACTCTAAATATGTATTGAATCAAACATTCTAATAAAGTTCGATTACTGATAATCTGATTCAGTTTTTGCATTTAATTTGACCCGACATGGTATGATTTTTTACGGCTTACAGTGTAGAGAGTGAAGAATAATTAGACTGAATTCTGGTTTTGCTTCGCTAGTGCAACTTTTACCATATTTAAGCGTTTTTAAGCAAGAAATTCTACTCATTCTTAGATCATATCGAATGAGACTAAATCAAATGAAAACAATTAGTTATGAATATTCAAGTAAATGGATGAAAAATGCGATTAATATTGATTAATGACTAAAAACAAGGTAATTATCGAGCTTGTTGATCAAATATGCTAACAATTGTAGCTAAAAAGACTAAATAAACACAATTGTCACACTTTTTGCACAAATTGACACAAGTACTGAAAGAAAAATGGCCATAAACGGATAAATATCAATTTCATCCAAAGTTTGGCTCTGCTACGTTGTAAAAAAATAAAAACTGAGTTCATCTATTTAAAAGTTTATAGGATCAATAGTTTTCGAAAAAATTGAGGTCAAAGTTCAAACTTCGACTGCCTTTTGTACAGCGATGGAAGCAGATTTTTCTATGAAACTCATTTAGCTGATGTAATTTTTGACGATCAACCAGAAAATGTATTTATTTTGATGAATATCATTTTCAGTTTCGGTAAAATAGATCAAGTTCGATTTTCATTTAAACCGACCGTTTTCTGTGACCATAAGAGTTAGCGTGCTGAAACTCATTATTTGTCCACGAAATTTAATGGCACACGTCATGGATTGAATATATTTTTCAATGCAACAACAGTTATCTCGATTTTGGCCGTTGGACTAAAAACTTTGAGTCTCGATATTTCGAGAATGGTAGCAAGTACACTAATCATTCTTTCATCAATTTGCTTCTTTACTAATTAATGATCCAATAAAATCTAATAACTTTCAATTTGCGCATTTGGGTCATGATTTCTGGGCTATAGATGTACATGCAATAACTTATTTAACAAATAAAACTCATCTCAACCAATTTCCTGGTAAAGAAACCAATTTTCTGGTTAAACTGTCAAACTTAATGCAAAAATTACTGCCAAAGACGCGAACATTTGAGTAAAGATTTGAGACTTGGTGTGTTTGTATGGACATAAAAACTGAGTCCATTGGTATCATTAAATAATTCATCCGTTGAACAGTTTTCTAGAAAATCGAGGTCAAATTTGAAACTTCAGTCGCCTTTTGTGCAGCTATTGAAGTAGATTTTTTCGTGAAACTAATTTTAACTCATGTAATTTTTGATTTCCAACCCGAAAACGTACTTATTTCGAGAAATATCATTTTCAGTTTCCGTAAAACAGATCAAGTTCGATTTCTCGTTTAACCGATTGTTTTCTCTGACCATAAGAGTCAGCGACCTGAAACTTATTATTTACCTCTAAAGATTGTTTATACACATGAATCACAAAACACTTTTTTCAAATTTATCAATGGTTCGCTTATTTTTTGCACTTAACGGAAAAACTTTGAGCCTGAGAATTTGGTGAACGGTATCATCTACGATCATCATTCTTTGACCAAACATAGGATTTCATTATGAACTGCGATTTATTGAAATGCTAGTTGGTTCAAGATTTGCCAAAAAAAGTTATAGCATTGTATTTGTTTGTGTTGCCAGATTTGGCTTGCTTTATAAAGTTAAGTGGTTATGCAAACTCAAATCTTATGCTCAAGAAGGATATTCATCATTAAATGAATTAACTCGGATTTAATTCGCTGATAGTCATAGTATATTATAACACATGATAAAATCTAGCATTTGTTCGAAGAATAATGATTGTGGCCTTTACTACTCTCGAAATACTGAGGTTCAAAGTTTTTAGAACAATGGCCAAAATTAAGAGAACTATTGATAAATTGAAAAAAGTGTTCAGTAAATCACGTTTATAATCAATTTTTAGAGGTAAATAATAAGTTTCAGCTTTCTAACTATTATGGTAACAGAAAGCGACAGGTTAAACGGAAAATCGAATTTGTCCTGTTTTACAGGAATGGAAAATGATATTCCTCAATATAAGTACATTTTCTGGATGGAAATCAAAAGTTATATTGGTTGAAATGAGTTTCATAAAAAAATCTACTTCCATAGATGAACAAAAGGCGATCGAAGTTTAATCTTTGACCTCAATTTTCTAGAAAACTGGTGAACGGATGAATTATTTAATTATACCAATGGACTCAGTTTTTATGTCCATACAAACACACCAAGTCTCAAATCTTTACTCAAATGTTCGCGTCTTTGGCAGTAATTTTTGCATTAAGTTTGACAGTTTAACCAGAAAATTGGTTTCTTTACCAATAAATGAGTTGAGATGAGTTTTGTTTGTTAAATAAATTGTTGCATGAACATTTATAGCCCAAAAAACATGACCCAAATGCGCAAATTGAAAGTTATTAGATTGTATTGGATCATTAATTAGTAAAGAAGCAAATTGATGAAAGAATGATTAGTGTACTTTTTACCATTCTCGAAATATCGAGACTCAAAGTTTTTAGTCCAATGGCCAAAATCAAGAAAACTATTGTTGCATTGAAAAATATATTCAATCCATGACGTGTGCCATTAAATTTCGTTCACAAATAATGAGTTTCAGCACGCGTACTCTTATGGTCACAGAGAACGGTCGGTTTGAATGAAAATCGAACTTGATCTTTTTTACAGAAAAAGAATTGTTAATCCTTCAAAATAAGTGCATTTTGTGATTCATCATCAAAATTTACAACTGTAAAATGTGTTTAATGAAAATATCTGCACCCATAATTGCACAGTAAGCGATCGAAGTTTCAACTTTGGCCTCGATTTTCTCGAGAAATATTGATCATAGAACCTTCTAAATCACACAAATGGATTCAGTTTTCATTTCTCTGCAAACTAATAAACCCATACTTCAGAAGAAATCAATTTTTACTCGTTTATGGCCATTTTTCTTTCAGTACTTGTGTCAATTTGTGAAAAAATGTAACAATTGTGTTTATTGAGTCTTTTTAGCAACAATTGTTAGCATATTTGACCAACAAGCTCGATAATTTACTTGTTTTTAGTCATTAATCAATATTAATCGCAATTTTTCTTCCATGCACTTCAATACTCATAACTAATTGTTATCATTTGATTTAGTCTCATTCGATATGATCTTAAATGTTTAGATTTTCTTGTTTAAAAACTCCTCAATATGGTAAAAGATGCACTAGCGAAGCAAAACCAGAATTAGGTCTAATTATTCTTCACTCTCTACACTGTAAGCCGTAAAAAATCATACCATGTCGGGTCAAATTAAATGCAAAAACTAAATCAGATTATCAGTAATCGAGCTTTATTATAATGTTTGATTCAATACATATTTAGACTGTTTTAATTGTGGCTGAAACTCTTGCCAATCTTCGCAGGCTAATTGAAGGAAAAAGGACTTAATTCTTGATATATTTTATTTTTAAAATTTTCGTACATTTACTATTTATCTTTTGAAATTCATTACAAATAAGACCATTATTAGTTATGATAAATAATAACATCAAAAGTATGATCATTTTAGGTAGCTCTAATTAGCTGCATCAATTATTATTCAAGAATATCCAGATAAATCTTTAATAAATTGCAGCACTCAATCGAAAAGGATTGAATATTGAATTAGCATTTGAACTCGGTTTAGGTTTGAAAAGCAATTCTATGACAAAAACAATGAATCCGATTGCAAAAGCAATTCCAAGGTAAAACAACATGAGTTCAGCATGGTTGTATGGAATTGAGATTGTAATAGCTTCTCTAGTTTTACGCAAAGGTTCCAAGCATTCAGAGCAAAGAGGTCCATCAGATAAAGCAATCATAACAGGGAGGTAAAGGCGATAATTTTGCATGTTACCAGTCTCAAAGGATGAATACACATCTCTAATCAACTGCTCCTGCAAGTCTGGTTCAAGGGAATTGGGTAAAACTGGGAATTGAAGTAAACTGAAAACTGGTTCAGCGGATTGATACATTCGTCGACCTTTAGTACCATTAATTGTTTGCTGGTAGACAAGAATCTTAGCTCTAACCATGTTATACTTCTCGGTAATGAGGATTGAGTGAGCAAAAAAATCTGCTACTTGGAACTTATCCATACCCACCAAACTATGCAGTGAACTGGTTAACCCATGTGAACCTAAAATTGAACCTTGAGAGGCCTTGATCACCTCGTTACATGGACCAAATAGCAATGATATTGAATAGCCATGAGAGGCTAAATCGTCAAGAGTATCCAACTGGTCAAAGGTTGAGCTCACGTAGATGGTATTTTGTATAGCAGCGGAAAGTATTAGATGAATTAAAAGAGAGTAAAGTAGGAAACTCAATAGACACAGACTATTTGTGGTTGACTGAGTGATTGGAAAATTTTGTTTGACTAATTGTCGGAATAAATTGTAAAGATTTTCGATAAATTTACTGAAAAGTAAATTGAAATGCTTATAAGTGAACATCGGTGAGATTATTTTGCTACTCAGAGTTAGTAGGGTTTGAGTAATTGCTGACAGTAAAATAAAGAATAAAATTAAATACCAAAATGTTTTACTGAAAGAGGAGAGAACAGCTTGAACAGATTTATCAATTCGGATTGTTGGTGAGTAAAGGATTGAACATTGGTCTTCCATAACTGCTGGTCCAATGGTTAGGTTAACCACATTTGATGAAATTTGAAACTGGGAAAAAAAGCCAGCAAAGTCAATTTTTCCCAGCTGAAGTTGCCGTAAATCACCGAAACAGACGCTTTCACTTGAACAATGGGCTGAAGTGGATAAATCCTTTGGTACAAGAGTGTAATTCATTTTGTCCAAAATAAAGTATAATTTATAACGATAAGCAGCACCAAAAAGGCCATGGATTTCATTGTTTTTAATTGTGGAAAAGGGCGGATAGGAAAGCACTGAAACAATCAATTTTCTCATGTTGACTTTAAAATTTGTTTTTAAATTAACAACCACAATTATAATTTAGATGCTTTGTTTCTCAGTCATTCCAATTTTTCTTTAACATTTTAACAGTTTCAGTTGTTAATGAGATACAAAATGATCTTGTCGCGCAGTTGGATAATTTAAAAATTGTAACATTGATTTATAGTGAATATCATTATATCATGGTAATGGTTGGGTCATTGGAAGAGAGTTAATTTATTATCGATAATAATGAAAACTATCTTGGGTTCTTTGGTCGTTATTAAACCACATGAAATAGTGATTAGTCTTACGTGATATAATTAAGAAATACGTTTGGTTATTGCATTCAAGTCATGGAAATGATGCAAAGTAATATGATCTGTTTGATAATTTTGATGAAAGCTCTGCGGATAGAATAGATAAAATCAATTTTTCGTACTTAAACGGAAACTTAAACACTTTATTTTGTTTTAAAATAATTCAACACTCATTTACAAATTTATACTGCAAACTCTACTTTTGTTGAATCTCTTTCATTGCTATCTAATTGAAATTTAACATTAAGAGTAATCAATAGACGATAAATTAGGAGAAGGAATATTTGGTCAGTAGAATTTTTTGATCAATTCTTTTTTCGTTTTGACGGTTGACTTTTTCTTTCTCATTGCAATAATTATACAATTTTCTATACTGATAACAATTAGTGTGCAGATTAAGCCAATCCCGATTATAAGAAACATTCCCCATGTATCAGCAAGAATTAATCCATTGGATAGTTTTCGCCAATCAGGACAAGATTTACGTTCTGGATTGTTTTCCCAATATTTGGTTCTGAGCGAAGCAATGAAACCATTTTCTTTAAGTTCAAGAATAATAGGATCTATCAATTCTTTTAAATTGTTGGGTGAATTCTTTGATATTGGTAAAGCGATTGGATGGAAAGCGAAATCCTGTTCAGCTTTGTAAACATCACAGTGAAGGTACGAGAAATATTCAACGTCCAAAGAAGTAGCTAAAAAAGATATCAATCAAAATGAAATATTATTGTAGTTATAGAAATTTTGTTTCTTAAATTGTAACAATTTGTAACTTACATATTAAAGCAAATCCTTCGCTAGCGCTTACAGATTCTCGAACACGACGAAATCCTTCTTCTAAAGAGTACGGCTTTTTTGCTTCAACAATTTGAGCCTTGATTTTGGTGTATTTATCACTAACTGGATATTCCCAGACTGCTAAATTAGCTCGCTCATCTTCATCAATACTATCATCGAGTGACAAATTTTTCCAAATACTGACAGCAATGGATCAGAAAAATTGTATAAATTGAAATGGGAAAAAGAAATGAATAGATTGAATCAAATCTAGTTAATTGAAAAAAATTATCTCGGTTACATACTCGTAATATTTATCTTCAATGTAGGCCATTTTGGTGAAATAACCATCAGCAGCTGATTTATCGATAGGTGCATATCTAATTTTATACTGTTTTGAGAGACCATCCATGGAGTCGACACGGTTTTCCAGTCTTGAAACGGTCAAGAAAGCAGCCAAATTGGCCGTGTAAGAGGCCACAAAGATGAATCCAAAGAGCCACCAAATGGCGGCAACCAATCGTCCAGAGATACATTTGGGTGCATCACCTCCTCCTTGAGGTGTTAATGAGATGAAACAAAACCAAAGTGATTCTTTTAAGGTAAAGATTCTTTTACATTCCTCACTCTCATGTTCAAATTTTTCAGGCCTGTTTCTAAAACTGTAAGGTGAGAATCGATCAAAGATGGACAATAAAATCGATGTGAATAGATATGCAGCTGAAATACATAGCCAAACATCCCATTCCAGTACGGTTATGAATTTCCATTCATGTGACTCTCTAATTGGTCTTTTCATTAATATCGAGAATCCAATCAAATCGAAAATAGGTTGACTGAAATCGACTCCAATGGTACGGTCTTCGGTCACTTCAGTCAGAGCTAATGCCATCTCATAAGTTCCCTATTAGCAAGAATGATGATAAATTTGGTTGGATTTTCAATAAGATCAATTAAAATTGTAATACTAACTTGAATTATTTCATTGATTAATCCTGAAAAAACTATATCAGAATTTCCTTCTTCCGCTTCTTCTTCTTCTAAATTTATTTCCATCAATCCAATAGCAGTTTCGGTGATCTCTACCAACTCATAGGCAGGAAATTTATCACCTAATAAATGTCTGATTTCATCAAATAGTTCAATCAAGAAACCCTCATATATAATTTCACTGCCATTCATCCGTTTGGTTAAGTATGGTGGCGTCTGGGAAAAAAGAACAGATGATTAAAGTATGAAATTATTTTTTAGAAATTCTAATTTCGCATTGTCTTACCAGAAAAACAGCAATCTTAACTCTCGCTGAATCACTCGCGTCACTATCTTCAGATTGTCTAGCGGTATAGTAAATTCGTCCATTCGGCAATCCAGCTTCCCATTCCCCAATAGATTCGCGGTCAAAATAATCAGCATAATATGTGTGTCTTTTCAATCTTATTGAAATTTCTTGATAACCAGTTATTGAATTGTCATTAGAATGGACTTTAGTTAATTTAAAGGGTCCAAGTTTACCATAATTTTCTTCGCCATAATTTTCCAAAGATTCTGCAAATGGAATAGTTATCAACTTTTTCAAATTGTCAGAAGATGACTGATTTGTCCAGCAACTTAGTTCGCTTTGTTTTGTTGATAAAGATGAAAATGTGCCATTGATTGTAGCGTTGAGTTGATCTGAAATTGAATTGACTGATTGCAATAAAAGATGAATCAGATCATGGTAATAATAAAATTCAAAAACATCTTTAGCAGGCAACTTGGTTGGATGGAAATGAGCTGATAATGGTGGCTCATCATAATCACTACTTGGTAAAAACAAGGGTTGACCAGCTATAAGTTGTCCATGTTTGCACAAGAAGCATTTTATTTTATCCTCGTCCTGATCATGGTTAAAGAATAATAAAGATTAGATATATTACCGGCATATTGAAATAAAGAAAATTAAACTTACTTTTGATAGGACAATTAACTTAAACGGATGTCTGAATAAGTTGTTTTGGCGAAACTGTAAAACAAGAACGTCACAAGAAACAAAACATTAATAACGGTTAATAAACAAAGAAACTACGATTGACAATCAACCCACCGTTTCAATTAACTTATTGACGAACGATGATCGGCCCACACCAATAAAGTTGACAACCTTTTGTTTAACAGAAGAACCAATTAGTTGAATCAACTGTTGAATTTTGATTCCTTTGGTATCATCATTAATTTCAAGCGTACGGAAAGTAAAGTTAACAAGGGACGGTTCACTAATTAAACAGGGTAAATAAAAAGCTAAAAGCATAAAAATTTGAAAATGTTAAGATATTTTTTTGTTAAGATTTATTTATAATTACTTTTATTTACCTAATTCTTGTTCAATATAAATCTGACCATTTTTAATTTGCAAGTGATTTACTACGTCTATTACTGATCTCAGGAAAATTGTTACTGGTGATATAAAATTAATCAAATGTTTAGCTTCCCATTGGTTGAGATTAACCCAAGCTGACTCTGGATCACATGTTGACGATGAAACGGTTATCATTGGAACCGCCATGTTTCGTGCAAATAATTTCAACTGATTATCGAAGCTAGTCAAACCTTTCGATGGACTTTCAATGGCAACTACAACAGTCAACTGGTTAGATTTGGATGAAAGTTTGGAGCATAACTCGTCAAGATCAAGATTTACTGGACCAACAAAGTGCGTTGAAATTGACATTGAAGATGATTTATTAGCAAACTCATTTAAGCCACTGAGTAATCCATTCTTAATTACATCTGGTTCACTTGGATCGATTGAAAGGACTAACAAGGATAGACGATTGGACGATACAGAAACAAAATGTAAACAAATCGCAACAAAAACCAATGGAAATGGATAAGCTTTGAAAGATCAATTGGTTCTTACCTAAATTCAACTTGATTGCCGAGGATATGTGAACTGATAGGGATAAAATTATCCAAAATAATATGTTGATTTGTTTCAATGAACACTTCATTGTTACAAATTGATTATTATTGCACTTTTTCTGGACACATTGGATAAAGACTTATGACTCTGAAAAACGCTGTACAATGGCTCTCATACCAATACTGACCAAGTTGCTATTTGTTTGAAATTAATAGTTTCACTATATATGTATATCATTTTAGTGTTAACAAATACTATTTATTATGTATATAACAATCAATAGTTTCTATATGATTAATGGATAAAAGAGGAAGAAAAAGAAGTCAAATAATGTCTTATATATCTTAAAAACCGATCGATTCATCATAACAAACTGTCTTCTCATTGTAATTGTCTTAATAATAATAGATTAAATAGTCCATTTTTATGTATTTTGAAACGGATCAATTGTATTATGGTTTTTCATTTCTTTGACCATTAAAAAGCATTTCACCGTCATTAGTGGCTTTATGGTATTCAAACTAACAAAATAGGAATCCAATTGTTATAATGATCATTAATATTTTTTGTCAAATATCATTTCATTTTCAAGTAAACATACACTCTCAATAGTTTGAATGGTCATCAAAGAGTACAACAAGTAATGCAACAATTAAAAGCAATACAAACCTATTCCTGGATTTATTTAATTATTCACACTAATATATTGCTAAAATCCTCAAAAAACCCATCAAAATAAAATCTTCACCCAAAATCAATCAATAATTGCCTCTATTCATCCAAATAATTTATTTCAATGTTTCTCAAAACATAATTTTTCTTTGGTTTTCTCGTCTGTTAATATTAACCTCTTTTAGTTTCTTAGACTAACTCGAAATATCATCAATTATGTTCAAAAAATGCTAAAGATTGCCTTAAACGAACGAAATCGAGTCAAAATTTCCAATTTCATGTTATTTCATGTGAGATAAAGCAATCAAAATACAGAGTTTCCAATTCATTTGTTGCCAATCTTTTAAGAAAGTGAAGTATGAAGACAATGATAGTGAAAATAAATTCAAATATACGCTTGGAAATAAGACAAAGCTAAATTCAAAAGGTGATACAGAACTCCAAGAAACTTGAAAAGTAAATTTACACCAAATAATGTTGAGCTGAATCTTCATGCAAGTTTGAGAAAAGTTGAACTTTTCAAGAAAACATAAGAAATGCTTGTTACTTTCGGTATTAATAGATGGCGTGTCTAAGTTAAAGTCAAAATCATTTTTGGTTTGTTGAAGTTGAGTTTGTTTGGTCTTAACATGTTCACTGTTTAGTTTGAAACTTGGGAAAGACCAAGTCTGTAAGTCTGTTTTTACTATCTCGCATCTACCTCTTCGTCTATTTATTTATTGTAATTAGTCTTCTTTTGTATTCACCGATTAATTGTAATTATCCTCATCATTGGTTGGTTTCAACAATTGCTAATTGTTTTCTCCTTTCTTTTCATTTTCCTCTCCTTCTTTAACCTTTTTGTGTTTCTTTGATTCTTTTTTAAAAGTGTTTCTCTTATTTAACAGAAAAGTATTATTTTGTACTTTACTTGATTACTTACACTTGGAATTAAACCGCCAATTTCAACAACATCAACTTAAACATAATCACCATTAATTGTCTACTTTCAATTGATCTCCACGACCATCAAACTGTCCTCTACCAACCAAGTAACCTGTGAATCATGAATGACTTGAAAACAATGCTTAGTGTTTAACAGATTTATAAAAGAACAATTTTTTCTTCTTTCCGTTTTCTTTGTTTCTCTGTTACTATCTTAATTACCTCTTATTGTTTCTCAAAATAACCTGTCAATAATATTAAATTATATTCCCAAAAATGCCTCGTCAAAAACAGGATCGACCCAAACGAACGAAATGTGAGTCAATCTTTTTCGATTTTTCCTTTTTTCAAAATTCTTTTATTCAGTTTTTACATTGAAATCTGTTCTTTTTCGGTCAAATTTTATTCATCAATTTCCTCAATTCTTTACCCTGCCCAACTTTCATTTTCCTCTCACCTTGATAATCAGTCATATAACATGCTTTTTCACCTTGTTTTCACTTCCTTTCTCCTAATCTTTCCATACTTTTCTCTGTTCCTTTAGTCTGCTTATTTGTCTAGTCAACCCAAGTCTTGTGAAATGTGCATTACCATTTGATTATCTTATCTTTCCCTAACCTTAATTGTTTAACCTCAAGCTTTAATTATCATCTCTGAAACAGACGAACTTTGATGCATTATTGTTTACCTTGTATTCAACAAATAATAATATTCAAAATCCGTGTCTCCATATCCATGGTTATCAACTTATAACTATCAAACTGCTTCTATGACAACAGTGATAAAATTCACGTTGCGATTTTAATCATCAACCAGTGCTACTAAAAGCAAGAAAAAAAACCTGACGTCTAACACATTCACTTTCTTTCCCTTATTATTATCATTCATTTTATTATCGTTATCTAATTGACATTTTATTTTGTCCAAAATTACGATAACTTTTGAACAAAAATGAACACAATTGTACCATGAAAGTTAAACTTGCAATTTCAATTGAAACCTGACAAATTGAATCATTTGAATCAATCTCAATGAATGATCATTTGATGACCTTGTCCAGCTCATAATGACTCTTTCAATTGATCATCTTTTCGTCATTTTATCTTCACACAGATTTATCTTTATGATATTTCTGGTAACAACAACATTAACCAAAAAAAACAACAACAACAAATCAAATCAAGATATAATTGCAACCATGACATTTAATGTGGTAACTCAATCTAACCGTTTATCATTTATTGATCAAAACTGTTAATTAGATTCTATTTTGCTACCAATTAAGAATAACTTTTCATCAGAAAACTTTGATCATATTTGCCGATTAAAACAAAATCAATTTGATTCATTGCAATGATTAACATTAATAACCCTTTTCCTTCACTTCTTTCCTTTCCAAGATTTGATAAAAATCAGTTAATCTATCAAACATATCATGATATCACATTAATTCAATGTGATTATTGTAATAAAATAAAAATGTGAGTAAACATTGAATGCAATGAAAAGCTATCATGTGACAAAAAATCTGCAAGAATTGAAGTACAATTGTAATTTGAATAGAGCATAAAATCAGCTAATCTAGATTATTAAAAGGTGTGTGATTAAGCTAATAACTTTGGTAACAATATGCACCAAGAAAAAGCTATGAAATAGTTATAAATGATAGTTCAGTGCTGCTGATTCATTTGAAAATGCACTCAACTCGGAGCACAATTTTGACTTTCAATTCGTTACTGTTTTATTGCAATATGAATTAACAAGTAATAAAAAAGGTTAAAAATGATTCGATTCATGAAATGTATTATAAGTTATTATGTTATTAGCTGTTTTCATGTCGATAGTGAAGGCAAACTCGATGCGTATATTGTTATTTATAATATACATTTAATCTGTTTTCATGTTGTGATAATATTGGTGAACAGCAAGAACTTGTAAAAGGCTTCGTCTCTTTTTTTGTAAGTGTTAAGATGAAAATGATGAAGAGGAAGAAGACCAAAATATGATGATATAAGGGTATGCAGAAGGTTATTTATTGTATCCTAATGTTATAATGAAGATGAAGCAAAAATCAGGGTGAAAATCAGTGGATGCTACCATGAGATAGTGTAAATAGTTGGAAAAACGATAATAATAATAATAATAATAATTATAATAATGATGATGAAAAGTGATGAAAAATTTTGTCTTCATTCATCAGTATCATATAATATCTTATAGAGAAAGGAATAGTTACTCTCAATGGGATATCTCTCATTGAGAATAGTGTTGAAGCGAAAGAAGAAGATGAAAAGAGGATGAAAAAGTGATGATGATGATGAAGAAGAAGCAAGAGAGTGAAAGATGCGATAAAGAATGGTTTTGGATTGGCAATAAATTGCTGGGTTATCCTGATGATGATAATATAGAGAGTGAAAAGAAAGAGTGAAAGATGATGATGATGAGATGAGGAAAAAAGTAAAAGTATTATCAGTGATTTTCAGGCATCCATACCAAAGGATAAGCCCGCATGCACATGATCATCAACATTGCGCCCTACATTGGATTCATCATCACTCCTTTCCTTTACTCACTAGTCACTCATCTTCTCCTCCTCCTCCTTCATCATTATCATCCTTTCTCTCTCTTTATCTCATCCTTACCATCTTTCAATGTATATATAAACTTACAATCTCTCTCTACTTATATTCCCAACTTCTGTCACCTTTTTTCTATAGATAAGAAGCGATTCCACTGATGATGGTCGCCATCATCATCATGTTCATCTTTATCATTTATTTCATTCATTTCATTCATTTATAAATCTCTTTCTACTTTTTTGCCTCACTTCTTTTCCTCTTCCTAATTTTGTCCGATTTAAACTCAAATTGGTTATCATAATTGAAAACTTTATTGCATCCATTTTCATCATCATTAACTGTTCATCTTTGTCCATTACTTTTGCCTTCCTTTCACTTGAATAGTCCTGAAAAAGTTTAATCAATATTTGCATTGAAACTGATTAAAAGCAACACTTTGATTGTTGAAATTGATTTGACTTTTATAAGCATAAAATCATTTTTGGCATTATTTTTGCATTTTGCAAATCAATCTGATTAATTTGAGTCTCTTGCACTAAACAAGTTGATTTGATTGCAATAATATTCAGTTGATTATTCATTTGAATCAAAATAACACCCAAATGCCGGATCTTCAATGCTAATTACTCATTAGTTGTTACTTTCTTCGAGTTTTGACTCTTCTATCAGGAAAAATCTTTTCACTCTTCATTATCTTTCTTCAATCTTCACCTTTAAAAATGATCTCTCTTACCTTTCCATATTACCTTAGATGATTCCTTTATCAATTAATCAATTTACTTCATTTTTATCTTCTTTATACTTTTGGCCTTAACTTTGGCTTCGTCTTTATGCAGCTTCTGAAATTGATCTTGATAATATTTTTACCTGTATTCCCTATCTATCTATATATTGGACTTAAGATTGTTTGGGCTTTTTAACAAGTCAAACCTCAAAAATATATAGACCAAGGTGTGACCTTAAAAAGTGACCTTTTATCTTCTCTCTATACCTTTATTTGAATGGTAAAATCCAATCATCTTCAACAGACATCTCTTCCTATCTACCAATGAGGATGACTTATAATTATTATCATTGAGAGCAACTATGCCAAACAACTAACTGCCAACACCATCACTTTTATCATCATCATCATCATCTTTTTATCATTTTATTCAGAAAACTTTTCTCTCTCTCTCTACCTTTGATTCCTATCTTAATGGCAATAGCAATGATTTCCCATTTTCCATTAAATTGTTTATCATGTAGATGATGGTCAACTGATTGTTTCAAAGTGACCACAAAATGCTTTAAAAGTTTACCTTTACCTTCACTTTTTTTATGCCTTTGACTCTTGACTACTGTCAGTGTTACAATTGCAACAATTGTCTCAATCACTTTATGACGACAATTGATTAATTAAACATAAGGAAATCTTTTTCGTTTCTTTACCTGATAACATCATGATTACCATGTGATTTAACCGTGTTTCATATCAAATAGATTATCATGAAGTTGCTTTTCACTCATTTTGTTTTCAATGAATGAGAGACGAAAATGACGATAAAATGAAAATGTCTATCTCATGTCTTCAGGCATCAACAAAAGCTAATTATGAACATTTCGCTATTGAACCAATCACTTGAATCGTTATCTTACAAATTTCAGGTTTACATTGAAAACTAATTGACGATGTTTACCAATTTCAGATTATCAGTTTTACCTAATTTACTGTTTCCTAAACTAATTATCATTTATGACTGTTCACTTTGATCGATAACAAAATTGATTAATGCGATAATCTTAAACCTTATTAACTTTACCAGATAATGATTAATGTTTTCTTGCAATTAATATTCAACAAAATATCATTTGCAGCAACTTTCACGATCTAATCCCGTGTGAATTAATCTTGTAATTATCATTCTTAATCATCATCATTTGATGAAATTAAAAATGTTCATTTCTCAATTTGCAAACACTTTTCCGAGTTTGGGAAAAAAATATTCAAAGCTAAGAATCAATTCCAATGATTGAAACTTTTGATAGGCAAAAGAGTTGAATGAATAGGAATCGTAAAAAAATGTAAAAATCAGTTTGCAAAACAATCTCACACATTGAATGATATTGAATTTTTCGCCATTTTTGTTGTTATTTGTATTCTTCCTATTCCCTGTTTCCGGCTGAACCAGATTATCAATGCTTGTCCAACATCCTTTAATTCATCTTCCCTCATCATTATCAAGCAAAAGGTGATTATCATTTCTATTATGTGTAACTTTAGCACCCAAAGTGACCAGCTTATTTCCTGAAGAAAAAGGAGAAACTGAAAGTGTTCAGGAATCAAATGATAATCTATTGTTTAACATTAAATATAGATTTAATAATAATGAAAATCGTTGATTTGTATTGTTATTAGGTGATTATCAAAGCTCAAATGAGCTTTTAACAATGAGCAAATGTTGAAAGATTTGTTGTTGCCCATTAAATCCCTTTTTATGCAACCTTTTTCAACCCTTTATGTTCATAAACTTTTCAAAGTTTATCAATAAGTTTCATGGCAATTTATATTAATGTTTACAATTTTCATCAAATGAAACAAAACACCATTTCAGTCCGGATATAAAATGTCACCAAAAAAAATGAATCAATTTTTACCATTTTTCAAGTCATTATTTGTTTTCAACTTAACTCAAACTCAAACTTCATTTAAACATTCAAATCGTGAGATTGAAACAAAAGCTAAAATCAAATCTAA